GAATTATCGCCTATACTTTAGATTTAAAGTCGATGTTTATTCTCTTACTAAGATAATATTATTATACTATTTCGAGATATAATATTATCTTTATAGTCTAGCTTTAAATTATAGATAATAAGATATCGATATCGATAGATATTATAAGAGTAGACTTATTTAAGATAATAATAGAAGTAATAGAAGTATTAATAATAGCTAAAGCCTATATAGTAGTAGTAGCAGGTATCTCGACTATAGTAATATGAAATAATAGAAATTTAATAGTTTTTTACGAAGAAGATAATTTTTACGACGATTTTAACTTAGCCTCAGAAATAGGATTATAGAACGGAATCGTATATATATTCTACTTGTTTTGGAAATATTTATAGCGTATTTTTAAGCCTTGTTTTTATTAGCCAAGTGGTGGCGTTATTTAGTGGAAATAAGTAGGGGTTATTTCCAAAATATGTGGTTGCAGAAGGGGCCCTAAATCGTTGGTGGAGAGCGTGGCCCACGTCTTGCCATTCAAGGTGGCAATTCCGGTCCACGCGTTCGATTTAGACTTGGAATTCCATTACGTGCCATTTCCGTATCTGTTGATCATCGTTGGTTGTTTGATCCAATATACTGCCCAGTCTCCCATCCAGAACACTTTATCATCATGGCATATGCGGGCTCGCACGACATCCTGAAAAGTAGACTCGCGTTAGAGAGGGCAGGGTGTGGTGCTTGAGGTTGAGGACGCTCACGGCAGCTCCGGTTCCGAAAGTATTGTAGCAGGGACTGGTTTGGTCGGGAGTAAGGCAAGGAAGGGTCCGAGATGCCAAGATCTGATCTGTTGGCATCACAGCTCACATCCTCGCATCTGAACAAGAGATCAGCGTCGTAATGGAGACGGGAGAGAAGCTATTGCAACCGACATGAGAAAGGTTCTTGCCTCTGAGACCCCATGCTAGATTGAGCACTATTCCAGAACGAAGCGTTGTTAGTTGAACATCCACTGTAGCATTGGCCACGGTGGGGAGGGAGGATCCAAGCAGATCCCCACACGCCAGTCCCGAACAGCTTATCGAACGCGTCGATGCCCTGAGTTCCATCTGAAGATGCATGGTAGCCACCACCAAGGATATCGTTGACATACGAGATGTTGGCACCAGCGTATAGTACAAGAAGGTTCAATAGAAGAGCAGAGCCCGGTCGCGAAGCCCAACCACAACAGGAGGCGAAATGAAAGCACGTTCGGTGAGAACATGACGTTTGGGGCCTTTGCACTCACTTGCAGAAACGATGATGCAGGAATGCCTGAATACGAACGGCAGCCAAGATTGCGTGCTCGATGAAGCTCATCGCCTACGCCTGTTCTGGCGTGAGCCCAGGAACCCGGAAGCACAAAAGATGGCACGTTCGTGCAGGACGCCAAACTTCTTTTGCAGCTGCGTTGAGTTGTACGGAGATGTGTGCATCGGTAGCCGGAGAGCCGGAGTTACAAGCTCGTGAGAGAAAGCGCGGGGTGAAGAGCGTGTTCGGAAGACTTTGAATTGGCACACGAGATAAATCATCCATAGAGTAGTATCGCAGAGTACTTAGAGAACTATCACAGCGTAAGTAATTGTAAGAGAGTATTGCGAGGTAGAAGACTCCAGGGCCAAAGTCGATCAGTAAAATGGCATACCTTACTCCGTATAACTCATAAGCTTACAGAATATCTCAGCGTATAAGATCTCACCATTTTTAAGCTTGTTGTTCTTTCAGGCGGTCTCGACAGTGCGCGGACTGGTCACTTTATCCCTGCTCACATAGCTCACTCATTAAAGCACAGTTCTCATGACCAGTCCTGCACCATCAGGGAAAGGGATAAGTTGTGATCTTCGAAGCGAGACATTTATGTATGTGGACCCAAGGAGCAATACCAACAGCTTTCATAGCCACCCATACATTTTCAGTCCAACCCCAACCTGCGCTGCTGGCGCAGAGAACAGCGTCATCTATCAAAACACTCAGGTTTCTGAGCTATCTATCGCTCCGTCGACCGATTCTGATCTACCTCTCTGCCTCCCAGGAAACATCACGAATGACCAGAATTGGACCACACGTGCGCTTGGACGATTCATAGCCCGTCAATTCGTCGTGTGCTTCCGGTCCGGTGCTAAGCTGACTGCCTCTGATGAGGGTTCGCATGCCGGACATCGTAGCGGAGGGAATGGAAGGCAGGTCCTCTAGTTTATGAACTCCAGATGATGCCTTGTGTCGTCAGAGCTTTGCAACAGCCGAGGAATACCATGGTCTAGCTTTCCCTTCCCTGGCTTCTGATCCTTGCAAGGCAAACACTGAGCGAAAGGCAGTGAGTGAAACCATTATCACGGTCACGGACGCTTCAACTTGCAGCCAAAAGAAACGCCACGAGTACGCATGATAGAAGAGATTGAACCCTATGATCCTGATACAAGCAAGTATGATCATGAAGATGCTGAGGCTGAGGAAGACACTAATGCCTAGCTTCTGACCAGACTGCATTCTCACACGCCACAGGACGCGCACAGGGATACTAACGACTGCTAACAATCGGCAAGGGTCTCCTTATATTTCTGGGACCATATGTATTCGAAGTCAGAATATCAGTCGCCAGATCCAGTGCCGTAGCAGTGATGGCGATAGCAGACGTCCTTGTGATTCCCGAGCCCATAAGTGCACTCCACTAAATGACATACAACTTTAGCTCCAAGCAGCTAAATTACACTTCGGCTTGCTCCACTTACTGGCTATGTAGTCTGTGCGGGGACACTCCATAAAAGAAAAGCATACGCAGAACGCATAAGTCACGATGTTTATCATACCAACGACTTTCCAATGTAGCACGAAGCTCTGACTTCGATCTACAATCTGGCGGTAGAAGAACAAGAATGACAACTTGACCGAAAAATGGCGGTCCAGATGAGAATCTCATGAGTAAAACGTTGGACTTGATACAAGTGGACCCCAGCATCGGTCATGATTCCAGGTAGTTGTAGTTGGGACACGTTCACAAGGCTGAGCCCCCCACTTGCTATTTCCTGAATAAAGTACAATAGGACGATGTCTTGTAGAGAACTGGCACTGCTGCAGTCAAAGCTGCGCACGCGATCAACAAGAAAGCGTCGTCCAGAAACCGTCGTCGTTATAGGGAATCCGGAGAGTTGTTCTCATTGCGGCTGCTAAGATCGCGGTGCCGTATAGAACTCCGACCCCGATCTGGTTTTGATCAGCCTCAACCGTGACGATTCTACAAGAGATAAAGATGGCCTTGAATGCGGATTCAGGGATCCTGCCTTCGCTGTCTGCCATGCTCGCGTGAACAGGGTTGCAGGATTTTGAAAAAACAGTTGGGAACGAGAAAATATACCACTCCAAATTCTCGTGTCGACTGTAACAGAGAGGGAAACCACCGCCTTATGTCGCACCACATTGGCACTGGACTTGGCGGCATCGCGATCAATCTGCAGCCACTGCGTCGCCTGCAGAATGTTGAAACGCTAACCCCCTAACCCTTCGACCGGCGATCCCATCAAACATGTCAACCGCTCAGCTCCTTTCCCCAGTCTCATCGCAACCATCACTTCCACGAGTTCCATGGTTCGTAAATGTTTCACACCCTCCTACTGTTCTGTCATTGTCATGACAACACATATACTCCCAAGATGTTAAGAAATAAGAGATGAGTTGTTGTGATTATCCTGGATAGACATGAGACCTCGGTTCGATTATTGCATACTATCCACATAATCGTAGCTGGGGTGTGGTGGGTAAGAGCTTGCCAAGCCACGCCTCGGGGAGGGGAGTTGAACGATAAATGAAACCCTACACGCATCATGCATGCAAGGTAACGGCTGTAATTCCAAAGGCGCAACTGACTAGGCGTTCTGGACAAGGCTGAGAGAAAGTGCACAACAAGGCTGAACTCATTCGTTCATTTCATGCAATACCAAGTTTTCGGGTGCTTGAGAAAACCGAGACTCGGTCGAGTCTTTGGTTGCCATAGATATCAAACAAGTTCACCTGTTGTTCTGTGGTTTCGTCTCCAAGAGCATATTCTGTCACAGACTTGCCAAGGCACTAGCATTAGCGCGTGCTTGGCATCGCCTATCGCTCTACCTTACCTTGCAGTTGCGGGGATCGTTTTCAAGACTTGAACGCTCGCGAGATATAGTATGGCGGAGTTGTAACATTGCCAAAGCGAGATTCTTGGACAGCAAAGTGCATGTCAACTTAGATGATACGGACATCCGAGAGTTGGGAGACACTTGAGCTCAATGGCCGACAGATCGAGAAAGGACACTGCGAGCGGAGGTATCGCAGGCAGTGGCGATGAGGAGCAATACAACTTTGGGGGAGAAACAATAGCTCGTTATTCGAATGAACATCAAGCTCACGCAAAAGCTCCGATAGGACGAGTCGACCAATGTCAAGTACTCTTAAGATTCTTGACTATGCTAAATTCCCATCATGGTCTCCGAGCCTCACTCTATCTTCCCTTCTCTCCGCCCTTCAACGACGATCTAGCTACTTCATCGAACCCCGTAAGGCGACGTCTAGGAATCTCACAAAAATGGCAAGGAACACGTAAAGCGCCTGCAAACATAGGCCAATTCAAGTATCTACTACATACTAATAGCCCGGTGTGAAACCTAACTCCACCATAGCACAATGCTTCATAGACTCGTATTTAGGAATGTTCTGGCCCCGTCGTTCGTATTCCGTGCCATTAGGTTGCATAATCATGTAATTATGCTTTCTTTTACGTTGCACCATACAGTAGCTGTGCGGCTGTGCCGTGTCAACTGCGGCTCGGAAGCCGTCACCAACATCCACAATGTATAGATGAAACAAATCTAAATCCGTTTCTTTTTCATGAGTACTCAGTCACTGGTATAAGCATGTCGCTCCTTGTAATTCTCGCAAATTGAGTGACTTGTTTTATTCCATTCGTTCTTTTTAAGAAGGATATAATAATAACAGAGTTCAGGATAAATATCTAAAATATGTTACATTCGTTTTTCTTCCTCCCTATCATTTCCTTCCTCGTCACCGTCTCTCCGGTCCAAGCGCATTTGAGAGGTTCCACCCGATTCACAGAGTTCTTCCCACTTCTCCGCCCCGAACTCACAAACATCTCCGCAAACACCTGCGCATCGTCCCTGAGCTTCTATCTCGAGACCCAAGATCGCCTAGCATGCGACGCCCACATCAATTGCATCCTGAGCAACATGGTCCAGCTCGATCAAATCGACATGACCAACGCCGGCATCTTGCTAGGCCTCTTGCCAATCTTCGTCGCGACCTTCGGTCCCACGATTGCCGAAATCGCGCTGCTGTCCTCTCGTCGTCCCTTGCTGAGCTTCCTCTTGAGTGTGGGCGTTCCGGCAATCTTCATCATCCGGCCAATGGCCTATGCGGATCCGCTGGAGCTGTTGACGCCTATCAGGGGGGAATTTACGATCCCGCGCTTCACTAGCAAGCGGCTTGCCCTCCTGCTTAGCGGGGCGGAGTATCTGATCGTTTCTCTTGCGATTGTGAATATTCTCTGGGTCTCATACGAGCTCCAACTTCGGACCGTGTTGGCTTGGAAATGCCTTCCTTTTATGCCTGTCGTATGGGCGCTTCTGCCCTGTATCATTCATCTACTTGCCGCATGGACGTTCAATCACTCGGGGGTCATGCGGCGCGTCAAGTTGGAGCATCAGACAGATAGCTTGGGACGGCGCGACTCGTTAGCGACTCGATTCCTTACGTGGACGCGAACAGAGTTCATCCTTTGCGCCAACCAGGAAGACGAGACGCTGCAAGATACGCCACCGGAGGTCTTGACCGTGACGTTGAACTGGCTCGCTACGGTGATGGGCTCTATACACGTCATCTTCGGCATCGTGGTATTTGCAGGACTTTTATTCATCAGCCTCCTAGACGCCTCTATCGTAGCCGTTCGATACACGGTCTCCATCCTCGTTTGCAGACTCGTTCTGAAATTCGAAATCTCCGGCGCGAGGGGCACGACGAAGTTGGAAAAGAGAGAAGATGTGTTTCCGGGGTTGGAATTGCAGCGGAGGAAACCATGGGCGGGGACTACGACGTCGTTCGATAGCCAGAAGATGCCGATCGCGCGCATGTATGCCGCCAGAAGGGTTGACAGCGATGAGGCTAGTCAGAAGATGCCGATTGCGAGGGTCTATGCGGCGAGGAGGGTTGATAGTGACGAGACTTATTGGTCTCCGTAGTGGATAAACAAGTTTCAAATGACGGTCCACAGAGATGATGTTTTCATTATGGTACAACGGACTTACTTTTGCAGCTGTCGCAATTTCGCTTTGCGATAATGTCTATCTGACGGTGAGCCAGCCATCAAGTACATCTTGATCGGGATCGAAGCCCTCGGAGACCTGTTCCATCGACTGGAAGACATCACGGGAAGCTCTATGCAGCGACAGCGTCGCGGGATTTTCCGTGGGAACATTCTGAACCCTACTCTTCATTGGATCAGGCCTGCCCTAGAATATGTCTCCGAAAGTCAAACGAAGGGGTAGCTTTGCTCTGCTCTGCGATTTCAGTATATGAGAAAGCGCGGATGCTTCGTGCGTCGATAAAACAACAAGCAAATATCGCATTAGGCGCTGTGTCCATGTTTGAAGGCGGGCCAAGACAGCGAGCCCGGGATGAAAGCTTTGCCGCTTCTGTAGCGAGGACTGACCTACAAGAGAGTGTTGAGCGGTTGAGCGGGGACCTCCCAACATTTCGGAGCATGGCCTTTTGTATAGGAAGCGTTGTCATCAACGGGAACCGCTCATCTGGTGGCCAATTCATAGACGGCAGGCGCAGCCCTTTCACGGCGTCTCATGCCAAAATTGAGAGCCGCACGAAGCCTGGGGCTGGGGATTCGTCTCCCTCCAGTCGCTGTCGGGTCATAGACTTTGACGTGCGGGCTGTTCACTGCTTCTGAGATAACCTCGTTCCTATCTGTATGGCCTATACTGACGGATGTGTTACACGGCCGGCCACATCGACTTCTAAGCGTGCTGCGCCGATGAGGGCGTCTGAAACGACGTTCATGCAGAGTAGGCGGTCACTGTCGCTCTCTTTGAAGGATCTGTTGAGATCAGCTGCTACACGCACCAATGAAACACTCAATTGCGATAGAAAAGTTTAGAGATGTTGTGAGGAGAAGGATCATTGGAAACTGTGCAACGAAAAGTGTGCAGCCAGATCAAACCCGGCAGTGAGGGTTTCAGCTGTGGTACCCAACGCGTACTACCTGCCATAACTCCTTAATACCCAGATTCGTCCGGTGCAGACTGGTATCGAGGACATCAATATTCCATGTCATCCGAGAAGATAGTACCAGGTTTTCCGTACTATAGACTCTTGGTACTCCCAGGAGCGGTGTATCTTTCGGAGAATGTAGGGACACCAACCCGGATCTTGCATGAAGGTTGACTCACAGTGAGACATTTGGCCTCAGGGATCATTCCCCCTCCTTCTTTCGATTTTGGCCACTTTTTCTTCCCATCTACCAACACCACCACCACCACTAGAGCCACTTTTGTTAATATCACAAAATCCTGAATGGCGCTCATTACAAGCAGTGTCCAGTGCCTCCCGATGGCATCAGGCTACGCCCATAGCCTGCCCCTTAAGCTTGGGCTGACTCTGTGGTCCGGCTGCCAGCGCGTAACATCCTTCCGAAGTACCTGGACTGCTCTTTCCGGACTTTCAAACCCACCGCATTCATGGAATCAACAGAACGGCTCTGCTCAAAGTCTAGGGCGTCCACGTCATTTCCATTGCAACGCACAGCTATTGATGGCCGCCAAGACTACTCCCCCGTTGCCCCAGATCCTGCTTCGCGGAATTCGAAGATTGCACTCTGAAGTATCGGGTAAAGATCCCGAAAACTTCACACAACGCCCCCGGGTGATTGCTGGCGACAAATTTAGCGCGCTTGTGTGGTCTTCCTCCCCAATGCCGAACAATATCCAGATCATCCTCGACGGAAAAACGGCCACTATTTCGGGCAGTTCTAATGAGCGCGCGACCAAAGCAGACTCTACCAGCCCAAATACGCCTTCACATAATTCGGCAGAATCCGCTTCTTCTAACCAGTCAAGCTCGAATAAAGATAATTCCTCCTCCGACCATTCTCACGGTTTCTTCAACTTTTTGCTGCAAGCGTGCGTGATAAGTATTCTCGTAATATGCATCTACGAGAAAGGCCGGAAACGTGGCGCTCAGGATTTGACGGCTCAACTTCCGGACGGCAAGATCTTTACTGATAGAGAGGGTTTGCGGAAAGAGGAAGAGGAGCTGAAACAGATCACAGAGACATTCATGGTATTCCACCCTTGCGGAAAGTGTGATGGTGAGTTCAACGTGCACCACGACATTCTACGAAACAAGAGAAAGGAGCTGGCGGAGAAGGTTGAGGGGTTGGACAAGAAAGAGTTGGAGCACGTCAGACAGCGCGCAATGGTGCTCGAGGGAAAGTTGAAGGGGCAAAAAGCGTCGATCGAGATGGACAGAGCTCGAGAAAGTCCACGTGAGGCCGTCAAAGCGGGGATCTTACCAGACGAGACATATACTGAGACAGTTGATGGCCTTTACTCCGAAACTCCAAACTGCAGAGGTAGAAAAGCCGATCCGTCCATGGAACAGGCAGAAATGTTCCCATCAGCCAATCTCGTAGTCCAGGTCCCCAGCCAGGGACCTGAGATGAATGAGACGCCTAGGACTGTGCGGCATCGGGAAAATTCCATGGCCCACACTAAGCCAGATACAAGAACTACCGGACCGCCAAGGATGAAGACAGGGTCAAGTCCAGCATCTCACGTGGTTCTCAGGAGTCTATCTGCCGACTACGATGCCGCATGTGAGGAGATGGGCCAGATCAAGCGGGCGAAAGAAGCCCTAGAGACTCGTGAGAGGGAGTTGGAGGCCCAGGACAATGACCGGAAGGAGCGTGTTCAGGAGCTCAATGCACCGAAGTCTGATCAGATGTCGTCTATTGCTTCGGGCATGCTCCTTGGATCTGCGCTGGCCTTTGGAGTCACGATGATGATGTCCGTAGTTGAAACTTGAATGGGATGAAGGGCTGATGCACGTCTTGTCGTTGTGTATTATAGATAGCTCGTGTTCGGCGCGTTGGATCCATCGCCTCTCAGATTCATGTTTGACAATTCTGAATGTCGTCAACCTGCTTTTGTACCGTAAGCCATTCAATGCCATTTATACAAGCAGCTTCAGGCTTCAGTATAGGCTTTTCATCATGACGGGAAGATCGACACTGCATGGGAGTGACCCAGCATGCCTTTTTTTCCTAGGGCACAGACAAGTTTGAACCGAAACCGGAGGCGTACTCGAGCAAATCACGAGCACAAGAGATCCCGAATCGAGCGCCCGAGTCCTGGTACCACGGTCAGCTCTCCAGGAAATAATTCAAAACATGCATCGAAGGCTGATTTCAGAGAATACCGGGAGTTTGATGTTTGAAAGCACGACTTGCACGTCATCGAACCATCCTTCTATGCATTCATACTTCCGATGCAGCCAAAGTACGCGCGGGTGTGCGTCCAAAGAAAGCGACGCCGGCACGGGAATCGTACTAGTCCGTATGAATATTGGGCTAGTTATCTGACGTGGAAGAATTTTTTCCGTAGTCAAATAGCACGTTACATAGGTTGCAATAAGAGATTCATCGATGTCTCGACTCCAGGGATCTGGACAACTGAAAGTTGTTAACCTCGTGTCATTTTTGGATGGTTTTGTTGAGGCCAACAGACGATTCTATTATCCCCTGTTAAAGTCTCAAATGGCTTTACAAAAGCTTCTTGGACGGGGCATGCCCCAAGCACTATTAACCCCGGAGAGGGATACCACACTTGTGATTCAGCCTTCTGGCTCAGCTTTCTGTTATAAAGCATCGAGAGGGTTCGGAAATACATATGGAAGAGCAGAACGTTACAGTGCAAATGCCTTTTTGCATGGAGTCAACAGAGTCCCTTTGCCCTCCGGCCAGGTCCTGCAGAGAACCTCTAGAAGGCTCTTGGATTGAGGATGGCTTCAATCACTCTTGGTATCTATAGACAGACATCCCGTGCTTGTGGTGACTGGATGACTTGTCATGGACGCGAAATGTTAATATGTCACCAATCAATATCGCATTGCCTTGATCCTTTGTCCGTCGGTGTGCCCAACCATCTTCATGCACATTGACAATAAATTCAAACGCCTTAGCCTGGCTGCAAAGCTCAGATGATAAGAGTATGGGGTCCTTTGCTATGGCGGATGGATTCCATCTCAACGCGACTTGGTGATGACCACAGTGCACGGGAATGGAAATGCTGTCAACATCCACAAGCCCGTCACCTTCCGTGGTTCACGGTCCTGTCTTGACTGATGACAACGAAGCACCTTGGCCTTAATACAGCTTGAAATCACAATCCTCATCTCAAGACAGCCCGATTCTCCTATTTTCGCCTCCGCTGGCGGTTCAGCCTATGCCGCCAGTGTCCTTCTAAGTACCTAAGTCTCGGTTCGAAATGGCCGAGCTTGAGCTTGATCCGAGCATTTGGTCAGATATACCTTACGATATCCTTCTCCATATCGTCGAGCATTCTGATCTCTCAACTCAAATTAACAGGTTATGCACGAGTCGAGCAATCTTCGCCGTCGCGTCCTGCAAGATTTGGGGCTCGCTACACATCCGCAGCTCCGAAATCACAGCCTATGTCTTCATTGTCTCGGGTCAATGGTCCATTGACCGTGCTGCAGGTATTGTGCGCTTCCTTCTACAAAGTGCTTACCGGCATTGTCACACATGGGACCATGTGCTTGCAAGCGACCGCACTTGTGGAACTTTCATTCATCAACCACATGGGATTGAAAGATATGTCCATTCCAAGCAGCTTACTGACACTCTGCCCGTCTCTCTTGTGAAAGAGCTTGGAACTGATAATCAAGGACTCGATGACCAACACCCAATATGCGACCACTTTGACATGGATCATGTCCTGCCCGCCCTGCTCAAACGTCTACCAATTCTGCAGTCTTTCGGTTACGTTGGACCTCTGTCGGCCAAAGTTCTAGCGGCCATTGTCCAGGTCGATAGCTGGAGGGTATTGCAGGTCAGAAATGGCGACGAGGTGCTCAAGGGCCCTACGACTCCTACTCCAATCGTCATCGTACCCTGGACAGATATTACACTTGATTGAAGTGCGTTAGCCAGTTTGAAAGGTCTGCAAGCGCTTGAGATAGGACGTTTGATACGCCGAGAGGCTCGTGGGCTAGCGAAAGGGGTCGCTTCTTTGAACCTTCGAAGGCTTCCTCTCTCATGTTGGGGTTGGGAGTACGAAAATACAAATCCAAGCATAACCATGCGTTCTACAGCTCATACGTCTGCTTTGGTCATGTTCCTTGATGCTCTCACGGCGCTTGATCTTGGTGGCGGCCAAATATGTCGTGGTCTTCCTTCGACCTTGGAACACTTAGTGCTGATGGGCAAGTACCGGACGTGGAACCATCTTTACACCAGCTTATTGCGACAGCTATCTTGCCTTGCGAGAACCTGGAAATTCCGAGTACCTCAATCAACGTCAGCGGGAGATGCCACGACACCCTCACTAAGATGGGCCTACCGGCGTTCCACAAGATCGTTGGAGTCAGTTCATGGCAGCAACTGTCTTATGATGAAGAGATGGAAATAGTCCGTTAGTACTGGAGCCCGTCGGGTGAAATGCTGCAGACCAACCCCTATCCTAAACCACTCCGCAATATCGTCAAAACTCTGGACCGAGTGATCGCAGCTGCAGAAGGACCCGGAAACTATCGAATGAGCATGGAATTCGTCAGGCAGCGCCAATTTCGGAGCGACGCGATCATCGTCTGGCCCTGCGAGGAAGAGCACGGTCCTTCCGCAGCGGGGCCCCAGGCGCAGGATGCAAGCATGATGGATCTCGCAGCACTGTCCTTTGACGAAACATGGTGGGCGCATGTGCTACGGTCCTGGGGCATATGGCCCGAGTAATGAAGAATCTGCCTGTCCAGAGCCCCTTCAATAGCCTCAGGCCAAACCCTCATACATGACCGGATGCGGTCGGGCTTTGCGAGACCACCGATTCGTTTGAACTCCGATGAGAGGGATTTCCGCCCTATGTGTTAAGATTGTGTGGCATGGAACTCGAGTGTATAATAGACCCTTCAAAATGCAAGGCACACCTTTCATATCTGGTTATCATTCTCAGTGCTACATCTATCCGAATGACTCGCACTAGTTCAGCTCGGGTGTCAGTGAGGCTTGGATTTAGGGTTCCGCCATATGCTTGGCTTCCACACTTTCCCATGGTCAATTCACCGATGTGTGAAGAAGTGTGACATGTGAGGACCTGTGCTTTGCCCATTGTTCGTTTATGCTCCCGGAACTGCGGATCTCTGCCCACGGTTTCCACCTTTCATTGTAGGAAAGCCGGTGACAGACTCCCGGGAATATTTCCGGCCAAGACCCAGTCTTCGCCGTGACAAGCACCACATTCTAGCCACATTGCGCACCTGAATCATGCTGTCCAGTATACTTAGTCATGGCCATCATGCATACATCTTTCCAAGCTCCTCTGGCTTGTTCGTCAGCATCAAGAAGCAAGTCATCAAAGCACGGATAACCGCCGCCAAGATCCGTACCTTATCTTGAGAGCCACCACATTGCTGACCTGACTCAGACGGTGCCAAAGGATTAGTAGGAGTCTCGACGACTCGTACATCTAATCAATCCCTCTTATCCCTTTCCCATGCACCACGGAGCGGGATCGTTTTCCCATGAATGATCAGGCATCAATCATCAATCATCAAGTGATCATCGCAAGACTACTAGTGCCGCCGCAATGAAAGCCGCAAGGAAGGAAGAACCCCGCGGGCCGAACCCCCTACGATCTCCCGCTCTCCAGCAAATCAGCGGATTCCAAAGCAGAAGAGATCTGCGCTTGAAACAATATCAATGGTGGAAGAGCGAAAGTGTGCGCCAAGATGTGCCTCGTCATGCAAAGCCGTTGGGACTTGGGTTGGGAGTTGGGATGGATGAGTGGGAAGAGTTGTCAGGCGGGCAAAGTGTGACACACGTTAGTGGCGGTGTGGTCATGATGGTGAGACCAATCTCTCGGTAATAGTGGCGCAGAATCATCACGATCGCAGATGTTTCTGCCACCCTTATTATCATCATTCTAACTTTCCAAGGGGCAGCCTTTGGAAAGCCCAGGAAAGAAAGGCGGTCACGGGTAGAAGAGTACAGGTAAATATCAATTCATGTCATCCTTCACACTCGAGAGATCCCTGCTACTCCGTTTGGAAGCCTGTTTTCTCCAGGCGGAGAGGCTCGGTGGGTAACAGCGGGCGCCTCTGCAACAGGATGACATAAGACGAATGGCTGTGGTCAAGGAATATCCAGGCATACGAAAACTTTGTCACGCTGACACTGTCTGGGATGATGGATGATGGATGTTGGATGATGGATGATGGATGATGAATGTGATACCGCATTTCTAGTATACGGTACCAACATTATTATGTGATTGTAACCGCAATGAATAAAGCGGGCAGCCATAAAAATGCCTTGTCATCCGGAGCCGAAGAAGTGCGCTAAAGGAAAGTTGACAAGGGGGCCACGTTTTCGAGCGGCGAGCCACGAGGCTTGTTTGGCCTTGCATCGAATTTAGCGGGAAACTAGCAATCGCAATCAATCAGATGCACGTATTTCAATCCTTTCCCTGCCAGTCCACCGCGCTATCCCGTCATTTAGCGGGGTTCTAGATCACGATTTATACCTTTGAACCTTCCATTATTCTCAAGGGGGTCATTTAGGGCAACTGGGAACACTCGTCGCCCAAAGCCCAGAGTGAGTACCTTATCAACTGATCATATTTTTCTTCATTATTCTTTTAACGGCGCGGGCATGTCAATTCCAGAGGTGAACACTACATGAAGAGCAAGACGTAGAAGGACGGCCACGTTCCAATAGAATAATTATCATCATAATAATAATAATAATAATAATGAAGAAGTGTCAAAGAAAAGAATGAGTATGGTGGATGGATCATTAAGAGTAAGTCTGCAATGGCAATAAGAGAAGAGAAAGATCTGACGAGAGCTTCTGTTCAAGTTGATCTTCAGCTGATGATCAGCTTCCTTCTTTTCCTCATCCACTGCCCGGCTGCAAGGGAGTCACTAGCAACTTTTGACCCATTTTTGACGGGGGTCCGCAAGAAGAACCACACTCCATCTTCACCAAAATCACCCTGCGACCGTGACTATCTACTCCATACTTCTTCTTCCCTTCTTTCATCCATTTTTCATAACTCATCTGCATCTATCTCCCTTCTTCCATTAATTCTTCAATTCCTCTTCCACACACGCGTTGTCGGAAAACGGATAATGCCTTTGTAGGGGTGCGGACAGGACAATCAATCCCCGCGAGCTGTGTCACGGGTGCCCACCTATGATCCATACAATATCTCAAATTCAATCAAAGACCATATGAACGAACCCCTGGATTAGGTGGCAGCCAAGCTTCCATCCAGCAACAGCATCGAGCGCGCAAATCCATCCTTGCAGACAGTCACGGCGCCGCCCACCACCCAGACAATGGCGACCTTCAGTCTGTGAGCATCCACAACCAAGACAAGACTTCGAGTCCCACAACAAGCTGGTTAGCACCTGGCTCGTGGCTTTCTCAACCAGTCAAATTTCCGTACTGGCCTCTCTCTTCACATCCACGAATTGCGAGCGAGCAAGCCATTACGGACCCTTTCATTCAGACCCACTTCCGCCTCAAGCTCGAAGCTTGATTTTCGCACGCCATTGTAATAATCTCATTCCAGCTCACAAGCTGTTCGCGGCCTCGTGCTCCCACATACATTCCAACCTCACAACAACGCTGTGAGACACAACGTGCGCCCGCGTGTCCAGCATTCATCAGCTCTTCGACCTCGAAATTTCGCAATACTATACTCAGTGCTTCAGAGCTGAACGAAATCAAGACCTCAGAATGAGTAAGAATGGTTGCAGCAAGCAATCGGGTGCAATGGCTGACTTGTGCCGTCAGATCCCGACCATGGTCGCAAGATGTCGAATCAAAATTCCACTCGCATCTGGGAGAATGAGTCTTCGGCTTCTCCACCAAACAGTACCCCATCGAGGCCTCCTGCTCAGCTTCCGTCCATCGCTACCTTGACGAATAATTTACCGCCGGGAGCAGACAATCCTGCATCTCCTGCCTTCTCGAACAACCGCTCCTCAGATCAATGGGCCACTCCACCTCAGAGTACCCGTAAGCTCAACCTGTTCCCTGACTAAGGCATGACTGACATTCTCGGACAGGGTCTTCGGCATACTCCTCTGGGCCCAATGGCTACTATCACTCCTCCTCGATCAGCTCACCCCATCGAGCCTCCAATTCGAGCCAATTCGGAGCTACATCACATCCATCAGGCTTCTCGGACAACTCACAAGTATCTCCAGGCTTTGCTCCTCCTCCACATAGCTTGGGCCTCCCCACGATCAACCAGCAATACCAAGACTCTTCCCAATATCGAAGCAGCCATGAATTCCCTACCCAGGATTCTCGCCGTAGCAGTCTGGGCAGCCAAGTCAACGGGTTCAACAATTTACACATAAATAGCGTGGCTTCTCCTTCTTATCAAGGCGCCAATCAGTCTCAGTCATCCATTGCCGCTAGTCTTCAGCGAGAACGAGGCATACCGCACACCAATGGTGTTCGTCACTCGGGAACGTCCTCTATCCAGCAACCAATGTCCCCACTCGCACCATACCCTGGAGAGTCGAGACAGGCTTACTCTTCGCGAACAGCTCCTATCATTAGCGCCAACCCTATGAAAGAAGTCTACAATGCTGAGAAGCCTACAGCTGGCCAACCCTACGCCTTTCCTGATCCTGATTTTAGCAATCGGTCCAGTGGCAGCGGTGAAGCCAATGGCTCTGCTATGATGTCCCGTCGGAATAGCGATCATACGTCAATCACAAGCAGCATTGTCACCAGTGATTCACGACTGCCTGTTGGGCAGCATCGGTTGGATGAAGGCAAGTTGAAACTTACTCTTGATGTTATGAACCGTTTACTGATTCCAAGATGCTCCAGATATGCCGGGCACACACCATCACTCCCTCCAGCACAAACAAGTCAGCCAGCTTGCCGGCGAATCTGATTCGCCTGAGGCAACCTCGCCGTATAGCCGTACGCCAGCCCTTCGCAACAGCCACAAGATGGCCGAGAGAAAGCGGCGGACGGAAATGAAAACTCTCTTCGATGCCTTACGGGCCCAGATTCCCGCGAGTCATGGAAGCAAATCAAGCAAGTGGGAGATCCTTTCGAAAGGTAAGCTCCATGGTTCGACTCAGCCATTGCCATCTGACTGAACCTTTGTGTAGCTTCCGACCACATCCGAAACCTTGAACAGACCGCAAAACAGGGTCGCGATGCGACTATGCAGTTCCAAGCGCTCAGCCACGAGCTGGAAGCCATACGGCGCGAGAATGAGACTCTGCGTGGTGAAAACCATCACTTTTATCAGGAGATACAGCACTATCGCGAGCAAGCTCGACCATCGACCGCTACTGCAATGCATCCTCAACCGTCAATCTATCCTCAGCCTACACCGTCTGTGATGGGAGATCCTTCTCGCTCTTTGCCGCCACTCACAAACGGTATTCCTGCGGCGAATAGCATGCAAGGGGTTCAATATACTGATGAGCGTCGCTGAAGGACGCATGTTCGAGTGTCCTGATTTCTGAAAGCCGCTGGTGCTACGACGTTCAATCGGCATCACGAATCAAGAGGGCAGACCCTCGCCTAAACTCGAAATGTTCTATGACTACGAGCAATAAGCCTCACCACGCTCTATCGATTTACGTTCTCATGGCCTGTATCAAAAGTGTTTTTACCGCCTTTTCACCGACAGGCGCAACCGGAGGGAATTTTCCGCAATTAGCGCAATTCGTCAAGATCTGGAGTATGAGACCCACGGTGGATAATGTTTATTCGCGTCGGCGTTCGCTTTACCTTCAGCAACTCAACTGCGCGTGTACCTTTTACGTGTGGGATACCCATGGCTTGCCAAGATGTCGGCTTTCTCGACTTTTCAAATTCCTTACTACCATTCTTCGACTAACATCATTTACACGCATTATTCGATTTCACGAGCAACAAGCCGAACGACAAGGATTCCGCCCTTATCTTCACTCCACTCCTCCCAGGATTGGAGACTTCCACCCAGACATGGTGCCTTGATGCTGGATGTATGATTCAGAAGTACGCGAGTCTCTCCTCGGATCGTCTACATGGAGGTTACGTATCGGAGTCTACACGGTAACAAATGGCTCTATCATGAGGTTGCTCGGCCACTACTTTCGCTCTTGCCCTCATGATGTATGTAGATGGTATCAGAACTATAGAAATGCACAGAATTCACAGTATTAGAAAGCAGCTTCTCACGTCGGATATTGTTGCCTCCGCAGCATGGGCTTCCAGGAAGTGAGTTCTTTTGAGCAGCAAATGTTCAGTTCGATACTCGGCCAGTGGTTCTGTCCCCAGTCCCTTCTTGTTCAATGTCCCTCGGTGGCTCACGGAACGTCTACTCATTTCCAGCGAACTTCCGATTTACGGTGTGCAAAACGCATTTCAAACGGTAAAACCTCGGTGCGTCATTTTCTAGAGTACGACCTTCCTCTTTGGGCGGGGCCTTTAATCAAATTCAAACACGATGGTTACACCCACCGCCGATGCTGCGTCCAGGCGAAAGATCTATGGTGTAACATCTATAGATAAGTATGAGTATCTTCTCATTGTCGTCCAAACCGCCAATTCACTAATATTCCACGAACAGCTCCTTCAATCTACGTCGTCCTCATCTTCGAAGCCTGAAGCCACCATGACGGAGAGCAAGCAGCGGCCTGAGGCTGTCACAAATGGCCACAAGACTGCCAACAGGATGCTTGCTCCTTCTATAGCAGATGGTCCCAATGCATGGTCCACTCCCGGATCAGCAGCCTTCGACTTCCGCAGTACGTCTTCGTCTTACCCCATCCCCCCTTCTCACACCCTCCTACCCCAAGCTCCCAATCCAACAAAGCTGACAACGTTGCCAGGTGATACCGTCACATCTCCCACCGCCTCCATGCTCCTCGCCACTCAAAAATGCACCCTACAAGACGACGTCTTCCAAGAAGACCCGACTACCAATTCTTTAGAAGCCTATGTAGCAGACATGACAGGCAAAGAGGCAGGCCTATTCGTCATAAGTGGCACCATGGGGAACCAATTGAGTGTAAGAACGGCGTTGGGAGGGCCGCCACATAGTGTGCTGGCGGATGCGAGGAGTCATGTCTATGGATGGTGAGTCATTCTCAACTGGCCCTAGGGAGGATTGCAGCATTCATACGAGTATGGAGAACGTGATGGAGGACAAGGGGGCTGATTTAAAGATTGAAGGGAGGCGGGAGGCATAGCATCGTTATCCGGTGCTCTTGCCATGCCGATCACGCCCGTGAATGAGCATCACCTGACCCTACCCGATATAAAGAAACACGCCGTTACGTCAACCGACACCCATTTCTGCCCCACGCGCCTCATCTCCCTCGAAAATACCCTCGCTGGCACCATCCTCCCCCTCAAAGACTGCCAAGAAATATCCCAATGGGCGCACGCGCAAAACCCGCCTATACACATGCATCTAGATGGGGCCAGATTATGGGAAGCTGTAGCAGCCGGAGCGGGTGGGTTAAAGGAGTATTGTGCGTGCTTTAACAGCGTGACGATGTGCTTTAGCAAAGGCTTGGGCGCCCCGATTGGGTCAATAATCATCGCCAGCAGGCCATTTGTGGAAAGGGCACGGCATATCCGCAAGGGTCTAGGAGGCGGACTGAGGCAAGCCGGCGTCGTAACAGCCTCTGCGCGCATCGGCGTCGACGACACTTTCCTCGGCAACAAATTGACCGCTACGCATCAACGCGCGCGGGAAATCGCGGATGTGTGGCAGAAGAAAGGCGGGAAGCTGACGCAAGCGACGGAAACGAACATGGTCTGGCTGGATCTCGACGCTGCGGGTGTGAGTAGGGAGGAGTTTGTCGAGGCGGGGGTCAAGGAGGGCGTGAGGTTTTTGGGCGGTAGGGTCGTGGTGCACTATCAGGTGAGCGAGGAAGCGGTGGGGCGGTTGGGGAGGGTGATGGATGCCGTGCTCTCTGCGCATTCTCAGGAGCCCGAGACCAAAAATGGCGTCAGGGAGGAAGCGAGAGAGGTGATGGCGCCGGAGATGGAGTAAGGTAGGGTAGGGTAGTGTTTGGATGATGTTCTTGGGGGGTCTGGCCGTGGAAATGGGTCGGTCAATTGTATACAAAGTCCTATGCAAAGCGAAAATTGCGGTATGAATACCCTCATATCTACTCCGCAGACTCTTTCTTGCTTTGCCATTGTTCCAACCCGTATCGTCACATTTCCGTTGAGAGAGAACCCCTCAAGTCGCCTTATCCATACAAGTCACAGCACTGGGGGGAAGCGGGGACTTGACCGTGGAATTAGCTCCAGACGGATACGTTCCCAGCTCGGTTTGCAAGAAAGTGTGAGGTACGAATCTCACAAACCAGGTTACCACGACGAGAAAGAGGAATAAATAACAAGCCCTATCAGCTACCAACGCACGCTCCATCCATCCATCTACGCAACTCCAGATGTTCGCCCCGAAAGACAAAAAGCACAGGAGAAAAGAAAGACCTTTCGGAACGGCTACCTACCTCAATCCGCGCTCCTCACATTCAACCCCCGTTTCATCCCACGCAATCATTCCGCTTGGCCTCCACCTACTCAATTCCGCTCCTTTTCGCTATCTATCTATCTACTACCCAAACCCACTTCGTCCGCCTGTCAGTTCGGAACCGGCATGCCCTTCTCGAAACATAAAATCAACTCCGAGGACGAACCCACGGAGGAAACTCCTTGCCCTGAGCCCAAAGGTGTCGCACTGGGCGGATCGGAGTGGTGGGAACGACGATGTAGAGTACCTGGGTTCTGAATCCACCATACTGAGCGGTCAGAGTCCTGGGGACTGGGAGACGTTTCGAGTCTTGTGCCGACCTAACGACAAGAGACTGTTTTGAGGTCTAGGGGTGCCAAAGGTCAGCGGACGTTTCTGGGGCATGATTGCCTGTGGAGATGGTTCGCGGTAGTGGCGGTGAAAATGCAAGGCTCGCATACTGATGGGTTAGACTCGGGATCGTTGGCTTGAGAGGGGTGATATACCCGTGTGATTCATGGCATGGATCACCATTTCAGACGAGTCATGCCACGATTCGTGGGAACAGCTGCCTTCTCGTTGGCACAAGGTAATTGCGACATGCACTCACGGTAGGGTGTTTTGACTTTCTTAACGCCCGTCTGCGCTCCGTTCAGGACAGCTTGCCCCAGCGATGGGGACGGCTGTAGAGCATCACCCATGAAGGCGACGCTACTCTTTTTGAGCATGTCGCCCATCCCATTGACGTCCGCAGCGGCTTGCGTAAAGGACCTGGGGACTCGAGATCCAGGTGTCACAGCCAACGATTTGCCTCTCGACCACGAGCTTTGTGGAAACGGTCGACTGCCGAGTATTATGGCTTTTCATGTGTCGCCGGCGTCATCATGGGAAGCAGACGAGATAGGAAAGCATCTATCATCTCAAAACACCGAAATTCAGATAATCAAAGCCATGAGACATCTCCAGTGCTCCGATTTTCTGTAGGGGATCCAAGGCTACTTAGCACATATGGAACACCATGCGAAAGATCTCAGATCCGAGTCTTAAGGAAATAGGTACTCATGCCGAGATGATGAGTGACGTGGATGTGGGAAGACCGGCGGCAATGAGCAAGACTGAGGAAGGTCCCCTCACAAATGGTACAGTCGAGGCTTCAGAGGAGAACAGAAACGTCTTGGCAACAGTTGAGCTTCAGAGCACACTCAAAAACCTTCGGGGTTTGGAGAAGGGCTGACTAGTCAAAGATGAGTCTCAACGTCTGGATAGCATTGCAGCAGTGGAGGCGCTGCTCACTCTTTACCAAGGCGCCAGAGTACCATCACTCTCAGTCAGCCAAAACCTACAGAAACGCTACATCTGCTGTTTCGTTATCCCGGATCTGCACCCTCTCTACGCTTCGCTTCGCCGGCTATGTGGCAATTTCAATCCGTGTGAATTTAAACATGTCACTAACGGCAAATGTGATTCTCACCTGCCAGACCGCTGTTGTCACTGGCGGGCGATTTCATACTGCATTGCGTTTGCTTCGCTGCGGGAAATGTGTCGTTGTCTCTTCTCAATATACGCGTGATGCTAAACTCAGGTACTAGTACCAAGCGGAGGCAGAATCGAAAGAGTGGGTAGACCGGCTCAGACTAATTGCTGCTGACTTCAAGAGAGCTCAGACGTCTTCCGGTTTGTTGCTGCCATTAAGCGTATTTTGAGAGGCTGGACTGCCGATGTTGTATCATGTCCCCACGGGAAGCTAGACATGCTGGTCAATAACGCCGCGCAGACTCTTACCGATCCGATTTCGGCTATGCAGACCATACAGAACAAGGTGAGATGGCAAACGTTACTAGGCGACGCAAATTCTGCAATGGGGAATGGCTGTCAAGCCACAGTAACAGGAGATTAGCAGATGCTTGGTGGCCTCATTGAGGCCAGTGGAGCGCAAGGTCCTGGGACCGAAGTCGTATACAGCAGCTACACATCGCAAAAGACTGAGAATTGGTTCATCGACAACATACCAATGTAGACAGAGAATGATGAGGCTCTCATCCCGCAGCCATCCAACTCCTCATGGGTGCAGTCCCTTAAAAATATGCCGTACGAAGATATCATCTCCAGTCACTCTGTGAACACCGCTGTCCCACTCATTCTGGTCCGCGAGCTCCTACCTCTGATGGGCCAAATAGCAGCATCTGTCGATGCGTCGTCCATACCCAGCAAGCCATTAGCTTGTATCATCAATGTCTCTTCACACGAAGGCATTTACGGATCCTCAGCCAACAGCGGAGAAAAGGGTGGGCACCATGTTTGCACCAAGGCCTCCAAAACCGGGCTCCATATTATCACGGAAACAGAGGCGGCAGCCTGCTGGAAGTCCAGACATGAACACGACTGACCCAGGGCATATGAGCGTTGCACCAGAGGGGTGTGACAAAGGGCATGTCCGATTGTGCTCGAAGATGGCGCCGGAAGGGCATTGTGGCCTATTGCAATATCCACCCATTTGGTGAAGGTTTCTGAAGCACTTTGGGACAGTGGAGGTTGAAGTTGGACTGGGAAGATCATGGCAGCACAAACAAAGTGACGCAGGGGGGCAGATCATGTTGGAGAGAAGACTATGCTTTCACTGCGGTCATCTCGGTCTATCTTGAAACCTCTACTCAGCCTGTGATATCGTATCGTGGCCAAATCTGGCACGGGCATAGGTAACCTTTCTCGATACGTAAAGCAGGCGAGAAAGTTCAGATTATAAACTCACAGAAGCCTTGACTACAAAGCTCAACAACAAAATATGGTTCAAAGCAAAATTATATCATAAATAGTTTGTGCATGACTGGTGAGTGCCGGGTGACACTGATAGTAAAAGGAGACACGGAGAAGTGTTGAGTGAATATTCGTTGATATGACGACATGGAGTGTGAACTCAAATCGAGCTTGGTATAAACACACGGATAGATTCTCACTGCAAGCTGCTCTCCTGCTGTCATTGGAGGTGAGACGGTAAGTAGTTGCACTTGCACTTGCACAACACTGTGTTGTTTCCGTGTAAACAAAACCTGCTTACTCGGACTACCTAGACAATTCCACTCAAGATGAAGAGGCACAATGACCCCACCAATCGAGATCCTGGTGCACGTATCCGGCCCCAGCGGTGGGGCAGACGATGCAAGGTATAGGAGAGAGGCATTAGCATTTCTGCACTTTGACATTGCCAACACGCATACGCTGCTTAGACAAAGATCACGCGCACCAAACTTAGTGGAGCAGACGCGTTCACATGCGGGGACAAGCGACGCCGACAAGGGTCAATCCCAAGGAGTACCGGTAGTCCAGGAAGCCAGGACATCCTCCCGAACAGAGAAAGCTGTCCATAAGTCAAGAGCCCCAGACTGGCCTGATCGACTCCCATCTTGGAGGCCTCCAAGATACCCCAGGCCTACCGCTTCTACTCTCCCATGGACAACCACAAAGCAAACCCCGCACCTCCTCATCGAGCGCACTCCTGCCCTGCCTCGTCCTCGAACAGCCCCCACACCATCCACTTCCTCTCAAGCGCCTCGTCTCCGCCGCTCACAATCAGACAGCTGGCACACACCTCCCAGCGTGATTCCAGATTCTCAACCTACACCCCCTTCCTTAGGACCGCCCGAGATATCCAGCTCTCCCTACCTCAAGCGCCCTTTTGCGTCCAGCTCGCCCTCTCCGACGCGACGTGCTTCGCCGCCAACCGCAAAGCGGCCGCGGCTACAGGTACCTTCTTCGCCGCCGTCTGAAGACCCACCAGTCGAGGCACGACCTCCAGCGACCGCACCCTTCTCCTCGCCTCCAAGCACAAAACGTCCGCGCCTGGAGGTACCTTCTTCTCCGCCCCCCGAGAACCCGGCAGTTGCGGCACGCTCTCCAGCGTTCGCGCCCTCCTCGTCGTCACCAAGCGCCGATGACCCTCCGGGCTCTCCTCCACCGCCACACGACACACCGCGGACGCTTGAAATACATCCACCTCGCCCCAAGCCCTCGAACAGCGCTTTCGAAACCCATCTCACATACTCCCTCACAAACATCGCTACGAGACTCCCACTGGCAGACTTCTTCCAGCCCGTCAAATCCACACGGACGCCCAGAGTTCTAGAGCGCGGTCACTGGCTCGTGCCAATCAACCGCTGGGATGAAAAGCTGAAAAGGGATTTCTGGGACTACCTGACCACATTCGTCGGTCGGGGGCAAGCCGGGTGGGGCACTTGGTGCGTATGGGAAACTCAAGAACCGATCCGCGCCAAAGACGGCGACAAGGAAAATCAAACACCGCAGCGCAGGGAGGTCGTGAAGGTTTATTGCTGGGGCGAAGTGGTTGGCGAGATATGGCTGTTGCTGTTTATAGCCAGTACGAGGAACGTTAAGAGGATTGGTGCGCAGTGGGTTGATGCGGGTGGGGTGGCGGTTGTTTTCATGAAAGATGACGAGGGTGGCGGTATCGTGACGAAATTATGATTGATGCAAGCAGGAATAAAACCGGTTTGGGTACGGACGTGGGTTGGGACTTGGATATGGGATTGGATATATGGGAAGGGAACCGGGCTGGGGGTTGGAGAGACATGCATGATACCCTTTTGATTTGGATTGCTTGCGAACGTTTAGTTTGATCAGTGGATAGTCAGTGTGCACCTTTTCGATTACTGAAATCCCTAAGCCTTCTCTACCTCTTCCATCGGATACCAGGCAACATGGTTCTGAAGGTACGTATCTCACACTCATGCATCCAAACAGAAAGAAACTCAGATCTTCCGCCTGCGTGTCAACGATCATGCCAGTCGAGTCGCGCCAGCGTGCTTTCAAACGCCAGTGTCCAATGCTACCCAAATTTGAAGAAAAAGGAACGCCCGCCGGCCATTGCGGGGTATGCCGAACTCGCGGTCGAAGAAAGTAAGTAGAAGGAAGGAACCCGGCCAGGTACAGTGTGCCAAGCCGGGCAAAATGATCAAGGATGCCATATATAGCCTCCGAAAAGGCAGCCAGAAAACAGACCTAGTCTGCAACCTCCCACTTAGCCTGCACCTGTGACACCCATAGGTCCAGGTGTACCTTGCTTGCCCCAGCCTGAGTACTTGTGACTGTGACCGTGACCACCGGATCTGTTGCTCGCTTGACTTTCACTGCTACCTCCTCTGCGGTGATATGGGCTCGTTGGATTATTGAATTCAAACTGTTGTTGCGGCGGCGTGTTATTCGAAGTCGATGGATAGGTTGGTGCCCCCTGGGCTTGACCTTGAACATGCCGTACTGATGACTCCTTCGGCCATGCTGGCGTTTGGTAAGGGTCTGTATCGACATGAGTGATAACGGGAGCGGCGGGCTTGGCATTGTTGGGAGTGTTGTTGTCTTTCGACCGAGATGGAGGCGATTCGACAGCTTGTTCTGTGATTACAGGGCGGTGTGCAGGTGATCTCCCGATGTCGCCGTAGCGTTTGAGGATTTCTTTGGTAGTTATGTCGGAGGTGTTGTTGAAAAGCGAGGAGTCGTTCAAAATGGATTGAAGGTCTTCGGGGACCTGGTAGCCGAATTAGCAAACAGTACATAGGCAGTGGGATTGTATGTACACACCTCGGACATCTCGTCATTGAATTCGATCAAAGTGTTAATGACCTCGATAGCTAAGAAGCTGTTTTCGTCCTGACCGACGACTGCGGTTTTGTCTTTGAGGATGTTGGGCGTTATAACGGTTGCAAGATTATGAGTGTCCATCTTGCTTCCAGATTCTTCGTCGACTTGTGAGAAGGATGACGCCCAGACAAGGAAGGAGAACAGTATTTCAAGCGTATCCCGGTGACTCTTGGGAAGTAGACAGCAAGTTAGATGGAGCACTCTTTTTCGCTTTGCTTCATCCTCGATTTCTAGGGGCCGTGGGTTAGCAAAAGCGGGCTTATAGCACGAATAGCTAAGGACCTACTTTGAGACGTGACAAACAGCCGGTAGAGCTTGTAGGTAAGCAGAGGGTCGGGAAGCTCCCGGAGAAACTTTTTAAGTAGAGCAGCCACTTGCACAGGATTTTCCTTCGATAGATCAACCTCGACCTCCTTTTGGTCAAGCTTCTCACTCAGGTCTTTGAGTCCTCTGATGTTGCCGTTCTTGCGGAATACACCCTCGACGGACATGTCCATTTGCCGCATCGCCGAAATCGTATCGTCGACAATGCCAGGGACTCTTAATGCACCAGGACCAACGCCGTAGGTAGATTCCACACCATCCCTTTCCACAAGCACATCCAAAGGAATACCAAAGATGCCCTTCTTCTTGCCTCTTGGTCTGTCGTTCTTCTGGAAAGCCTTGCCAAATTTGCCCCAGAAAGTCGGTTTTCTCGTCTCGATCAAATTAAGCAGATCTTCTAGATTATAATGACCTTCCAGCAAAGGTTCCATGGAGAGCACCGCAACGTGACGAACGATGAAGTATTCCAATGCAGAAAGTTCGGAGAAGTACCTCTTCGTTCGCTGAGCGCCTGAGTCACCACCTGGTATGTCGAGATCGTTGCCACCAGAGGCACCACGTTGGTGACCGCTATAAAACTTAGGTTGATGTCCGCCATTGCCAATTAGTTGATGCTTGGCGTGCTTATAAGCATTGGGTCGTTGCTCTTTCGCTTGCTCAGCTGCGACTATTCTTGGGATGTCATCCAGTGTCAGTGCGTCTTGATGGCCGAACGTTAGGTTACTGCTTGGCACATCATTGTTAGGATCTCGGTCTTCCACGATATGAAAGGAATGCTGCTTTTGGTCTGAGCCATCTGCTCCGGCCGATCCCGGTCGACGACCCTCTGGTCCATCAAGTATTCGAGAGGTGCGAGCTTTCTTAATATTGGTGGATAACTGTGTATCCATACGCGTAGATCGAAGTCGTTTCATCTCGCCCACCGTCTGCTGGTAGGATGATTGATTGCTCTCGGCTGCTGAGGTCCCGGTTCCACCATACGACTTAGATCGAGAATCTGCCCTGAGCAGGGGTGGATTTATTTGCCCGCTCTCGTTCAGCCGATGACCCTCATTTGAATCATAGGTTGTAAGGTTCGGGGCATCTAGCTTCCATGTTAGAGCTTGGAAGAAGAATTAGGGATCGTAACTTACCTGAAGTATGAGGAAGGGTGCCCCCGGATCGAAGCACGGAGAGCAGCCTGGCGAGCGCTACTCGAAGGAGATATACGTATTGCTGGAGCCTTGTAACTGGCTCAAAGCAGGCGATGGCATCCGAGGGCTCCCGCCTTTCTTCATAACAGCGTCGGCATACGATCTGACCTTCCCGCTCGCTCCACAATGCATCGCTCAAATCCGGATGGCCCACCACTCGTTCACAATAATCGCAGACCAAGTGGTTCTTGTGCCATCTTTGCTGGTCCAACTTGACGCACTCGTCATCGATCGGCTCTTTGCATTTATGACAGATGTCTGACTGTTGATTAGACAAGCCCGCGACGCCAGAGTGAAGGTCAGAAGTCTCGGCCTCTTTAATGGAATTTAGATTCTCTAAATCCGCAAGAAAATGGTAGAGTCCCTCGTTGCTCCGTTGTTCACGTTCGAGCTTCAGTGCACCTTGCAGACTGATGCGAATGAGGAGCTTGAGGTAATGGGCAAGTCCTGTGACCAGAGACAAAAGCTCCTGCGTTACGCCCAATTTCTTGACACCAGTTTCCTGAGTCTTTGAGAGAAGTGAAAAGAAGGCCACAATCTTCTTACAAAGCAACTTCGCTTCCCGTCCGTACGAGAGTCCTGAAAAGTCAGTAACAAGAAAACGAAGAGGAAGAGCGTAGCTGTAAGACATACCTTTAATTCCTTCCGAAACCATCAAAAAGTCTAGTTTGTCAGTAGCTCTGAAGAGAATGTCCACATGCCAGATGAACTTCCTCGCCGTCACAATGCCTTCAACGTAGGATCCGTTGCTGACGTGGAGAAGCATATCAGAAATGCAAGCTGCTGAGGACTCTTCGAAAGCGGAGAGAACGCTCCATATCCTGTAAACTTTCTCTTCCATCTGTTCCTCTTCCTCTCGCACCAGTGTTCGTTTCTCTTCTGTTGCATTTGTTTCTGATAGCACTTGATAATTGCCATCCGCATCTGACGGTGCCAGACGAACATTCCAAAATTTATGTATCATGTAACACTCCGGATGCCAGTGTTGGTTTTGGCCGTTCCGGAAGATCTCCACAAATTGCTTTAATATCGCAGTTCGGCATCCGTTACACCGTTGTGCGAACTGCGTTGAGTAGTGGTAGTGACAGTAGACCTTGCCTTCGTGTTCGTAATAGCTGTCCTGGGCACCGAAAACCGTCGGGCAAACTGAGCACGTGAAATGTTCAATGTGATATTTTCGTTCCAAGGCCGTAATGTAGGATCCACGAAGAGCGCCGCCGCAATCGAAGCATAACAAATCAAGGCGGCGAAAGTAGTCGGTCTCACACAAGGGATATTGACCTTCGCCTTCTTCGTCGTCAACGGGAAAAAACTTCGAGGCTACTACTTGTCCGCAGTCCTAGATACCGTTGTCAGCATTGAGTTCGCCGGCACAAAGTAGATAGAGCATACTCGGCATTTGAAGCACTCTAGATGAAAAGTACCACCAAGAGCTCTCACAAATTGCCCGGTCAAAGGCTCGCCACACTTATGGCAAAGTCTCACCGTATGAGATTTCCCGCCAGATGCCCCGTTAGTTCGTGACCTTTCTCTGACTGGCAAATCTTGTGTCAGGTCCTTACTCCGACTGTGTCGCCCATCGACAGGGGAATGGGTTGAGCTGCCATTGGGGCTTCGTGTATCCACTGGTGCTAGCGGTGGGCCCATGAATCTCTGTTTAGTAGCATCTGCCTGGCCATACCCATTCGCCTGTCCCGCCTGTCGGTATTGGCTGTCTTCCATACTTTGCCCCGGTTGCCGATATCCTCCTCGACTGTTGTATGCACCATCTCCAGGTCGTCTGTCAGTGGACGGCCTCCCCTTCGGCTGAGGGCTCATTGCAGCGACCTCCCTCCCGATCCCGTAATATCCTCCGGCCAGCCCGAGCAGTGTAGGAATGTTGTTATGGCCACCCTTTGTAGGCTCGTCTTATTCCTCCACTCTGACAATACTCTTCGCAAGAATTTGCTCAATGTAGCCCAGCCACGGATCGAAACGCGATCTGCCTTGCACCCTATACTCGACGAGTGCAAGGTCTGGTGCTCAATGTCCCGAGTGTAATAGGATGTCTTTGACGAAAGTTGCGAAGTTCCCTCTGTGGTTGAATCTGTCCGTTGCTAGGCGGTTGTCGTCTAGCGACGTGGAATCATCGAGGCACAACCAAGCTTATGGTGATAGTGGTGGCAAGTTAAACCGCTTGCGCAATGTAAAGATACTTCCAAACAGGTGGCAGGATCCTTTCTGGGGCGCAAGAAGATGTCGCTGTGCGATATGCTGAAGCGGTTGATGGAATGTAACTGTCGAAGAGAAGCAAAAACGCTGGTTGCTGGACGGATCGTAGGGAACAGCGCGCGAAGACAAATTATTGCGCCTGGCAAATGGGATCTATGGGTTATGGTATGAAGGAGTGGACTGATCGCAATTCTCATGAATTATTGGTGTGTGGTGACCGTCGAGTACAGTTGACTGCTTGAATCGGAGAGCGGCAATAATCCAATTTTAGTTTCATTCATTTGTGGAGAAGCATGGCAATCCAGGAACGAGTACAAGGCGCGTATTGTTACGCCTACGATTTATTGGAGTTCGTTGCAGACTGGTTTACGTGCTCCACGCTCCCATGCAAAATTGCACTCTGATAGAGCTATGTATTACAAGCAGGATTGCTCCCATTATCTGGCTCTCAGTCCCTGCTGGATTTGAGAGCGTAAAGTAAGTAGGTAATTTAAACAGCGCTTGCGTAGGGCTGTATCAGATTTTCTCGCTCAGGGTTCGCTCAAGCATGACACGACTTATCGGCTTGAGCGCTGCCTGGAGCTTGAACTTCAGCCTTCACTGTCCTTCCAGTCCATACCTTGGACTAACAGTGCATCGCAAGAAACCTCAACGCCCTGTTCTGCTCGCCCGTCGTTGAGGTGCTAGGGCTGTAACCGTTGGGCTGCATGAATCAGCCTTGTCGAATGTTTGTCCGACTGACTTGTCACGCCTCACTTGAAACAACGTTCAACTTCAAGAACCTACGAGCTTTCTGCTGTGCCTGAAAATACGTCTTTTATGAGTAGATGGTCTCTTTAATCACATGCGTCTATGAAGATACCACTCAAGTACACTCTTGCGCATTTCTACCTCTGATCCATTCAAATGTCGAACCAGAGCGTCTACCGAATCATACGCGTGAGGACTTCATCTCTTCAGATCTCACTTCATACCTAATATTCTGTTAGGAGCTTACAGACATTCAAAAGAATACGGATCTGTGTATGTTTGTTTGTCGTGGAGAGGTAGCTAGGCACCTTGTCCAAGCAACTGACTGTTGCACCAGCGATAGCAGTAGCTTGCCGAGATAGCGATGTTCGAAACGTCAAAGCATTGATCATAGGACCGCCTGAGACTCCATATGAATTCGGGTTCTTTGATGTTGGTGGACGTGTCATCCCTCTCGGTGACGAGCTGCTGACTGTTCGCGCTTCAGTTCAGCGTCAAGTTTCCCGAAGGTTAGTGACGAAACTGCAGATTTGAAAGACTATGGGTGGCTAAACTTCACCAGACTATCCTGAAAAGGCGCCCTCTGTCACAGCAAAGACAACCAACGGAGGACGATGTCGATTCAATCCTAACATCTACGCGGGAGGCAAAGTGTGCTTGTACGTTTAGTCCTCAGCCCCCGTTGCGGGTGTAATGTGCTGCTGACATGAGTACAGGTCAATATTAGGGTAATAGAAGAAGATTGATTCGTCAAAGGACTGGCTGATCGTGCCTCCGCAGGACCTGGAGAGGAGAGCGTGGCGAGGAATGGTCGAGCGCGCAAGGCCTGGAATCAATCTTGATCTCCATACAAAGCTTGATGTCATCCAATCCTTACGAGAACGAACCCGGCTTTGAGAATGCCAACGCTGAAGACGACAAGAAAGCCCAAACCCATTACGCAGCCAAGGTACTCAGACTTAATCAGCTCTCCGAAACAGCTGGGGACATCTAACGCTTCCTTAGATACGACACGAATCCCTCAGAATCTCGATTGTACAGCGCCTAGAAGACTACTTGAACATCCATTCGGATGGCGTGGTCGATGAATTTCCAAAATTGGAAGAGTATGGGCAAGTCCGCACGGAGTACGACGATGTAGAGCCACCACCACCTCCCTTTGAGCCCTTCAAGGACCTCTGCAAGCGGCGCTTTCTTTGGTATTATGAATCCTACCTCTTGTCGGTAGAGGAAGCAGAGAAGACAGTCAAAGCTAATCAGAATTTCGTCATCATGCCCTTCGAAGGCGGTGGCAACACCATGCCCGGCAAGTTCAACTACCCTGAGCTCAAAAGAAGGCTTGAACTGATACACACTGTGCTGTTCCGCGAAATCGACTACTGGGCCGAGGAAGGTAGAATGCAAGTACAGAAAGAAACGACCATGGCTTCAATGCTCGAACGTCAGCACCAGCAGCTTGTCGAAACCTACAAAAAGAATGACATGGTCACTCTCGACATTGACTTGGATAACAAGAATCCTTTCGTTTGGCAGCTGACCTACTTTGGCCGACCTATGACGAACCTTGATGGCGGTATGTTCAAAATCCAAATTTCCATCAGCCCTCGATTTCCAGACGAGCAACCACGGGTCATCTTCAAGACGAAGATGTTCCATCACCGAATATCCAAAGACGGCGTGTTATGCTACTTCCCCAAGCGTCAGGACGAGCTCAAGTCACACATTGAGGCAATCATCGAGGCCATTGAGGACACAGAGCCGCCATATGATCCTCGAACGCTGGTCAACCCAGAGGCATCGAAATTGTACTGGGGCTCGGCAGACGACAAGAAGCTATACAGTCGTCAACTGCGCCGAGCGGTTCAGCAAAGCGTGGAGTGAGTGTGGCCTTCTCTCGAATTGAATCGTTCTAACTGAGAAATACTGCCAGAGAATAAGGGACCTTTGACCATCATGAAGACCTGCCGATCCACTATTCACTGACATGATCGCCCGAGAAAACCCGGCGCATTGAGAGCAATACCCCAATCGGCGTTGATGAGCATATTTGAGGCGGATAGTCGACGGCGTTCGGCAGCGATCAGGAGAACATGCGTATTGCGATGGGGGATTCGTACAATTGCAGCATCATTCATTAAGGTAGATTTACTTTCACCGAAGCAACAACCATGATAGAAGACCTCGACTTTAATAAGCGGTACTGTAACTTCTGATGACGCGCGTAGACCGAGTCGGGTGCTTTATCAGGCCACAACTAGGTATGATAGAGTAATACTCGTATTGCCTCTCCTTTTTGGCAATGCCAATTTTCACATCCCCGCCGCCAAGAGAAAACAATCTCAGCCTGCATCTTGGTATCGTGAATTGATTGGCTGCCAGTTCCCAATAAATGCAGAGTCAGCTTGTAGTGTGAAAAATGAAGAGAACGCTCGCACCCTCCACAATTTATGTATCATCAACGTGTCAACCATATCAATACCATCACATCATACCTATGCATACCTAATTATCAATCTTCAGGACAACAACATTCTATCCATTCTATCCATTCTATCTTCTGTTTATTGCGGTCGTTTCAAAGGCCGATCAGATTGTGGGAGACGCTAGAACAGATTTGCTTTACGGAGTAGGTACCTTACCCTCGCCGTAAGATAGAATAGCCGGTACGGACGGCGCCTTCCCTGCAACCTCACCAATTTTCGATTTCCTTAGCTTTGCACCCTGGAGCTCACAGAAACCCTGACACCAATCTCACATCGACTTCCAGACTACGTGGCGAAGACGCGAGATAACGATTATCAACAAGCACCCTTCTCATACTGTACTTTAGTACCTATTGTCACTTCAAGAATACCAAGACAGGCTCCTTTGTCTCACCGCTTCATTTGATCATTTCACGCCTTGGCGCCAACTTCTTTCCGCTACCCGACTTCCAGGGTTGACGTACGCAATCAACTCGCAACATCGCATTCTATTCAAGTTCTTCTATCTGCCAATTTATCAACCTGGCTTCCCCCTCTTCCACTCAGGTAACGACCGGAGCCCAACGTCGACGGCGTACGTCATCAACCACAAGACCCCCTCCGCAATTGGACCTACAAGAACAACATCCATCGAGCAGCCGTCTAGGGGCCTCGTCGGGGTTCCCGACGGGTGGCTACGCCCAGCCATTACCTCCCATACCTGGCACACCTTACGGCTCAATGTCCTTGTCGCGCTCACCATCACCTAGAAGAGGAGGAGGGTGGTCAAGTCCCGGGCTGACAAGCCCCTATGACAACGTAAGCGGGAATGCCAGTCCTAGGAAGACATATGGCGATACACAGACGAATGGTTCCTTAAGTGGTGATAACGTGACCTGGGCTAAAGCAAAAGCGAGAAGTGAGGAGGTGAAAGGATACCCATCCTTTTCGACCAGGAACAATGGCTTCTTTTCACGACATGCAAGGAAGATATCGACAAGTCTGCCTACGTTCAGGATGACGGGGCGAAAAGACTTTTCGGACAAAGAAAGGCTCGGACGAGGAAGATGGGCACAGATGGGTGGAAGTAGGACTGGCAGGTTTCTCACATATCTTGGAAGGACGGCATGGCGTTTGAGATTACGACTAGGAATATTTCTTGCATTCGTCTTGGCGATCATCTTGTTTTACGTTACTCGTGAGTAATCATTTCATCCGTAGGTGCTTACACATGCTGACATCGCTGACAGCAATGCATCGAGCGTATCGAAGAGCGTCGTTCTTAGGCGGCGGCAGCAAGTTCGTGGTCATACTAGCGGCTAACCAAGGAGGAGGCGTCATGGAATGGAAAGGCGCTCGTGAATGGGCTATTGAAAGAGACAGTGTGAGGAATAAGAAGAAGTACACCAAGAAGTGGGGGTACGATCTCGAGATTGTTGATATGAGCACCAAGAAGAGGTATGCACACGAATGGCGGGAAAGCTGGGAGAAGGTGGATACCATACGGAATTGTATGCGGAAGTATCCCAAGGCTGAATGGTAATTGCTGCGATTTTACCCTTTGGGAATGTTGACTGACCATGCCCTCAAAAGGTTTTGGTGGCTGGACCTGAACACCTTCATCATGGAACCCTCATATCCACTGCAAAAGCACATCTTCAATGACCTCCTGGGTAACACCTACCGAGACATAAACGTCTACAATCCTCTCAATATCTCACACCCGTTCCAATCTTCCCACCTCGACCTTCCGGCCCGCTCAGCCAACGGTGACGGCCACGCCAACTCTATTGACCTCATCATACCTCAAGACTGTGGAGGATTCAATCTCGGCTCCTTCTTCATTCATCGTAGCGTTTGGACCGATCGTCTCCTCGACATCTGGTGGGACCCCGTCGGCTACGAGCAAAAGCATATGGAATGGGAACACAAAGAACAAGACGCAATGGAGCATCTTTACATCAACCAACCATGGATAAGGCCACATACAGCTTTCATCCCGCAGCGAAAGATCAATAGCTTCCCTATGGGTGCATGCGGCGAGAACGGCGAGGATTCAAGGATACACTATTCAGAGAGAGACCGGGACTTTGTGGTCAACATGGCTGGTTGTGAGTGGGGAAGGGACTGCTGGGGGGAGATGTACAACTACCGCGAATTAAGTAACAAGCTCAACAGGACGCCGTGGGAGAAGTTCAAGGACGGCATTAGCGACCGGGTTAAGACGTTAAGAGGGAAGAAAGAGGAGGGCACTGAGGGAGGCTAACCAGCTTCAGGACAAATCTTATACGGCGTTTGGAGAAGACTATATTATATCCTGGTACCGATGTTCACATCTTTAGCTGGATCTATTACGCTGCCGGGTCGCTCGTTGAGGGCGATGGATCATCCTTAGATACCTGGACTTCTCTTCTAATGTATTTTTCTCCATGGCATCTTCTCTAAGATTAAACTTATTCCATTCGCCCGAGACCTCTGGACACAGCCCATCCCCGTAAAGCCACCAGCATCTTTATAATGCTCTACATTCAGAGAATAGTCAATTTCTACCAAACATCAACTAAAATCACCAAAAATAACCCGACCCATCATCTAATCCTAAGCGCCGCCCAGAATCACATGACTAGGCGTTCGCGTTGACTCACGCTTTTGATTGGCGTCCGAACCGCAGGGGTCTGCTGAACTTCATCTTTTCAACTCCTATGATCTATCCCTCCACGCCGTGCAGTCATGACCTTCGCGGCGGCTAGCAATAATAGTACAATGTACGCGTTCTGCAGTACCGGAGATAGCATGCGATGCGCATCTGTCCAATAGTGATGCAGGGAGAGCTGGAGCCTGGCGTTAAGGGTCGCTTTCGTGGTCGGTGGACTTGAGATGTGGCCTTTAAGTACGGAAAATGGGTTTGCTAATTGTAGATGAGGCTTTGAGTCATGCTGTTGGACACGTTCATTTCCTTTGCGTCTGACAGCTATTCTCTCTGTTCTACGAGTACTTAGGTGGTCTCAGAGGTTACTACCCCTCGTTTGTTTGTTTTGCATCGAAACTATAGCTACGACATCTTGCAGCTCTCTTTGCGACCTTCTTTCTCGTATTTATCGTCATTTGATGATTGATGAGTGACTACCTCATGAGTGAATGGTCTTTATATTGTTTAGTGGAAGTATTAACAATAAGAACGGGGTCCGAGCCTCTTCAGCGGATCTATTGATGAGACATTTGTACGCTATATGAATGTACACCACCTACCAACGTGTTATTACTACATTCGGTCATGACCGCAGATTCCCAGCCGAATGATGCCTCACCTCAACGCATCGACCTCGCAGCCTCACGAATCCCACGAATGCCATTCTCCTCACCCATGGGCGAAGAAGTCCTCTCTCCTACCTCACCACCCCAATCATCTCAAACACCGCCACAAGTTCGAAAAAAGGGACAACAAGCTGTAAACGGGCAAAGCAATACTACACTAAGTAACCAAAGATTCCCAATGGAGAGACCGACGAAGGGCGATGTGGGACGGAAGCAAGAGCGACAGGACAAATCTCGATTGCATGGATTGAACGTTGTTACAAGCTTCTCAAACACGCCGGGTTTCACCCAGAAAGCTGCTGATGGGAACGGAAAACAAGATCAGGGTCTAGGATTAAGGCGACATGGAACCCAGGAAAGTACGGATAAGACTGGGAACCTTGGTCTTGAACATCAGCGGTCAGGCAGGCCTCTGAAACCTTCCGCCTCAAAGGGCCGCCTGGACGATCTGAAACGCGCGGCGAGCAAAGCATCAACACTTTCGCCATCAGACCGTGCCGTAATGATAGGGATCTCTGTGTCGCCTGAAGACCTGGCAGACCACGATATAAGTAATAATGCTAGTCCGGCAGAGCCCGAACACTTGGGTACTGGGCGATATGCCATCAGTAGGCGGCCTTCTGTCACACCTTCAATCATTGTGACGCCTGCGCAACGCAAACCACCTTGGTCTGATGAGTCGGATGAGCTGATACAACCGCCTCGACGGAGAGCGCGGGCAGCATCAAGCGTGTATTCTCAGGCGCAGCTGAATGGTGTGCGGTTTATAAATTCGTCTATAGTGCCGCCTATACCGCCGCTACCGCCAGATTTACGGAGACCTAAAGCAGAGTTCAACCGGTCAAGTGGAAGACAATTACCTCCATCATCTTCGAGGATCGTCTCCACAAGTACAATCTTTGACGAGGAGCTCGATTCTGACATTGTAGGGAGACCTAGTACTGGAGAGTCTCAAGTAGGGATATTAACCAAACAGGCCAGCATGGATAGTATTGCCAGTATTGCCACAAGACATCGCTCTAGAGGGTGGTGGGACCATATCGTCACTCCCTTCTGGCCTCGGTCCCCTATGACTTTCAAGGGTTCTTCTCCACCAATACCGACTTTACCAAATGCTCGCCAGGCTACTGAGGCAAAACACGATCGAGACAGGCCCACCTCTCACAATGTCTCCCCTGAGACAGCAGAACATGAGGGTCTGAGAAGTGGTCATACGAGCTGGACAGACATGAGTCTGGATGCTGAATGGGAGAAGAGAGCTCCTGACCTTGACGACCAGCCTCACAAAGAACTACTAGTCTCGGAGCCGCCACGACAATTGCCAGCGACAGATACGCCCATTTCACCCGTCGAACATGAAGGCTTTGGAGCAGCGTCCGAATACTATGAGGCATGTCTGTACGATATGCACAGTCCAGAACCCTACTTTAAGTGCCAGAACCATACCTGCTTGCCGTCACAAGTAGACCCCACCGAGGCAGATGGCGGTCAGAGGAATGCTTCGGCAAGAGCAGCGGATGGAGATGCCGGTCCAAGAGAAGTCCTAGAACGGCTAAATACCGAACCATCACAATCGCTTGCTGTTCAACAAGCGCCTAGGAATCGATTTTCTGCAGCCTTCCGTGAGGCCGTTGCGCCAGAGTCAAGGCCAAAGCCAAGGCCTGTCAGTGAAGAAACCGAGATCGAAGATTTAGACACTACGCCTGATGTCGAAGAAGCCCACGCTGCGCCAGTCGTCCGTGCTCCTGAACCTGTACCGGCTGCTCAATCACTGCTGCCCGACAATGATCGTCAAAACACTAGAGAGATCGAGGAACCTACAGCACTACCACCATCAGAGCCTACTCCCCACCAACCTCCGGCTTATTCGCCGCCCAGACAGGAAAGACCACCCAGGCGATATGTTGCCGTGATGCCTCCTAATCATCAGCCGAATACGTTCGAGCAAACTGGTTTGCCAGCGCCCCCAACATCTGGCGCTCAAAGACAGATGCCTCGGGATACACTACCTATGGCGGAAACGTCCAGAGACAACGCTGAGTCTCAGCTAGCTGGCACCAGGAACATGCGCATTCGCAGTTATGAGAATCCTGAAACAAGCAGGCCTGAGACTACGCTTGCGGACCTCTATCCGCCACCGAGAGATGCTGGTAGGGCTCAGAGAGCCTGGGAGATTCGTGAGAAGGATACCCAAACGCCTCGAGAACACAATTCGAAAGTTCTTGCGGGTTTCGGTAAGTGCTTCGGTCGTGAGAAGAAACCAATGAGCAAGAAGAAGAAATGGACGCTCATTGCGCTAGCCATCGGGCTTTTGTTGATGGTGATTTTGATCATGGTTCTAGCTATGACTTTGACCCGGAAAGGTGGGCCAGGACAGACGGTGCCTGTACAGACAGCCTGGCTCAACATAACAGGGTACCCACCCATACCAACGGGCATATCAACTATAGTCCAACCCAAGCCTGTGTCAGAAATATCTGAGTGTGTCGTCCCGTCAACGATGTGGAGTTGTGATTTGCCAAAAGAGGAACAGCAGTCTTTTTCCACCGGTGCAGCTGACCAGCCAAACTTCAGGGTGGAGATAGTCTTCCAGAACGGAACGAATGGTATAGCGAACGCTTCCAGCGTCAATAGAAGATCGTACGGGAGCAACCATGGGAGATCTTATGGGCATATGGTCAATCCAGTCTCTGCTGGTAGCTTCGTCCGCGATCGATTATTGCAAGCTCGTAACGCCCTCAGCGGAAACTCGGACTCGCCATCTCCCCCACCTCCCAGTCAAGAAGACCAGACGTTCCTCGGCAACACCACAGACAACAATACGGTACCATTCGACGGCGAATACACACCATTCTTCATGAGCTTCTTGTCTTCATCCAAATTACCATCTCGCCTTCTAAAACGCCAAAGCAGCAGCAATACTGACAATACCGCCGATCCCTTCCCCAACATTACGAACTCAATCCCACCCCCAGATACCAACGCCAATGGTACGGCTGCAGCAGCAGTACTTCTCCCGTATCCTTCAGCTCAACCGCTTCGTCTCTACAACCGCGGGCAGTCCACCGAACACTACGGCTTCTATACCTACTTCTCCAAATCCGTCTTCCTCAAGTCCACCGCACCTATCGACGGCATCTCCAACAATACCAGCTCCGTTCCAGATGACGAAGATGGTGGTGCAGAAGAAGACGCGGCTTCTGTACGCTGCACGTGGGCTCAGACTAGGTTTCTAGTACAGATATGGACGAATAAAGGCTTTGTAGCTTCGTCCCAGGCCTCGGATACCAATTCCACCGTCTCCTCTAACAACGCAACCAATCTCACGGCTTCCTCCGCCAATGACTTCCAAGCCCCAGGCTCCTTTCCCTATCCTGTCACTATCACCCTAGACCGCCACGGCGGGGATATTAACTCTAAGATGATCTATTGTTATGGTATTGACGACGAAGAGAACCCTATCTCAAACCAGAAGAAGATTGAGCTTGAGGATCGATCCTTTGGAGGCACATTGGTCAACCCAACACTAGGACTGTTCGGGAATGCGAATGTGACACTGGCCGATGGCGGCCCTGGTGGGATTGATGGAGGTAGCGGAGGGTGTGAATGCCAGTGGAAGAATTTTGGGTGGCAGTGAAGAAATAGAGGGACTTTGATGATTTTGACATGAAAACTGCCTCGGCATCATGGCAATACTAGTACACTCGAGCGGGCACGTTTATAGCCTCTCACAGTTGTCCGGCCCAAAATATACTCAAAGTCTTTCACGATCCTTGTGATCGCTTTTGGTGCTCAACGGTGCTGATGTCCCTCTCACTCACATGTCTTGGGCCAGCCAAAACCCTCAACTCTAGTTACTCTACCACGTCCATAAACATCCGCCAATGTGCCTTTCACGGAGCCCCAGAAAAGACATCCATTTCCCACCCGTTCCCAAGAGCCATCTCATCCACACCGGCAATACGTCGTCTTCCGCCTACGCATGATGCGAAAAAGTCTGCGCCCTCTTCCACTGAGCAGGACGCCAACGTGGACTTGATCATGGAATTGGAGCAGCTGAGTGCAGGCCTCCCTGAGCTGAACCTGGGATTTTTGGTATTTTGCCGGCTTTAACGCCAAGCTCGACGCTCTTTCAAGGTTGCCGGTTTTGGGTAGGTATACTCACATTTGCGATAGAGCGCTCTTTGCGCACGACCTCAGAAAAGACGCTTGATGATGGTTTCGGGGCGGAATTATACAGAGGAGGAGTGTGTCTGTGGAATTAGATTTTAATTTTTTTTCTTTTGGTCGTCTCGGGGACCCAGGATTGTGAAATTTTCCCGAAGTTTTAATGGATTTTTGCTGTCTAATTCAATGAACGCGATTAGAGAAAACCTTTGCGCTTAGAGGTTTGTCCAAATCATTGGGAAAAGGGTACTCGCCCGCAATATATAGTTTCGGTGGTTTAAAGTAGTGAATTGCGATTGTGGCTACGGGACTTAGTCTCCTCGATCATCAGCCTCTAAGGTACCTAGTCGTGTGAGTCACTGTTACAATATACATTAGCACGGCAACAAGTACATAAGAAGCCGCATAATGACAGGAGGAGGCATCAAGCCGAAAGGGAAAGAAGAGAAAGAAAAGAAAGAAAACCCGAATCTTCCAGCCGAACATAGAATAGAGTTACCATTACGGACATCATTCAAGCATCATCCGTCTCATCCAAGCGCAGCACCATGGCCTCCCATCCTCCACCCCCCAAAACCCCACACCGACAGATCCGCGCCTCGTACGACGAAGAGACCGTCACGGTCTACCAGGCGTATTCCCAGGCCATCGCAGGCCCCGCGGTCCAAGAGCAGCGCCTCTCCGCCTCCCCGGCATTCTCGCACGCACGCATGACGTGGATCAAGCCCAGCTGGGCGTGGATGATGTACCGATGCGGTTACTCGTACAAAGACCGAGGCCAAGAGCGGGTCCTGGCGATCCGCATGAAGCACGAGCATTTCATGCGGCTTCTGTCGCAGGCTGTCGTGTGCCATGGGCAGACGTTGAGTGCTGAGGAAAGGGGTAAGGGAGTTAGGGTGCAGTGGGATCCGGAGCGTACGCCCAGTTTGGATGTGCTGCCGTATCGGAGTATTCAGATTGGGATTGCGGGCAAGGTTAGTAAGGTTTGGGCGGAGGAGTGGATTGTGGGGATTGATGATGTGACTGAGAGGGCTAGGAGATTGAGGGAGGTGGTGGAGAAAGAAGGGGGAGTGAAGTTGGTGGAGTTGGTGGAAGGGGGGCTGGTGCCTGAGGAGAGGGTGTATGACGTGCCGGAGGATTTGATGAAGGTGTTGCAGATGGAGGAGTGATATGAGTGGACTTTTCTTGTTGATGTCACGAAATGGAGATTCCTGATGTGATTTCTAAATCCTGAAAAAGCTTCACTGTCCGACGCTATGAAACCGAAATGGCAAGGAAGTGATGGGTTGAGTGGGTATTAAAGACGTAATTGAACTGTGAAGTGAGAGGTGGCACCTGCAAAGGAAGCGCAGAGGCACCGACACTTGTCAGCGCCTGGTTCGTGAGAGTATATCTCCTCTGCGTCTAGTCAGACTTTTCGTTGACGTATTTGGTGCTAGCTCCGGAGCCACGGTCGGTGGGTGCATCGGTCTCCTTGTCCGAGAAGTCCCAGCCGTTGAGGTAGCCGGTACCAGCGCTCAAGTATGTAGCAAATCCCAACCATCCCAGATATGGGGCAAGACCCCATGCAGCGACTGGATCGACCTTTGACCAGATGTAGGTTAGATATCCCGTAACACCCGTCAAGGCGACGATATCCGCTGTAGCTTCGATGGGACGCTTAAGGCGGAAGAAGAGGGGCATCCAGATGAGATTGAGGCCAAGCTGGATGGTGAAGAGTGTTGCTCCTTGCTAAGAAAGGTCAAGTGTTAGCTCGCAGCTCCTCTTGGGATGGCAAAGGGAATCGTACTTTGGTCAATGCAACAACGTTTGGGTTCAGCGATGACATCCCAGTATCCCAAGCTCTGTATGCAGAGTATCCCATGAGCCCGTAAAGAGCCGTCCACATTGGACCGAAGACCTGGGGAGGGGGTCGGTATGGGGGCTGCTTCAACGCCATGTATGTATTCTGGCTTTCCTTGGCTGCAGTGGCATGAGCAAACAATGTAAACCACTAAAAGCATGCAACGTACGACTGACTATGAAGCCGATGCTGGTGCCCAATGCCATTGGTAGTAAGATTGACACCGCTGGTTGAGCAAACACTTCGCCAGGCAGGGTCAGAGAGGGAATGTAGGTCGTCATCTCTGACACATGTAGGGGAGGTTCTCGGATTTGTGATCGGTTTCTGTAGTCCAGTGAGTGTTTTAGTCTCTCATACTGAATATGAAGAAAACCAAAGGGCTTGAAGAGTGATGGCAATCAGAATGGCTTGAAGAGTGAAGATTGCCAAAGACACTTGAAGAGTAATGGCAACCATAGAAGCCTGGATAAGGAAGACATTTCAAGATGCTTCAAGAATGAAGGCAGTCCAGAAGTGCTTGGAGAGTGATGGTCAAAACACATCACTTACAGTAGGTAGGCAAGTACGACACCCAACTTTCTCCACTTGACAACGCTTTGTCTTGATACTTAACGGATGTCAGGCAATGAGACACCTTTGTGCAATGTTGTATGCAAGAATATGGAGGTCTATAGAATGTGTATATGTCTTTCGCGTTGTACCTGACCGGCCCCACCTCGGTCAATATTCCCACTGCCAGCTAACCGCATTTGCTCTAGCGAAGTGTATCGGCTTTGTCGCCAAGAAGACGTCCAGCTTCGCAGCCCGCACCTGCCTTCTCTTTCAACAACATCCACCACCTATTCCAACGGGTGCCCTTCGCAAAGCATAGCAAAACGTGAGTAACTTGTCACGTCTACCAATTGCCATATATGGCTGTATCATATCCCCGTCACCTGCACCTCTTTCTCCATCTTCTCGTCGCTCAGAGATAGCATTCTCTTCTGCCCTCTTCTTCCTCCTACGAGTGCAACACCCTTGGCTTCTCAAGTGGCTTATAGCTGCTGCTGCTGCTGCTTCTTCTCTGATATCTATTTTGATTCTTCGCACCCTTGATTGTTCACTTCTCCATTCATTGAACCTACTCTAACACGAGATCATGTCGGCAAACAGCTTCCTTCCCTACTCTTCACACCTCTATTCCCCAGCAATCACCTGAAATGTGGTGAAGCTTCCCGTGTGAAGCTCTTTTCAATTCATTCAACAACACCACTCACTCCATCATTCACTCTCCGGCGAACCGACTTCTTCAGTCATCGGGTCCTATTTAATCCCATGATCAGACCAAGGACTTGACCTACACAACACACACCACCATACGTTAAATCCTCCATACATCATTTCTTCGTACATCGGTCCTCCATACTCTACATACATCCACATTACACTACTCCATCATCATGGATGGGTCTTTCGAAACAGCCTACGCTTCGCCTCCAGTGAAGACAGAGGAAAGATGGGGACGTGAAGACATGATGGGCGGCAGACAAGGCCCTAATGACAATTATCGGGGTCGGAGATCTCCTGGTAAGACTACAGATGCAGAGAACATGAACCCTTTACATTCTTATCATCGTGCTTTATCTCATTCTTCATCCCTTCTCTTTGCAGATAATACCAGTCCTCAAGAAACGACATTGGTTCTCCAAAAGCGATCTTCTGCTCTCTCTGCAAAGCAATCAGGTTCTTGCATCATGAACGTCACTCATAATTCTTTCTCTGCAGGAATGCAAGATCGTCGCGGAGGAGGGGGGCATCGTGGCGGCCGAGGCCGGTCACGATCCCCTGTAATGATCGATAGGTATCAGCCCGGTGGGTCAGGCGGTCGTCTTCCACGAGACGACTTTTATGATCAATCGCGCGAGCACGCATCGCGCAATCGGGAAGACAATCGTCGTCGCGCCCCCTCGCCAACCCCACTAATCGACCGCTACGTACCGGGTCAAATCCCGCAACCAATTGTTCGTGTCAATCCATTACCCAATCCTCTTTCACTGGATTTTCAAGTTGGTTTCAACTGGTTTGCAGAGTGGTGGCGTGTTGAGCAGTCAATCAAGGAAGACAAAGAGAGGCAGAAAGATGGTAGTCGACGACAGTCAGATCGAGGTATCAAGGGCGAACGCGAGTCGAGGGAAGATCGTGAGAAAGAGCGGGGGCAGATACAACTGGCCTACGACGCCTACAAAGAGGAGCTCCAAATCAAGATGGCACGGGCCTTCGTGCAACAGCACAAGAATGAAGAATGGTTCAAAGAGCGCTATCAGCCAGAGATACGGGATCCTTTCAAGCAACGCCTTACTGACTTCCGACGTGGTGCTCTGGGCCAATGGGAATTTGACATCGAAAACGGAGCCTTTGATGAATTTACTCTGGAAGGTATCTACAAAGCTGAGAGCGATGGTCTCGGTGGAGTCGTTGAAAAGGAAGAAGGCGAGACCGTTGCCGCTGCTGAAGTCCTGGGTGTTGGTGATCTAGTCCCCAGCCGAGGTGGAGACATTCGAGACGAGTCGGCTTTGCAGCCAGCTCTCTTAATTAAGACACTTGCTCCAATGGTCAGCCGCGAAAAGATCGAAGAATTCTGCAAGGAGCACCTCGGAGATGAAGGCGGAGGCTTCAAATGGCTCAGCTTGAGCGATCCGAACCCGTTGAAAAAATGCCACCGCATCGGATGGATAATGATACACCCCAACTCCGAACAAGAGGCTCCACCAGAGCGAGGAGATGGGCGTGACGAGGACAATGAAGGCGAGGTGGAAGGCATGGCTGATGAGCCAAAGCCCACTTTGAGCACTGCGGAAAAGGCTCTCGAGGCTATCAACGGCAAAACAATTCACGATGAGCCACGCGGAGACTTCACCTGTCACGTTGGCGTCCACGTGCCAACTAAAGAGCCCCGGAAGAAGGCCTTGTGGGACCTTTTCTCCGCACCTGAACGCATCAATCGAGATCTTGAGCTCGCCAAGCGCTTGGTATCCAAGTTCGATCAAGACTTCGGCTCTGAGGCAGACGGTGTGGCCAAGGTTGAACAGCGCGTCGAAGAACTCGGTAGTAAAGGTTTGCTACAATCCTCGGTTGCTGCGACCGCTAAAAAAGAGAAGAAGAGACAGCAGATACTTGGTATGGATGAAGATGAAATGGAAGACGGGGAAGAGGAGGAGGACGAAGAGGAAGAAGAAGGTTTCATTGACGAAGAGAACGACAGCGAAGAGCTTCTCGTTCAAAAGAAGACCCTCGATCTACTCGTCGAATACCTTCGGCGGGTATTCAACTTCTGTTTCTTCTGTGTCTTCGAAGCAGACTCTGTTCACGAACTCATCCGAAAATGTCCTGGTGGACATCTACGTCGCCCTAGAGCAAGTCTGAGCTCTGCAGCCAAGACTGCTGCGAAAGCGAGCGCCCAAGGACAGCCTTTTCCACTGAAGCGAAACCAGACGGAAGATGGCGTCGAGAACGGGAGCTCACCGGTAGTTGAGAAGTTCAATAAGAACTACAAGAATGACCAGCAGTTGTCGAGAGCATTCAATTGGGTCAAGACCTTCGAGGAGAAGATTCTACAAATTCTCGAGCCAGAAAATGTGGACGTCAAGAAGCTCGGTGGGAAGCCACTTGAGGAAGGATTGGATGAAGAGCTAAAGAAATTCGTCAAGCAAGAAGACGAATCCAAATTTAGATGCAAGGTACCAGAGTGCACTAAGCTCTTCAAAGGCGAAAGTTTTTGGCGCAAGCACGTTGAAAAGCGTCACCTCGAATGGTACGACAGCATCAAGACCGACGTGAGTTCCTTGTTCCTTGTTCCCTTGAGATCACTGCTGATTTGTCTCTCCTAGCTCAACCTTGTTAACACTTACGTCCTGGATCCCTCACACATCGCTCCCTCTCGTTCCGATGCGAACAGCAATGGTCACTTCCCCATGAACAACCATAATATTACTGCCGGCACTCCTCGTGGTTTCAACCTCTCCGCATCCATGCCATTAATGAATGGGTTTCCAGCAAATTTCCCACCGCAGAACTTCACTCCTTTCCCTAACTTTGGCAACCATACTGTTCAAGCGCCAAGCTGGCCAATGAACGCCCCAATGATCCCAACCAGTGACGAGGGACATCAGACGGGTCCGATGCGCCGAGGAGGTGGTCGCTTGGGTACGCGACCAGGACCGTATGATCGTCGGCAACCACCTAGATATGCCAACGATGGCCGCTTAACGCCAATGGCTAGCAACAACCCCATGAATAGACGTGGCGGTTTTGCCGGTGGAGCTGGCAAGTGGGGTGATGGTGGTGCCCAGACTGTGGGGCCACGAGAAGCAGTGCAAGGTAGGACTCTTAAAAAGTACGACGACTTAGATGCAGCGGAGGGTGGTGGAGGTGCTGAGCTCAATTATTGAGCTGCCCGCGTCTTATTCTGAAAGTTCTGAAGCTTGCGCTGGTCTTGCTCCTCGATTGGCTTGATAGAAGCAACTTCAGGTCTATTCATCTTAAAAAAGTTTTGCGGTTGCTGTGTCGAATGGTTAGCAACCTTTCGGCTTTCATGTTGCTTGCTTGCTTGCACGCCAATTGCTGTCTTGTTACTCGGTTCATAGATGGTTGTGGAGCGGCTTCGGTCTCTGAGATCCAGCATGCTGAGGTTTTAGAAGACATTGAGATCAAATACTGAGCACGACATATTCATTGTGGTTGTGTCACTTTCTGTTCGTCAATTGCGTCGTTCATGCATCTGCATTTCCATCTTCCTTTACATGAGTCCTGGCTTAATTGCGTTCGCCCTATCCAACGTATTTCTAAGCCTGTGTCCGTCTTCTCGTTCCTAATTAGGCCATACGAGCCATACCCTTTTTTTAAGAGATTAAAAAGTCTCCTCCCTTCGACTCGCTTCCATTGAACGGATAAAAGTCCATAGGCTTTGCTTTCACGGAACAATCAGGCAGGGGTGTTTGTCTTTTTCCAAGAGCCTTTGACAGGTGTCTGAAACCTCGCGTACTTTTTAAGCTTACTCGGCGAGATCTATACAACGAGATTCCTAACTAATCAGGGCAATGAAGGAGAATATCATGATCTGTGTAACACTGGTGTAGTTTTGTTCTCGAGGCGTTGTCATCCTGCAACTCCGAAAGTTGAATCCCTGGCCATCGGTATTCTCGGTATATGCAGGAATTCGCTGGCTTAAGAATAATGCCGCCATGTGTCTCCCTTGGCATACTTGTGTCACCATTCAGCATAACGTCCCCACTTGTGCATTCAGCCTTTCGTGTTCTTCTTCTTCTTCTTCGTTGTTCAGACCATGAACACCATGGCCACAAAGAACATCATTGTAAATGGTGCATCGAGAGGTACGCAAGTCCAGTCCCCTGATATCATCCATTATCTTCCACGTCGTCAAGACCCAGAGATCGAGCTACTACAACTTCGGCCTTTTTCCACAGGCGTAGGCCATGCAGTCGCTATAGATCTACTCTGGCCCGCTCTCTCATGCATCGTCCTCCTCGCCGCCCGCACCGTCGTCCCTCTCGAAGAACTTCAAGCCGCATACCCCACCCAAGCGATCTAAGTCTCCGGAGACGCATCTTCCCCCACAACTGCAAAAAGCATCATTTCCAAGGCAATCGGCAAAAAAGGCCGTCTTGACGGTCTCCGTCCTCAACCACAGCGCTCTACGCCAAGTAGGTAACATTTGAGAGACAAACATAGAAGAATGGGAGAGAGCATTTGCCGTGAACATGACTGGCGCTTTACGGCTGATACAAACTACGTTACCCGAACTAGAAAAGAACAACGGCCGCATCATTTTTACATCCTCACGCGCAGCTGTGGCTGAATATCCCACCCTCGGACCCTATGGCGCTACGAAATCCGTCCTTAATCATCTTGTGCTCGTTCTATCAAAGGAAGAGCCAAATGTGACGACTGTAGCTGTCAGGCCGGGAATTGTGGATACAGATCTGGTGAGGGAGCTGCTGGATGATGAGAGGGCGGTTGAAGAAGTAAGGACACTGTGGAGGAGGGCGAAGGATGAGGGGACGATGGTTGAGCTGGGGGAACTGGGAAGGGTAATAGCGAGGCTGGTGTCGGGGTGGGGGGAGTAATTGAGTGGGGAGTTCGTTAGGTGAGGACGTCGGGAGGGATGCTGGATTGGACGTTTACTGACAGTGTTAGATGGGATGACGAAAGGCTTGCTGAGTTCCGGGATCCGGTGATGCCAAGGGTGAGTGGGTGACTGAAACTTATGAACAATTCAGCCAGCAGCGCTCGTCTGCTACGAATGATAAGAGAACGTGATGCGAATCCAACAGTCGACTATTGGATGGAGATGGACATCACCACGATCCACTCCTTTTCCATCCTGTTGTGTCCTTCCCTCTGTGCCACCGTGAAACCCTCCTCTCAATGGTCGAGTAAGCGTCGTTGCAACTGCGCGTCCGTCCGCTAGTGACGCACCTCGCTCTTGCATTTTTTTGCCTTCTTGTTGCAAACCAAAAAAAGTAGAAAGAGCACGCTCGACTCACCCGGAAGGGGCGTGTCTACACCCCCTTCCCTCCTCTCCACCCACCATTCTGTGCATCCATCAACCGTACCATGGTTCGAGCGACACGAGTAGAGTACTCGACCGGCCTTCGAAACAGCTCACGCCGAATCATTCGAGCCACATCACATGATCTCGCAGGTTTGGGGGGTATTGACGTTTGAGCCTCGATACTTAGTCCTGAGAAGAAGCGTTTGACGTCCTCGGTGCCCGAGCTAAAGGAGCACGAGCGACAGTGCCGCGAGCGGTTGGAGACGGGCAGTCAGACCCCCAGCTCGTTGGTCTATTGACCAATCAAAGTCGGCTGAGTCTTGAAACCTTTCTTGCGCTCTCAATCCATCAGATGGATTCCATGTGAACGTAGGTTGTCTACAGATTGAAAGTATGGGTCTGAAGCGTGCTTTATATCAATAAGAAAGAAGACTTCGTCTACTGTAATTGCTCAATGTCGTCTCGCCTATACACCACTTATTTTCTGCTAAAATAGTTGCAGATCTTCGTTTTGATGCACAACCAATGTTTATGGGTTATTAGCTTGTGCAGACTGGCTATATGCTGTCGTCGACTCCTCCCCAACACGTGCTCAACTGCAACGACGGATCCAAACCCAAATCATCTATCGGAACAATACGTTCCACCACCATCACCTCCCTAGGCATGGCTCTCCTTACGGTTATTGCTACCGCCCTGCCGTTTAACTGGTGTTATCCCACGTCGGTACTGTCACGCCACACCTTTGTTCTTGTATGTTTCAGAAAGAAAGGCAACTAATTCTCCACCAAAGGCAGACGGTCGACGGCCGTGGAATCCATATCGACTCGAACCAATTTTTCGGGCCAAGGTATTCATGGTAATACATACGGGTTTCGGAGTGTTTAATTCGTGACTTTGGATGTTAGTTGGGCTGGTACGTATCATTCTACGCTTCTTCTTCCTCTCTCTCTGTCTTCGCCCGAGCGCTCTCATCTTCTCTCACACAGATGTGAAAGACTGATTCTTCCTCGCTCCTGGCCCACAGTCTACAGTTGCAACCCACCTACGGATGGGTGTGGAGAGACGATATGAAGCCAATCCATCTGGCCGCCGGATGGAACTATGTCTCCTTTTAGTATCATTTCGATACCTACAATATCGCCTGGGGAAAATTTGTTCTAATCACAAGTGTCGATTTTAGCTGACTTTAAGACGAATATTGTCAAGGCTTGGACGCGAGCATAGCGAGGGGGCACTGGCTTCATGGGGCGGCCGTTTGGAGCACCATGTGGTCATGTTTTTTGTGATCAAGATGTACAGCGAATTGAAGACCATAGATCTATTGTTATGAGGAAGAGTTTATTGCTACACAAATGCTTAACAACTGCCGTGTTACTTCCTCATAAAGTTGAATCTTGCTGATATCAAGCCTCACGCGCAAGTCCTAAAACGGTGTACGTATCTTAGGCGGTTGGGAAGGATATGTATACCCGGCTGCCTTTAACTACATCGTAGAAGCCTATTTGGAAAGTAGTGGCGGCCTTGGGCAATCTGGTATCTATGTACATGACTCGTCAAAAACTGTGTATGCTATGCTCGTTCATTAAGCAGCGCGTCTGAAGATCTACTATGTACCACAGCCAAGCAAGCTCTCGCGATTACCACTATGCCCTCAACGCCTGTCGTTGTGTCGTAACACATCTCAATCCGCAAGCACCATCCTAAGCATAGCGAGGAACCCCTCCCTCATTCCCACCAGCTCGGTGACATCCGGCTTCACCGGCTCCCCAGCCGTTCTCCTCAGCCTATCAGCTTGCTTCGCTCTCCGTTTCCGCTCACCGGCGATAGGGTCAGCGTCATCCTGTTCGTCTTCTTCGTCTTCGTCACTGTCATCATCGTCCTGCATATCTGCCAAATCGGCCTCGTTGAGACCGAAGTCACTGCTGCGGAAAGTGGCCGAACCAGGCGGCGTGGGACCGCCGTTGGGAGAGGAGGTGGAGTCAACGGCCATTTTTTGTCGGGTTTTGTCTTGGTGCCATTTCTTGCGCTCTTCTTGCCATTTGATGAGAGCGTTGATTTCGGCGATGGCACTTTGTTTGTCGATGTTGCCTACGTCGACAGCACCTTGGAATAGGGCGTTCATATCTAATTTCCCTCCTTTGGGGCCGTGGCGGAGGAACTCGAGGATACCTTCAAGCCAGCCCATCAGTTGGGTAAACAAGCCGTTATCGTGGATGTGTACTTCGTGAACGAATTTGTAGAAATTATCTTGATGACGAGCGCAGAGATCGATGAAGGATTGGACTGTTTGGTTTGGATCGGCCGAGACGTCTTGACGCTGAGCGGTGGTGAGGACGGAGAACATGTCATCGGCGAAGGAAGCGAAGTCAGTGACAGAGCTGTAGACATTGGCGGATTTGTAGACACGGACGAGGGGTTCGTAGAAGATAGTGAAGAGATCGCGGAAGAGGTGGAGGGTGACAGGTTCTTCGATCACCGAGAGCATTTGGGCTTTGTCGCGCTGCCGAGTGTACATCTTTAGGAGCTGTTTGAGGTAGGCGAACAGTTGGGCGCCTTGTTTCATCTCCTCGTCGATCTGTGGATGGTCAGTCGGTTTCTTTGGTCGCCTGCACGGGCTGCTCACGTTGTCTATGGCGTTATTCCAAGCAACAAAAGCATTGAAAACCGTCCCAATCTGCTGAGGCGTCAAATCCGGAGCGAACTTCTCGGAGCGTAATATGGCCACTATTAAATCGATATCTTCAGCGACAGCTTCGCTTCGTATTTCGTTCTTCGTATCTTCATCCGCGTTACAAAAGCGTTTCAGCTTCTCACAAAGTATCGGGTCGTTGATTTTAAGGATCAGGGAGTCGATTGATTTTTGAAATGACTTGATGCCGTCGTTGAGGGCCAGGCCAAAAATTCGTTGCGCAAGAGATCGTGTACCGAAGGGCTGTGCGAGGAAAAGGTCGAGAACACCGCTCATCACTGCTGCTGGGTTGGCAAATCGTATTACTTGCTTCAATGCAGCATAGGGTATCATAGAATGTATGCGTTTGGCTTGCGCCAAGACTTCTGGAGAATTATCCTCAGCGAGGAAGATATGATAGATTGTTGCGGCAACCCTGGAAAAGAGTCAGTGTACAAATGGAAAGGGTGCTATCCCAGTTGATTACTTACTCTATTCGCAGCCATTCAGCAAATTTCTGGTATTCCACGCTCAGATCGGCAATCTCCTCTTTATCTTTGATCTCCTTGAACAACTTGGTGAGTCCATCTGCAATTTCTGTCAGTCATCTCTCTGAACAAAGGCTCGTACACAAACATACTGCGCTCGACAATGTCCCGCCTGAATCTCTCCATGTAAATATCTAAGTCCCGGGCACGTTCTCTGGCAATCTCGTAAAAGCGTTTCTGTTCTTCAATCCGTTTCTCGTCCATCGTTTTCCGTTTTTCAATATCAATCATCTCTTCTTCATTAAGTTTGACAGTATGACCCGTAAGGAACTCCTGCATTGCCTTTGACTCGGCTATCTGCGGGTTCTGGAGAAACGTCCGCAAGAAGGCTCTCAGGGAGACTCGTTGATCCTCTCGATATAAAACAACCTTCTCTCTAGTGAAATCGCTAGAAGCTCTTGGTGAACGGGACTGGGCTGATGTAGAGCGAGAATGTCCCCTCCCCATCAGGTGGAGAAAAGAGCTACTCTCATCTGGACCGGCTGCTTGGGTGTTTTGGGTAGATACCGATGAGACTGATGAAGCATCGTCATCGCCACCAGCGCCGAGGAACGTTGACGTTGTGTGGCTTTTGTTCTTTCGAGGTAATGGAGCTAGAACTTTGCCCGGAAGTTCGGTTCGCAGACGCTTATGCAACTTTGAAAATTCTCCGTATCTTCGGCCTACGTAGATATCTGGTTTGCCGGCTTGTTTGACTCGTATCAGAAACTCCTAGATTCTGTCAACACACTCCTCAAGTGCAGTGTGGTCTGTGGCTCTCATTACCGCATGCTGATGATATCGCACTGTCCGCTTCACAGACGTTGTCCTCACACCAGCTACGTTCACATCCCAGCCATTGATCGAGTTGCCTTCAGGCGCATTCACTAACAAGCCTTGTTCATTGGCGCCCCGGTCCACCACTTCAAGCTCTGAGAACCGTATGCGTTCCTCATAGCCAGACGCTGTAGGTATACCGGACACCATCATCAATTCCACCAGCTTTTGTGCCTTTATTGCAAGCTTCCTCCTCTTAGTTTCTTCCAGTCTATCCTCGCTAGACGAGATGTGTTTGCCAGCAAAGCTTTCGAGAAATACTTGGAGTTTGTCTTGCCAGAACTCCTTCTCTCTGGCCTGATCAAGGAATGGGAAGTTCCGGACATGGTGAACAAAAATGTACCGGAGTAAGGGTAGATCTGAGTCGACTGGGGCGACCTCTCCGAATTCTGATCTGAAAGGCGCTCCGAAGCGCTGGAGAGCGGTCGTGGAAGCTAGCTCTGATATCTCATAGACCACCTGTCCCGATATCAATTCTCTCTTGAGATAATGCTCTTGTTTTCCTGTAAGAGTCTGCCCCGGCGGCGGTTCTGAATCCTTAGATTTCAAATTTGCTTCATTCTTGGGTCTGGAAGGTAGGGGTAGATTATTCTGGCGCTGATTGACATGATTGGGACCGACGTTCAGATCCTGTATGGTCCCATCAAGGCTTTTCATCCTGGCAGATGCCATTCTAACAATGCTGACGATTATTCCGCGCCCGGTGGGTCGAAAGGATAGTGGTATCTGAAAGCCTGAACAGAACTCTAGAACTGAGAGAGTCTGTATGGGAAAAGAAAAGTGTCACAGTGCTCAGCGATGATTTACTTTGATCCATCAACGTACTCTACGTTAACGGGAAATTCGTCATGATTCCCTGGGAGCCGGGGGCTGGCTTGGCTGATGTTTTAAAAGCGCCCAGCGGCCCAAGGGTCCGGGGTCCGGGTCAAGGGCTCATAAGGTAGGGCTAAGCTCCCGCCGCTACCGGCAGCTCTAGGGGCATTTCTCGCGTCAGAGAGTCTCGCCCCGAGCTTTATTTACAAATAATATGTCGTTGTCTTATGGCTTCCAAGTCTGATAGGAATCTATTGTCAAGGCCGAGTGACTATGTCACAGTACCATGTCCTTGAAGCCTAGCACGGCCAACCTCAAATGCTCAATGTTACTGCCCAAAAGACACCATGGCAGGAGGAAATATCAAGGTGGTCGTTCGGGGTAAGCAGGCCTCCAAGTGGATTGTGGATGTGCTGACCAAAGATAGTACGGCCCTTCAACGGCAGGGAGGTGGACCGGCATGCAAAATGTGTTGTCAGAATGGATGGCAACCAAACAATACTTGTGCCTCCACCAGAAGCCGAAGAACGCATGCGAAAGGGAGGCAAGGGAAGTGACGGGCAGAAGACATTTGCATTCGATCGAAGCTACTGGAGTTTCGATCGCAACGACAAGAGTTTCGCTGGACAGGACAGCCTCTACAATGACCTTGGAATCCCTCTCCTCGACAATGCTGTGAGTTTCCTGTTACGAGTGACTGTCTCACCAACTTCAGACTATACTGTGTGCTTCTGAGCTGACCGTTAAAATCGAAAGTTTCAAGGATACAACAACTGCATTTTCGCCTATGGCCAGACGGGATCTGGGAAGTCTTACAGCATGATGGGATATGGAGAAGAAGCTGGAGTCATACCCAAAATCTGTCGGAACATGTTTGAAAGAATTGCGGAAATCCAGAAAGACAAGAATCTCACATGTACCGTTGAGGTCTCATATCTAGAAATCTACAATGAGCGGGTTCGAGATCTACTCAACCCTACGACTAAAGGCAATCTCAAGGTCCGAGAGCATCAATCTACCGGGCCCTACGTGGAGGATCTTGCAAAACTAGCTGTCAGATCTTTCCAGGAAATTGAGCATCTGATGGATGAGGGAAACAAAGCGCGAACAGTGGCTGCCACAAGCATGAACGAGACGTCAAGTCGATCTCATGCAGTCTTCACCTTGACTGTAACCCAGAAGAGGCATGATGTAGAGACGCGGATGGACACTGAGAAAGTAGCCAAGATCAGCCTCGTGGACCTCGCAGGTTCTGAGCGAGCGACCTCGACAGGCGCAACAGGAGCTCGGCTAAAAGAAGGTGCGGAGATTAATCGTTCGTTGTCAACTCTTGGACGCGTCATTGCGGCGTTAGCAGACCTATCTATGGGCAAGAAGAAGAACATGTCCATTGTACCGTATAGAGACTCGATCCTGACTTGGCTGTTGAAGGACTCGCTGGGAGGGAATAGCATGACAGCTATGATTGCTGCGATCTCTCCAGCAGACATCAATTTCGAAGAGACTTTGAGCACCCTAAGATATGCTGACTCGGCTAAGCGTATCAAGAATCACGCTGTGGTCAATGAAGATCCGAACGCTCGCATGATAAGAGAATTGAAAGAAGAACTAGCACAGTTGAGATCCAAATTAGGAAGTGGTGCCACTTCTGGCGGTATCGCTGAAGAACAATATGCTCCAGACACGCCGTTGGATCAGCAGATTGTCTCCATCACCCAAGCTGATGGAACAATAAAACGTGTGTCAAAGGCTGATATTGTGGAGCAGCTCAACCAGTCTGAGAAGCTGTACGAAGATCTAAATCAGACCTGGGAAGAGAAGCTGGAAAAGACTGAGCTGATACACAAAGAACGAGAAGCTGCTCTTGAAGAACTCGGTATCTGTATCGAGAAAGGATTCGTCGGAGTCTCAACGCCTAGGAGGATGCCTCATCTTGTCAATCTCAGCGACGATCCACTTCTCGCAGAATGTCTGGTGTACAACATCAAGCCAGGGACCACAGCTGTAGGCAACGTCGAAGACCCAGGCACGACTTCGGAGATTCGCTTGAACGGGTCCAAGATCATGAAAGATCACTGCACGTTCGAAAACGTTGACGGGCTTGTCACGTTGGTGCCGCGAGATGGTGCTGCAATCATGGTAAATGGACTTCGTGTAGATAAGCCATCAAGACTCCGGAGTGGAAATCGGGTCATCCTAGGAGACTTCCACATCTTCCGCTTCAACCATCCACAGGAAGCTAGAGCAGAGCGCAAAGAGCAAAGTCTTCTCAGGCATTCTGTTACCACAAGCCAACTCGGTTCTCCTGTGCCAAGGCCGTCACACAGTCGAAGCGAAAGCAGAGTTGACGTTGAAAGTGATATCGAGGGAAATAGGCCAGAGTCTCCAATGCCTTCAAGAAGCGGGCGAGACTCAGACTGGTCTTTGGCACGCCGTGAGGCCGCGGGCGCTATCCTAGGGGCTGATCAGAAGATCACACATCTGACTGACGACGAGCTGGATGCCTTGTTCGACGATGTGCAACGTGCTCGAGCCGTTCGCAAAGGTCGTCCCGAATCTCGTCTGTTCGGGCCAGAAGATGAAGACTCTGAATCAGTCAGCTCATACCCAATCAGGGAAAAATATATGTCAAATGGCACGCTCGACAATTTCTCTCTTGATACCGCTCTTACGCTGCCGAGCACTCCTCAGCAAAGCGGTGTAGAATCGGCTGAGTCAGACGACGACAGACTAGAGCTGATCAGAGGCGACATGCGTAGCCAGCTTGATAAGCAGAAAGAAGAGTTTGAAGAAAAGCTTAGAGTAGCTCAAACCTCTACGACCCAGAATGTCGAAGATTTGAGAGCCGAGAAGGAACGCATGGAACATGCTCTCGAAGCTGCAAAAGAAGATTACAGACGTCAGCTCGAGCAGCAGAAAGAGACATTTGCCCGAGAATGGCGAGAGGCTTCAAGTTCTCCTTCACCAAGAAGGCCACGAGTAACCCAAAATGGATTTACTGAGCTTCCGGAGGAAGAGAAGGCCATCGTCAGAAACCATCTAGCACGGTGGCGGCAAGTTGGGCACGTGCGCCTCGCGGAGGCGATTCTTCGACATGCAGCGACCTTGAAGGAAGCACAGATCATGAGCCAACTAATGGACAAGAGTGTCGTCTTCCAATTTACCATCGTTGGGGAAGGACAGTATATATGTTCCTCCTATGACCTAGTATTGAGCGGGATCTCTGGCGACGAGGATCCTGCGCTGGAAGCCGCCATGAAACCTTGCGTCGCCGTGCGAGTGATCGATTACAAAAATGCTGTTATTCATCTTTGGTCTTTGGAGAAGTTGGAGCAACGCGTCCGGACCATGAGGCAAATGCACCAGTATCTTGACAGGCCAGACTACCTGCAACATTTCCGGCTCGAGAATCCCTTCATCGAAAATTTTCTGCCTCAATTCTCTCTTATTGGTGAGGCCAACGTGCCCTTGACCGCCGTTTTCGAAGCTCGAGTTCAAGATTATGCCATCGAAGTCTATTCGACCTACACACTCGAAGCGATCGGCAGGATCAAGCTGTCACTAGAGCCGTCTGCGGCACAAGCCCCTCCAAAGATGCTCAAGTTCAACGTTGTGATGCATGAGATGGTAGGCTTCGCAGAGCGGGAAGGCACCAAGCTTCATAGCCAGATGTTCATACCAGGAATTAGTGAAGAGGGAGGTGCGACGGCTACGCAGATGATCCAAGATTTTGACGAAGACCCTATTCGCTTCGAAAGCGTTCACAGCATGAGTGTACCACGGAGCGCTCCTCCTAGCGCAACTCTACGTGTGGCCATATATGCAAAGGTGACTCCCATGCACCTAGACAGGCTTTTGAGCTGGGATGAGATCCGGGAGACAGGTCAGGACGTCTCGCTCAATGGCCATGCTCAAACAGCGAGATTACCTGAATCCGAATACTGGATGCAAGAAGAGCACGATGTGTACGCCAAGATCAAGATTTTGGAGTTATCTGAGACGGGCGAATACCTCCCGGTGGAAATCGAGCAGCACAGTAATCTGGGTCCGGGAATGTATCAACTGCATCAAGGCTTGCAAAGACGGATCATGATCAATCTAACGTGCTCCTCAAGCGAGTCATTGCAGTGGACAGAAGTGAAGTCACTACGTGTAGGGAGCTTGCAAGTCATCAACCAGGACTTTTCTATCCTCGGTCGAAGCGACTCAAGTCGTCAGCTCCCGCTAAAGCTCGTCAAGGAACCAGCCGTTGTGGAAGATGCGAACGGTATCAAGGAGTTCACATTGACCGGGCAGTGGGACTCGAATGGCTCCTCGCTCCTCGATCGACCTACCGCAGATAGACACATGGTGCAAATGTCAATTTCGGTTGATGTAACATCCTCGCGAGTCCACCAGCCTATGACCTTCACACTGGAAGAGAACCTACAAGTTCGGCCTCGATCATGGCTTCGACCCCAGTCAATGTTCAAACAATTATGGAAAACTACCAGGATCATACACTATACGGCTGGTATCTTCTCCGTTTCCATCAGACCAGCCTCGGCCAAGCGTGCCTCGGACATTTGGAGGATGGATAGCCAGCAGACCTACGTCAAAGGAGAGGAAGACCTCACTAATTGGAAGCCGAGAGGAGTCGGTCTTCTCCACGACTATATCCGGTCACGAAAAAGCAGACGACAAATCGCAGAAGTCGAAGCCACAAAGGTCTTTCTGCGTCGCCATCGAAGTCCCATTCCCTCCTCGCCAACCTCCACTGAGCTTTCTCCCGCCCAAAAGAGTCTCCTCGAAAAGTGCCTCGATCTTTGGACCTTGACTTCGAAGAAGCCCCCATCCCTCACACTGTCTCCAGCCGACCCCTCCGGCTCCTCTGCTCCAGGTCAGGCTCAATCTCAGCCCAGACATGATCCTCCAGCTCTGACAGCGACCATCCACCACCACCCCAAAAACCCTCTCCTCCTTAAATCCTCCTTCCTGCTCACCCCCAACCCCACCTCCCATGCGTGGACACGCCACTTCGCTGAGCTCCGTCCGCCGTATCTACATCTCTACGCCGTGCCTTCAGGCAACGAAACCGCTACCATAAATTTGAGGAATGCCAGAATCGATGTTGATCCACCGGTTCAGCGCTTATTGAACGAAGAGGAAGGGACAAGAGGAGGGCAGGGCAGGAAGAATGTCTGGGCTGTGTACGCGAAGGGCGGAAGTTGGCTATTTGCGGCGAGAAGTGAAGAGGAGAAGGGACGGTGGGTCCTAGCTGTCGATGAAGGATTTATCGATGAGCCGTGAGATGAGTAGTGCAAGGATTTTCATTTTTTGGAAAGGTGTTTTGCATTTACGATGATACCCCCATATAAACCCTCTTTTCGTTCCATGTGTTCATAGAGAATACAGAATACTTATCAAAGATGCTGGAAACCCTTTTGGTTTCCGTCGATTTTAGGCATCAAGCCGGCATAATTTGCCTCTCATGACTGTGCTTCTTTAGGAGAAAAGTGAAAGGCGCAAAGACTCCTCGCGGGTGCTGCTATTGCTGGACTTTCAGAGATTAATACCGTCACGGTAGTCACTTTTTCCAGCACAATATGTCTGGCGGGCACGATTGTGAAATGTAGAAAGGAAGCCAATAGCAGGCAAATTACAAATCTGAAAGACCAAGACCGACATGTCCTGAGCGCATGGAACGCAAGACTGCACAGCCACCGGCTCGAGTATCAACGAGCTTGACAATTTTTCAGCGGATGATGCCAAAAACATACGACGCAGTACTAAGGAGAATAGCATACTACCTTTCACGGAGTACCTCATACAAGAAAATCGAACGAAGCAGGCCTGCTCCCCTGGTTCCCCACGTTCTCACACGGCCATACATACTTTCCCGATTGAACGCCCAGAGACCTTTAGACGGTTAGTGGGTATGCGGAGGGCGTCCTTTGTCTCTGTTGGGCCCAGACCAAAAGAGGGTGATTAAATAAGATTGCTCCTCCACTGCTGGGTCAAGGTGTATCCAAGTAATGCTCGGTCTTACCCCTCCTCTCATCGAAAGCCTGGCGCAAGGCCGGAAGTACCTAGGTATCTACATGTCCCCAGCCCGTCATTCGTGGTTCGAGAGTCTCTCATGTGGAGATGGTTGACCCTCCTCAGCCTTTGATAGTATGTAAAACCGAAACGCATGCCGATACCTTGCATGAAGGATGCGACCCAATCTGGCCGATTCGGGCGACGTCATGCGCGATTCCCAGTCATACCCTACGTGAATTCCTAAACATACGTGATATCCGGCCATACCTGCGTCCATTGTGTGGCTCAGATCCCCAGATCCCTTGGCGGCCGTATATAAGTAGATCAATGTACGAGTACTCCGACTCCAACATCTGATTCTCACCCCAGACTCAAAAACAAGGGATCCGCTCCTCCTTCAACTCCCATTACCCAAGCACAAGACAGCCTTCCCTGAACATGACCACTTCAAACTACTCAATCTACGCCATCCCCGCCTTCTACATCCTCGCCCTCGTCCCGCAGTTCTACAGCCACCTACTCGTAATTCGCGCGACAAACGGCCGGTTCGACAACGTCAACCCGCGCGGCGCCTCGTTCGCGGAAACATGCAAGAAGAGCCTTGACAAAGCTACCTGGGGCCGCTCCGAGCGAGCCAGAGCCGCCCATACTAATGCGCTGGAGAACTTGCCTCTGTTTGCGTCGGCGGTCATCTGTGCCAACATGGCGGGGTTGGAGAAGGGAATGGTCAATTCGGTGAGGATACTTGTTTACCCACTTTGCTATTTGAAGTCGTTACCGCTCTCGGAGACGTACTATGGCATGATACTTGTTTCTGTCCTTATCATACTCTCTTCGTCATGCTTCAGCCTGCTTGCAATAGGCAGTGACGCTGACTTGAAGAACTTGAAGATGTGTGGGGCATTCCTAGGATTGAGGGTTGTTTATACGTTTGTGTACATTGTCGTTGAGAGTCCAAAGCTCGCATTGACGAGAACATTGGTTTGGATGACGAGTGTCGGGTGCTGCATGACGTTACTGTTCAAAGCGGGAAACGTGCTTGTGGATGGGAAGGGGATGCGGTTATGAGCTGTGAGACGGGTGTGAAAGGGGAAGGAGAGGACGGGGATATCTTGAAGGCATTGGCCTTTAAGCCCATGCGTTGCTTCTGGCCGTGCGGTGGAGCGAAAAACGAGGCGCGTTACTCTCTGCGAAGCAACTTATGAGACATCTTGCTGTGACATAGTGAACGGATGGTAGTTATGTCGAAATCGCCAGATATCAGCATCAATCGAATGAAGAAGCACGTTCGCAATGGCAGGCAAGCTCTGAATTTGCTAATGTTCACGTCGAATTTGGGGACCATGCCTACCGAGTTTGTCATTCACAAACAAGAATCGCTTCAGCTTGAGCGTTAAACAGGAACAAAAGGAACCTCCTCGTTGTGCGAAGTGTGTCCACCGGAAAGCCACTTTTTAGTTCGCGTCTCTCACTCAGCCCTACGAGTACGAAATATAAATCGTCCCACCCTTGCGACTCCCTCTCCAACCCTTCCGAACCATTGGCCACCATGACCAATCCCCGATCCTCCAACCTCCCCAGCTCCGTCCTCGTAATCGGCGGCTGCGGGTTCCTGGGCCGCCACATCGTCTCGCAGCTCCTGGAACCTTCAACCTCCAAGGTTTCCGTCCTCGATCTCCGGACGACAAACAACCGCCTCCCGGGCGCCTCCTACTACGATGCCGACATCACATCTCCCGAAGCCGTGCGCGCGGTGTTTGAGGAAGTCAGACCCCAGATCATCATACACACCGCCTCGCCGACTGCGATGCAGGACAATGCCAGCGCGGCGCAAAAGAAGGGGGCTAAGGCCCTCTACTATAAGGTTAATGTTGGAGGGACTAGGACTTTGATCGTGCAAGCGGGGCTGGTTGGCTGTGTGAAAGCTTTCGTGTTCACGTCGAGTGCGTCCGCGGTACATGATGGGCACAGCGACCTCATCAACGCGGACGAGCGATGGCCTGTTTTACGCGCACCGAAACAGAAGGACGCCTACTCTGAGTCTAAAGGCGTAGCGGAGGAGTTGGTACTTGCCGCAAACCGGAAATATGGCGATATGCTCACGATTGCGTTACGACCTGCTGGAATATTTGGGGAAGGGGATATGCAGTTGATACCCAATCTCCTGTTGGCGTATGAGAAGGGGCAGACGAGATTTCAGCTGGGTGAGAACGAGAATCTTTTCGATTTCACCTATGTTGGGAACGTGGCATACGCACATATACTGGCTGCAGTGGCACTGATGGATACGCATGCCCTGACAACACAACCACTGGATCACGAAAAGGTGGACGGACAAGCCTTCTTCGTCACCAACGCACAACCTCTCTACTTCTGGGATTTCACCCGCATGGTGTGGAAAGCTGCAGGAGACAAGACCACTCCGGAGCAGGTCTGGACAATTGAAAAAGGGCTGGGACTGCTGTTCGCGACGATCATTGAATGGTTATTCTGGTTTGCTGGGGGCAGGACGCCAAATTTGACGAGGCAGAAGGTGCAATTCAGTTGTATGACGAGGTTCTATTGTGTGGACAAGGCGAAGAAGTTGTTAGGGTATGGGCCGAAGTGGGAGATGGAGGAGGCCATATTGAGGACGGTGAAGTGGTTCCAGGAGAGGGATGCTAAGGATGGGGTTGAGAAGAAGGTGCAATAATATTGAGAGACATAATGGAGGACGTTTTTGCCATGCCATGGTGTTGAATGGCTGTATTATAGCGGTGAAAAGTCAATTGATTGTCAAGATACCTAGATCTTGCTAATCAGATACATTAGCAGCATGTAGATGTACAGCTATGCTCCTAATGTTTAGCAAAGAGAAATACATGGAATCGTGAAGCGGACACGGCAACTGAAGGGGTTTAATAGAGTAAAGAATATGTAAGAGAAAAGCAAGACAGCAGGAAAGAGCGTAGGCTCGTTGCGTTTCCATGGAGGCTTCCTCAGTAGCTTTTTGGCTTGTGACCTTCGTACTTTGATTTCAATGGCCGCCTGTGCCAACTCATTCCATCCGCGATGGTATTGAGAATATGGAAGCTGAGAACTGAGGACAAAGCAAATTGGGTGATGAATGGTCATTCTCTGGGATTCGATACTTCTGTGGCTCCTTAAAGGCAAAGACTTTTCCCTCCACATCTGCCGCTTATCTTCCGGTCACTATGTACCTTCTTGAAGATTGAAGCTGTAGAGCTTGATTCACGTCACCAGCTTTGCCCCACATAACCCGAGACTCTCCCTGCAGATGGTGCTGCATTAGTGCCGGATAGTTCACGGCTTCTCGTAACTCGTAAGACCATTTCTGTACTTTCTAAGCGCTTGCTACTTCTTCGGTTCTTCTGGGATGCTAAGGATTAGTTGGAGTCATTTGACGTTTTGATGCGCTGGCTTTGGTGTGAACACTGAGGGAAGGGGAAGGTAGCCGTTTTTATTCGGGGGACGGATGACACCGAAGCTCACGGCGGACTCGGAGAAACTGAAGGTCGGGTGAGAATGACAAAAAAGTGGCACCAGTGGGGGGGGAATCCCTCGGATCGCCATGTTCCCTGGGACTCGAAGAATGCATAGCTGCAGGACAACATCATCAGGGTGTCGTGTGAATTTATAATTTGTATGCGGTACACGCGAATCCACTGACGTAGACGTAACCTTTATGACACACTGGAATGTGTCAAACTGATGGTGCGATGGATATACCGTAGGATGACATGGGATGGGATGGGATGGGATGGGATGGAGGGGAAGTCTCTAAGTAACTTCTAACTTTCCCACTAGTTGCAGCTGTACCAAGTGACCAGGCCAAGCCGAGCCAAGACAAGCCCGCGCTTTTCTCCCCAAGCGACGCTGACTTTTACACGCATTACAATTTACTACCAACGCTCATCTTCCCTCTACAGCATCCTTTCGTGTAAAGAGTACGCCTGTTGTTCAACAAGGTGTTCAGCAATGACGCACAAAGAGTTGCGTTGAGCCATTGGCGCCGAGGAGAGCGTGCCCTCTTTCATGCCAGCCGTGCCTCAAAGAAAATTCACAGCCCACCTTCGATAAAAGTAACGCCGGTACTCTGAGCTTCCCAGCCAATCCTACAAGTTCTGCGGCCAACATGCTCGACGAATATCACTGCTAATGTGACGAGCCCTGGAGTATCATCAAACAAGCCCTTCGGGGCTCTTTGGGCAGTTGGCCTTTCAAGACATCAGCACCGTACAAGATGGCCGCAGACGAGAGCACCAGACAGCCATCTCTCGCTCCACCTGCCCTCGCAGCTCTACGCGAGGAAGGTACGAAGGAGCGGATGCCCATGGAACGGACACACAGCATTGACATGAGAAGTGAGCGTGAGGATCTCAAAGCAGCGGCAGAGCAATCTCTCAATGTCATACTCGACCTTGGACTGGATGGGGCGATACGCTGGGTTAGCCCTTCCTGGAAGGATGTTGTTGGCACGCCTGTCGAATCTGTCAAGAACAAGCCTATTGTGGATATTCTGCTATCCAACAGAGATGGCTTTGCCAATGCTGTCCAGTCAATGAAGGAGGATGATTCAAAGAGTCGGGTCATACGTTTCCAAGTGCAGAAGGGGCCTTTCTCGGTGCTAAAGCAAAGCATTGAGAAGGATGAAGAGATGCCGGATGGAGACAACGTAGAAGAGGATGCAGAAGATGAGGAGCAAATGTTGAATCTGGAGGGCCAGGGAATCATGGTCTACGACAGATCATCCGATGGGGAAGGTCATGTAAGTCGATCGATGATAGACTTCGACTTTTGAATCTAAGCTGATCTCAATCTAGACAATGTGGATGCTGCGGCCCTCCAACCCACCGAGAGAAATCACGATCGACCTCCCAGAACTTCTTGTCGAGTCACTCGGTCTGGGAGCTGAGATCTTGGCCCATTACCTCACAAGCCTGGCAGAATCAGGAGCGAACGATCCAGAAAACCATCCACCCCCTCTTCCTGTTCTATGCCGCATCTGTGAGCGTCAGATAACACCTTGGTGGTTTGAGAAACACTCAGAAGGTTGTACCCAGGAGTACCGCGCAGAAGAAGCCGTCACGCTCGCTCAAGACGCTCTTGCAGCCCATCGGCCGGCCATTGTCAAAATTTTGGACGCACTCGATCCTGAAACACGTCAGAGCCGATCGGTCCCTGGGGAAGCAAACCCACATGCTACACCGCCCGAATACAAAGGCTTACCTATCGGGCCTTCCCCTTGTTCATCAGGGACGGACTCCGGCAGAGCGTCTCCTGCTATGCCCTCACGATCACGCGAATCATCCAGTTCTGGTCTGGGCCACGGCCATGTCCGCGTGAAGTCTTTCACTGTTCGCCGTCCATTGTACCGAGTTGCGGAGCTGATCATTGATCTGTGCGACACCGCCATGGCTATCAATACGCCAGCAATCAAAGAGAACAGAACTCAAGCAGATGTTGATGGTGATATCAGGACCCAGTCCCCTCATTCAGAATCACTTATCTCGCAGATCTTGCAATGGTCAAGTCCCAGTGCCAATACCTTAGAGCATGAGCAAGGTCTCGCCGCTCTGACTGCAGATACGGAAAACCTTGCCCGTGCCAAAGTGGAGGCTGTCCTGCGCCATCGAGAGATCATTGAATATGCAGAGCGGATTCGCGTGGAATTCAACTCGCTTGTCCTTGACTGCATTGATGCTGCGATGCAGAAGGCAAAGAAAATCAAGGAAGGTCAACTGAGTGATTCGTCCGAGGAAGAGAATGAGGAAGAAGCGCAAACGCCTGCTGCCCACGAATCTTCTTTCCCTATGGGCGCATATGATGGGCCTTCGTCCATGGCTTCCGCTCTACGAAATGCCTCAGACCCATCAATTGCATCGCAATTCGAACGGAGACCGTCCTCATCTGTAGCAGCGTCGTCCAGGTCCAGCAGTCCTATGGAATGTCCAACGCCTCGATCCCACAAGAACAGCATCTCGTTCCTCGGCAGGTCAGACTCTGTCAGCAAGCGTATCTCGTTGCATTTGGGGAGTGACGCTGGAGATAGCGATAGCAATACGTCCCATTCCATGCTTGTCGGGAGCAGGCGAGCTCAATCACCTAGCTCAGATCTTGCTTTGGGGAGATCAGCAAGTTCAGGCGAAAGGAAGCGCAGAAGTCTCAGGCTGCCTATTGTGCCATCCCCAAAACGGCAACCTTCTCCAGGACGCATGCCTCCGCCATCATCTCCATTGAGGATCCCGAAGCCTCGACTTCCATTAGGCGAAGATTCAGTGCCTTCTCTGCCTTCTCCTGTAACATCTCCCCCACTCTCGAGCACCGAGATGTCATCGCCAGTCGTTCTTGCGCACCGACATCGCCGTCAATCCTCGGCGGCGTCATCAACGGCTGATTTTACAAGACCTCCAGTCTCTCCAAAGCTTGCAGGGCTTAGCCAGCCACCAGCGCGAGCTGTGCCAACATCCATCAAAGATTTCGAAATTATTAAACCAATCAGCAAAGGTGCCTTTGGCAGCGTGTACCTTTCAAAAAAGAAGTCTACAGGAGATTACTTTGCAATCAAAGTCCTGAGAAAGGCAGACATGGTTGCAAAGAATCAGGTCACGAACGTTAAGGCGGAACGAGCCATAATGATGTGGCAGGGCGAAAGCGAATTCGTAGCCAAGCTTTACTGGACTTTCTCAAGCAAAGACTACCTCTTCCTTGTGATGGAGTATCTGAACGGTGGTGATTGTGCGGCTTTGGTGAAAGTGCTTGGAGGCTTGCCGGAAGATTGGGCTAAAAAGTACATGGCAGAGGTGGTGCTAGGGATCGAGCATCTGCACAGTCGTGGCATTGTTCATCGTGACCTGAAGCCAGACAACCTTCTTATTGATCAGAAAGGGCATCTCAAACTTACAGATTTTGGTCTGTCACGGATGGGGCTTATAGGTCGCCAGAAGCGAGCTCTCAAAAGTCCAAACCAGTCTACTCCAGATCTACTCAAATATGGGCCATTTGCACGCGCCACTTCGATGACTTCCTCTCGATCTGCGTCTTTCGATCTGCAAGGTGGCCACTCGCCTCAGTCAACGCCAGTAATGACGCCAGACCTAGCAGGGTCCATTGGACAGCCATCCTACTTCAGTCTGAACCGCGATTCTGTACTTGGCAGAGAGCATTCGAGGAGAAAGTCTGGGTATCGAAGTGACAGTGGCAACAGTGACACCTTCAACGCACTCTTTAGGAACTTCTCTCTGAACGATGAGACCTCCCAGCGGGGCGCCCCAATCGAAGAGGAGACCTACAGCGAAGGTGAAGGATCTCCAGATTTATACGCACTACGGCCTAACATTAGCAATGCCAGCGCTGGCCAACCTGAAACTCCACCACAGAACAACATGCTGCCTCCTCCAATGGCTTTGTTCGACCCGGAGGACCAGAATCGAAGGTTCGTAGGGACTCCTGATTATCTCGCGCCAGAGACCATCAACGGATTAGGCCAGGATGAAATGAGTGATTGGTGGTCTTTGGGATGCATCCTGTTCGAGTTTATATACGGTTACCCTCCGTTCCATGGCGACACTCCCGAGAAAGTCTTTGAAAACATCCTCGCTCGTAAGATCGATTGGCCTGAAGATGAAGACTCTTCCGTTTCGGAAGACGCCAAAGATCTCATGATAAAACTTATGACCGTCGAATCTAAAGATCGTCTTGGTGCGAATATGGCGGAGAAGTACTCGTCAGGTGGGGAAGAAATCCGTCAGCATCCGTGGTTCAATGGAGCAAAATGGGAGACATTGCTCGAAGATGTGGCTCAATTCATTCCGGCCCCGGAGAATCCAGAGGATACTGAATACTTTGATGCCAGGGGTGCTACTCTACAGACATTTACAGAAGAAATGGAAGCCCAAGGAACATCGCCGGTTGTTACTCCTGGGGCTGCAGACTATCCAGACAGGCCTCACGACGCCCTTTCACGCGTCAGGAACCAAGTCAATTCATTAAAGCGAGGTTTGATGCCGCTTCACATACCTGCCCACGTTCGAGATGGTCGTAGCAGAAGACTCAGCGAGCCCGTGGCGACGGATGACTTCGGCAACTTTGCTTTCAAGAATCTTCCTGTCCTCGAAAAAGCCAACCAAGATGTGCTCCAAAAGCTACTTGCAGAATCGACGCAAAGACAGCCCAGAAACTCTGCTTCGACCCAATCGCCAGGTGCTAGCTCGGCAGTGCCTTCTTTAGAGGGTAGCCCGCTTCTACCTATGCCTTTGAAACGAGCACGGTCAGCGAACAAAGGCACCCGGCCCGCCTCACCATCGAATCTCGCTCAGTCTGCTGCTTCACCCAATCGAGCCTCCCAACCATCTTCCCCACTACTCGTGCAATTCTCTACTGGTCAGAACCACGAGCGCAGGAAAACCTCTAGCACCTCTTCAACCTTGTCGCATCAGTCCAATAATTCGTTGCAACCAGGTCAATACTTTGACGTTCCTAGACTGCCCACTGGAGTCTCCGCTCCTTCTGCAGCCTCTGCCACCTCCTCTCCTATTAAACCGAACCGCAACTCCATGGGAATGCAAATAGCTTCACCTGAAAGGTCGACTATAACGCCTCGCCCACACAGCATGCACATGCCATCGCGGGCTAGATCGCAAACCGTTGGGTCTCAAGAGGCAGACCTTCCTCTTCCCAACAAGCCTTTCACTCATCACAAACGCCAAAGTCAAGTGCTCGACATTTCTCCCTCATCGTCTGACAATGAAGATCCTCGTGCGAAAGCTCTTCTTCGCGTTCAACGAAGAAGGCAGAGCTCAAGGAGGATGTCTCAAATCATGCTCGCGGATGGTCCGTCCTTCCGTCCTCTGGATGTTCTCATCTGCGAGGATCATCCCGTCTCCAAATTGGTCATGGAGAGGTTGCTTGAGAAGCTCAGGTGTCGTACCATTACTGTCAGTAATGGTACAGAAGCTGCACGTTATGCCATGAGCGAGGTACAGTTCGACATCATCATGATGGAATTCAAGCTTCCTCAAATCAATGGAGCGGACGTCGCCCGTATGATTAGGGACACCAAGAGCGCCAATACCCAGACACCAATCATTGCTGTGACTGGATATCTGAAAGAGCTACCGCAAACTCATCACTTCGACTCGCTAATGGAGAAGCCTCCGACCTTGGAGAAGCTCACTGAAGCTTTGTGCAATCTTTGTGCGTGGAAGCCTCCACCACCAGGCTACAATCCACAGCAGCAGCAAAGTCAGCAGCAACAGCTTATCCCTTCTGGACTTCGTAAAGAGTCTCGACATGCAGAAGACAGTCCAAGCTCGCAGTCTTCTGGCCCCTTTGCGCAGGTCAATGGGTTGTACAAGCGGTCAAGCCGTGAACATTCGATCGGTTCTAGCTTCTTCGGTGATACTGACTCAATAAATACCGAAGACGTACCCGTCATCGTCGGTCGACCATCAGATGACTGGCCTTCGAGTACTGGTCTAGGAATCTCCGAAGATTTTTCGCCGCCTAACATTGACTTCATCCATCCTGGTCTTCCACATTTGATTCATCAAAACTCCGCACCTTCCTCTCTAGATCCACGGACTTCGCGGAAGCAACACTCCGTCGAAGCTGTCAAAGCAAAGCGCGAGACGCTAGAGAAGAACGCCGAATTTGGCGACGACGAAGACGAAGAGTTGTGGCTTCCCTCGCGCGCGAGGAGCCCGCAGGGCAAACCCCGTGGCTCGAAGCTCGGCATTGAGATGATGAGGACGAACAGTCGCGGGAGTGTCACTTCTGGTGGTGCAGATGAGCCGACTCCTCTGCCAAATATCACATCAAACCCTGATATCGATATGCCTCATGTCCCATATCACGATCACGCCACGATCGAACCACCGGAGATTTTCTCCAGAGAAGCGAGAGGAGATGCAGTCAAGGTTGTGGATATGGATGCCACCCCCAGGCCTAGTACTGCCGCAGCCGAAGCTGCCATTGAAAACTCAAGCTTGTCCGCAACTTCGCTCTCGCCTACTAAATAGGCCCCGGATCACAGGACGGGTCTCTCCCACTCTAAAATGTAAACTAGATCCAACTCGTTTCCTTCTCTTGCAATATCACGATACCACAATTCTTCCCATAGGCGTTTTTTTCACGATATGTCTTGATATGACATGAGCGATAGGCGTTCTTGGTGGACTTGTATCTTTCTCCGGTCGATCCTCGAGCGAGGACGAGGCGAATGTTGGCTGGCGGCTGGATTGGTCAACTTATTTACGATGGACTGCTTGACGCTGAATGATGTATTATGATGGGCTAAAAGCTGCAAATATGGATCTCAGTATATTTAACCTATGAATTCCCCTTCAATTTAAATACGCTCTTTTGATGGAAAAAGTTAAATCCCACTCTCATTCTCTGCCACCCTAAAAGCGACCTCGCCCGGCAGCCTAAAACTCGCACAAAACATCCTCTTCATGGGCGCTACATCCCTGACATCCCAAACCTGCACCTCTCCTTCAGTTTCAATATTACCTGGCTTCATCTCGTACCCTATCTGCTCACTGACCTCCTTGCAGATTTTCATCTCTTCTTCCTTGTTGTCGTCGCTCTTTGTACTAAAGCAGTGTACATGTATGAACGGCAATTTGGCATCTGTATTTGGCGTAAAAAACTCCTCACGGCCTACGTACAGGCCGATAAAGGAAGGGAGAAATGTGATAGCGCTTGCCGGAAGGTTTAGGATGTAGTGGTTGAAAGTCTTCGGCGAAGTCAGGGTTGCTATTGGCTTGACAGTTGAGGCCGGTTGCTTGAGTCGGGATACCCCTTTATATACTTTAACATGGGTGTCCGTCTTCAGCAATCTCTCCGCCGAGGAGCGAATGAAGGTTCGGCCGTCTTCATTGAAGACTTTGACAAATCGGTGGACCTGACGTTTCTGTAAATTACCTGATGCGTTTGAGGGCGGGATGTAGGCTGATCGCGGCCACACGCACCTTGTTCCTTCGTACCGCATCGTCCAAACTCGCAAAGCTATCCGGATTCAGATCGTTGGCCCACACAAACACATTCTTCTTCCCAGCCGGCACAGCGAACGGCCCAACGCCGGCCATGACATCGCAGACGGCTTCGCCGGGCTGGAACTTTTCGACCAGGCGCCTGTGCTCGGTGTTGAGACGGCTGTTCCAGTACACCTTGGAGTAGTCGAAACGGAACCTGCAGTTTTCCTCGTGGATTTCGACATTCATGTCCGGGTCGCCGGCGAGGAGCTCGTAACTGAAGGTGCGGTATTCGTTTTGTTCGCCGACTTCGTCCGTTTTGTTGATTACGGTGCGGATGGTGGGGTTTTTGTCGAGAAGGACGGTGGCGATTAGGTGTTTATAAGGCAGATACTGGTCGCGGAGGTTGAGGTGGGCTTGAGATAATGCTCAGTCAGTCTGCCGCTTCTGGATTCTGTGTAATGGAGCCACGGACGCACCAACGTGGCCAACGATGCTGAATCCCGTGGGGAATTCGTCTTGCTCGGCTTCTGGGAGTATGGCACTCATTATGTCATCTGGTGGTAATGAGCAATTATGTTGGATACGATACTTGTGTCTTGCACATACATACGGTAGTTCCAGTAGTCGTAGTCTAATTCAAGATTATATGGTGAGAGGCTGACTTGGGAAGCCTTGACCAAGTCGGAGAGCTTTGGACTCCATGTAGAGGCATCTGGCAGCACCTTAGCTCTTCTCCTGCTCTGTCATCTTTCTGGAAACACAAAGACGCTATGTTACCATCTGGCTTGACCTCAGGCCTCAAAAGTAGCGCCTTAGCCTCCTGCCCATCAGAATCTCTTACAGACCTGACCGCTGGCATACGGTCAAGCCTCAACAGATCATGGCCCAGTTCTATGCGGTACTTTGAAATTTGCTTATTATCACGTATTCTTGCTGCAGATAGTGGAACGCTTTTCTTGAAGAAAGAACGATCAAGAGCTCGCATAGCACGGTTGATGGGCGGACGAAACATAGCAGATTCAGGGGATTCATTCATGGCTTTGCAATAAGTTTGGACAGTCTACAGGGTCGTATCATGTTGTCAAACAGTAGGAAATTTCCGGTGACTCGTGTAGGTTACAAAGACTATTCGAAGAGTCATAAATCCTTGATTAACCGAATTTTAGGTCAAAAAGATGTTATCCGCTAGCTATTGCTCTGTGGCATCTATGTACAAACTGACGGATGTACCCTGGTCACCGAAGGCGTCTTACGTTTATGAGGCAATTCCGTGAGATGGAAGACTTCCCGTGGTTGCGATGCTTCGCACGCAAATCACACTACATGACTTATCAACGCGGCTACTGACTAAAAAGTATTCTGTTCATACTCTCTTTCTCAAGACCCTTCTTCCAGGCGGTGGCATCCTCGTGCCCGCAGCGACCTTCTTCCCCACGGCACGCACGCCAACCTCGTTGTTCTTTGCAGCTGCTACAGGTGCCTTTTTCGCATTCTTCACAATGGTGGTACTCGTAGAGATACTTGATGTATCACTTTGATTGCTCACTTTCCTCATATCCTCCGGTTCTTTGGCTATAGCCGCACCCCGCTTTGGCCTTCCGACCGCTGGTTTCGTTGTCGTAGGATTGCTAGCTTTACGACCTGCTGCTGCTTTCGGACGGCCGGGTTTTACTTTCTCAGTCACCATACTGGCTAGGTTTGCTGTTGCTGCTGCTGCGGCAGCTTTGGCAGGTGATGCCAATTTGATAGGTGATATTGGTTTCAGAGGTGACGTTGGATGTGCAAAGTATAACTTCTGCGGCGACTTGAGCTCTGGGTGGACTGGCGATTGGGGAAGAGTGCGTGAGTTAGCTGATTTGGGGGAAAGTACAGTAGACGGGTTCGTAGCTTGGCGCGATTTCGCAGTAGTTGTCATTTTGGCTCGCTTCTTGGGATTGGGTATCGCTTCCATGGACTGGGCGTTGTTCTCCTTGTCTGCGGAGTTTATTGCGTCGCTGCGGCTCGTTAGAATCGGAGGCACGGCTAGATCGCACATAAGGACTCGCCTGGTTCTCTTTGTGCCTCGGAACTTGGTCATATCTGTTGAATTGGAACCTTCTGACACCAAGACGGGCCTGGACTCGCTCGAATGAGCAATTTCTACGGCCTCCTCCTCCTCTTGAGGCGCGCTCTGTCGTTTGGGATCCGACATCTCTTTGTACTTCTCCAATAGCTCCCCCATGTTCGCATTACGGAGAGAAGTCGGAATACGATTTATCCGTAACTCAATTCGAGTCCGTAGACTTTGAGCTTGGAGGGCGTATTGAGCTCGAAGCTTTCGCGCGCGTTCCGTGACTGGGAGGAGGTCAATGCCTGAACTACGCTGTGGTTCCGGAAATGCTCACTCTCTAGTTGTAGATTATCAATCAACGCTTGCTTCTGTCCTTCCGTGATCGTCATGCTCCTCTTTCGGGGACTCTGCACTGGTGTTCTCGCAGGCGATTGGAGGGTAACGGTTTGCGGGCGCGCCGTTGAGCTGGAATCGGTCGAAGACCGGACTTTCTTCGTGCGAGGAGGAGCCATGACTTGTATCGAGGCAAGGACTACTCGAAACGAGAGCGCAGCAAGATAGTTGGTGATTAAGGAGACAATGCAGTCGAAGCTTGAAATTGTGTAAACAAAGATTGGCGCAGGGATCAGCTAGCGGGTTTGCCGCGGTCTTGGCGCCATCGTCCGCCTCATTCGAGCTTCACTTTTAGATATTCATTCAACGTCTTGACTCTTCATCTATTCTTCTGCCAGGAAACGGAAAGTGGTTTCGATTCTATCTTCGTATATCAACCGTCAACATGGTGCTTGAGGCGACCATGATAGTGTAAGCCTCTGCTCGTCACTACAGTTGCTCAAGCCTCCGCTAACACGAACTGCTAGGCTGGACAACAGTGAGAGCAGTAGAAACGGCGATTATGTGTAAGATTCACTCTGTAGATATTTCTTTGACCCGTAAATGGTTTCTGACCTTATCAGTCCATCGAGATGGGAAGCCCAAGCAGACGCAGTCAACCTCATCTTTTCCGCCAAAACCCAAGCGAATCCCGAATCCTCCGTCGGTCTGATGAACATGGCCGGTAAGGGGCCAGAGATGTTGGTTACTCTGACCACGGACTTTGGGAAGCTACTTGATGGGATGCACCGGACGAAGATAAGAGGGAGCACGCATCTGGCTACAGCCATACAAATAGCAGGTGTATGTCTACGCGGAAATTCAAGTTTCGCCCTATAGGCTGATTGCATTTTACAGCTCGCGCTCAAACACCGCCAAAATAAATCGCAACGACAACGCATTATAGTCTTCACCTGCTCCCCCATTGACGAAGATGAAAAGAATCTTGTCAAGCTCGCTCGGAAGATGAAGAAGAATAATGTCTCGATCGACTTCATCGCCTTTGGTGACCTGGACCCAGAGAACACGAAGAAGCTAGAAGCGTTCAACGAGAACATCAAGGGCGGAGATGGCTCGCATCTGGAGGTAATTCCACCGGGTCCGAGTCTACTGAGTGATCACATAATATCTACGCCCATATTAGCTGGAGAGGGTGTTGCTCCTCGTGGCGGTGAGAACGGCGGCGACGCTGGTGGAGATGCAGGTGGAGGTGGTTTCGATTTCGGCGTTGATCCAAGCGCAGATCCGGAGCTTGCGCTTGCTTTGAGAATGAGTATGGAAGAAGAGAAGGCCCGACAAGAAAAGGAGGGAAAGGCTGGAGAAGCCGCGAAGGAGCCAACGCTAGAAGGCATACCAGAGGAAGGTGGAAGCTCGGAGAGCCAGCCATTACTCAATGCAGACGGAGAAGCCAGTGGGACTGCGGACGCTCCCGTTTCAAAGCCCGAAGTGGGAGAAAAGAAAGACAAGGAGCATCAAGGGATGGACAAAATGGAGACAGATAGGGACGACACAAAAGACAGGGACAACATGGACACAGATTAGTCTTGCATATGCACAGCGAGGCGTTTGGGCATATCAAGCATAGATAGCGTTTTGCTCGCAGCATAAGAAGGGTATTTCTCCATGAACTCTACGTCCTGCGCCAAAGTGACATGCATACCATTTTCGGCCTTTTCCCCGAACCAGACGCCGAACACCACGCTCATTCTTCGTCTCGCAGCGTCAAAGAAAAAACAATCGCTCACAATGCTAGCTCTCTGTAGACTTCGAAAGGTGGGCCATGAAGCATCCCATGCGTGTTTGACGCAAGCCTTCTGCCCACCCAGCTCGATGGCCCCAATATCATGCCATGAGCGTGGCTCACTTTCATCCCATATTCGTGATCTCGTTCGTCCAAGTTGGCCCTCTTTCCCCTCCACCTCTCAGTCCCCGAAGGTCCTCAACTTGGTGATATCATCCAGTATTTCCTGCAGATCCACATCGGTAATCTTATTCGTCAGACTAGGTATCAACGTCTTCGCCTCTTCAGCAGTCTCGCAACATAAACTCGCTGCGCCCCGGGAGTCGTCAGCCCCTCCTCGTTTTAGAAACCCTGTAGAGATGTCTGAGAGAAGTCATACCTAGCTGTGACTTCTCAAAAGGCTCCAATTGCGGATGCGCACCAAGCACACGTTCCACGGCCGTAATATTTTCGGTGTTCTTGAACCGCGCGAAAACGTCCAGGTAGTCCTGCGTCTTGATCAACGTCCTGTACGCAACTAATCAGCCTCTATGCTTCCTTTCCCTCGGTCTTCTCTTCTCCCCACTCCTCTCACCCTGGCGACGGGTCAAGCAGACTTACTCAGTCTCTTCGACCTTCTTCGTTGTCGCCCGATGTGCTAAAATCGCAATTATGAGGGCCCGTGCTTCTGAAAGGCTCATTGAGTGGACGTTCTGGAATTCGCCGAGTTTGAGGTCCGAGGTGGCTTCTTCGTCACCGCCGACTTGTTCACGAGCTCTCGAGGTGGGCGCCGGGGCATTTGTCTGCGCCATTGTGAGGGTGCAGGTGATATGGGGACCCGGGGGAGACGGTTAGGGTGGTGATGTAGTCTGTGAAGAGAGGAAATGAATGAAAGCCGGTAGAAGCCGGCGTATGTGGTGTTGCACTGACTTGTCGAATATGCCTAAGACGACCACGGGAGTTGTAAAGACTTTCTATTATTAAAGCAGTGGTGTAGGAGTGGTGGTGGTAAGCCATCTCAAGCTGTTATTTCGACAACGCTATTTCTACCGCTTGGCTGCTACTGCCACAGTAACAAAATGCTAGACTGCGAGGTTGCAAGGTTGCAAGATCGCTACCTAACAAATGTCGAATTGTTCAAAAAAGCTTTGAGGTCTTTTGGGAATAGAGCTCTCTATAAAATTTATATCAAATGGCAGACTATAACATCATGATCGTCTGCCGGCTAATATAATTGCCCTCAAGAAGCAGACGGAAGGACTGGAGCCCCAATGCATCGTCTGGCTTTAAGTACAGTCTACACGCTACAAAACCATCCAGGGTCACATGGACAAAGCTTTCACCAGGTATGTGCACAAGGATTGCTTGAAAGGAAACGCCTTTGCTCATGTGCGCTTCTGATTTTCGCAACGCGGTCCCCGAGCCCGATGGCTCTCCTGGAGCCGACTGTATTTCCCAGTCAATCCTGGACATTCAAACTCTTGTTGCATCCCGTCTTTGTCCTTGACAGCTTTCTCCACCTTCGGCAAGATCATCTCGCTCTCATGTATGTCAACAAATGCCGATCAAACGCCTCACACCTGATCGGCATCTCCAATTGATAGAAAGGATTCTTCGTCACATAATCCGCATACAATTCGTACACCTTCCTTATGATGACATCAACGTTTGGCTGGTGTGGTTCTGTGAACAAGAGAAACTTCGTGCCCGTAAATGTCTGGAAGGAAGTCAGGCGGAAGTGAGAGGATTCGAGGACTTCAATGCCTGTTCGCTGGCTGGATGGAATGCCGAGGGAGGAAGGCGTGAGAGATTTAGTAATTGCGTGGACGCTGGGGGCAGTCAGTCTTGATCGAGCTGTGACGTTGCAGTACTGCTTGGGATTGACCAAACCCGTGAAAGGTGCCTGCAAGAACTAGTAGGTCGTTAACGGAGACCTTATTAAGAGCGTTGTTGAAGTCGCGGTTGTAGACTAGACCTCCGGCCTTATTAATGATTATAAGGGAGTAGACGACCCTGTGCATACTCAGCAAGGGCGTAAAAGTGACTATACTCGACCTACATAATGTCGAGCTCTGGCTACAAATCCTGCTGTCTAATGCAGGATTGCAAGAGTTCATGAGCTCAACTTCGTAATCTGTGGTGCTTATTCTTTCATCTCGAATGGCTCGGAGTTTAGAGCATCTTGACGAAAGTCTCGGAATAGGTTTATCTTCCCATAACGTGTTCTCGTCGCATGCCTGCTGGTAAAGCAAAGGAGGAAAAGGTCATAGGTTCTGGCCCTAAAAAGATCGCATTGAGGATAGAGCGGACTTATTTGCCGTTTAATTTAGCCGAATGATGCACGAACTTTTGGTCTCTCCCCACAACAGTCTCACGACTCCTTCAACCTGCAACATGCCTATCTCTCTCTCATCGATAGTCACGGCCCTGCCGTCTGAAGATTCATGGGGTCCACCCACCACCACGGATGCGCTCGTGGATGGCGTTCCATACGCACCATACTCGAAGGGAGACAAGCTGGGCCGGATGGCGGACTGGACAACTGAGGGCAAAGATAGAGATGGACGAGGAGGCAGGCAGCAATATAATAGGAACTACAGGGGTAACGTATTCCAAAATAGTAGCGTTAGAGTACTAAAGCTGATGTTCGCAGATCAGCAAGTCTACGGTGCTGGCACGTCCAGCCTATTCGCGGTTCAAGTAGCAGAAGATGAATCATCTTTTTCCGTGGTCGACAATACTCGCACTTCAACGAAGACTCGAGGCTTCGGGCGTGGCGGTGGTACCATATTCCGAGGTCGAGGACGAGGCGGGCGCGACCAACGTGGAGGACGAGGCACGTTCCAGAATTCAAGAGTGGGCGGCCGCGGTGGTCAGCAAGCCTACCTCTACGACCAACGGGGAGGTGCTCGAGGCGGACGAGGTGGACGAAGGTTCGGCTGGAAAGATTATGACAAGCCCCAACGAAATCGCGACTCCTCTGTGAACATCAAACCTGACTGGACGATGTTAGAAGAGATTGACTTCGCCCGGTTACTGAAGCTCAACCTTGAAACCTCAGCCGGTGAGGACATCGATAGCTATGGCTTCCTCTACTACTATGACCGCGGCTACGACAAGCCTCCTGTCAAGAATACGGAGCGAAAACTCAACGTCGTGGATCGCGCTGCGTACAATGTCACCACCTCTTCAGATCCCATAATCCAAGAACTGGCCGAAAAAGACGAAGCCACCATTTTTGCCACCGACAATATCCTCTCCATGCTCATGTGCGCTCCCCGATCCGTCTACAGTTGGGATTTAGTCATTACGAAGCAAGGTAGCAAACTGTATCTTGACAAGCGAGACGGCTCGTCCCTGGATATGGTATCTGTAAACGAGAATGCCGCGGATGCACCTTTGGAAGCGAGCGAGGGCAATAAAGATAGCATTAATTTCCCCGGCGCATTGGCGCTTGAGGCCACCTTCATTAATCACAATTTTGCGAATCAAACCGTCATGGAGAGCGAAACGAGCAAGTTGGAAATGCAGCACGAAAACCCCTTCTACAACCCGTCAGAAGAGACCGAACCTTTAGCATCCAAAGCCTACAAATATAGACGCTTCGACCTCTCGCTCGAGAAAGACGAAGATCCTCTGCATCTGATCGTCCGCACAGAGATCGATGCGGTTGTGAAGAATAATATCAGCGGCGAAGATCAATTACTCACCCTGAAAGCACTGAACGAGTTTGACCATAAGGCACAAGGTAGCGGCGGTGCTCTAGACTGGAGGACCAAACTTACGAGCCAGCGCGGTGCGGTGGTAGCAACGGAGATGAAGAACAACAGCTGCAAGTTGGCGAGATGGGCTACACAAGCTATATTGGCTGGCGCAGACGTGATGAAACTCGGGTAAGCAATTATCACCGTCCGCCTACCTCTGCCACACAATCTGCTAACCTTTACTGACAGATTCGTATCCCGAGCTTCCCCCAAAATTCCCGACCGACATGTCATCCTCGGCGTCGTCGGCTACGATCCTCGCAAATTTGCTGAGCAAATGAATCTCAACCTCGCTAATGGCTGGGGTATCGTCCGGACCATTGTGGACATGTGCCGGAACATGAAAGATGGCAAATACGTCCTCGTGAAGGATCCAAATAAGGCGTTGTTGAGATTGTATGAGGTGCCGGTGGGGACGTTTGAGGAGGAAGACGGGGAGGAAATCGAGGGGACAGAGGCGGGTGGGGATGAAGAGTAAAGGCTTGTTGGAAGGGAAGTGTTTGTACGTGTCGCTGGAGTAGCGTTACGACGATAATGTTGAGCATGAAAAAAGCATAGATGGATGTATTGCCGAAACCATGCGATGTTCTTACGCCAGTGTCACCTTTGAACAGCCGCCTGTCATTGTCCCCAGCCTTCATGAAGTGGCTATGACTTTGCTTTGGTAGACGGGTCATCCTTGGTTCATGTGACCTTTGGGTTCCATATGGGCCAGCGTTGAGAATTCAAGCGCTATTACATCAATTTTTGCCATTTCACAACCGTGCACCCCCTCTCTGTTTGGTGCACCATTCCTCTTCACCCCTTTACCAACCCCCTTCAATTCAACAGGCTCAACCCATCCTCCCCATCTCTTCACCCTACCCTTCCACTACCTCGAATTCGCTCCCTTCAAATCCTCAGGTCCGAAACTCATGGGTAGCAGCTGCACCCACCGCCAATCAGTATCGGACCCATGCTCGAGCCAAGTAAGACAGTCCACACATACTTGTTCGAGCGTCTTCACCACACGGTTCCCGTCCTTGTCGTACATGAATATGGGTGTTGAGAGGGGACAAAATTCACGGATGCTGGTGTTGGACGGTCAGTGGATGTTGTGAGAGACGCTGTGTGGAGGTGGACAAAAAAGGCGTGGGAGGAGACGGCGACACACAACTGACGGCACATGCCACACGGTGACGCTTTTCTCATGTCCGGTCAGTCCTCTTGTGTTCTTATAGATGAGGAGAAGAGCACGGAGGGGAGTCTCGCTCCGACGGTCCACATACCCGGCGGGGTGATGTCCGTGGCCACAGCGATTGCTTTGAAGGCTAAATGGCCTTGCGTCTGCGCCCGTCGTTACCCTCTTGACGTTCGAAAAAGGACACAAACCGCTGCGGGGGTGGACGCGTGGTTTCCAATGCTCGCGAGAGAGAGCGATAGAGTAACGTAAACAAGGCTGAAGTGGGCTCGTGGAAAAGAGATCAACGAGAATGGGACACGGAACGTCGACTAACCACAGCGGTCGCCAATGCACATCTCTCGGCACACGTCCCGACGGGATAGCTCGCGTTTTCCACATTGGCTCCTATGACGATGGAGCCGTCTTCGGACAGCAGAGCGGCACCGACGCGGAAGTGGGAGTAGGGACCTGGCCCTCGCATCAGCCCGTGGATTATATAGTGGTATATTTGTGTGCACGGAGATCAGTACATGAGGGTGCAGGTGAGCAGACGGCATTGATAGATCGACAAAGTACAAGGAGGAGAAATCCTCGACGATCCAACGAGAAGGGCGTAGATGTTTGGGCAATGTGGAGAATTGCATAGGTACTAGATGGGATCCCACCAACGTAACAAGTTTACATCCTTCCAGCCTCAAGATCCTGTCGTCTCGAAGCGAACGAGTGTTTTTTCAAGTTGATGCAAATGCTCTGCAGGACAGGTATAGACATGGTAGATAGACAGCACCTACAGTATGCCCGCCCCTTCGCAGCAATGGCCTTCTCCTTGAGCTCCTCTACGGAGCGGTCGTCAAGACCAAATTGGCCAGACCCCTTTCGCGTTTGGCTTGGCTCAGAGTGCATTGTCCAGATTTTGATGGGATCGAATGGAGGAAAAATGTCCCGTGGAAAGATGGTGTGAAGTAGAGTGTTGAGGAATGAGGATTCGACTCGGTCGGTATGAACTCAAAAGCTAGGATCAGTCTGTCGATATCTAGGAAGGAGTGGAAGCTGCTGAGCGTAAACGATTGGTATCTACGCACCGCTCCATTATATTCAAGTTCGCTACGACTAGAATACATCCCGGAAGGAAGGAATGCACGCTCCCTATCATTCTCCCTGAATACCAGAAACGCCTAACAATGCCGCTGTCCTCTTTCCCTTCCAATCCTATCCTACACTTCTTCCTCCTCATCATCTCCTAACAACTCGTCCTCATCTGGGTCAACAACTGCGTATCTTCCCCCTCTCGCAAAATCGCTCCGTTGCGTATACGTCCTTCCACTTCCAAACAACCCGGTAATCCCTCTCCACGCGCTCGCGAGCAGAAGCGGCAACGTAGCTACCACAGCAACCACAGCACTGACCGCCGTAATTGGCCATGCGATCCATGGCTTGTCTGCATCAAACGCACTGCCTGAATCTCCAAGCCTGATACGTCCAAATTTGCCATCCCAATTAGCCCAGACCCAATACCCGGCTCCTCCTGCGATGACAACCGGTAAGACGAATACCAGCGCGAAGAACCAGAACCCGCTGAGACCTTTCTTGCGCTGTTCACGGTCGAAGTCGCCTTCATGGCCTTCGCAGGGTATTTCTTTTGACGTGTACTCTAGTTCCTGGCCGCCTTTGCAAGTGTCGAGTGGAGTGCGGCGATAGCCTGTGGGAGTGAAATAGGACAATAATTCCGGGTTTTCGACACAAGCTTGGCTGTGGTCGGGGGGCGGTAGACCAGGGACGAGTTGGCAGGAGCCGTCATTGCCGACCTCGTAGTTGTAGTCACTACATAAACGTATCAGCAAGAATGTGTTTCTAACGGGACTGAAGATGATAGCCTTACCATTCAAAATCCTCCCTCGTGCAATCGCAGTTTCGGGAGATGCTGTGCAGATGTTGTATGTCTAACCCGTTATAACATTCGGCTTCAGGTCTTTTGCGGTGGTATTGCGCAACATGTCCAAATAGGCAGTTGTCTTTCTGAGTAGGATGCTTGGGTTCCCAGAGGAGGTAGTCACCCTTCTCTGGATTCTTCTCGTCCAATTCACATTGCTTGTCCGTCAAGCCTGTAAAGTCAAGATTGACGGTAGCAACGTTGCTGCCACTTGCGCTTTCTTTACCCCACAGAATGAAATTCCGTGACTTGTCAGAGGGAACAGTAGAGATGGCCGCAACAGTGAAGTCGGCGTCTGCGAAGACATATTCTTGCCAGTTGATGCCTTCGTTCAGAGAATAGAAAACAGATCGAGTGGCAACATCCTCTTCAACAATGACGATGATTGAACCCTGGTCGCCGTACTCCCACATGTAGTTGCCTTTCTTGACAGGGTACCATTCAACGCCACCATCTCGAGTGATGAAAGTGTCTGCATCAGGTTTCCTGCCCAGATACTGGCCAACATTACCGACACCCATCATCAAACCAATGGCTGACGGAGACGAGAATGTAGCACGCGGATCCCGGCGCTCGGTGTAGCTGTGAAGATGCAGAGAACATTTCAAGGTGTCCTTAGGATCGCACTCGTATTTACGACCCTCAGCGTCTTTAGATGGGGCTTGCAAAGGTGCCCATTGAGCACCATCGTTATGCGTAATCATGGTTCTCAGCTTTTTGGATTTACCCTGATCGGCCTCGTCGATGTTGGCAACAGTATTGACCAAAATGACTCCCTCGAGGCCAAGCATCTTCTCAAAATCGACATATCCCCGACCATTTCTGTTGACGCCATTGAGACTCATGACATAGGATGTGCCGTTGCTGTTACTCTTGATGATTGAACCATACTCAGACTCTTCGCGGTTATTGACCGTTACATGCAAGAAGACGGCGTGTGTAGAGCTATCCAGCACCGTGTAAGCCTTCTGAGCAGGCACCTCAAAGCTCGGCGGAAATCTTGCGTCGGCGAACGTCTTGCCATCCACGCTGGTATGGCATGTAAGAGCGTCACGGTCATCTTCCCGTCTGGCAGCTACAACGATGAATTCAGACATGGTGGCAAAATCTATGATATCGTTGAATGGCTTGTGATCGTCTGCGAACCAGTTGTCGCTCCACTTCAGCTGCAGAGGGTTGTCCGGCTTCTCGTCTTGGTACTGCTCGCAGTACACGAGCTTCTCGTTACCTCCACGGCCTTCCTTCTTGATGAACTCGCACTTGTTGACATAACGCAATCTATGGTCCCAAGTGGCACCTCTGTCTTCACTGAAGAAGGCAACATTATGGCAATTGCTCTTGCTAGATCCATCGCAGTCCACCGCACCAGTCCAAATGAGCCAGTCTTTATAGTCAGCATGGAAGCTCAGGATCTGAAGCTTGTCTCGAGTGGGCTCGGCTGGGGCTTCGAAATGGCCAATAGTGACCCCTCTATTGACGGAGTAGAATACTTTCTTGCTGCCGGTAAGGAAGTATACCACATCATTGAAATATTGGTGAGGGTAAATGGCCGTGATCTCTTCATCCTCGAGAATCTGATCCCAGGTCTTACCAGCATCGGTAGTAATATAAACCTTACGGTCGTCAGTCCGCATGACAATGGTCTCGTCGGTACCCGTACTCCTGTCAGTCCTCTCCAAGTAGAAGTACTCTTCGAAGCGTCTTGCACGGAAAGTTGAGAGCTCTTTTGCTATTTTTCCACTTGCGGGTGGCCTGATGGTATCGTCGCAAGACCGCTCTACTTCTTCGTCCAACGCGACAGCACCCTTGGCTTCTCGATCGCAGTCGTTGCCAGGAATAAGCCTGAAGCCAGAGCTGCCCATGTATTTGGCATCTGAACCATCGCACTGATCTTTAGGCACTGGCAAAGTTCCAGCCGGAATGCACTCGCTTCCATCGTCGCTGGGAACGAAGTTGTAGTCACATTCGAAATCCTCATTAGCGCAAGCGCAAGGCTCGAACTCTGGTACAGGGTCCTTGAACTCTTGATCTACGAAACAATCGGCATCGGCCTTGCGTCTGCGGTACCATTGTTTGTGGCCCATGATACAAGTCGGGTCTCCGTTCTCGTCCACGCGCGCAGGCCACCGGTCGAAGTCATTGTCCTTGCATTTTCGTTCATGAAGCTCAGCAAAATCAATAGCGATTGCCATATGCTCCAGATCTGATCCTCCGCCGGTAGTAGCCATGAGGAAGAATTTGAGACTGGTAGAGTCGGGCGTGGTCGTGAGTAGCTTGGCACGAACTTTGTCACCGAGGTCTGCCTTCTCCCAGGATTTACCATGATCGAGAGAATACTGAATGGTGTCTGTGGGACCCTCGTCATAGATAGCCAGTAATACCGAACCTCTGTCACCAAATTCATATTTGTGAGCTTCTTTCACTGCTAACCGCCAGGTCAAGCCGGCGTCGTCGGAGACATAGAGGTCACATTCTTCGTAATCCTTGAGGTATTTGCCTCTGTTGCCAATTCCCATGACAAGCCCTGGCGCCAGACTTGAAAATACTCTGCCCGAGTTGGTCATTTGTGACACAGAGTGGAGGTGTATCTCGTCGTCGTCGTCTGTGGTGAGTGACTGGAATTTCCTCCCATCGTCAAAGCTGATCTTGCTCTTGATCTTCTTCTGAGCAAGGGGCGACTGTTCCACGTCCTCCCAGTTGTCCACTACATTGACCATCACGATCCCCTGGATACCCGCGATCTTCTCAAAGTCCACGATGCCCTTGTAGTTCCTATTTGTATGCTCAATATTCCGGGTGAAGTAGGTTCCGTTCGAGTTACTCGTAAAGAGAACCCCCATAGCATTGATCGGGGATGTAGTCATGACATCCACCTGAATGCTATAATTGGTACTCTCTAGGATTGTGTAGGCATCTTCCTCCAACTTATGATCGATGGGGAACACAGCTCTGTGCCAAGTTTGCGCGTCATCCGTCACATACATCGCCAGCTCATCCGTACCTTTAGCACTTGCAGCGGCGACCAAAAAGCCCTTCACGACAGCGATGTTGATGATCCCTTGAACAGTACGGTCACCTTCCAGAACCGGCTCCTCCTCCTCGTCCTTGAAGTAATCATCTGAGACCACCAGCCGGTTGTCTCTCGTTGACCAAATACTCGCATACCGTCCCTTCACAACGCAGACCACTCGGTCGTCGTTCTTGTCATCTGCACTTGTTTGGAACTGCGGCGTTGACCTAGCAAATACGCAGCTCCTGGTGTCCTGCCTCATCTCTATGGGAGGAGTCTTGAAGGCGTCTTTCGTGTAGTAAGCCATCTCATCGCACACAAACGGTTCAGTACAGATATTGACAATCACCTTGTCGCTGTCTGCCGCATGGAAGCTGAAGGGCGGTCGAAATGGGACAGGGTACCCTTCTATATCAAAACTCCGCCATGATTTGCCCCGATCGTCGGTTATCCAGTGTGTAGTCTCTTTGCCCCATACGTATGCCATCTCGTTGTTGTAGGGGTGCAGCACCAGATCCAATGCTCGTCCTTCCGGAACATCGTCAATCACGCCCCACTCCTCGCCTGCATCCTCTGATCTTATTACGTTTCCAGCGTTATCAAGTATAAGTATGACATCTGAATCTTCGAAGTAAAGAGGTGGGGCTGCGGGAGGGTTATCGAGTTTGGATTTGGTGATGCGTGGAGCATCTTTCTTTGCGGAGGCGGGTCCCGTCAACCATGATGCTTGCAAAAGGAGAAGGGACAGGGAGATGAGGAGAGGCGAAGAGCTTCGTAGAATCATTCTGGATGGTTGATAAGGGAAGAAGGAGGATATTCCCTTGCGCTCGTGAGGTAGGGTCCGTAGGGACACATCAGCTTCGGGTGTTTGCTGTCGTGGCGAAATTACGGCAGAGCGGCGCCAAGGCTGACTTCCAAATGAATGCAGCCGGGCCCGGCACGAGCTTTGCACAGCAGCACTGCGACATGAATCTACATGTTTATCGCGCCTTTTACCATAGCTTTGACATGGACTACATGATGGCAATCTGCGACACCTTCGTTGAAGACCAGTCTCCATTATTGCTATCTAACACGGCGGCAAGCTCATCTGATGATCCTACAATCACAATGATTCCCCACGCCATGCAAGATCCATCAATACATACTGTATGCAAGCTGACAGGGAGAAAGAGATTCGTTCAGCATGAGGGATATAGTCACTGCTTCCCCAAATCCATGCAAAATATCCTTCCTATCCCTGCAAAATGGGTCCCTTTTGTCCCAGTGAGGGAAGATCTTTCTAACTTTCGCCAACGCTTGATCCCATAAAAAACATTCTTCTTCCAACGCAAGGGGGTATCTGCGAGCTGCATGATGTGTCGACAAACGAGAGTTGGGGTTGTTGTAAATTAAAATCGTGATTGGTCCAAATGTGCTGTGCTGCTGAATCGAATCGAAAATCAACGCTGCGTAAGTCGTGAGGTAGCCTGGAAGGATTCGGAACGGCTCGAAGACTCCCATGGTCTCATATTGTGCGACGATTATGCTTCATCATCGCCCTCGTCCTCTTCATCCGCCTCTTCGCTCTCGCCGCTCGGTGTGTCCTTGGCCGGTTCGACCTTGGCCTTCTTGATTGGAGGGGTGCTCTCATCATCGTCAAGAGCGCCCGATTTCCTCTTGGACCCAGCAGAATCACTCGATTTGGCTGGCCCTGAGGTGTCGGATTCCTGGTTGTTCAGGTTCTCCAGAACCTTGGGAGCATACTTCTGCAGCTCTCCGCCTTCGCCTTTTTCGATGAGCGAAACTTCCTCGGCGGTTAGAAATCTTCCCCCGGGTCCCCTTGGCCGCCGCATCGCGTGTTTATGTCTCGACTCATGCAGATATGGCTTACGGCCCTTTGAGGTGAGCCGAAGTGCCTCTTCCAACTTCTGGCGAGCCACGCGTCGCTTCAGGATCCGATGGAATTGTTTGGCGTTGACATAAAGCGGCGCTTCTTCGGCACCTGTAGGCCCCGCTTCAGGAGAAGCCGCGTGGTGTTGCTGATGCTGATGCTGTGGAGGTGGCGGCATCTGAGGAGGGACAGAATTTCGTGGAGGCTGGTGGCCCATCATCACTGTTTGCGCGCTCTGGCCGTGTGGGCTGCTGACAGAGTGTCCCATATGACCTTGGGACATCCTGTGGTTTTGAGAGACCTGCGAAGGTAGAGGTCCCATCGTATTCGGCACTTGCGGTGGTGACCGTGGTGTTCGCTCATTTTTAACAGCGATGCCTCCCATCCGCGGTGATCCAGCCATCGAAGTCTGAGGCATCGGGTAGCCATAACTCTGCTGCCCTGACGCGGCTGCGGTAGCCATAGCTGCTGCTTGGCCGGGCGTGATGTTGTACGGTTGATGCATGTTTGGCTGACCAACATACGACTGAGGATAGTTGAGGCCCGTGTGGTTTGTTTGAGGTGGTTGCTGCGTCGGGTATGAATGTCCTTGAGAGGGCAGGATGGTGGAAGCCTGTGTCTGATGCTGCATGTGCGGCGGTTGGCTAGGTGGAGATGTAATTGTTGGACTCTGTTGCGCGTTGGAGTAAGCCTGCATGTGCGGCGCCTGCGGATGCTGGCCGTAAGAATGTGCTTGAGGCTGCGCGTAATCCATCATGGATGGAACCTGGTCGAGTAGGTTTATTGTGTGTTTGTTATGTAGCTCGTGAACGGCGTCTGTGCCTGCACACGCGAATCAGCGTGATCAAGGGTCGGATAGGCTGAAAAGGGTGGACCATGGGGAAGCTTACCAAGGATGTGTGGGGAATTGAAGATGTCAGAACTGCAAAGTAAACTTCTTTGGTTATGATTGGAAGAAGCTACTCTGTGGTCTCCGCACAGTCTTCGCGGCGGGGCCAGCCGGCTGCGTGGATTGGATGATTTTTATGCGCGGAGCTGCAGCCCTGGCATCTCTTAGTTTCCAGCACATAAACCTTACGTTCGATTGGATGAAGTAACAAATCAGAAACTCACCAAAAGAAATTTTCCTTTTGACAATAACAATAAGTGTACTGGATCGGCCGAAGATTCCCTGTGCTTTTAATGATTTGCGGTTCGTAGTACACGATAAGGCGTGACCGAGGCTGGGTGACAGAAGCTGCTCAGTGAGGCGGTGGTTGGGCTTCTATGCAGCGAACAGACTCCACGATTTGCGTGCGCTGTCAACTTACTCGTGACTCAGGGTTCGCCACGATAATGGCTGGCCACCGATTCTCCGAGTGCCTCAACGGTCGTGGTATGGCGCTAGACAACGAGCGTCAATTTGAGGGAATATTGACTCCACTAATCTCTTCTTGATCGATTTACACTAGCAGCACAATTGCCTGCGACGTCGACTCCTTTGGGTAGGTATGAGGCGGTGCGAGTGCTTAGTGGTGTATCGTCGGGGCAAGCTTTCGTCGCCACCGTTGGAGAGTTTCTTCCAACAGTACAGACAGGTATGAAATGAGGCGGGCAATGAAAGCCAAAGGTTCGGAGCGTCAACTGTCGGCTTCAAAGCCAGGAAGGTGTTAGTATTGATTACATTAATAGATATGGACACGACAGGGAGCGGGGTTGATATTTGGGAGCAAGGCATGGACATGGCAAAGAGCGGTGATGATTTGATGCGTTGGCAGAGTATAGCGCGCGGAGAGCGGAGGTGCTGCAGGCCGAAAACATACCTTGTCGATCAACAGAACGTGTTGGGGATCCCAGCGTGCTGTAAGACTTGTGAATGGTGAATGGCACCCGGAATGAATTTAAATGGACAGTGTTTCGAGTTATTCGGAGGGGCTGGGTGTGAATGGCGTGTGGGTGGTTTATGAGGGACTTGGGCGGTGTTGAAGCGCTTCTATAGTTATCCAAACGCTGTCGGGTATGCAGGTCTCGTGTAATTCTGGTTTGCTTCCTTGCGACAGCCGTGGAAAATGGTGCACAACACTGAAGAAGAAGGATCGCAGCAGTCTAGGTATCTCCGTACTGTGCTCCGATGTTAATGACCCTGTTTGATGCATCATGGTTAGAGAGAGTACATGAATAACCCAATTAACGCGTCGTCGCCATACAAACGCTGACCAAAACCGTGATCGCTCTCGTGGCTGTGGATGAAGGGTCTAACTAAAGAATGAGACGCACGTTGTAAGATGCCAATTAAGCATTCTCAGTGGCCGAGAGTCGCATGAATGCCAGCTTGCGCGACCGTGGGGCTGGGTCCAGCAACAATCACCTGACGTCGCTGCTTGATGCGAACTTCTGTCGATAAAGCTGGGGAACAGAATAGTCTGCAATGCGATAGGTCGCCTTGTTCCCTAAACGCGGTTGCAGTCGATCTTCCGTGGGGTAGGTTACTGGGGAGTGGGAAGTGGGAGAGAACTTTTCGGTTTTCGGGGATGCTTGCGGGCGTGTTGATTGGAAGAAGAAGAAGAAGAAGAAGAGAGCGAGCCAGTCAGCCAGTGACGAGGGGTGTTGGTACTTGTTTAGGCTCAGCAAGCGCGCGTTGGTGGGAGGGAACTTTGGACGTAAAGTGAAGTAAAGTAAAGTAGAGTAAAGTAGTAGATTGGGGTCTTGAGAGCCAATGGAATAATTTGGCGAAGGATTTTCTGGGGTTTGGAGAAAGAAGAAGAAATGCGAGATATTGATTGGAGGGAAAGAGAAATATAAGTAATAATGCGCCAATTGTTTTTCTTTTCCCCCCTTATCCCTTATTTTCTTTTCGGGGTGTGCGGGGGGAAAGAAGGCTCGGGGGCAAAAAGGAGGGTTCACATTCACAAGCTGCCAGCCCTGAGAAAATTACCGGTGAGGAGAAGGCTGACCAACACTACGCCCGAATGCACCTGCTTCACAGCCCAGCGTCTACGGAGATTGTTTTTTATTTTTTTTCATGAAATGAAAGATACTTGAATGTTCATTCACTATTATGATTATTATCACATTGAATTACGGAGATCTACACCCATCAGGACGCGGTTTTAAAATCACTCGTGACAAATTATCTGCCAACCAAATCCTTCATCACCTCCCGCACAGTCCTCGTAAATGATAAAGTAACTAGTTAAGTACTCCGTATTAGAGTATCCCACGCTCGGAGAGTAAGCACTTGTCCGATAGCCGCCCTTCACACCCTCTGGCCTCATCATAACATCATTGAAGTGTGTTTCAGCTACGCGCTCATCCAGATTCCAGACGCACGTCATTACATGTACGCCTTGGTATCGATCGGCATGGATGCTGATGGTTGGCGGAAGAAGTAAGGTAAAGTAGGTAAGGTAAGTCGGGACTCGGTAGCCATTCCTTGTCGATTATCCAGAGAATGCTTAATGATTAAGTCTATTAAGTCTCCGGAGTGATTGCTCTCAAACGTGGCTCCCAAAAACTGAAGAGTCAAAAACGCTGATGCTCGAGGCTTCCATGTGGCAGTGGCAATGGCGGTGGCACCCACCTGCCACCTGGGGCAAAAGTCTGGAACATTCTCTCCCGACTGGCCGATGCCAACACCACACCGTAAACCCGGCTTTCACATTGCCAAGATGCTTAACCTCAGACTGACATGCTTTAGTGCAGCCTGCTTTTCTTGGCTAAGGTACCCCTAGCCTAGTTTAGCTTAGTTTAGCTTACCTTACTTTACCTGGCAGAAAGTAAAGTACCGACGGCCGGATATCAAGCTCTCTCCAATATCTGCGAGGGAAATCTCTCTGCACCTGATATTGCATTATTTCCGTGTCACCGTGATGCATATAGTGCTGATTCGACGACATGCGTGCTGCATATTGCATACGATAGATTACCTGCTCAGAGTTGGGGGAAAAAAAGGACAACCCTGCATGAAGTACCTAGAATCACCTCGGAGCAACGATCATGCAAGGAAACAGCTAAGAGCCATTTGCAGTGAATCATATTCCACCCCCCGTGGAAGCATGTCTCGGTAGGAGAAGTCCGGTCATTCACCTCTGCAGCAGTGCAGGTCCGGATTTGAAACCTGTTTGACTCAGCCGGGCGGGCTACTCCGAAAGCATTCGCAGTATGATCCAGTATCAGACCTTCGAAAATGCATCTCGGCTTGTCGCATTCTTACTATTGGTCATAATCCGCGCTGTGCATTGCGAGACCAATTTGTCGTGTAGCAGGCCTTCATAAGTGATCAATAAAGTAATGATTGGGCCAAGATAGCAATCGTTACAACACAACGATTCGAAATCATCCTAACCGTTTGGAGCATGGAATATTCTGATTCTCTTCAAACAGATACCTGTCAACCACCAGGATCACCTATCGTCCCCACCCTCTCAATCCTTCGTAAACGGCAAAGATGAATGCCGAGCTCGGAGCGGCCCTTCCCACCGTAATACCGCAGCCCCTGTACAGACCCCTAATTCCTTGCTGTTGCCACAACGCTTTTCCGGATCCCCAAAAAGTCCTCCGTACCTGCCCGCCAGCGCCGACTTCCTCGGTCTGCATCCGCGACTTGATCGTGTCGGCAGGGAAGAAGACAAAATTGTAGGTCACCCCGGCTGTGGCCCCTGCGAGCATCTGTTGATACAAGGGCAGTGTGTCTTCCTTTGCTGCTTTCACCATCGATGGTGTATAACGAGCATTATATTTCCGGAACTGCGCACTCACACCCTCGTAGCTTCCGAACCAAGCTGCTGAACCCCCGGTCTCGCGGATCAGAGTTCCCAGCTGCCCATGCCAGAAGCCAAGAATGCCGTAGTGACGGAAGACTGATGCAATGATCGAGAGAGGTCCTGGGCCTTGAACACTGGAAGGCGAGAGCGGGACTTGCATCTGGCATTTCACCAACTCAATTGGTGTAAGTAAGAGGCTTGTAAAGGCACCGCTGGCTCCTCCGCTGGCTATCAATGCACTCAACGGCAGCGGATTGCCATTCTCGGGTGAGATGATGGTAGCTTGGAGCGCGGTTTGAGCGATGCGGTAACTGAAAAAGAGACTACTCGTCTCTATCGCTGCGCCGAGCAAAGGAGCGCTGATACCGCGGTATAAGCCTGTGATGCCTTCTTTTCGGAGAGATTGCCGGAAGCAATCAAGAGGCCCTTGATAACGGAGAGGAAGAGTGTCTGGCTGGGACTGCAGCCGCACTTTCACAGTGTCAAAAGGGTACTCAATCGTTTTGCCTATCACACCAGCTATAGAGCCAAACGTGAGGTCTTTCAATGCCTCAGTTCCATGGTCGCTTGAATTTTTGCAAACAGGCTCCGAGGGGAGGTCATCTTTGCTATTTGTCAAGGATGTTATCCTTCCTTCCGCCGCGTCGGTCATCGATGGTGCAGCTTCTAACAAAGCCAGGAGCCGAAAAGGTCAAGGCAGACGGCCGTTCTAGAAAAGATAGAACGGCCCTGTAGCGTTATCGGTTGAGCATCTCGCTTATGAGTGGTTACAATAAGTTGCGAGCGGTGAGTAGAGTAGAATAGGTTCAGGACATGCTTGGCATATTTTGAGTTGGAGAGCTGTGATAAGGAAATCGGAGTTCATATAGCGCGAGAGGATTCAAGCTCTTTGTTCTTTGGCGTGAGTTGTAAAAGTGAGATTTCTGTGCTCGTGTGAGACCCTTTTCACCCCTTGATTCTAGTGCCGCTATACCTTCCCTTCTGAGAACATCGAATTGCCTGTGAAGAGCTGGAGAAATTTCTATTCGGCAACGACAGGGACTCTGGCACTCTTTTTGGTCCTGGAATACCACCATTGTTATGCTCCGCTAATATACTAGCAACTCATACTTGAAAGTCATCCGAGAGGCAGAGCGGTAGGTATGATGTCCAATTCCGCGCCTACAGCATCAGCATTGACAACTCCAGGATTACGAAAGAATGGTAAGAGCTCACGACATATTTGGTTTGGCTCAGGGTAACTCCACTGACTTTGATACAGGCAAGCAATGGCACCCCCAAAAGTGCGCCTTCCGCCCAACGTCCGGGCAGACCTCGTACGAAAAGCGCACTGCGGGGCGGAAAGCAATGACTGCCATGAAGGCAAAGGAAAAGGAAATGAAGGATGAGAAAGAGAATGAAAGACAAGTACGTCAAGATGCCCGCTGGCCGTATGGATATGGTACTGAACGGAGAGTATCAGAGTCGTATACAAGCGATCAAAGACAAGAGAGCAGCGAAGGAAGAGAAGGAGCGCTATGAGAAGATGGCGGAAAAGATGCATGCCAAGAGGGTGGAGAGACTGAAGAGGAGGGAGAAGAGGAACAAGCTGCTGAAGTCATGAGTCGGGAGGCACTACGAGAGCAGGTGAAGGATCTGAGGGCACGATTATCGAAGCATAGCGCTTGGAGTTGGCTTAGTTACTCCTAGATTCAGGCATGATACCACGAAGGACGAGTAGGACGATTTCAAAGCTACCAGAGGTACTGAACTGTCCAGTCTATTGCACGTGATAAGTTTTCCATAACGTGAACGAGACCATCATCGAGCTCCACCGTGACCTAAAAATCCATAAACATTCCCATTATCCCCACCATTCCTCCCCCGTCCCCATCCATCAACCACACCCTCAACGATGATCCGCCCAACCACCCCCTCCAACCAGCCCCAGCTGTCCACTCCGCCCCGCTCGACAACCTTTCCCACCAAACCCGCTCATAGACACCACATTCCGCACCACCCCCACCGCGTCCACCACCAACACCACGACAAAAGCGTCCCCCAATCCGCAATCCTTCCCGCTACCTCAAACCCATTCGGTGACTTTCTGTCCAAGACAAACAGTAGGATAGACGGCAGGGTAGATGACGGCAAGAGCCCCTCGAGAGGACCGGAGCAGCCGCAGGTTAATGAGAGGGCGAGTGAAGTGAAGGAGGCGGAGAGGGAGAGGGAGCGGGAGAGGGACGCGTGGAAGGAGGTGGAGAGGTTGAGGGTGAGGAGGAACGCTGCTGATGAGTGTGTCTACATTCCTGTACCTGGATTGAACGGCAACAGAGATGCTCATTACTCTACTGTTGAAGTGATCTCCGAACCCGCCTCACCACCCTCTCGACCCTGTCGACTACGACGACCCGCCGCCTAGATTACACTTACTACTCCCTCCTCTCCTCAACCTCCTCTCTCGCCTCCGCAGTCTCCTCCCTATCGTCGCTCTCCACCCAAACCTCGGCCCTCCAAACGCGCTTCACGTCTTTGAGCTCCTCCCTCACCTCGGAAATAACAACTCAAATCTCCTCCTCTGACAAGTCTTTTGACGCTCAAGCTGGTCGTATCTCTCAGTTGGAAATACGTATAAAGGAGGGAAGGGAGAAAGTAGGGACGTTGGGAGAGAGGCTACATGGAGTGAGAGAGAAAGTCGAGAGGAGCTCACTGCAAGATAGGGAATCGAGACGGATAATTGGCAGGAGGTTGAAGATGCTGTGGGGGGCATTGGGACTCCTGATTGGGTTACTCTTGATATTGACGGCGACCAGGCAATGGCGACGGGACAAATATGTCATGACGGATGAGGTTGTGCATTTGCGAAATCGGAGGGAGGTGTTTGAGGACGTGGTGGGCATCCGCCAGGGAAAATGGGAGCAGAGAAGAGAAAGGCAACGAGATGAGGAGGGTTGGAGGCCAGGTGGGCAGACGAAGAAAAGAGTGGAGGACACGACCGCGAGGAGTTCGGCTGTGGACGCAGACGCCACGTTACGACTTTTTGACGAGTTATGAGAACATGACAGCATACGGAAACTACCAATGGAAAATAGCAACAGTAATGTAATAGGGTATCTTAAAACAAATCGAAGCGCCGTTTTGCTGTTTCGTCTACCCACGCAAATTAATATTCGCCCTTGATTTGCAGTCCGAACATGTCAAGTGCCGAAAATGTCATAATAGTAGTCCTCGTCGAGCCCTTCGCGGCTGGGTATCTCAGGGGCCTCACCCGCAAGAACCATATCTTCAAATCTGACATTCAACAGCCTGATCTTGAGGCCATAATCCTGCACCATGGCAATCAGTTTCTTGGTCTCGTTTGTGATTGGCTGCTGATTCAACAGCATGCGCAAACCGTCCAGCCATTCCACGGCCAGATTGTGAGTTTGTGGGTGAAGGGTAAGCAGTGTCACTTCCTTTCGAGGCGGCTTGGTTGCTATGGAGCCTGCACGAGTGTGGGTCTTGGGTGAGGCGGGACGTGAGTTGGAGGGAAGGTAGCCACGGATGGTTATCTTCCTTGCGGAGATAGAGTTGTGAGTTGCTTTAAGGGTAGTTGTTGAGGAATTGGGCTCATAGGTTGTGGAGACGTTCGAGGTAACGAACACTGTTGTGAGGTCGATCCTCTCAAGCAGTCCCTCCAGATTTGGCTCCTCATCACCAGCAACGTCGAAGTCGGCGTAGTGGAGAAAGCGCCTGTTGTGGGCTAGTTTTGCATAGCGTTGAGAAGTTGGATTGGACGGGTTAAGATCCTGCTTTGTTGCAGCGCCTTTTTCGCTATCGTGACCATGGCAGTTCGGGAACCATGCTCCTGCTAATAGACATCGTATGCGCTGCTCTTTGACAAATTGCAACGCTTCGTGGTACAGCTCGTCTCGGATTTGGCCAAGGTGATGACCCCAGTGGCCTTCGTAGGTCAATTCAAGCAGCTCCATCTGCAAATGCCTTAATCGTCTCAATTCGAATTGCTGAATTTCTGTTTCGACTACATCGACGTCGCTCAATCTTGTAGCTCCGCCAACCACTTCTTCGAGCAGTATTCGGACCAGGTCGGCGATCTTTATGAAGTCTTCAGTCTCGGCACCAGTAGTTTGCCATAGCCGGAAGAAAGCCTGTAGACCAGCAGTGTGGAGTAATGACCACTGCAAAATCAGAGGCTTGAAAACCTTGTCAAAGTTCGTTCGTGACTCGAAGGAGAGCTGGAATTTGCCATCGTCAATATCTGCTTTCTCAATTTCAAAATGCTCGCAAAGCATCGAAGTCACCGCAAGACTTGCTCTGGCAATTGGACATCTTTGTTCTGCCAGCTTGGTTGATTGCTCCAGCAGGAGCTTCTGAAAACCATCCTCCTGCCGTCTCACATATTCTATCAAGTCTACCATCCCCAGATAACCAACATCTCCAAATTCCCAGGCTGGAGTCTCCGACTCGAACCCCAGACGTCTCCACTTTTCTGGGTTATGTCTCTTCTTCACACCCTCTTCTCCATCATCCACTGGTGTCGTGACTCTTTCAGGATTGCTAGCTAAGTGAATGCTTTTCAGAGCTCTTCTATGATCCGACTTATCTAGATCCACAGGAATATCTCGCCATTTACGAAGCAGCACTTTTGTCAATGCCTGATACTCGAGCAGTGGATGTGACAGATCCTGTAACGCTGTGCTTTGCATGAGTGTATAGACCGCTTTGATGACACCGAGGTCTTGCAGCCGCTTGATGAATTTAGGCCAGTCAGCTTCTGAGTGGTTGTTAATAGCTTCTCGCATCAACGAATTGATGAGCAGCAACGCATTGGCACATAAAGCGTGATCGGCGGAAGATAATCTACTGACGAGCATCTCGAGGAACTGTGGGTACACAGACATAGCGGGCTGTATAGCTCGAAAGCCAGAGCTGTCGGACTGAGAGATCTTGCTCGAGGCGGTATAGGGATGAGAGACGATGTAGACTAGAATTGACATGGCACCGCGAAGGATGTTGACCAGTGGATGAGTGACGACCAGCTCGACAACCTACATTCCCATGTCAGCTGCCATCTTAAGAACATCTGAAGAAAAGTTTACCCTTTCCACAAGATCTTGATTGACATACTCCCAGCCTTTGTCCACCTCCAGCAGTCTTGAGAAGGAGGTCAAGCTATAGGCCAAAGTATTGCCGGTAGCGTGGAGTGTTAGATATCGTAACTTCGTTAGGCCTCCTTCCAGTATGAAAACATCAGCGAACGATGGATCCCCAATATTGGACTGCAACTTGAAGACGGCCATCTTGCGCACGGCATCCTCATCACTGCCTAGGCGCTCAACGAGCTCCGAGACATTGATGCTATCCATGGCCTGAGACCTGTCCTTTTACAAGCTGTGAAAATCAAGAAGGCATTTCAATTGACCATCTCGATGGTTGAACTTGACCAAATGTACCTTATTTACGTAGACATTTGGGCAGCTGCAGGTCCTCGCTAGCGCTTTTGCCGAGCCAGGCGCCGGACTTTTGTGTTTACTTTATAGTTTATACTCCAAGGTCTCACCAGAATCTCCGGGCTCTGAAGTCCCGGGCATTATGGATAGAGGATGACCGTAACCCTTCCGAGGTTCCAAACAGGCTCTACCTGAAGACCGCCTCTAGTATGCCACCGGTGGCTGACTACATCTAACATCACGATATCAATACAATCTCCCTTTCACCTCGTTAATGTACCCCGCCCCCATGCACTTCAGAATTAGCAAGCGCCGTCCTCCCATCCCCTTGCTGCGCCTCCTGATTCTCCCTCGAAAATGCAGCATCCCAATCCCCCGGCGCGCTATCTTCAGTCTAGGTTATGATTTCAGAGTCAGTATTGCCTATCCGGGAGGGTATATTGAGCATTGAAACATGTCTACAAAGTAGACACTCTCAAGACACGTCTCAAGGCTCAAGATCTGGTCCAGAAGAGCAAATATGATCTCCGAAGATTGCGTACGTTAGTCCCTGAAGGTCCTCGCTGCGATCCCTGCGAGTCGACATTGGAGTGGGTAGAATTTGACAGGTTCTCTCGATTTGGGGTGGAGAGCATGCCAGGATCGGTGTGGATGGTGAGAAGTCCAGGAGGAGACGTGTTGTAGGTATGAAGGGCAGAGGCACTCTTGGAGATGAGCGGTGCTGAAGGTTCATCTCCTGAGTTCATACTGGGGTCGTTGTGGAGGGTTGCTGGGGAGGGAAGGGGGCTGCTGTACGCAAGGAGGGCCATGAGAGTGAAGCCTGCTAGGAGAAGAGTAAGGAGCGCTGCTGTCGTTAGTGAGGGAGGTGCCATCATCGGAGGGCGGACAAGGCCTTGCGCACTGGTTTTCATAACATGAGCACTTGTGTACCAGTGTGCTAGAGGGAAGATCCGTGACTGAGGTTGAAAGGTGTGAGGAGAGGGGAATGGGTCCTCGGGGCTTGGAGGTCCTGAAAATGATGACTTGATTGTATATCTTCTTAATTGAAGTTGGAGCTGGAGGTCATCCATCTGGTCAGCATCGATCCTGGACCACGCAAGAACTTAGGAGCGCAATGGCCGTTTGACGGCAGTAGAATGCGACGGCATCTCAAACGTCGAAACCTATACCAAATGGTAAAGCGAGAACTTGAATCGCTCCATGGTGGTCAGTAGAAGAAGTCGCAAACAGCGCTCTTCCCAGGGTCCACGAGCAACGTGCGGGTCATCCAGCCCCCCCGTGAATCCTTCGGGTGTTTTGGGTGGCTTTCTGGCTCGTATTTCATGCGCTCTGATCGAGATAAAGTGGGATGAAGGGCATGACACATGCGCCTAAGATATCGTCATGAAGCGCTTTGGATATAAGCATCGCGCGAGTTCGAGTCGACCTACCAGATCATTCGGCATCCCGATTAGTCCCAACATTGTCCACTGGTATTCATCGCGAGAGATGAAAGGTACTACTGGCGGATCTGCCTGGCTGCTTGGAACTTCTAGCGAGATTGCTGAAGTATGCGCTCTGTGCATCTCGCTTCTCCCGTCCTCGGCGGTACTCCAGGATCCATCATTTCTGTCCTTCTTGTTAAATGAGTGAGATGGGTGAGATTACAAGCCATTCGATCATAATGCACCATGATGGTGGTTCCAAATTGCCGTTGCATGATAGAACACTTTTCCTTAGCCGGAAGTTGTGCTCGGCATTTCTCAAATAAATCAGCTCTGAGCTTGTAGATGGTCTACAGGGCTCCCAGGTATACATCAACTTTGACAGACTCCGAATCATTGACAGCTTGCGGAATTGCCTGTACCCACAAGGAAGCTTAGTAGATAGGGATAGCTTTCGAGGAGCCACGAGAACCGGAGCGGCACGAGAGACGGGCTTTGAGAATGGAGTACCAGTAACCCAGACAAAAGATAGAAAGTCAAAGTCTTCTAAAGTGTGCTGACGGTATCAAATTTGTCCTGATCTTTCAAAAGCTGTCACGACTAGCACAACAAGAGGTTGGAAATGGCAGTGAGAATAGGTCGGTAAGAAAACAGAGAGCATTTCCAGCTCACGGCATAGGAAGCTTCTACCTACCGATATTTATCACGCGAGGTAATAGACAACGATATGGAGGTCTTGAGAGTCTTGCAGGCAGTCGACGAGCGGGGTCACCCGATATGCACAGATAGCACCGCGCCCTCAAAGCCCGCTCCGTTGCACTGACGACCTTCGCTTAGCCTGCTCGCAGAGGTGCTATGGCGCTGAACGTGTAATGCTGTTAATGAATGCAACTGTGGGAAGAGTCATGCTTCGACCACTTGAACTTGATCACCCATGAATCAGGTTGAACGCCCTTGATTGGCCGTCGGTCTTCCAATACGTGATTGAAAGCGCTGGCAAGTGCACGATTAGAACATGAGACATTGAGTAAAGTTGTACCACAGAGAAGCTCCATACAGACCAATGACTTAGTAAACCACTGTTCCGCAACGTGATCGCAGGCATCTGTAGGTTGCTCGTGGAATGAGTGCACATTTTCCGTTGTTTGCAGGTTGTGTGGTCAAGGTGCATGTATGCGGATTTGCAACAGCGCGTTTTCAATGAAATCGGGACAGCGTATATAGATAAAACGCTCCAATCCTGCGAGCGAAGCCGGACAATGACTAAAACCTACTCAGTGCTGGTAGCTTGTCTTGTCCTGTCCACGCAGTTGGACATTGCAAGAACAAATAACCCCGCGTTACGAAAGAAACTCATGGCTGCATCTTCAGTCGATTCCACACAACTTTGGCTGCTTGAATAGGCGCAACAATGGCCTGTCCAACTGGGATAAGCTTACAGTATACTTCAACCTTGCGGGTGCTTGGTTTTTTGACAGGTGCATTTGGTTGGTGCTGCCGGCTCCGAGGTTCATCAAGGTCTCCCGTCGCTTATGAACTAGATCTTCTCTGCATGTTCTAGTTTATAAAACATGGGATTGTTATTATTATCGACGTAAGTAGTTGCAAGCTAGGTCAAGCGAGAAGTGTGTTTCAGTACCTTATGCATCAAAGACTCCATTATCTCATGTCTTTCAACCGCAGGAGATGGACATCCAAGTGGCTCGCGGAGACTGCTCCGAAACTTTCAGTACTTTAATTGATGCGCCAATTGCGCCTCGTCCTCCTCGGAGTCAGAATGGATTGTAGACAAATGCAAAGTTCTTGGGCCGCCCAACTGATAAGGTATGGGCAATCCAGGCGACGTACAGACGCTAGTTTGGAGATAAGGCACAAGATTGATAGTGTGCATATGCGATGCAGCGCCACTGCCATGCAAGTAACCAAGGCCCTGGTGGCCCTGCCGGCATGCGCCACTCCGAGTGCACAAGTGATCTCCTCCAACGTTGCACGTTTTCTCACCTGGTATCCAACGGCGCTGCAAGACAATAATGCAAATCTCCGCCTGCAAGAAGATCAAACGGTAGTTCGCAGGTTTTGGCTGGCTTCCCTAGTTTCCGCATGAAACCAGGGTGCCGGGTCCAGCAGCGTTTGCGAGATTGGTTTGTACAGCGGTTCATTATCGCGTAACGACGTCAATTTGATATCCAGGTGATGTTTTGGGACCTTAGGTAATGAGTGGAGATGTCGGGATGATCCTGAGCCTACCGGGTGAAGGCCTTGATCGATCCAAAGCGATCAAGTACCGAGGCATCACTTCGCTTTTGTAACTTTCCTTTGTCTTCCTAGCCGCAGAGAGTGGTCTCAACTCTCAAGGGGGAATGGACGGACGGTGGTACCTGTACTTATATAAGTACCTTACTAGCACTTGAGACGGTCGACTTTGATGGAGGAGTGTTGGGGACATTTGTGGGTCAATGAGGGTCCTCCAACCAAACTTTGCTGCAACGGACCGATTTCGAAAGATTTTCCCAAACTTCGGGACAGCGATTCTTGATTGGCAATGCAGATAGGACCTATGAACTTGGACCGTGCTAACCTGCCGTTATTGCCCTTATCATAGCCGCCGTAAAGCCTCGCATGGAAAAGAGGCCATGTTATGCAAGGCTCCTACTCTAGCCAGCCGATCACTTCGTCAGGGAATGCAATCGAGGTTCCTAAACATATCAGGGTCTCACCTAGACTCGGAAGAAATACTCGTGGCTTCTGACTTGTAAGCTTCCCTGCTTAACAATAAGTGGTATTCTCATCCTGAGAGGTCCTAATCATGAGCGATCAGATTCGGAGGGGTCTGCCACGATCTGGTGGTCGAATGAGCAAGTTGCTGGTAGCGAATAATCACTCGATGATAAAATAGAGGGGTATAATAATGTTTGCTAATTGATTGGAAGTGGACTGGGCTGGACTGATATGGACTGATAGAGGAAAATTCTCCTTAAGCCTGTGCGCTTATTAGCTCTAACGTTGGCCCTGTGTGGCTGTGGGCGCCGGTAGTCTAGTACAATAAGGGGTAAGGTAGGCTGGTAGGCTGGTAGGCTGGTACTTAGGCTAAAAGAACCGGGCGAGCCAGGGCACCTATGGCCCCCCTTCACCCCCCGCAAGCGATCATTTTACTTTATGAAAACAGAGTCAGATACTCCATACTTGTCAAAGCATTTACTTTAATTTTCAATTTTTTCACACTACTCATACATACTACTGCTACTACTACTACTACTACTGTACTCTCTATGTGTGAATAATTATACCCCTGTTGTAGCAGTCCTTCACTTCTCTCTTCATCGATATTGAGTTGAAAAATTGCAATTGGGATGTGTCCCTGAATCTTCCATCATCCATCGTCTAATACCCCCCCATACTCTAAAATTTCCCGAAAGTTCCAGCCAAGATTTCCCCACAAATTCGTTTAAGCCAGAGGTACCCTCTTACCCTCCACCCTCAACACCTAACAACACTCGACTCGCATCACACCCGTATGACATTCCTTTCAAACCCCTCACCTTTCACATTTCACCAATCTTTACGACCATTGTCAGATCTTCTACCCGCTAGCACATTCCGCAATTCGCCAATGTTAACTCGATGCCGCTCACTCCGGCTTGAATAAGACCAAAAGATTGTGGGCACTTTTGCCTGGAAAATTTTCGACCAAACGACCAATCCACCCAATTAGCCTCAGATGATCCTGCGGAAAGACTCTCTTCAGTCTTTCCAGCTCATTCCTAGGGAGCTTGGATCGAGGAGGAAAGGGCACTCGACGGGCTTTAGACGAACCTACAACGGAGCCTCTTGACCGCTCGCCACAGAAACCACAATGACAGAAGTGCTTTCTATAACACAGCCGGAAGGCACTACGCATTTCGGATCTCCATTGCGCCGCTCCTCTTCTCAGACATCCTTTTTACTACAGAATGCCTCCTCCTACTCGAGATCATCGTCAAACATCAAACAAAGATACGCAGCTGTGGGCTATGATACTTCAAAATTCCCTGCTTCTCTGCCATCCTCCGCTCCGTCCTCTCCACGACTGACCGCCCCAGAATTCTCGAACCAGCCATCCTACACATCCACTCCTTCCAGTAGCTTATCACTGGACGAGCAGTGCCAGACAGAAGAGGAGGACATTGTTTTTCCATTATACGACGATGGAAGCTACTATGAGGAAATGGTCGGTGCAAATCTTCCGTTGAGTCCTGAACCTCCGGGCCTGGACGCTGTGACGAAATCCGCCAGTGACTCTGCCCTCGCAAAGCCAACCTACCCTCACAACTCGGACGCCAAACCTACCGCCGGAGATGACACGGCCATCGAAAATGAGCCTACCAGACATGTCGATTACCTGTCACATAGTTGGAAAGAGGAAGATATATGGGCATCGTGGAGGCATATTGTGGCAAAGAGGAAAGCCTACACTAACAGCCCGAGACTGGAAAACGCATCGTGGAGAACGTGGACAAAGTCCAAATACCAGCTCAAGACCGTCTCGCCCGAAACATTGAATTGGTAGGCCTGCTTTTCGTGCCTGCGTAAGCTGATGACAAATCCTGACATTCATTAGGATGAAGGACCACGACGTAACGTGGTTATACGGGCCTCTCCAGACCGGCAACGTCAAAGCTTTCAACCTAAATCACACTCCGCCGGCAAGTCGGCTCTCGAGGAGCAATTCCTTTGCATCGAAGAAACCCATCCTGAAGAAGCGGAGCTTGTCAGAAATCATGCTTCAACGGTCTCTGTCATCGTCGACCCTAATGAAGCAAGCTACAGATGCCCTTCGTGCTCAGCAACCCCGGAAAATCCTGCATGATAGGCCAATGCTCGGCGACAGAGCATTATCTGACTTTGGCATATCGTCTGAACCCGAGACACCGTTCACGAGATCCACAACCAACACGTCGTCAACCGAACATTCTGAATCAATCTCTACATCAGGTGTACAAACGCCTTGCACGAAACGACACATACATTTCAACAATAAAGTGGAGCAGTGTATCGCCATCAACAAAGACGTTGATGACCGCCCTGGGTACTACAAAGCTGTTCATCATGATGATGATGATGATGAAGACTCCTCAGAAGATGAGATGCTCGTAATGAGACCTGTCAAAAACGCTACCAAGGCCAAAATCAGAAGCACACCAAGTACACCTCGAAATAGCTTCAGCGGTGATAGCAAAACTATTGCTATGCTTCCCTCCACGACCCTCAATTACCGTGGCGATACACCAGACCCTGCAGAGCAAAAGTCCAAACAGAAGGAAAATCTCTGGAACGGAGGATCGATTTTGTCTCCGTCTCCATCACAGCAGACTCTTCGACCTTCCTCTCCCTCCACAAATTTTCTTCTCGACGATGAGGACGAAGATGCAGACATCAACTGGCAGCCATCTGGATCCAGTGGGAGGAGAGACAGCCTGTATCCTCGCCATGGATTACAGCTTGATCCTTCCGATGAAGACGCGGACGCGGAACACAGTGGTTTACGCCGAACGCCGTCCGGCATGTTCATGCCCTACGAGGAGGAGGAGAACGACGTAGGCAACGCTGGCCTCTTGGGCAGAGTCGTCGACACAGTAAACACTGCGAAGGATATAGCCCACGTTATTTGGAACGTTGGCTGGCACAGATGAAGGATCCGCCTGGCCGTTCATGGACGGCCTGGAGACTCATCATCATTACATCAAGGCCTGGCATGCCACTACCCCCCAATTTCTACGAAACGAGGAGAAGATTCGACCTCTATCAACATTTGCGCGGCGTTGGCGGCAGCACTCAAAATTTTCCGCAGTGAGCATGGGACCATTGGCTTCGAGCAAGACAGGCGCAACAATGGCATTTTGCAACAGCAGACGAGTTCCGCCCGTGACACCACATGCGTGCATGGGACATCTAATTCGACTCTACATATTCCCGGCTGACGGCAATCTTACATAGATTTCTTTTCAGGTGTTGTTACTGGCTTGACAGAGCACTGGGTGTGCTTGGGGTCTTCTGGCTTGTGAAGGTATGAGATGATGGGATGGTTCCGTTCGGGGACAGCTGCGTTTTGAAGAAAACGACATGCCTTGCATAGCTTAGAAGCATAGTCTAGAGCTATAAGGTACTAGCTTGTACTCTTACTAAGTGCTATACTCGTAGTAGTCAAGTCTCAATGTGCAGAGTCGATAATTACGTTAAGAAAAGAAGAATTTTTTAGTAGATAAGTAATACCTTCAAATCATATCATTAACGACAGCTTCTTTGCTTTATTTATCAAGGCAGAGTTTCCTCAGGTAGAATAATTAATCAACATTGTTATATACAAAGGTTACTACTAATGTTTCAAACTTCATCTCTGCTTATCTGATCTTGCTTTATATGTACCCATCAATCCGAAGGAAAGCCATCGACTCAATGACCTCCGAAATCATGAGTTTGAAAACGCAACTTCTCATCTCCTCCAACGTAAAACACCACGACCTCCGCATCCGACCACGAAGTAGCAAAGACCAAGCGCCTCCCACTCTGACAACAAGACCGCACCGGTAACTGTTCGTAAAGATACAAACTCGAACCGCCCGTCGACCTGCTCCGCCTTCGTGCCCTTCATCTCTCCACTCGGTCCCGCCCACCATACACGAAGGTCGTTGTCGCCAGGAAGCGATATCTGTCTCCAGCGACGCGCTGCCCGCATCCGCGACGTGGCTACTCTGGCCTGTAGCCGAGGTCGAGGGACCCGGGTGCCATGAGGTGCGCACAGCAGCATCTGGCTCTATCCACCAAACGCGCATGGCACCCTTTGGCAGGGCCTGTGGGTGAATCCCCGCGCCATGAACACTCTGCGCCGGTGCACTGTGCCCGTCCATGATGGGTCCGGTGGACTCAGCTCCCCTGATTGTGTGCGGACTACCATCATTCTCGATGAAGAAAATGGATCGTTCCGTCGCGCTCACGGGTGTGATAGGCCTCGGATGAGTTCTGCGCGAGGGATGCGGCCCTTTCGAGATCGTCCGCGTCGGACCACTGGCCATTGAAGCCGCGCGAGTGCAAGATGCTTGTTCTGCCGGCAGTTACGGGATCCCAATCTGATTGTCCGACCCACCAGACATCGATGGATCCATCTCCCTACGCGGAAGCACATATAGCACCGCTTTTCTGTGCAGAGGCAGCATTTGGATGGCCGAAGTTGTATGATTGGTGGGTCCACTACCAATCATTCTCATATGGCCAAACTTAGGCATGAATCGAGCCGTCGGTCTCTACCCGGTATACACTATCATGCAGGTTCGGGATCGAGACACTGGCGATACATGCTCCAACCTGTCGCGAGTTTTCTTTCTACAAGTACTCATGGTTTCAGTGTCCCAGGTCCAAATCAACGAGGACTGCTTATAATGGGTTTCGTAGATTCAGATTGTGAAGTTGGATGACGCAGGTAAATATCTTGTACTGGCGACCAGGTTTGGAAATGCTCTGGAAAAGGTATCTTGAAATCTAGGGAAGCTGCAGACCAATGGTGATGCCCAAGACAAATTCAACGATGATTTTGAATCGGTTGCCAGGTTTCAACTCGTGGCTTACACCGTTGTGATTTGAAATGCGCTACGTTCGTTGGTGCCGGAATAGTGCTGGAGTTCCTGGTCTCGAGTATACTACTTCTACCAACAATCACAACCTCGCGGAGCTCGATGTGGGCGCCTGAATCATCTCCACGATCCCAGGCGACCGTGACCTCGTTCTCTGAGAAGACAGCGGCTGGCACTGGGGTCGGAATGTTAGCCGGAATACCAGGTAATTTCCATTCAGAGCTGTAGACCAAGGGTCCTCTGGGGTGGGAGATGCTGATACGCATGAGTTCCGGGTAAGGAGCATGAAGAGACCCTTCAAAGAGGAGAGTATATCCTTGGCTGCCTAGGTTTCCAGGCTTACGTGAAACAATCTGAAAGTGGTTCTGCTCTCCCTTATACTCTCCATCCACCTTCATTTGAAGCAATACCGAGATTCATTCCGGAGAAGGGAAATTGAGTAACGCATGGAGGCTCAACTTCCGCGGCGGCAAATCATGTTGACATTTATCCGTCAAGATACGTGGTATCGGCACGAAGAGTACGAGTACCTTGGCAGCAGCAAAAACCCTAATGGTATTGCTTGGGATACTAGTTGGCGTGATGAAGACTTCGATCATCTTGAGCTCTTCGATGTGTTCCGGCAGCTTCGCGTCAACTATAGGCCTAATATTGCCATCTCGAGAAAGAGGCTCGTGTCTTAGAGATATTGCGCGAGGGTGACCATCCGCGACGACATCGATCCTGAAGGCCTGGTAGTTTTCCCATGTCGTGTTCCAGCTCAGTCTAACCGCTTTCCCTTGAATTCGTGCTTGTAAGTTCCTCAACGGCAGCGTGACACTGAGTTTATCTTTCGACACAGTCCACCTAGAGTGCTTAGCTTTCGCGAGATCCGAGGACTTTTGGCGTATGAATGCGGTTGTTTTCTTCAAGTTCGAGGAATCCATCTCAGCACCAATCTCGAAGCAAAAATTGCTTTGGGTGACTTTCCTAGCCGTCTCGACCCTAAATGTGTCTCCATAAAACTGTATTTTCAGGCCCATCTGGCGATGTATCTGCAAGACAAATTTAATGCTCACCAGGCTGCATAGTCTTTGTTCTAATCGTACATTCAGTTGTACTATCTTTTACTTTTTGCAAGGACGCAGCTGGAGGCGCTAAAAATTGCGGTATGTGGTATGCCGAGTCCAGAGACCAATCTTTAGCCTCGAGCCGAACATTCTCGAAAATCGAACTGGCTCTCTAAATGAAGCATAGATGGCCTGCAATGCTGAAGCGTGGATCCGAATTTTTTTTCGAGGATTGGTCCGTAGTGATGGTGTGTATCTTGTTGCCGTCCCGAATCCCTTCAACCGTCGACAGCGTGACTTCCCACTGGATATGGCTGCCCAGGCCATTTTGGGATTGGAAAGATGTAGGAATTCTATGAGACTAGTTAATTACAATTGTGTTCTCACAGTCCGTGTCTGACTTGGAAGTGGCGGTTGGGGGCTCGTCAAATGCAATCGTGTCTCTATTTCTCGTTCAGCAGCCGCTTTCGCTGCTGTGGCTTTGTCAACCGCTGCCGTTGTGATGGCGAATTTGTCATTGACGTTTTTTTCTTTTGCTGTCGCCTCCGGACTCGACGAGTCTCGATTCAATACTTCAACCGAAAATTTTGGGGGCCTGCTGAAATAGCCAACATCTTGAGCAGAGCTTCCCCTTGAAAGGCGATTACTTCAGCGGCTCCAGTAACACTTGCTGCACCCGCAACGCCGCCGGCAGCACCTTCAACACCAGCTACTGCCTCTGCCGTTGCTTCTGCTTCACTGGCCTCCGCGCCGGCCTTCTCGAGGGTCTTAGATCTAACACTACGGCAGATCAGACCAGCAATGGTAGACTTGGCATATCTCTCAACAGCGATGGCTGCCATGATACTTGCGAGACACTAGGGGCGCTTCCAGATTCCTTCCCCGATTCTCTGCAAGCTCCTTGTGATATTATTGAGCAGCATGGTCTCGATGTTTTGGAATGACCACGGTGTTTCAAGGACTAGCTCGAATTCGTCAAGCTCGAAATCATTGGCGCAGACATCTTTTAGAGGAAAACTTCTGGTCGACAGTGAGACGCGCTTGTTCTTGCAGATCAAACGTATCGATGGGGATGGAATGCTAAGAAGGTTTCCGAAGAACTGCGCAGTGCCCTCCAAATGCCGCTCTTCGAACTTCTAATCAAATTTGAGCTCGGCCGGACCGTGGTCAAGAAGTCTCAAACCAGCTTTGATTGAAAATATCACGCCCAGGATTGCAGTTGCGCCTGGAGTTTGAGAACGCTTCTTATGAGGGTCAACCCACCCGACAAGCTCTGCAACTGTGAAAGTTATTGGACCAGCCAGGCTTCCACTCGCTATAAGTCCAGCCTTCTTTAGTTCGACTTGAAAGTCGAAGTGGTGGCCAAAGACGAGAACCTTAGCTGGCAGATGGTACCCTGGCTCATAGGTCCGGTCCTCCATGAGCAGATTGTCATTGCCGCTATTAAATTACAATGACGCTACTTCAAATTGGATCTCTGAGATGGCGTCTGGATCTGTTGAGCTGGCCCCCCTGTCTTCTGATACTGAGGGATAAAGGTTGGCGATGGCGATTTTATCCTCCTTGCTGTAGAGTACTTCAGCGTAGCGAGCTTGGGGTTGCCATCATGGAGTATAATGCATCCCTATAGAGATTGTGAATCTTTCGATTCCCCCAGTCGAAGTCCCCCTTGAATTGTCAAAACTTTCTTCGCGTGAGGTAAAAGTTCCTTCAACTTCCATGTCTCTAAGCTCGAAATCAATAGACATTCCGCTGAAAGGATTCAAGATGGACTTCCCTGATGGCGTACTATGTTGCAGTGTGACCTCTGTCTCGTCTTTCTTCATCGAGATGTTGACGGCAAAGAAGACCAGTTTAGATAACTCAGTGATCTCGAGGCTGACATTAAGGTCTAGATTAGGACCAGCCGGTTTATAAGCTCAAGTCCCATTTACGGTGAGATGGTTGCCAAGCAATTTCGAGGTTTCAACAATGATGGTGTAAACACGATCTTAGGGTTTCCTTGCCACAAACGCTTGGAGTACAATGGTAGAGCTTGGATGTGCTTCTGCCCCAAGCGCCAACGCTTTTGTCATCTCACCCTCGCCATGTAAAGGGAATTTCGGCGAAGAACCAGGCACTACATTTTAACATACGTGTCTGCTCGAAATGATTGGAAGAATGCCTGTGTGGACTTTACATGTACTATCGCCATGTATTCCCAGGTGGGAAGGCCGTCAATCAACTTATCCCATTCTCCAATCTTCGATGCCCGGTAGTTCAAGTCTCGAGACTTCGTGGGAGACCCTTCGCGCTCCTTGATACACTCTTTCCGAGTTTTCTGGTGGAGCCACCTGTCTTCAAGTCTCTGCCATTTCCTTTCTCTCATTTTGTCTCACTCCTCTTCTTTGTATTCCTCTCCGAGAAAAGCACGTTTGGGTGGTGGAGGCTTCCGCTCCCTCTTATCAGTCTCGTAAAATTGCCAAAATAAATCTGCATCCGGTCTGTTCGTGCTGTAGGCGTCTCGAAGGTCTTCAATGAGCCTCAAAGCCTCTTCAAATATCTTGATTGGAGATTATTCCGGAAAAGGCACGGGGTCATCACCCAAACGATTGAGAGTGTCCGTCGCGCGAAGACCAGAGCATTTGTCCGTATTCGCCTCATGCCATTTCGCCAGCGCCTCATAGCAGGTTCCATCGATTTTTCTGGTCGAAATTTTCTTCCTGAGCAACATCAATGTCTTTTCTATTAGGTATTTGCAGGCATGCCTGTAGTCATAAGATTTTGTTCTGCACTACCAGCTTCCTCATTGCTCTCCTCCACTGGAATGCCGTCTCGAAACGGCGGCCAGAAGTTGTGAGTGCCGTGTCTTTTGTATCAAAGGGTGATGAAAACAGCGGTTTCATCTTTGACGAAGTTGTGAAAGTCCGGAGCTTTTTCAGATTCAGTCTGGGCATCAGCAACACCGCCGTGGTGCTGAACCTTATAGATGGAAAAGTGCGGCTTGATAATTGTACGTTTCTCAACCTTTTGAGCTCCTCTCGAATTGACTGTCTCTTATTATCGCCCTAAAGAACATCGGATTCTCATTGGTACTCGAGGTCAGTTGTATCCTCATCAAAATGCTGCTCGCATTGATGTTGTCACCGGCTAAGGGATTTGCTGCTTCTCCCGATGTGACACCTTCGAGTCCCTCTGTGAAGCAGAGGATCTTTTGTGGATACAGGCGCGCAATTCCTGGCAAAATATACCCTGCATCTGGTGCGAGATATCGTCGTTTAAGACCCACTGCGTCAGCTTGTTCCCTGTCAGAGTCATTGATTTGTGTTGTAATCAAGGGAGGACGAATGGTCCCTTGAATATTTATTTGATGTCGTCTTGGTCAAGAAGATGAAGGAGACCTTTCGTAACGGTCCAGATCCGCATGTGAAGCTATCATGGCTGTAAGATTGGGTTTTTCGCCTCGAAGCATCCTCAAAGCTGATGCCGGGAACTTGTGATATGAAGCATCGCCACCATCATCAAGAATAATGAAATTTTTTTCCTGGCGCTCATGCGCATCTACATTATATTGCAGAAACATGGCATCGCCACGTCCAGCATAGATGACGTGTAGCAGAGGGGGCGTCATGATCGCTCGTTCCGAAAGATGCCCTGATTGTGCTTTGCCTGTAGATAGGCCTAAGCCGCAAAATGCTGAAAGAACAGTATAAACTGTCCAGAGAGAGCGAACGAGCAGACATTCACATGTATAGGAATGCCCACCATTGACAGGCACTCTCCCTCCTATTCAGCTGTGATCTCATAATGTGCGCCCTTAAGAGACATGAACGATATTCTACGGATGTGATCAAAATTAGGTAAATGATGGATTGTGGCTGGCTGGACATACCTACCTAGGTAAGGTGGCCTTCCACTACTCTATGACCGATCCGATTCTAGCGTGCTTTCCACGTTCGGCCTTTTGAATGTATAGCCGAAGCCCTACCAGTTAGACTTGACATCTGCAACGACACACTTATCTCTTCAAATTGTGTGAAAGAGACTGTAGAACATTCCAAAACTACGAACTCCTCTTTCAAACCGTCTCGCCTTGCCCGAGTCACCCACCACCCAACCTCCAACCTCAGACCTTCTGTCTCACACACAATGGCCGAAGCAGCCCCTACAGATGCAACGCCAACAGAGCCCCAAGCTAGACATATTGTCTACTGCGGCGGTACATCTTCCCATTCGCTGCCTCGTGCAACCCCCGGCACTGACATGCCTTTACAGTCTGCTCTCTTCCCCCAGAGGTACTTCATCCCGGATCAACAACGGGCTTGAGACGCCGGCTAAGGACTACAGGCTGATGCGCCAGCCTAGTATTGTGAATTCGGCGGCACAGCGAAGAAGTGCAAGGAATGGCTTGAGCAAAACCATCCGGATATGCATGAAAAGCTTTACTCTGAAGGTGCAACCAACCATTCCCTCTACGAAACGTTCGCTTGTGACAAGCCCGTCATCTTTGCTCACACAAAGAAATAGAAGCGATAACAGCCTCTCTCTCCACACTCTCCGTCGACGCCCAGAAGCGCGCCCAAAAGGACTCGAAGAAGAAAGAAGCGAAAGCCGCAGCCGCGGAGGCTCGAGAGGCTGAGGCGAAGAAGGAAGCGATGGTATACATAAAGCGCGTCGAGAGGAATAAGAGAAAGTATGTTACGGCAGTGTCGGGGTTGGAGGCGCATGGAATGGACTTGAAGAAGGTGGCCAAGGAATTCGGCAAAAAGTGTAAGTAGCTTCCCTTCCGGTCTTCTTGGGCGGTGGTTACGATATGATTTTTGTGGGCGGGAAATGGAGTCACAGAAGACGGGTCAAGTAAGGGCTGACAATTGGAACAGTCGCAACAGGCAGCAGTGTCACGAAGACGGCGAGCGGAGGCGAAGAAATAGTGGTGCAAGGGGACAACAGTGACGATATCTTCGACTGGGTAGTGGATGTGGGTGGAGTGCCAGATGAGAACGTGGAATGCATCGAGGACAAGAAGAAAAAAAGTGCTGGTTAAAGGGCTGATATTCCCAGGCAGATAAAGAATACTGGCGTCTTGATGTGTTTATTTGAGGGACAGGATATGAGTTGCAACCATTGCATATGATAGATCTTGGGGATTGCTGTGAGAGTCACCACAGTAATCCCGCTGCCATCCTAATGATTGTCATCAACAGACTTCCTCTCAAAGCCACATTCAGTCAAAAGGCTGTTGTTGGAGGCCCTTTCCGCACTCATTTCAAATTCATTTGCTCTTTGGCGGGGTTTTCGTTGGTTTCAAGCATCCATTTTGCACGCCGTAACTGCAAGATGATGAAACACAAACATTGTTTGCTGCTAGGCATCGTGAGGTAGACAAAATCAGCCCGATCGAGCCAATCCTCCGGTATCAGGTAAAGATTCTGCGCAATGATATTCAAAGGAGTTCCATCTGCTTCGTACGACTTGTACCTTGTCATACTCCTCTGGTTCCATAATGTCACTAGTGGGTGCCATTTTGACTCAACCCTTGTCAAAGACCATCTTCGAACTGTTGATTTATTACTTTCTCTACAGTCAAGTCCGCTAAAGCTTTACTGGATTCTTTTCTTGTTGTCGAGTTGTTGAACGTGCGCGTCCGGTCATTTCAAATAAACTACTCACTAGTGCTGTTGTTGCAGTGTGAATGGCTCGTATCAACAAGAGTCATCCATGAATTCGCGCCACAGATTATGCTTAGGACCCCTCGGTACCCGAACGAACTTGCAGTGTGGTGTAATCAAGACTAGGAGCCTCGACGGCCTCACTGGGCCCAAGTCCGGTGTAGCGAACGAATGAAGAGCGCGAAACAGCTGTCCCAGCACTAAGACTGCCTCGACATATTCTGTCTTTCGCAGCAGTGAGTCCAGTAGCGATTCGCAGAAGTCATGTGGGTAATATGTCATCAGATGGACCGCGAGGACCACAACGGGACCCGCTAGTTTCCCAGTCGATGAGGCACCAAGGGTGATGGAAGCATTTGCTCGTTTCGTTGACTATGATATGGTGACACTTCAAGATATGTCAATTGGGTCTCTCGCAAAGCATTCTTAAGTAGCGTACCGTAACATGGCTTGCTTAACAAAAGCATCGGCTGCGAGAGACACAAGCCACACCAGCTTGGTCCAAGATGGGCCCTAGAATCTGGTGCAGCGTGAAACAATGTCGTGCAAGATGATAGCGACGCTTTGACAAAGTGTACGTCGCTGGTCTTCTCGTGCTTCGGGCTGGAAACTATTAAGATCAATTTCTTGATTCTTTTTGAACTGCCATATCCCGTCGCAGATGCCTAATCACGGCTCTATTCGTCTCCCGCTCAGCCTTGAGACCTTCAATCTCGCCTTGCAATTCCGCTGTTCGTTCATCTTGCCTCTTGACCATAGCTCTTGAAACATCGCGACCTTTCATTATGCCTCTTGTGTATAGCACGTGCTTGTTACAAATTCTCTTCAATGTCTCCTGAGCTTCGAGTGTAATGGAGGCGTTGTGATCTTGTAGGGCACTAAGTACTTCAGATGCTAATTCTGATTCCTGGGTTGGAGGGATGTCCTTGTAGCGAATTGGCGTAGGAGTTACTGCTGGAGAAGGGAGAGCGCCGCTCGCAAATAAACTTTTGCTATGTGTACCAATGGCAGGCGTGGTGAAGATATCGTCCCCTTCGGTTCCAGTAGCTGACGTTCGTAGAGCAACCTTCAGAGCGTCTCCATCGTCCGCAGCCATCTCATCGTACCTGCGTTTGCCTGGCGTAGAGAGTGTATCCGACTTAATCGCTTTGCGTGGCGTTTCCGGGGGTGGCATGGGATGTCCACTGGATGCCTGGTCTGCATATTTCGACAGCTCATCATCGTCGCTGGCGGGCCAATCAAAGAACTCTTCTTCGGAGTCGCTACCTTGGGTGGTAGTTGTCTGCGTTCCATGACCACGAGCGGATGATGAGGGCGGGCTGTAAGAGGTTTTTGAGGGCGTGCGAGGTGTAGTGAGTTCTGGACTACCGTCCCTGAGCCGACTGGAGGTTTGAGGTGTGACTATACCATATGGCGAAGATTTGCTGGGAGTCTGAGGAGAGTGTATGGGTTCAGTGCGGGAGTTGTTCAGAACGGCGGCTGCTTCTCGTAATTTGGCCTCGTCATCCCATAGGAAGAAGTCGCAGCGTTTGGGCTGGGGTTTCTGACATGTATAGACTATGTGCAAGTCATTGTCAGCTAGTATTAGGTTGGGATTGAGAAAGCCAGGTCTACCCACACCACCGTCCATGGTTCTTTCCACCATTCTTAGTTTGAAAGTGCTGTGCCGGTAGGCGAGGATCGCAGTTGCATTGCCAGATGCCATCGGAGAAGAGTCCCTTCTTCAAAGGCACTTTGGTTGTCGCACCATGATTGCCGTGGCTTCTGCCTCGAAAACCTTTACCGCGGCCTGTGAACATGGCAGGTATCGCAGGTATTGCAGGTATTGCAGGACTGACAACGGGGCATCGCGGGATCTCACATCATCTGGCAGGCCGGTCTCAGTTATGACACGTCTGTAAGATACCTTACATCTCTAGGGGAAGGGTATTACGAAATTTCGGCCCGGAAAAAAGGGTTTTCCGACCTATCACTACCACCAACCCTTCTGAATAGAGTCTGAGTACTGAGACTACCTTACATAGAATAGTGATGCGCTGACGTATGGCTTTTGGCAAGGTGCAAAGTCTTTACCGTACCTCAATCAATTGAAACCTTTTCCCTACTAAGATACTATCTATAATTGATTAGAAGACCATGCGAGTTTGCTCTAACACTGAGAAAAAAGAAGGTGCACATCTTGCCTTCTAAGAATCAGAACTTAATCTGAAATATCAACTCACTTACCTCATCAGCCTTGACGCTGCAACCAGACAGCTCCACAGTGCTTCTCAGGATTAGAGCTTCCATACTTTAAAGGCGTTGATTCTCTACATTTCTACTGCCCTTGCTCTCCCTCTCTTCTTTCGTCCTAAGATTAAGATGCCAACGGACACTATATCGCTCCGCAACTGTTACATGACAGCTGTCATTGGGCCTGATGCGTGGAACCGTGCCGGCAAACCGCAACCTATCGTGCTCACATTGAAGCTACTCATTGACACCACTTCCGCCGGCACTTCAGATGAGATCGCGCATACCTTCTCTTACGGACAGATTCGCAACGATGTCAGCGTACTTTCTGATGGTCACTTCCGCAGCATTGATGACCTAGCAAGCAGTCTAGTGAGAATTGCACTTGCCAAGAATTGGCCTGGCGAAAGCCTTCAAATTTCTCTACTCGCGCCTAAAGCTCTGCTCAGAGTAGAGGGTGGTCTGGGGCGAGAGGTTACGCTTCGAAAGCAGTGGATTGAGAACGGAGGCGCCAAGCAGCAAATCTGGGGCTGGGAGAGGCACGCATGGCTGGTCAAGACGTTGAAAGTGGCTTGTATTATTGGAGTGAACCCACATGAGAGACTGGAGAAGCAGCAAGTTACCATCAATCTCGAAATTCTGGGCGAGCGTGGAAAAGACGAGGGAGATTACAAAGAGCAGAACGGAGAGGGAAAGGGCCCGTGGGCGACACTCGTTGCTCGAGTTTGCAGTGTGAGTTGTGATTTCTCTTGCTCTCTTTGCCAACTTCTCTCCTGCTGCAGACTCATTACTAGCACGTCTAGGTTGTCGAGCCATCTGACTTCCAGACATTGGAAGCGCTCGCTGCTTTGATAGCTAGAACATGTCTTGAGGACTTTCCAATTCCCCAGATTACAGTGTCAGTTGAGAAGCCTAGTGCAGTGACATTTGCTGAGGGAGCTGGTGTGGAAATCACAAGAGATAGAAGTTTCTTGACATACTGAGGCCTGAATGTCGTTCCAAACCCTCATGCTCTTTGGTCCTGAGCTCCTAGGTTTAGTAGTCAAATAGTAAAGTCTAGCTGGTATGTCCAGCTAAATGTCGAGAGCGGTTCTCGGGGTCGGAAGACTGCAAATGGCGAGTAAACCTGAGATGTTGTTAGCGAAACCTCTGCCGAATCACAAAATATCCGTGCTTTGACGCCTCACCCAATTGACAGCTCCCGGTCTCAGCGGTTGATTGGGACTGCCACTCGTAAAGGGCCGTCTAGGACCACCTGACGCTTTTCTTGACTGATTTGGATGCATCGTAATCACACCACCCTGGCCCCAGCCAAAGTTCTGACCTTGCATAGATCCATCTCCTCCCCAATCTGATTGAACCTCTGGCTTGATCTTCAGACAACCGGCCCAAGCTTGAACGCCGTACCGGTCGGAACCGAAAGGCGCTTTGCCAATCCTACCCCGACTGTTTCCGGTCGGTTTCCCCGGAAACGGCACGGACTCCTGCTCAATAGATTCTGGGCTCTCACGAAAATCTGGAGGAAGGCCCTGGCCTCGACCTCCTCTGCCTCTCAATTTTGCATGCGATTTCCTGCCTCCACGCATATCTACCTCAATAAGGTATTCAACTGAGTACCGACGAGTGCCAGCGAAATCGCGGCTTAGGACATCATCCGTGTGTTTCGAAAGCTCTCCAAGGTTACAACTAGGCTTGGGATGGTATTCTGGGCGATTAGCCCTTGCAAGACGTATACTGTCAAGCTCGTCTTGCCTGATGTTGCGAACGTTATCCCAGGCCCTGTGTGGGCCGAGACAGATTGCACATGTCAAGTTCTTGGGATCCTCTCTTTTTCTACACTCTGCAGTGAAGTGTCGTTCAGCACAGCGGCCGCAAGCGGGCGCGGAGATGCATTGGGCCTCTAGGTGTCCATACTGCTGGCATGTCTTGCATTGCCTTAACTGGCTCTTCCGTTCATAATATTCGCATGCTAAAACCTTGCTTCCAACGAGCAGCTGTTCTCTGATAGCCGCATGGACATGTTCCGGCGGTGCGAATTTCTACAAGCAATAAGCCGTACTGCTTTGTCTTCGTCCATTCTGGTATCAGCCACTCGATTGATTTGATCTCAAGACCGGCTACGGAGCTTTTATTAATATTGATGATACCGTTGATGGCTCCTTCTTGATTGGCAACATCGAAATTGCTGGGGACGTAGAGAACTAGGACGCCGTATGTCTCAGCGGGCGCTAGCTTTGGTTCAATGGTATTACCCTTCGCGTTGGGGTCTGCAACAGTCTGCCCAAAAGCGCTCACAGAGTCTGGTCTGGGACTAGAGCCCTGCAAAGACCGGCTAATCTGTTGCTTGCTGGGTAATGCTGGCTGTGGATTATTTTCCAAATAAGCAAGCACAGAAGTACAAAAATTGGCAAGAGTTTGGTTAGGGCATTGCCTGCCAGAAGAGCTCTCTTCTGTGGGTGCACCGAATCCAAGTAGTTTTCGTGCCTCCTCTAATAATGGTAGAATGGTCATTGGCATCTTGAGATACTTGACCCACCGACGGCCACCCCACACATCTGCGTGGCATCAGGAAACCCCTTCAATGCGTACGGCCAGGACCCATGGATTTGTGCTTCCATCGCCTTGCCGAACTATTGTAGTCAAGAATCCGAAATTTAGAGATACTCCCTAGTCGTTATGCAAAGACTCGAGCAGATTTGAGCTTTCGGCATTCAACGGTCTCTGGAAGTCTCGGGCCAAATGAATTCAATTGGTATCAATCGACACTCGGTGCTTGCTACTGATATGTACTATCAAGCATGAGGCCTATCTCAACCGTCACCATCACGGGTAGCAGAGAAGGAGAAAGGGGCAGGCAGACTTGGCACAAGTCGATTTATGCTACTCGTACACTCACTTGGGTGTGATGATTACAGAGTGATTCTCACATCTGAAAGAGAGACAAGTTGGATGACGTGTGAACTTATGTCCTGTTGGTGTGCCCTAGAATTACTTTACTTTATACTTTCGTTTTGAATAGGTGAGCGGTGATTGGACAACGAGAGACCTCGGCTCCACAACCGTTAGCCGCTAGTGTGGCGACTATCGACGACATTTCCGCCTCCACGATTCGCCTGCTCTCCAATCCGATCAAGCACTGCACCTTCCAACCTCCCTTTATTCAGGTCCAATTGTCTGCATTTAGATCCCTTTAGATTTCTTCCACCGGTATGGCTTCTTTAGGTATACGGAGCTTGACCTCAGCATCCAAGGTCTGTCCATACCGTCACCATCTTGAACAAAAAATGATGAGGGGCGATGGTGCTAATGGAATCTGCCAGTTCTCAAAAGTTACACGACACAGTCGACTCTTCTCCACTTCAAGACCTCATGGTAAGATCACCTTGACTTGGGTGCTACGTTCCTGCACTTACAACTATACTCAGCTCGAATCATAGCCAATCAACCGCTTCGAGCCAAAGAGGCATCCCCATTCATCAACAACAAGTACCCAATAATAGTATGCACTTCTGACCGTGGACTCGCAAACGAACTTCTGACAAGTGCTCCCATAGGACCATGAGTATGACGCCCTTGTTGTGGGCGCTGGTGGCTCCGGTCTGCGAGCAGCCTTTGGCCTGGCCGAGGCAGGCTTCAACACGGCATGCATATCGAAATTGTTCCCCACGAGAAGCCACACCGTAGCTGCACAGGGCGGCATCAATGCAGCGTTGGGAAAGTAGGTTTTCATCTCTCGAGTCCAATGGAGGTAGACCAGATGCTGATGAAATCTCTTATTCAGTATGCACGAGGACGATTGGAGGTGGCACATGTACGATACCGTCAAGGGTTCAGACTGGCTGGGCGATCAAGATGCGATACACTACATGACAAGGGAGGCGCCCGCAAGTGTCATTGAATTAGAAAACTATGGCTGCCCTTTCTCAAGAACAGACGAGGGTAAAATCTACCAACGAGCCTTCGGTGGTCAATCGCAGAAGTTCGGAAAAGGAGGGCAAGCATACCGATGCTGCGCTGCAGCTGATCGAACTGGCCATGCCCTCCTTCACACTCTATACGGCCAGTCACTAAGGCACAATACCAATTACTTTATAGAATACTTCGCGCTGGATCTGATCATGGAAGATGGCGAATGCAAGGGCGTGATTGCATACAATCAAGAAGACGGCACATTGCACAGGTTCCGCTCACATAATACCGTCCTCGCAACCGGAGGTTATGGAAGAGCATACTTCAGCTGCACATCAGCCCACACCTGCACAGGAGACGGGATGGCAATGGTAGCTCGTGCTGGTTTACCAAACCAGGATCTGGAATTTGTCCAATTTCACCCGACCGGTATCTATGGTGCTGGATGTCTGATCACCGAAGGATCTCGTGGCGAGGGAGGCTACCTCCTTAACTCCGAAGGTGAGCGATTCATGGAACGTTATGCACCAACAGCCAAAGATCTCGCATCACGAGACGTAGTCTCAAGATCGATGACCATGGAGATCCGGGAAGGCCGTGGCGTCGGCCCTGACAAAGACCACATCTACCTGCAGCTCTCGCATTTGCCGCCGGAGGTCCTCCATGAGCGTCTCCCTGGTATCTCCGAAACCGCTAGCATTTTCTCCGGCGTCGACGTCCGCAAGCAGCCGATTCCCGTCCTTCCTACCGTCCATTACAACATGGGCGGTATTCCAACCAAGTACACTGGGGAAGTCATCACTGTTGATGAGCAGGGCAATGACCAAGTCGTCCCTGGCCTCTTCGCTTGCGGAGAAGCCGCCTGCGTTTCCGTCCACGGCGCCAATCGTCTCGGTGCCAACTCCCTCCTCGATCTCATCGTTTTCGGCCGAGCAGTCAGCCACACTGTCCGGGACAATTTCTCCCCAGGTATGCCACACAAAGAAATCCGCGCGGACGCTGGTGCCGACACCATCAGCATGCTCGACAAAGTTCGAACCGCATCAGGCCCTAAATCAACACACGAAATCCGCAGTGCAATGCAGAAGGTGATGCAGACTGACGTGTCCGTGTTCCGTACGCAAGAATCGCTCGACGAGGGTAGCAAGCGTATCAAGGACGTTGACCAATCATTTGCGCAGCTCGGCACTAAAGATCGCAGTATGATCTGGAACAGCGACCTCGTTGAATCTCTCGAACTTCGGAACCTTTTGACTTGTGCTGTGCAAACGGCAGACTCGGCTGCTAACAGGAAGGAGTCGAGGGGTGCACATGCGAGAGAGGATTTCCCGGATAGAGACGACAAAAATTGGATGAAGCATACTCTGAGTTTCCAGAAGGAACCCCAAGGGAAGGTGGAGCTGGGGTATAGGCAGGTCATCGGGCATACATTGGATGAGGCGGGTTAGTACACGCCTTTTCATGATCATGTATCCCCACACGGTAGAACAAACGAACTAACAAACATGTAGAATGCAAGGCAGTACCGCCCTTCAAGCGTACGTACTAATGGCTGGAAGATCTAGGGATCAGGCGGGAAGAAGGGCATGCATGGAATGGGTTTAGGGGGGCATGGATTGGGTGTTGGACGACTCATGTTTCCGCGTTGTCCTGGCTCAAGGTATTTGCTAGTGAGCCTTTATGTATATGATTACAATTACAAAGATGCACATATCCAGGGACACTTGCGTTCGGTGATCAAGATCTGAAGGGTTGCAACGTTGTCCGGGCTTTGCTTTGGTTCTGTTCACCCCTTTTGGTGACAAGATCCTGATCGACAGGAGTAGCACCCGAGTCTTGATCATTAGGAGTGTTTTGCACGCTGTAGCGTCCACGACGCATTGGATGCACCTCTGACAAACGCCGCAGATATAGTATACAATTTCCCAAGTTTCTAGTTGTATTGCGCGTAGCTCGCCGTAGAGCTAAACTTCAGATTCCCCTTGATGACCTTGTCCACGGCCGACAAGAAGTCTTTCTCGGTAGCAACCTTCCGCCTCGCCCTTATCGCGAACATCCCGGCCTCGGTAGCCACACTCCTCAGTTCGGCTCCTGTGCTGTTCGGGCACAATCTCGAAATTAGCTCCCATCTGATATCCCGCTCCACGGACATACTCTTGGCGTGGATACGAAGGATGTTTGATCGGCCCTCGAGGTCAGGAAGTGCGAACTCGATCTTTCGATCTATACGACCGGGACGCATGAGTGCTGGGTCGAGAGTTGACGGACGATTTGTGGCAAACATGACTTTAATATTTCCGCGGGAATCGAAGCCGTCGAGTTGGGTGATGAGCTCCAACATGGTACGCTGCACTTCGTTGTCACCTCCAGCTCCATCGTCGAATCGGGCACCGCCTATGGCGTCGATTTCGTCGAAGAAGATGATACATGCTTTCTTTGTCCTGGCCATTTCGAATAGCTCTCGCACCATACGGGCGCCCTCGCCCACGTATTTTTGCACAAGTTCCGAACCAATAACGCGGATGAATGTAGCGTCGGTCCTATTTGCTACGGCTCTTGCGCAGAGTGTTTTGCCTGTGCCAGGGGGACCGTAGAGAAGAGCACCTTTTGGAGGGTCGATACCTAGACTCACGAATCGTTCTGGGGAGAGTAGTGGCATTTCGACGACTTCTCTGATCTTTTCGATTTGCTCTTTGCAGCCACCGACATCACCATAGGTCACATCGGGTTTATCTTCCACAGTCATCATGGTTACCGAGGGATCGATCTTGGGCGGAAGGGGAAGGAGAATCTCGTATTTGTTTCGGTCGACACCTACACGCATGCCTTCTTCGATATCGGTGGGACTGACACGCTCGCCGAGTTTGACGACGAACTTGGCGATTTGTTTGACGTTAATGACATATTTGCTTTTTTCTGGGTCCTTCTCATCTTGAATGATTTTGGTACACCGAGCAACTTGTAGGGGATGGTCTTCTGACATTCGTTGCCGATCAGCTGCTATGTCCCATAGATGCGGTGGTGCGAGACCGGTGTCTGACTCCTTGACACCTGTAGGGAGAATCAGCGCTGAAAGCGGACTACAATCTGACCGTCACAGCCACCGTAGACATACCAATCTTCTCGTTGACACTGGTTTGCTTCTCCTTGATCTGTTTTTCCAGACGTCTTAAGCCGGCAGCATACGGTGCGGCGCCGTATGTCTTAAGTACTTGGATGTCCCTGGTAACGTGTGTCAGCATCCATCATTCACAGACAATCCGAGTCCGCCGCGTGAAAGGATGTCCAAGGTGTACATACTCATCGGTGAGGGGTGTGATCTTCTTCTCGGGCTCTTCATCGTCTACGAACTCCTTCTTGTACTTCTCCCAACTCTGCCCAGTTGCACTAGGCATCTTGGGAAGCGAGTTGCTCTGGTTGTTAGTCGTCGGTAATATCAGTCAATCGGTGGATCCAGCGGCTGGAAACGCAGAGCGAGAAGAGGCGTTCTACGTCCCAAACCAGGTGTCGTTACTATGAGGTGTTGGTGAATATGATGGAGATGGTGGACAGCGGGTGGTGTGAGTGGTAGGTTGATGATCTAAGGATGGCTCCTTGTTTCGCTTTTGGGTGAAGGGCGTCAGAGGCTCAGAGCTCTCTCTACTCTCTCGGCTTGAACCGACGCTAGCTTCGCGGTTGCTGAAAATCGGACGCGACTTTGATACCTCGATACTTCGATATTTGAACTACAGACCATTCGAACCAGACTTGAACTAGAATAAGCAGTATTTATCGGTCTTTCTAGTACATCTGGCTTAATAGAGTGATACTTGTTTACTTGCCAGTGTTGACTACCTTCTACACCCAAAATGGCTGCCACAGCCCCACCCAAGTCGAATTCTGGCAACAATGCCTTCAAAGTACTCCTCAATAAGTCTTCGCAGTTTCTTGTAGACGCTGACAATGTCTATAGGATAAGGAGAAGCCTATGGCCGTCCGAAACGCCAACATCATGGCAGCTCGAGCTGTTGCAGACGCAATACGCACTTCACTAGGTCCAAGAGGAATGGATAAGATGATACAAACGGGAAAGGGCGAGACCATAATTACCAATGATGGCAACACGATGCTGAAAGATATGAGTGTCATGCACCCAGCGGCGAAGATGCTCGTCGATCTCAGTGCAGCTCAAGATGTGGAGGCAGGAGACGGTACCACCTCGGTAGTAGTGATTGCTGGGAGTCTACTGGGAGCAGCGGATCGATTATTGGCAAAGGGCATACATCCTACCGTCATATCGGAATCATTCCAGCGAGCTGCTGCAGCTGCAGTGCAGACGCTCGAGAAAATGTCACACCCAATATCTTTATCAGATCGGACCACACTGCTACAAGCCGCCTCTACATCGCTCTCGTCCAAGATTGTCTCCCAACACTCGAACCTACTTGGTCCTATGGCCGTCGACGCCGTGCTCAAGACTATCGACCAGAAAACTGCAGACAATGTCGACCTAAAAAACATCAGAATAGTGAAGAAAGTGGGCGGTACAATAGAAGACAGTGAAATGATTGATGGTCTGGTGCTCAATCAGCCAGTAGTGAAGAGCGGAGGCGGACCAGCCAGAATGGAGAAAGCCAGGATAGCCCTGATACAGTTCCAGCTGAGCCCTCCCAAGCCGGATATGGAGAATCAGATTGTAGTGAACGACTACCGACAGATGGACAAGATTTTGAAGGAGGAACGAACGTATTTACTAAACATGGTCAAGAAAATCAAGAAAGCGAAGTGCAACGTCCTCTTGATACAAAAGTCTATACTCAGAGATGCAGTCAATGATTTGAGTCTACATTTCCTGGCGAAACTTAACATTCTAGCGGTCAAGGACATCGAGCGAGACGAAGTCGAGTTCATCTGCAAGAGCACAGGCTGCAAACCAATTGCCGACATCGACTCCTTCACGGAGGACAAGCTCGGCTCCGCGGACCTCCTCGACGAGGTCCAAGCGTCAGGCTCGCGCATAGTCAAAGTAACCGGCATTGCCCACAAGCACCCAAACATTCCCAAGACCGTTAGCATAATCTGCCGCGGTGCCAACTCGCTCATCCTCGATGAAGCCGAACGCTCTCTACACGACGCTCTTTGCGTTATTCGGTGCCTGGTAAAGAAGAAGGCACTCATCGCCGGCGGTGGAGCGCCTGAGATCGCGATTGCCAATACACTCTCAAGGCAATCGAGAGAAATGACGGGAACCGAAGCGATCTGTTGGAAGGCATTCGCAGATGCTATGGAAGTCATTCCTACCACACTTGCGGAGAACGCTGGATTGAACAGCATACGAGTGGTTACAGATTTGAGGCATAGACACGAGTTTGGCGAGAAGAACGCAGGAGTCAGTATCCGAAGTGGAGGCGTCAAGAATAACATGCAAGAAGAGAATGTGCTCCAGCCGCTACTGGTGAGTACCAGTGCGGTGGAATTGGCGGCAGAGACGGTGAAGATGATACTTAGGATTGATGATATTGCTTTGTCACGGTAAATGTGGATAAGAAGCAAAGTCGTATCTGAGCAAGTGCTATGCTACGCTTGCTTCCATTTGAGACGAACTCGTGCCTTTCATGCAAAACCTCCTAGAAGCTGTGTACGCGCTCATCTTTTAGCTACATGTGCTATCTCATGGTTTCAGGAATTCCGAATGCGTTTGCACTTGTTCTTAACCGAAGAACTATCTTCTCTCTTGCATCAGTGGATTGTCAGTATGCGGAACCGTGGAATGGCCCTTTTTCAATGGTTACCAATGTACCCAGCGCATCTTGTTAATTCTTCACTGGAGCCATTACTGGCTTGTTACTAACATTTGTGACCTCAGGCGCCCAGCCTCCCCCCAGCCTAAATGAGGGACTGGGCTCATTGGGTTGAGTAAGCCGTTGGAAGCGAACGACATCTGTGATGCCAAGATATAGCAGTTCGATGCTCCTCCTCGAATGGCAGCGTTCTGCAGCATCATTTCAAGGATGAGCAGGCCTGAGAAGCACACAACGATGACGTACTTCAGCAGTATATCTCAAAGATTTCGAGGACTGGACCAAGGCTCCATGGGAATATAGCCAGTAACCAGGCCATTAGGTGTGATCTAAGTTTTGGTGGCACGATTACTCTAATGCCTCGTGATGCCGGACTTCTTGACCAGACTTTTCTGAACTTTCCTCGTGCGCCTTAGCTCTCTTCCCTCGCCTTCACCCATTCCTTCATTTCACCTTTCCTAGCATCCCATTTCCACACCCCTCCGTCACCCACGTTATACTGATAGTAATTCTGCGTCGAATACTTCTCCACTCCCTTCCTAAAAGTGATGTTGATCCTCCCTCCTTCGCTCCCCTTGCCCTTCCTCTTCGGAATACTATGCAGCCAATTCGCTTGCGTCTTCCCTCTCATGAGCACCATATCTCCACTCGCTAACGGTAGCTTCAACGGCGGCTTGCTATTTTGCTCTGGTGGGGGCTCTCCATCTTTGGGTGGTATAGGCTTATGCTTCATGCAGAAGTCTCTGGTTGCGCCGAGGGAGAAGGAGGCGATCGAGGGGTTGGGACCGAGAAAACGCTCATCGTCGCTGTGGTAGGATATGCTGTCTGCGCCGTTGGCGTAGTAGTTGACGAGGCAGAAGTTGTAGGTTGCTCCAGTGAAGATTTCTGTGAGCTGGCGCAGATAATCAAGGCAGTGAGGAATGGGACGTGGAGTACAGGTCTTGTAGCGGTCTGGAAGGACTGGCTTGGATGTTTGGCTGTCGATGAGGGCGCCATCTGGGGTGAAGGTGGAAGAGGTGTCGACGCCATATACCGTCGTGAAACGAGGTGTGTTTATACGAGTCTCGTTGCCATAGCGCTTGATGGTGTATTGCACCCTGTAGAAGAAGAGCGCATTCCTCAAAAATTCGAACAGCTCTCTTTCGGTCGTGGGCGGGATATAAGGTTGGAAGTAGAGGAGATCGAGATCGGGCTGGTCATTGATTTCGTTGCCTTGAGAAGCTGGCACTTCGTTCAATTGCTCGATGATGTTTGGTGGAAGGCGAGGAATTGGGAAAGGGTAGGTTTTGTGATTGGACACTTCGGTGCTGGATGTGTAGACTGGGTTGACCTCGGAGGGCGCAGCTTCCACAGTCAGACAGACCTTCTTTCGAGAAGTGGGCGTGAAGAAACTGTCGAGCGACCGTTTCTTAGACATTCTGGCCTTTCGTTGCTATATAGATGGGTCAATTGCTTGCTCAATGTAGATATGCACCCAGCCTCGCTAAAGTACTCTAAGTAGTGATGGAAGACGCGATTCGGAGACGCGCGAGCCGCCAAGACATTTTCGCGTCGCCAAAATCGATGTCGATGTTCTGGGGCCCGCAGCTAGATCGTAGTCCTTCTATTCGCTTCGCTCATAGTAGTCCGCAACTCAAAACGCACTAGTTTTTTCGCGATTTGACACCCTACATTGTAATCCACCATTATTCCACCACACCATGTCTATATCTTATTCTGAGCAAGAGAAACTCGTCCAGAAGACCATTGATGAGTATGAGGACGGTTATTTTCGCGCAGGGCCGCAGAGCATTAGGTCTTAAACCGCGACGGGTGCAAAGACGGCTTCGGGACAAGCTTCTAGGAGTACTCGAACACCCACCCACACACGTCTTACTACGGCTCAAGAACAGTCGCTATATGACTATATTAATCGTCTAAATAACATCGAGCATTCACTTCGACTGAATCACATTCAGGGTGCTGCTGAGTACATTCTAAAAATCGCATCGAATCCGCATCATCCCCCCAAACCACTCGGCAAAGATTGGGCTACACGATTATAAAACGGCACCCCAAATACTATAAACGAAAGCAAAAACCTCTTAGTGCCGAGCGTAAGAATACGCACGATGTTGAGAGTATACGCGTGGCGTACGAAAAATTCAGAAATCTGGCACCCCGCGCTACAACTCCAGACGAGTCCATACCTCTCGTACTTGCCAGAACCCCCCACAAAGCCGAAGACGTCATTAAATACGATCAATGGTTTGAAGAACTACTTGCTACTCAGGCTTTTATCATTTCAAAGGGCATGCGGCAGCCATTAGCCCGGTTTGTGAAAGGATCCATTGCTAATGGCTACTCGAGACAAATTACCGAGTGAGATATTGAGGCCATTCACAAAGAGGCCGTAGTCAAGCGGGCACGTAAGACACTTTCTGGGACGGTTGCCTAGAAGGGAGGATGGATGTCAGTAGATCAAATACGCAAATCTCTAACTGTGGTGGAAGAAACAGCCATAGAAAAAGGGGGGAAGGCTCTGAAGCGAGCTACTCGGGCTGAGGAAATTCAGTAAGAAAAGGCCGACAAGGCCGTTAAGGCTTTTTTTCGAAAGCTGGATTATGATCTATAGAAGCTAGTGCATGTATATTGGGACGTGTTTATTAGGATCGAGTTCTAGGGCCCGCAGCTCTATGAATAAAAATTTTTTTTTTTTTTTTTGGTTGGGGTTGAATGACTGACTAGGTCAACAGAATAGACCTCTGATACTCGCTTCAGTATGCATAATGGCTCTGGATCGCGTCGGCCTAGGCGACGAGAAATCTTTCGGCAAGATCATATGGACCTCAAAAGATCTCTCGGATAAGTACGACATCCTTGGTCGCGACACAGACGAAAACTTGGAATACTATCATCTATAAAGTGTCCCTGCATGTATGATGCATGACGGCAGGATGGATAGCCTTCTTGGAGAAGACGCAACTGCTGATTCTGGCGGAATGGGGGCGCTGAGCTGGCATTTTCTCTTGGACACATGGAAAAGCAAGCGCTAACATGCAATGTCAAGAAAACACGATCTCCAACAAGCCAGTACTCCTGGCGCACTCGCCTCAAACAGCGTCAAGAGAGTTCGAGAAGTGACGCGTGCTGCATTCGGCATCTATGGCGATCAGCACCATCTCGTTGACGCCATCAAAAAGCTGACTGAGCTCGACGGTGTTAGCTTTCCCGTCGCGACTCTCATCCTAGTAGAGTACAACCCTGTCAACATCCCGTACTTCACGAATGCATGTACAGATGGCTGCGGAAAGACGACGCAAGGGACAGGATTTGGTATAGGAACATCGACTATACCATTTCTAATTTCTCATCGAAAGATAAGGGGGACATTCAAGCAACAAAATGGAGCCGAAAGTCATAACACTAGATGTGGAAAGAGTCGGACGTCAAATCAACGAGCGAGTACAAGTGAGAAAGGATTTGCAGATGACAGGGCCTCTTGACTTTCTGTTGAGACCATTGGGCTTCCAAGAAAAGAAAATTGGTCCCTCCACTTAAGAGACGGAGAACACGTGCCGAAGCTTCCACCGAAGAAGACGACGAACGCGTCTGCTCCGCATCGAGTCCGGATGAACGAGAATGAGAAAGCGCCTTCGACACAACTGACAGTGCCAGCGCCGTTGTCGGATGACGGGAGATGGAGGCTGGCGTATTGATCGATTTAGAGCGTTGGATAAGAAAGAATCATGCTCCGCATAAACCTCAAACAAATTGAAGATGAGCAATCTCACGTTGAAGTAAAATTTTCAATATCAGCAGTATTTAATTGCAAGATTTGGGGTACGAAAGGCATGAAGAACATGAAGTTACGGCAACCTAAGGGTCACAGATCTGCACTGCAAAATGTTGGGTGCTGTGGAGTCTCCTATTGTTCCTTCTTCGCGGCTGCAGGGCATGAGTCGTAATGGTGATTGATTCTATGTCTCTTTTTCGTAAGTAGCCTCGTAACTATATCTGTCAGTCATTTACTAAAAGTGCCAAAGGTGGACAACGAATTACTTCTTCAAGATTCTCTCGATTCCGTCCAAGCCCTTCTTGAGGGTCTCCATCGTCGGTCCGTAGGAAAGGCGGATGAAGTGGTGGCAAGGGCTGTCAAACAAGTCCCTTCTCTTAGCAGGGTTCAGATCGAAGAAAATGCCCGGCACGACTTAAAAAACAGGAATCCAAAGTCAGTGATTGTCTTTCATGAAGAGAAGGCACACGTTCAGTCTCACCGATGACCTTTTGCTCTAAGCACTTCTGAAAGAAATTAAGCCCATCATTGATCCCCGCTGGTAGTCCGCTCAAGTCAAGCCAGATGTAGAAAGTCGAGTCTGGTATGTTCCTGATCTTGAACCCGAGATCGTTCAGTCTACCCAGAACGTAGTCACGCTTGTTTCGGAAATGTGTCTGCAGTGCTTTCATTTCATTCAGGACTTTCGTGGGCTCGAGCATCGGGATCGCAGCTTCTTGGAAAGGCACGTTGGTTCCTCCATCGAGGTATGAGCCGCAAGACCCGATGGCCTTGATGAATTCTTTGGGTCCGACAATCCAGGCAACGCGCCAGCCCGGTAGACGGAAGCGCTTGGTTAAGCCATCGATTAGGAGGACGTCGTCCTCGTCCACGTCGACGATGTTCTCAGCTGCGCTGACGGTGGTACCGTCACAATTACTCGTGTAATTGTAGCCGCCGTAGAATTCGTCCATGATCAACGTTGCTCGATCACGGCACAAGTCTTGGATCTGTGCAAGCTCGGGATTCTTCACAACTTGACCAGTAGGGTTGCGAGGGTTGGAGGTCAAGATAACAGAAGTACCACGCGCAATCTCCTCAGAAATCTTTTCTGGGTGGATGTGGTAGCCATCTGCTTCAGATAGAGGCGAGGGAATAGCCGCAAAATTTCTGAAGAGTCCCAGCATCTCATTGTAGGCCGTGTAATCAGGAATGAAGAAGCCCAGGTAGGCGTTGTTCAATACAGCAGCAATGCGGATGAGACCAGCTCTGCCGCCAGGGACAACAGCAACATTCTCCCAGGTATACTTGCTGTCTTTGCCCTGACGATGGTGTGCGTTGTACAGATTGGCGATGGCAGCTCTCAGTGGCTTGATACCTGCCGTTGGACCATACTCTCGGCCAGCCATAGACACCTCGATGGTCTTAGGGCGTTCAAAGCTTCCTTCGATATCATCGTCGACTTCAGGTGCACCTTGCCCCAGGTTGGCCCACTGTGTAGGGTCGTCCTGAAAGCCATGCTCGGTGGCTCTCTCCGTGCACCATACTACGCCAGTGCTGGCCCTGCTGGGGTCAAGGCCGGCATGTGGCCGATGTCCCTCATGAGCATTGCGGAATTGGCGATGGATCTTGGAATTCAATTCGCTACAAGTACGCTGGTCAACGTGTGATAATGGATCATGAAGTGAGAGGGAAAGAATAATACCTTGCGCTCGGACCTTTGCTCACCGAGAATTTGCGGCCGGCGGAACTCATCTCGGGAGGGATGCAGGCGTGATACTGTTTGTGGAATACCAAGACACGCTGGCGCTGTGTGGTGATGATGTTTGCGGGACTGGGATACAGCAGTATGCAATCGTTGGTTTGGGGTGGGGGCGGGACTATTAAGCTTTCACTTTCGAGACGGGAATGCTCCAGGGATCAATTTGTAGTGTTGGGCCACTCGGCCGAAGGTTGGGGGGGCACCTTACTACTACTACTACCACTACTACTACTTAGTAGTCGCTAACTACTACTACTACTGTTCTACCGGGTTGGTTCTCGCGTGGCAGCCAAATCAATTCCTAACTACTACTAAGCGAAATCTAAACGCCAATTCGAACCCAATCAACTGTTCAGGCCAAAAAGATGATGCCAAAGATGCATGGCGCCATCGCTGTGGCACTCTATTTGTTGAGACTTGAGGTCATAATACTTCTACATACACGCAGAACATGCTGGGTAGCCATGTGTCTCAGCAGTGTCCCGCCTCATATTCTCTTCCGATAGACAGGCATGGGGCAGCAGCTGTCCGATATTTGACAGCGGATATGCGTAATGTGCAGAAGTGAGTGGATTTTTTGATTTTGGAGAAAAACGCAATTTCCTTTCAAGTGCGAATCACTGAGGGGAACATACGTAGGTACATCGTTGGCTCCAGATCACTCAGATATGGGCCTATGGGCGATCATCTCGCCTAGGGGTTAGGCCTCAGCCCCAGCCCCTCTGGTAGGCCTGTCAAACAGCCCTTGCTAGTTGCTACGGGGGCATAGTGTGGGACTAATGCAGGTAAGAAGAGTAAGTACGTGCCTTGTGCCTTGCGTCAAGGACTCAAGACATTTGACGCCCAAGTCGTGCCGCCAAATGTCCACAATCCACCGAATGCAGGAGGCTAGCAGATCAATCGTGATCTGTCAAGACGTGAGCCAATGAATTGCTCTTGGCCTGGAAGACTTGAGGACGAATAGGGGAATTACATTTACAGCAGAGTTCTGCTCTTCGGCCTCGCCTGTTCAGTGTTCTGTTGGTGCTCCGACGAAGGCTTGACCTGCAGACGTAGATTAGCTAATCTACGAGTAGAACCATGCCTTCTGCCCAAGCCTCAAAGCTGAACCACGATACGCGGGCTGTATCCCTGCAGATGAAGCACTCGTGGAGTGGTGAACTGGTAATTGATTCGAAAAAGGATTCAAACGGATTCCTCAGCGCTACCGACTAGTGACATATGTATCAAGGCTGACAGCGCTCGTGGGGCGTCAATGATTACAGATACTCCTCCGCACCTGTTCTGCGCCCCTAGATACCTCGACAAGTCAACTGTTATACCTCTCTGACCCCCCCTCAAGATATTCAATTGATTGAAGCGATTGAATTGATGCCGTTGCGTGATCAGAGTGTCAATTCCTTTCGATTGGCCGCTATATGTTGATCCATTCCCAACAAAATGCCAAGACCTGCCACTAGTCACGAGATGACTTGTACTTGTACCTCCTTGAACAGTAGCAGCAATATCAACAATAATAATGAATGGGACAACCTTCCTCCTGCCGTCAAGCGAAAAGTACGTAGCCCCATTCCTCTCCACTGTCGGACATGATAAATATCCCTGGGTCCATATAGCTAATTCGACCTTCTATCAACAGTACTTCTCGTCTCTCGAGAGACTGAGGCTTGCGCAGAACTCCGCGTCCGCAACAAAAGCTGCCTCGGTGAAAAGTTGTCATGGCGCCTTGAAAGCTTCCAAACCAAAATCCTCGCCGACACGTCCTGCGCTGGCTCGGAGGAATTCAAGCTACTTCAAGAATCCTCCCACTTTACGAAGGAAGACTCCTTCGCCCTCGAGCGATACATTCCTCCCATCAGATGCTCAATGGTTCCTCAGACTTCCCGATAAGGTCCAACGAAAACATTTCACTAGGGAGGAGCGCCTTGCGTTGTCAGGACGCAGGGACAGCATCGTTCTCGACGCCTCAGATGAGAAATTCTGCAGATTCTACAGGCAAGGCAGGGAAGGGAATCGAAGTGTGCCAACACTAAGGACCTCATCATACTCAAGCCTATCTTCTCTGAGCACGTTCGACGACGAGCAACCCGCCGATTCGGCCATTGACATGGACGACTCAATGATCTGGTTCGACGAAGACAATGACTTGGACTTGTCTGCAAAGTTACAGTTGGACGATTACCACGAGTTCATGACCAAAGCTGCAGAATCTGACATCAAACCTTCGAAACGCCGGCCTTCGTTTCGGAGAGCGTTATCTCTAAACCAATTGCCATTCGGTGCAAATACCTCTTCAGTCCCGCCACTTCCGAAAACCACTTATGCGACACCGTTTGCAACTACACCTCTACCACAGCCCGTGCATCAACATGCCGAATCTCGCCCATTCTTGGCACTCGCTCATGGACCCCAGACATCCAATTCAGCCATCGAAGCATCCACGAAATACTACCAAGATCCCAAAGCCAGACTCAAGCTCCGCGTTTACCTGGCCTCTCCTCAAAATTTCGATGAAGCAATCGAATTTGGATTCCCCTCTATGGAAGACACAGAGTACCGGCCCTTAAGCCGACCTTCACTTTCCCGAGCCCACAAAACTGCACCCTGCAAAACATTCCTCCACGATGACATCCCCTCCCTATTCGACGCTCTCGACGATGATGATGACGCTGAATCTACCACCAGCCTCCCAGAAAGAGACGCACCATACACTCCAATGGACAGTGTCTTCAACCACGACGCCGCGCTCCTCTCGCCGTCAGTAGCCACCTCTTCCGTCTCAAGCAGTAAACTCTTCCCCAAATCCACCGTCCGCCATCACACATCGGAACCTTTCGCACAGCTGCTTGCTGGAAGCAGGGAGATGACTCTCCGTATGACGCTCACGAGGCCGGATTTGCGAGCTGATGAGAAAGCGTTGTATGCAAACACCACAGGCGATGATCCTCTAGCATTAGAGCATCTACCGCCAACGAAGAAAGAAGCGGATATCTGGGATCAGCTTCCAAAAGAGCGTGGCACTCTGAAGAAGTTCTGGAAGAGAGTAAGCGGGAAGGGATCTTGAAGTGTTCCAGCAGGAGAATCTGTTGCTATGGTCGCTATCTATCGATTTTTTGGGGCTGACCTTGGAAGCCCAGTACTTGCTGTTCTTTAGCGCTTGAAGCGGGTTGCTGGCTGGATCGGGTGCTACATTCACGATACCAATGTTCTTGATGAACCGCTGATCTGTTTTTTCCTCACGACTCGGATTACTATCACACCATTTCAAGCGGGCTTTGCTTGGTCAATCTACCACGAACCATATACTTAAGATTTACCAAATTCACTTCCGCATTTGCAAAGAATAATTCCCTTCAAGTCTCCTCTAAATCCTCGTTGAAACTGTTCCCATTCTCCGCTAATGCTAGACTAGAACCCTGGCCAACATCTCAACAGCACTCCTTTCCGTCCTCCTCCTGCATGGCCCCACTAGATGGATCAGAGGGCCCTGTACCGCCAACGACAATGACAGGATCAGTCCCCGTTTCCCGCGACCCCGGGTGGGGATCATCCCGCGAACCCGGTCCCATTTCAGTCCCAGGCTTCTGCTGCCCCCCTTCTACTGCCGTCGTCACCCCTATTAGAATCCCCAGCTTCGTTATCGTTACCGGGAATCGACTTCTCAGGGGTCCCGCTGCTGTCTGGTCGTCGCCTTTGCTGGTGGGGTCTTGGTCTGCCATGGAGATGATTTACTCGATGGTTGAGTCTGGGTTTGCGCAAGGACTATGGGGTTTGGCTCGGGAATTGTGCGGTGACTGGAAAAGTAAGGATTAGTACATGGATCGAAACACATCAATAGTCGAGATGATTGATCGATTGTGTACTTCTTGAGTCGAGAAGTGATGCCGTGGACTCATAGCCTTGTGGCTGCCCTGCCATCGATAAATTGTGGTCTGCGAGTACTGCACCTCGCTTTCGTCTCATTTCCCGCCACGCTGGCTCCAGTCGAGCTCAATATCTTCTCGTGCAGAACTGGCAGGAAACGTACATCCTGCAGACAATTATTCACGAGGTCCTGCTTTAGCGGCCGCTCTTTGAAGACCTGTAAGAATCGCCATGCTGCGGATTACAAAGCTTTGTCTCTACTTCCTCAGTAGCTTTAGAGGCCCGCTTTTGTTAGAAAGTGACGGGAGCATTCGCTTCGATACGCTGGCAGAGGCTGTGGACGAAACATTGCCGGTCCCCGAACGCGAAGCACATTCCATGAGCTGAATATCCTGAATTCATTGTAGGGAGTTGCCGTGCTGGAAAAAGAGCGCATTGGAGTCATTGCGGATGTCAAACATATGTAGGAACGGTAAAAAATTTCAAGATTTTCTGGAGGGTCTGACCGTTTGTTGCAGCTCCGGTGAAAAGGACTTTGACATACATATAAGAGGGACATGATTTTGAGGCCGCACTAGCAATTGAAGTAGTGAAATGGAGCCTCCTCGAGAGAGATTCACACCTTCAAGATCGAAGTAGAGGGATGTTAGAATGACGGGAAGAGTGGCGATGCTGTCAATGAGTCTTAAAATAACATCTACACAAAACAAATTTTATACGATATCAGCTCTATACTTTTCCAGAAACTGGCAGCTTGCCTGAAGTTTAGAGGGTTGGAAGATGCTAAGTACTTAATCGTCAAGTGAAAAGGTTCAGACGAAAGAATGTGAGAAGTTGGGGTATCTGACCGAATTTACTTGTCCTTGATTACAGAAAGTGCCTCAGCATGAAAGATTATATACGGTATCAATGCCTGGTTGACGTTGCTTTGGTCCAAAGGATTGAAGCTTTCTTGCCATGCACCAATGGGCGGATTCTCTCTCAAGCTCCGCTGTCTTGGCGACTACGAGCTTGGCAAAGCTTGTCGGCGCAGGACGTGGGCTCTTGAAATGAGTGATTGAGTGATTCCGTGATTCGCGATGCACCAGTGGATTGAATGATTGATGATTGAATGGTTCCTGTCAGACAAGTATATCAAGCCAGCAACGGGCAGTAAGCTTAAGGGAGCTGCACCAGCTGGATTGCGTCACCCGGTCGCAGATGCCAATTCTGCCAAGGAAATCCATGAGTAAACATGGCAATGGCAATCCGTCCAACCTCTACAGTCCGATTCTCTACCTCCACTCAACCACTCAATTGGACATTACACAATGGACAAGACTGCGGGCGAGGACGATGTCGACCTACAAGAGAAAAAAGATGCATACAGGGAGGAAGGTGAAGAGGAAGCAGAAGAAGATCACCTAAGTCCAGCGTATGCGACCTTCCTGAAATATTGCCAGCCCAATCGCATGGCGAGACAATCGGAGAAAACGCCTGCTAAAAACGCAATGCAGGCGATGGTGGTTCGCGACAACCCTTTTTCCTCTCATAGCAGGCACATTTGGACCAATGGCATCCGCCTTCAGTCTTTGCGCCTTGATAGAGCATTGGAGGCTCATACAAGACCCAACCTCGACCGAGTCCGAGGGCCAATATGTCTCGGATCCCAGCTGGTGAGGGGCCAGAAAGGTCACATAAGGAAAAGGACAAAAGCTGATTGCTCCAGGGTATTGGCAGTCAATGCTGTCTCATTCGTCATTGCCATCGCCGCCAACATGTTCCTACTGGCAAACAATTTCGGCCGCATTCCTTTTAAGATCGCACAGCCGGCTACCATCATCGGCTGGTACATTGCCAGCTTCATGTTGATAGGCTTGGTCGCCGCAGCGCCCTCGCATCTTCCTCTACCACCTGGCCAGGCGCGGACTTTCTCCCAGGCCTATTATTACGCTATCCTCGCTGCGGCTTTGTACTTCATTGTTGCTTCGCTGCTGGTCGCTACCGCTAGTGGGGTCTGGTTTGGCCAGTACAGCTCGGACTTCAAGCTGACCTTTAGTCAGAAGACATTGATGATACAGGTCCTTCTCTTCCTTGGCTATCTCCTTTCAGCCGCAGCTGTCTATGCTTACATCGAAGACTGGGATTATCTTGATGCAGTTTATTGGGTTGACGTGACCCTATTCACCATCGGATACGGCGACTTCAGCCCGAAGACACATCTGGGAAGGTCACTCTTCCTTCCAATGGCAATAGGAGGTATACTCTTCGTCGGTCTAATAGTGGCTTCTATAAGCACGTTGGCGCTGGATCGCGCCTCAACGAAGATATCAGTTCGTACGATGGAAAAGGCTCGGCAGAAAGCATTGAAAAAGTACAACCCGAAAACCGGCACCACGCACCTGCGGCCTTTCAAGGAGCGGAAGATTGAAAACAATCCCTCCTCTGAACTGGAGCGACGGGAGCAGGAGTTTGACGTCATGCGTGAGGTCCAGCAAACTGCAGCGAATGACAACCGGATGTTAGCACTTGGGACCTCCGTCGGTGCCTTCGTTATTCTGTGGTTCATTGGAGCGGTGGCTTTCTGGCAGGCCGAGAAGGGTGCCGGGAATTGGAGCTACTTCGAATCATTGTACGGCTTTTCTTTCCTCTGTTTAAGTTCATCGTGCTTGTGAAGGGCGAAAGCTGACTCTCCAGTAGGTATTTCACCTATGTGTCCTTCCTGACAATCGGCTATGGCGACTTCTACCCGCAAGATAACTCTGCCAAACCAGTCTTCGTCTTATGGTCTCTTGTTGCTTTACCTACTCTGACGGTCCTCATCGGCAGTGTTGGTGGCGTCATAAATGAAGGCGTCAACACAATCACACTATGGATTAGCGATCATCTACCTGAGAAGACTGGTACTCTATCCGCCATGAAAGATGAGGCTTCCAAGGCCAAGGGCAGCGAGTTCCAATCAGCTAAGCCGCCAGGTTTTATGGAGAACGGGAAATCTGACGGTGCTGGAACCGATGATCCCGCTCACGCTGAAGCTGTGAAGGGTATAAGTCAAAGTATGAATGAGCACCCGGGTAGCAACGCTAAAGACCTTGCCGCCGGCAAACACAACCGCCACTATTTGCTCATGAAAGAGATGAAAAATGTTGTCCAGCACACGGGCGCTACGCCACCGCGTCAATATACGTACGCTGAATGGACATGGTTTTTGAAGCTGTTAGGCGAGGATGAGTCGAGTGAGGAGAGGCATCGAAGGCCGTGGGAGGTACATGAATCTGAATTGGCAGCGACAGTTAACGGGGAGGGACCAGCTAGTGGTCGCGATAAAGACGGTCGACTGAAGCCTTGGAGCTGGCTGAGTCAGAGGAATCCGCTCATGACTGCTAATGACGAGCCTAAATGGGTATTAGAAAGGCTGATGCAAGCATTGGAGCAGGAGCTAAGAAAGGAGGGGGAGAAGAATTTGGCGCAGGAGAAGGGGAGGCAGCCTGGCAACAGTAATTGCTAATTGTATCACTACCGAATCGAACCTCTTTTTGCTAGATTTATGTCGACCCTCTAGCGAGTGACGATGGCGCCTTTGCGTGGAACAAAGGTCGATTATCTCCCCATGATCTTTAATCACGGTTTGTTTACCCACATGTCCACCACATCGAATAATTTGGATCCATTGGTCGGGAGCTGGCGCTAGGGAAAAGCTCCCAATCTTTCTTAATGAACTTTTTGTACCACCCTTACCTATCTACTCGTCATGCTAATTCCGTTCCGAGCAACTGAGGTGACCAGCAAGAGATTGAAGGCTTATAACCCTTCCAAGGTCCCACCTGGTTCTCCTAAAGGCAATTTCAGTCCAACGTCCTTCCAGCCCACGATGGCTTTCCACCATTCTATGAGAGCCTTGTATCAGTCGAGCTCTGGTCCCGGCCTACTCAAGCCCACGGTTGCATCTATCAAGACTCACACCATGGGAAGCTTTTTGATCAAATACCTGCGTATGAAAGTCCATCCAGATATTCAGAACAAAGTGTGGTCCCGCATCGTCGTCAAAGGCATCCATGAACGAAACCCTTCGAAAGCTTGCCTCTCACCTACGAAGACGAGAGACAAATCTTTCAACTGGAGCGCCCAACGACCTCCGTAGTCGACCTCCGACGCTTCGGCTACAGTGCTTTCCTGGTGTGGGTTATGTGAAACATTACGCTGCCTATCTGTCTTTGAAAGGGGAAACGCGCGACAGTGTGCACTACACCCTGCCTTCCGACTCAGAATGCTTGCAGCCTCTACTGCCCTCAAACCTTCGCAAGATGGGACTAGTTGACATTGTTCTCGTTGGGTATGTGCATGGTCTTGAGCGATGGGGCCAGGCTCCCTGGGAAGGCGACGACAGCAATGAGCCTTTCGCGTGAAGAAAGGTACTAAGTCCACAGGGCTACTGCATCGCATTCCCGGGCTGCCGGATGAGCTTCTGGGGGCGCATCGCAGGCAACGTCATTCGGGCTCTTCAAAAATTGGATGGTGCAAAATGTGTGCTGTAAGTGGGAAAGCTGGGAAGTCTACGTGCCGGGCACTCTCCAAATAAATGGCTTGCAACAGGCTGTCAAAGCCTCGTACGCAATCAGCGACTAGCCTGGAAAAATCCACTCGAGTATCTGGTGCACGACTCACCTAGCGTTGTGCGCGGAGTGCATTGTACCTTGGAGTCTGTGCTGGACAAGACAAGACTAAGGCATGGCTGCGCGGAACAGAAAAGAAGTACGACTTAGACCAAGAGATTGGACGCATGGCCAAAAGCTTCGTTGGATGGCGGCACTGAGTTTGGGTACCTTCACATCATATCTGACAACTTGGTACATACACGACTTGTCACACGAGCGTCTCAAAGCTGTACTTCATGGCATGGAGAGGTTGGTTGGAGAGATCGACAATGTCTGAAGCCGCTTTTTCTACCAGTGGTCTCCGACTTGAGGCAGATCGAGGTATATGGGTGATGGGGACTGGGATGTTTGCCGGCGGGTGGTACTTTGCTTGAAGTGTATGCGATTCTTGCGATCCAACATGCGTAGGCCACTGGGACGATAGATTTTCGGATCTCCACTTGGTCCTCAGTCATGCATGCAATGTCATTAGGTAACCTCTACTCAGGCAAGCAACAAGTCAGGTCCGGCGGACGACATCTTCGCTCATACTCTTCCCTAACCCTGATACGTTCCGCTGTAGCCAATCACAGGCTCACTCATCAGGTGGGAGACCGTCTGTGCGAGCCTGGTTTCGCGATACACGATCAAGCCATGCGGATCAAAGCACTTGCAGCATAGCTCCTACACCGCCTTTGTACCCACTGTCCATCACGCCTGCACTCAGTAATGCTTCCAAGCGAAATAGCGAGCTGTGCACAAAGATCCGTCCCATCAAGTCCAAAGGCACATCAACGCTCTCATTGAATTCGACGAGGTAGGATCCAGAGCTGAAAAGCACGGTCTCGAGTATGCCACCGTCTTGCTCGTCACCCTCGTTAGGTCCTAATGAGGATGGTGACGAGCGTGTCTCGGCCTGCGATGTGGAATACTCGGGCCGATGATGGCCTTTCAAGTACCGGCGGTGAGTTGTAGTAGCCTTCACGCGCTGGCTGTTGTCCAGGTCAATAACGCCAGGCGAAGTCCGAGTCTCGATGCGCTTGAGCGTCAAATCCACCCTGCAGGGTTGCGCTTGGATTCTGGGGGATCGAACGTTGCTGATGATTTTGGGGATGAGAGAGCGACCAGGGAGGATCATCTGTTTACATTATTTGGTGCCCCATGGATGTGTGAGTGGTAGAGATCTGCAGTCCCCGTGGAGAGATATTCCTGGTGTGTTTTCAGACTTCCTGTCTCGCCCAGGACTGTCTTAGTCGAGGTAGCGTAAGTAAGTCTTTCATTCACGATCCTGCTTACTTTGATCACCGTCACCCCTTAGATGCGACTCTGTTGTCGAAAAGCTCTTCTGCAATTCGAGCTTTGTTTTGAAGTCAAGTGTGTGGGGACGGAGTCAATACTACCTTTTCACGTTGACAATGAAGACTTACCGTTCATTTTCCTCCTCGCTTCTGGCTCTAAACAAGCAGTCTTGGCTGTACATGGCTGCAGTAAATGGAAGCCCCATCAGAGACCTACATCTTTCCTGTCATTTGGTCGTCATAGTTCGGGATATCTGAGAGTCAATTTGTGCGTAATCATTTCCTTCAGATTGCTATGTCGAAAGGATACTTATCTCGAGGGTCCGGTTTGCCCAGTACCTAGCCTTCACTACCCGGTCATCATTTCGGCTCATTCTCGAGCGTTGACAGCCTCGTGCAAGAAAGCCAATGTCATGTGCTCATAACGATCATGCTACTCTTATCATGTGCGCGTAGGATCTATGTTATTAAGTCTGCTATTGCTCGGAGTCGTTGGGGTTGAGAGACAATAGCGCAGGTAGATTCAACAAAGGCAAAGCTCATTCATATATTATAGTAGGTAAGGTAGGTAGGAACTCTATCTAAGTGGTGAACGGAAGGACTCTTTGCAAAGCGCAACTGTAGAAACGCGCTACCCGTTGAGTATGGGTCTTCAGCCATGTAAGGTCAACGTTACGAACTTTCTGCCCTTCTGTCATATTGATCCAGCCGTCGAGCACTCGCTCTCGAGGGGCACATACACAACTATCTCAGATCCATAGGAGACCGTATACGTGCCGGTGGGATTAGGCGGTAGGGATGGGTTGCCGGGTGACAGTGGGCCCGGGGATACGTTTGGATTAGATGGTAGAGATGGGTTGCCGGGTGACGGTGGGCCGGGGGGTACGTTGGGATTAGGTGGTGGAGATGGGTTGCCGGGCGACGGCGGGCTTGGCCTGGGTGGGCTGGGGGGTAATGCTACCGGGTTGCCGGTGGCGTTGTTCGCTATGATAAAGGCGGTCTCCGCACCAGTAGCGGGGAAGACCGTCCCAACCGAAGCTTTGAAGTGGCAGCTTCCGTTGTTGTAGGTCACAGCCGCGCAAGACTGCGTGCCCGAGAAAGAAATACAGCTCTCCACACAGGTGGCAAGATCGGCGCCAGGGGCCGTGGAAATGTCAACGACGTAGTTGTCAATACTGCAGCCCACGACGTAGACGTAGCCGTTGAACTCGAAGGTGTTTCCGTTGGCATCGGGACAGGCTGGGTTCGACTGTGAGATATTGCCGGATAAGTACCCGGATGCTATAGTCTCAGGGCCATTCAAGGTGCTGATCACGAAGGCGCTGTCCGAGCCGGCTTCATTGTAGACGGCTCCAGGGTCGGATTTCAGATAACAGAATCCGTCGCTGTAAGTCACCGCCTCGCAAACTGGTGTTCCTGTGAACGTAGTGCATATATGAACACAGTCTGCTATGTCGGTACCTGTAATTCGAGTAAAGTATGCTTGGTCACTGGCGATGCCGCAACCTACAACAAAATCCTGGCCATTCGAAGTGAAAGTACTTCCGTCCGCAGACGGGCATATAGGTGCTGCCGTTGCAGGAGCGGGTGCTGCCGAGGATGAAACAGTTGCAGACAAGCTTGCGGACGCTGGAATAGTTAACGAATTGCCGCTAACGCTGGTGACCGAGGATGTAATTTGACTGGAAGAAAACGGTAAGATCGAAGCTTCTGCAGAGCTAATAGTAGAGCTTGGAAGTACTGCTGAAGAGCTAGAAGATCCCGGGACGGAGCTTAAAGCTTCTGCAGAGCTTGTCGTAGAGCTTGAGGGTACTGCTGAAGAGCTGGAAGATCCCGGTACATAGCTTGAAGTCCCTATCGAAGAAGTAGCTATTGTCGAAGTAGGTATAGCGGTTGTCGTAGAGCTTGAAAGTACTGGTGAAGAGTTGGAAGATCCCGGAACGGAGCTTGAAACTTCTGTAGAGCTTGTCGTAGAGCTTGAGGATATTGCTGAAGAGCTTGAAGATCCCGGTACAGAGCTTGAAGGCTCTATCGAAGTAGTAGCTATTGTCGAAGTGGGTACAGCGATTGTCGTAGAGCTCGAAAGTACTGGTAAAGAGCTCGAAGATCCCGGTACAGAGCTTGAAGGCTCTATCGATGAAGTAGTTATTGTCGAAGTGGGTATAGCGGTTGTCGTAGAGCTTGAGGATATCGCTGAAGAGCTGGGAGACCCCGGTATAGAGCTTGAAGTCTCTATCGAAGAAGTTGTTATTGTCGAAGTGGGTATAGCGGTTGTCGTAGAGCTTGTAAGTACTGGTGAAGAGCTGGAAGATCCCAGGACGGAGCTTGAAGTTTCTACCGAAGAAGAAGCTATTGTCGAAGTGGGCAGAACGGTTGATGTGGACGTGGACGGCGTGGTAGTAGTTGGTAAAACGATGGACGTTGATGTCGGTGTCGCGGTTGTCGCCGAGATGCTGGGTAAGCAGACATTGGTGCTATCAGCGCAGGGACATTGGAACGATGACTGAAGGTAGTACATTCTAGGCTGCCCGCCATACATATAGACGGGAAGAGTATTATCCGTGGCCACTGTGACAGTCTGTTCCGTATATATCTCGTAGACAAGGTCGCCCGCCGTCCAGCCGGTATTCTCCATGTTGATCGTATATGATGCGGCGCCAGTACCGCGATTGTTGTAGACTCCAACTAACTGCGCCGCCGGAGTGCTTCCCTTCTTAACAGCCAGCACTTGAGTGTCCAGGAAGAAAGGGACGGATTCGGTTGTCAGATATGTCGCGTCGTTATTGATTAGACACGCTCGGAGCGCATTGATCTTTTTGATAAGCTGATAGTAGATGGTGGTGGTATTGTATCCAGAGGTCCATGTTGTCTCTCGGTCGGCAGGGGGGGAGCCTCCTGAATAATGCTGCTCTTCTCCCGCATATATGATGGGAATGCCATCGTTGAGCATGGCGAAGGCAATGGCGTTCTGGTCCAGTCCAATATCCTCTACCGTGTAGGGGAGACGATCGACGTCGTGGTTCTCCACAAAATTTCCCAGAAGGGAAACATCTGTGCAATTTCCTTGCATTTCGGTGATTCCGTTGTACAGATTGGTGATGCTGCCACTGATGGAACCGAAGGCATCGGTGATCAAATACCATACGGGAAAGTTGAGCAATCCACTCACGTAATTCTGGTAATCGCAAACCTTAGGTATAGGGTAGTCGTAGACTTCACATATAACGTACATTCCGGCGGCCGATTCGAAGGACGTAAAAAACTGTTGGTTTTGTTCAAGACAAGCGTCAAGCCGAATGCCGTCAATGCCATAGGTCTTAGTAATATTTGAGACCCACGCTTCCCATTTGCTCAGAACAACGCTATTTTCCGTTGCCAAATCAGGAAGCGAGATATGCTGATCACCCGACCAACATTCCACCGCGTTGCTTGAATTCTGGTAATCGGTGATGGGACAGTACGGGTGGTAATAACTTGAGTCATTGAAAACGTCGTATATAGAGAAGTCGACGGTGGTGTAGTTGCCGTTCCAAGCCATGTCGTTCGTAACCATGTCAACCATAAGATACTAAGCCACATCAGCGCCTTCCCTTCTTGGAGTGATTGACCAACATACCATGCCTCTCTGGTGCAGGGCATTGGACAAGTCCTTCAAGTCCGCTGCAGTCCCGAAATTCGAGTTGACCTGGTTGATCTGTTGTGGCCAGAATCCATGGTAAGCCGCCCCTTCATAGGTGATACCTGGTATTTGCTCTGTGATAGGCGATATCCAGATAGCTGTGAAGCCCATGTCCTGGATGTAGTCGAGGTTGTTGGTTATTCCTTGCCATGAGCCACCGCAATAATCTCCGAGATTACCGCAAGGCGCCGTGCTTCCGTTGGTTTGAGCATAGCGGTCGGTAAGAAGCTGGTAGATCGACTGAGACCGCCATTCCTCCTTTGAAAGCGCAGCAGCCAAACCAAGATACGCGTAAAGAACGACTAGAATGGCTAGTGCCATGGTGCCTCTTGAGTTGAAATCCTTGTTTCGGCAAAGGGGGAATCTTCATCTCACGCAGAATGAAAACAAAAGCTCAGGAGAATAACGCGTCGTGGGGTATTTATAAGCCATTCGAAATGTAAACATCGCGTTCGGAAAACAGCCTTCATTCCTCGGGAGCTGAAAATTCTGGTTGCGAAATGAGAATATGGGCCATTGGAATGATAATTCTATCTAGCCTCCATTCCTCGGGACCTGTTGCGGTCGGATCTTCGTTTGCAGCGCATCAGCTCTTTCAGCAGATTGGAATCAGCTGTAAGGACTACGATAGTCTAAACTGTAGTACCCATCTTGCTCTACAGGTTGTATATCGGTCCAGACACTGTCGTAGACGCCATTAGAACGAGGCCATGGACCGTGAGAGGTCCCGACGAAGGCTAAGTCGGGTAAGTCGGTCGTATCGCATCTTGTTGGCGAGCTATATCTATGATATCCTGTGAAGAGCCTTAGGCGGTTGCTATTCATGGACACACAAGCTATATGCCCGCGCTCTCGTGACGTAAATGCCAGCTCCACTCAGAGAGTCGCAGCCCTGATGGCTGCGAATCCTTTTTCTTTGCATCTTTGAGGTCTGTTCGGGTGCCGATACTGATCCATGACAAACCTCCGAATTTCTCTTCGGTGTGCCTTGACTAAGACGTTGGTTTCTCCCTTGACTTTCAGTCTCCTCTGTGTGAGTCTATCTGGCGTGAAGCTGTCAATCAAAAGTGCTGCCGAGACGTGAGACTCAGATGAGCTTGATCGAAAACAAATGGTGTGCTGGGCTATGTGGGCAGCCCTATGCATAGTCATCGTATCCAAGGGCAAGCTTATGAGCTGGGTGCGGCCTGTTCGTAGCTTAAAGCGAGCACCTTGATGCAAAGAAAGATTGACCTAGCTTCAATAGGCAACAATGGAGGCCGTAGGGACGGAAGAGGAAATGCTTCAGTCGTAAAAGACTGAATTAGCTTATGGCCGATCTCACAGTAGTGCATCTTGTTCAACTGAAGTCGGGTCTTCCTGTTTACAGCTTCCTGTTGGGTCCGATGGTGCTTCGACAGGAGTTCTTGAAGTTCCCCAGAGACGGTCTCTTGTCGCAAATCATGCTATTTATAAACACTTAGCGCATTGTGGTGATTCATAGATTCGGTTTGGTGCGATTCAAAGCATGTCTCATGATACCACAAGCACGCAGGCTGAGATCAGAAAAGCATGGCTGTGGCTGCAAGAAAAGAAAGTGTCAGAGAAGGAAAGATTGGGTCAGTCATGAAGCAAAAACCTGGTCTTTTTGCGGTCTCCTGAAATGCAATGGCTCTGATTCGATTATTGCATAATACTTGGTATTATAATGGATGGCACCAATCGACATTCCGTCATTCATTCGAAGGACAGACTTGGCACGCCAAGGCCTCCTCGGCCCTAAGGATTATTTACAATCACTATTCTATATAATCTATAATTTCTATTACTTTTACTTATAATACTAAATAACAAATTATTAAAAATCTTATAAAAATATATTAAGAATCTTTATTCTACGTTAAAAAGTTACCTCGACTATTCTATAACCGTTAAGACTTTCTTAATAAATCTCGAGAATTTAATAGATTTCTATTTTATCGTATAGTAGATAATTAGAATATATTAAAATTTAAAAGCCTTAATCTAAATAATATCTTCTAATAATTATAAAGTTTTTAGAGAATTATAATCTATCGTTATGAAGTTATTCCTAAAGTTTCAATTTTCAATTTTCGAGGGGGGGTGCTTGTGGGAACAATGATCCAGGAATTAGGGGTAAGGAAGTCGGAAGTGCAGCTCCAAGGAGCCAAAGTTGGACCGCGGAGACGCTGTCGACAACTACCATGAAGCTTCTAAAATGCCATGCCATTGATTGGCCATCCAGTCTTTAGAGATTAGAGAGCATTACTGCTTTAGACCCAGCTGGCTCTCCCTAAATTCGCCCTCGACATGTCTTCTTTCGAACCTTCGGCAAGCCCATCTGGTCCATGTCCATTTGCCCACTTCTCCTTTCAAAAGCCCCAACCCAGTCAGCTTCTCCATCCGGAACATTGACCATGCCCGACCTAAATGACTCCTCCTCCCATTTCTCTCCCTATCGCTCAGATGGCAAATTGTACGGCTTCGTCTGCGTCGTCACAGGGGCAACGCAGTCAATTGGCCAGGCAATCGTTGGCGAGCTCGCTGGTAAGACAGCAGCTGGGCTCAGCTTTGACAACAGCTGACGTGACGCTACCACAGCGCATGGGGCAGCTTGCATCTATGCCTGTACCAGAACTACCAACGAAGACACCTCCGACCTAGCCTCCACCCTCAGCGAAACCCACCCCAACACCAAGATAATACCGTACCCCTTGATTGCAGCCGACGAGCAAGCAACCCTGACCCTGATCGATGACATCTTAAATTCCTGGGGGAGACTCGATGTCTGGGTCAGCAGTTCCGGCCTGCTGGGTCCCCCGTCAATTGACATGACAACGCCTTCCGATCTCCAGAAGTGCTTCGAGGCGAACAGTCTAGCGCCGTTCTTCGCGTTGAAATATGCACCTGCTGCTATGGGAAAGCTGGCGAGCAAGGGCAACTACCCCAATGCTGCGCCGAAAGATCAGAAGTATGGAAGCATCATCGTTGTCAGCTCCGTAGCCTCGACGTATGGGGGATGCTGGGGCCCTTGCTACACGATGAGTTCTCACGCAGCATTGGGAGTTGTGCAGGCCGGCGTCGCCGTCCTCAAAGGTTCTGGCGTTCGCATCAATTGCATATCACCAGGTCAGATTGATGTCGGTATAGATTTGAAGGGGTTCGACATGCGGGGCATGAAATCTCAATTACCTCCTGCAAACCTGCAATCGCCTGAGTCACAGAAGGAGCATATTGGCCTTGAGCGTGCGGGGTCGCCAAGCGAAGTTGCGAGAGTAGCTGGCTTTCTAGCGAGCGGTTTCAGCAGCTACATGACTGGTGCTAACATGGTCGTTGACGGTGGAGCCTCGGTCATGATGCCACTCACACTCCCAATCTGATGGTTATGATAGATCATATATAACTCTGTAGCAACATACATCATGTGGCTCTGACACACCCATCCTCACCTCACCTCGAGCGCTTTGTTGCCCCGTCAGCAACCTGTTGGCGACTTCTGTTTGAGCAATGAGTCCCTCAGTCACTTGATCATTACCGACGACCTTCACCCACGCAAAGTCCATCACTATGGCGGACCATTAAACAGAGACGCACCCTGTTCAAGCTGCCTTGGGAGTTTCGGGATAGAATCTACCGTCTAATTGCCACAATACAAGACCTCTTACAGCAGCCTCTCGAGGACTTTCCATGGTCAAATAGCGATTGTCGGAAGGTGTGGTAGGAGGAAGACGACAGCGACTCTGCCATCTTGTGGACCTCAAGGGCCATCTGCTGCAAAGTCATGGTCATCCTCTGTTCAAATGGTGTCTTTGATTTCGAAATGGGATTTGAGATGGCGGTCAACGAGATCCTTTGTACATTAAATTAACTGGTTCTAATTCGCATGGTGAACGCCGACTTCATGCTCAGTGTGAGGGGAATCCGGTATGAGGGAAGTTTAGTGTAATCTTTATCAGGACCAGAAAGCTTTTCGTGACTCGGGTCATACTTGTGACAGTGATGGACTTCAACATTGGAGAAAATCGGTGGTTTTTTGAGGGCTCGAGTCAATTGTGTTTATTACAAGCATGAAAGCGAGAATCGGGAGAACGCACAGATCCTTGAGGCATCATGTCAGAGATCTAAGGAACGTGACCTCGAGCATTCGGCAAGAGGGGAGTCGTTCGGAAGATCATATGTATGACAATTGGGACTGAAAGAGCGGTAAAGCGGGCCTGTACCTTAAGAATAGAACCAAAGTCTCTGGGACATTGATAAGGGAAAAGGAGGAAGGAAATTGAGTATTTGAGGTGTTACGAATCTGCTCAATGAAATTGGTCAAAGGCTCAACTCCTCTGATACTGTAAAGCTTACAAATGCACAGCTCCCCCAGCGACCTACGACCCTGCCCAACGACAGCCCGATGACTTGTACAAACAGCGAGCCACTTACCCCAAAGATTATCAGGTCCGATCCGTCACGCCACAAATCCATTCCACTCATGCTCACGCCCCCGTCTTCTCCCTAAGCATCCGGATTTGTCGTTGGCGTATAAGTTATGGCATAGCTCGGATATCCCACATTCACTGCATTCCCATAGAAAGTGACATCATTGTCCGGGTATCCGTCATAGACCGCCTGCCCATTAACAATCGATGGTGGATGACCCGGCAGCGTTCTCAAATTGACACCACCAAAGTTGCTCGCAGGCACACTGGTCGAGCAACTGTCGTTCATAGCTGTGAATATTTCTATGCATGTTGCATTATTCTGTACAATTGCAGCGCCCTGATAAGGTGGTAAGAAGAAACCGACGGCGCAGCCCAGTGCCAGTTCGCTCCAAATCCAGACTCCGGCGCGAATACGCGGGTCGATTGCTTTTTTGCAGACATCTTGGAACGAGGCACTGCAATTCCCCCACGATACAGACTCGGGACCTTCGATTGGCGTGACGGCCGTGCAGTTTACGCCGTAAGGTTGAGGGCTCTTGACAAGAACGGGCGCAACGGAGCAGGTGTCTGCATAGTTCGGATTGTCTTGGGCCGCTGGACCACATGGGTCACCGTTGGCGGGCGCTGGCACGGGTGCCGGCGTGGCGATAGTCGTGGGAGTGAGGAGGAATAAGAGAATGCAGAAGCAGATGGGTGCTAGGAGGCTGGTAAGGCTTTTCCTCGAAGAGTTCATGGCTCTGTTTTACAGAAGTGCCCAGGGAAAGACCGCTGATGCAGGATGAATGGTATAAGAAGAGATTAGCGAACAACAAAGAACGACGGGTAAGAAAGACAAGCGGTCTTGTGGCCTTGAAAATTGTCCCTCCTCCTTACTTAGTAGACCACAAGCGGAAAGCGCGAGAATGCTTCATGAAATCGACGGGTGAAAGGAGTCTTACTGAAGGAATGGCTCGCCAAAATTGAGGGATTTGCTAGAACGAGAGGGTGTCATCAAGCTCCTCCACTGCCATTTCCACGAATAGACTTCTTTGCGCTTCGCAACTGTAAGATGCGATCCTATCAGGGTCTCGAAGGATGGATGGCATCGCGAATCGCCTAAAATACTTCATATTGCCGAGAAAACGCAATGGTCGGTGTCAGAGAAGTGAAACAAGGCAAGTCTGCAAATACAAGATTCTCAGGTAGCAATCATCGGCGGTAGGGGACCTGCCTGTTATACTGTATACACAAAAGTCTCAGACTCGAGGTCTGCCAGTGGCCCAATTTGCTCTTCGTTGGATTAACAAGTTCAGGTATATGATATGTCTCAAGAGTTACCCGCGTTTTCTCATGCGCCCAACCAGAATAAGCGACCCGTTCGGATCGGATGCAAGCATTAGACACAGAATCTCTTACAAGGCCATGAATGGTACGCGGCATAAGCCTAAGATGACTATCGGTGTGTGCAGGCCTAGTAGAAAGATAGTCCTGCTTGGGCCGATAGACGAAATACTTGCAGCATAGCTTTAGAAAGACGAGAATGACTTCACTATGATGAGACCTGACAATGCCAATAGTTGGTGGATGAGGCTATAAAAAGCAATGCCCGCCAGTCCTTCTACTGATTATACAATGTAAGGATGAGACAAGAAGTGGCAGTATCAGAGCCAAGCTGGGTTCCACATTGTGGTCGAAGGAGCTAGAGGTAGTGCGAACGTACACATTCTATATGGATGAGCTGCTTCATTCTAACCGCAAAGCTCAAGCCTCACCGTTTGGCTGCGTTGCCACCGGCGCTCTGGACCTCCACTATGACCCTGCCAACGCCTTCGTCCTTGGACTCCCAGGCCGTGGCTCCCTTGCCACCCAGCTCGTTCAAAACCTTGAGGAATTCATCAACACCACCACCGACACCGAAGTAAATTTTCTTTGCCGCGACCAATGCTCTTCCATGCCCATGTGTCTCCTCGGCGCTTTTCAAGGCCTTGAGAAGGACCTGAGTGAAAGCATGTATCGAATTAGGCGAATAAATTGTCTCGCTCGCTAGGAAGATGGTCTCGATTCGACTCCGACGTTGAGGATCCTCGACTGGCACGAGGAGATCAGTGAACGCTTCGTTCCAAGTTCCTGAAATGCCTGATATATGTATGACTTTGTCCGAAAGGTCCTTGACGAACCGTGAAAGGAGGTCCGGGGTTATCTCGAGATCGCCTGCAGGTTCGGGGATCGCTGGGGACTGTACAAAGTACCAGGTGAGTAACAGGTTAGGTAAGGTAGCATTTGCCAGGACTGACAGGTTGTAGTCAGCGACCGACAGATGAACGGCACGCCACGAGGGTGACAATTGTTTGAGGAAGAAGTCGAAGAACACGAGAATTGGAAGAGCTGTGCCTGCGCCCACCTGTCACGGGATAATTTAGTAAGTATTGATTGGACACAGAGCCAAATCGAGCAGAGCGTAAAGTACCTCGACGACATGCACATCTCGCCCTCCCAATTCCCAACCCTTGCTGAGACTTCCGAATAGATGACCAGCAAGGTCTACAGCACATTCCCAAGTCTTGAAACCTCCCTCGTAAACATTTGGCGTAATGTCATCAGTCGAAAGACCGAGCACTGGGCTGGATTGATCAGAGATCTCATCTTCGGCCATCAGCTGTGCTCGTATATCAAAAAGCTCGCGCCTAGGTACATTGAGTATGCCGGCGGGAGATCGAATTTGGACTGTACGGTAAGAGATCTTGGAGGGAAGAGCAGAAAGCTGCAGTGGTCAGATTATACAGGCGGCAATCGTAGGAATTTGAAGGGAAGAAGGGACAAGGCATTGCAAACAATTTGCATGTGTTGTAAGCATGCAGTATGATGCCATCGATACTGAAGGTATCAGTGATTGGAGTCTAGGTTCTTCTAAGACTGTGCACGGTGAAAGTAGCTGCGCAGCCCAAAGCACGGTAGTAAACCAAAGCCATGAAGATTCGTGTGAGGAAAGAGGATGGAAGAGTACGCTTGCGAAACTAAGGGAGTGAAGAGTAACGTTTCCGTACCAGATCTTGAAGCTTGTGCAATTTGGGCTCCGTGACAGCAACAGGCTTGTTTTCCCGGGTGTCATGCAAAGGCAAGGGCCCAACATCGGCCATCTCATCTCCATTCTCTTCAATGTCATCGCTCCCAAAGCCAAAGGAGAATGATTGGCTCATGCTTGGCCAATCTTAGAGGAGATTCGGTTAAAGGTGCCACGCTGCTTCATTTGATGCAAGACTCATGTTCTTAGAGAGTAAGCTTCACTGGTACATGGGTCCATTGCCATTGCCCCTATCATATTCGGCCAGAGTGACCATGGTATTGATCATGTATCCGTTATTAATTACCAGCAGTCTTTGGAGAACACATAGAGTGGAGTACTCGAAAAGGGAAGGAAGAAAGAGCCACCTTTTTTCCCGGCTCGGGTCGGCTAAAACTCAGTCTCTCAAATTTTCACTTTCCCTCGACATCTAACCATTCTGTTTGCAGAACTTGCTTTTCGTTATTCTGCGTAAAGCTGCGTCAAGCTGCATAAGCTGCGTGCAATGCGTGGCTAGACTTGGCTAATCTGTTACCGCCAGCAGCTTGACGCACTCGAGGCAGAGCAGTCGAGATAGACTCGCATGGAATCCGGATTGGGCCCAGATCCCACCCCCAAGGCTTGCTCATACGAGGAGATAACCTTTGATGCCCCCGATCTTGCATATGGCTCGTTCGACGCTGAAGCTCGGGTTAGTGTACGTTCCTTGTCAACATTCATCCTCATCACAGACCTTTTTGGCGGTCAAAAAGCCTCCAGAGTGGCAGGGCGTGCCTGCAGCGTCGCCCGGCTGCCATTCAGACCTGCCCGAGCTTCTCCACCAGCACAGCTCCAATGCTTGCTCTTCTCGTGCTTCCTATCGTGCTCATCTTGGTGGCCAGCTGAAGGGCGACTAGGAGGATGAAGACTTGGAGCTATGCCTTTCCAAATCTTCTACGCATCATCGCATTGGAGGTACATGACTAGCCTCAAATGCCCTTTATTCGACCATTCACATCCTCTTTGTGTATGTGTAGGCGCTGACTGTTGTCGTATTCAATGACTATTTCGACTTTGTTCTAGAGCCATGATTGGGGGCCGGGCAAAGCCACGATCCCCAGGTTTCAGGGTCCAGCTCATTTGATTCAGCTCCTCCACGAGTACGATTTCATTTCTCACCAGCTCACCTCAACATCATTGCCTCTCAAAGTGCTGTTCTTTTTTCGTATCTACGTCTGCATCAGATATCGCTCCCGCATCGGCGCCTTTCCCATCTCCTTTCAATCTGGCCCAGTGTACTCTTCCCCCTCTCTCCTTCATTTAGTCGCGTCTCTTGAATACACAAAGCATTCTGTCGCAATATTCAAAATGCGCGTCGCTCCGCTCTCTCTGATCGCGTGCCTGCTCGCAGCTGTCGCCGCGCAGTCTGGACCCACGTCGAACCCTCCCACGACTCTGCCAGGCTTCACTGTCACGGCTGGCACCTCATCCACGTTCACCTGGACTCCTACGACCTCTGGTACTGTAACTCTGACATTGCGCAACGGTCCTACAAGCGACTTGAATAAGGGAATCGTGCTCGCTTGTGAGTACTTCCGCATGTTGTCCTCATTCCTGAATTGCACAGCACTAACAGTTTATCTACAGCTGGAATCGCCAACTCCGGCTCCTACACTTTTACAGTTCCCGCTGGTACTGCTAGCGGAGCATATACCATTGAGATTTCTTCGGACAGCAACGCGAGTGACGCCAACTATAGCGACGATATTACTGTAAATGGCTCCAAATCTGTTGGATCTGCTAGCCCCTCGCCATCTACCCTGACGACCACCGCATCAAGCTCTGGTTCCTACTCCTCTGCTTCTTCTTCCATCGATACCAGCACAACCACCCTCAATTCTGAGACCTCTGCTACAAGCCATGCGTCCACTAGCAAATCAGCTTCCAGCTTGTCTACATCAGGTGCAACCAGATCAGCATCGTCAACGAGCGGAACCTCTGCACCGACTAGTAGTACGAGCACCCCAACTGGTTCTTCGAAAGGCGCAAATGCAGGAACTGTACTCCGCGTCAATAATGGCCTATTAGCGTTAGTCTTGGGGATACTGGCTGTGTTTTAATATATAGACAGAACCAACCATATTTCGGAGGATTGTGTACGTAAGGAACTGGCTCAAAAATTGGAGGTGCGGGACGTCACTGTAACAGAAAAGAATTTGATACCCTGTCGGCAATGCAAGGTTATTGTGGATTGAGAAGTGAGACGCGTTTGTGATGATGTGACGTAGTTTGGAACAGTATATCTGACATTTAAAATCAATGATCGAAACCCTTCCACTTCAATTCAATAAAAGGCCCGTTGCTCGTTACAGATCTAATTGTGCCTGCTTCCTGCTCGTTGCTATCGAGAAACCCTCGATGCGCCTAGAGTGAAATGTATCATAGCTGGCGCTACACCATCCTTCTTTAATTCCAAAAATTGCACTTCTCATTTAACGGCACGAAGATACACCAGTATCGCTGTCCGCATATACCATCTGGGGTCACTTTCTTTGCGCTTCGCCAACCAGCCTTTCGCAACGTCCGGATGGTCTCTTATGATCCTTGCTTCTTCCTTTTTTTACGCTTCTCATGACTTCAACCTCTTCTCTTTCTGCTCGTCCAATGCAGCGGCACTGACGGATTTCTCAAGCCCAGTATGCGGTGAATGTGGCGACTGTGCTGGGGCGTCCGGAATTGGTACGTCGGAGAAGTCGTCTTGAGCTACAGCGTTGATTGTCCACGAGTCTGTACAATCAGCATCGCTCTTATTTTTTGCGTAGGATAGAAGCACAACGTACAAACACCAATAGTGAAAGCGCAAAGAGCAAGACCAGTGACCATGTTGCGGATCAGGTAGGGTTGGCGAGCACGAATTAAGGAAGCTGCTGGGCGGTAATGCTTGTCGTAGTAAGACGAGCGGGGTAGACTTGACGAAGCTGGTCAGTATAGTAATTGGACGACAAGGATCTATCTCTTACATGGCCATTGTGATTAATGTAAGGTAGTTGACGATTGGGGAAAGGTCATCATTGAGGCCCTTGCTTGCGGGAAGCTTGCTAGCGTGCTTTTGACAGATTGTGCATGAACTTTGAGAGCTTCGACTTTCTTTCCTTCTTTCCTTACAACACTACTACAACACCCAACCCCCTGCGACATCGTAGATACTTTAACACTGAACAAGACACGCTGTCTCATTGAGCTCATTATCGGTGTCCAGGATACCTCCATGTCCTATATCCCTGTCATGGTGTCTTAGCTAGCTGTCATTCTTCCCTTACTGGGCTTCCACATCTTTCCCTTGTAGCACACGTTCGACAATTCGGGTAATCACAACCGCACACATCAATTGCGATTTGAAAGGATCACCATGACGCTCTCTGTGCCTGATCAGCTTGCTCAACTCGAAGCTGCGCGTCAAATCGTCCTCGCGGATGCCGGTCTCTACCCTCAAATCGTACAAGGTATCCTGCCCATCGTTGGGGCAAATGCTCGACTCGAGCTACGAAGATGGGGTGCTGAGTTCCTTGCCGAGACCTTTGCTAGCCCTACATTTGCATCGTACCAGAAGGAGAATTCGGCTGTTGGGGTTCTCCAAATACTGAAGGATTTGCTGGAGAAACCGTCGGAGGATGCTGCAGTGGTCAAGAGTGTCGTGCAGACTGCAGCAAGCATATACTGCCTAGTGTTCCGCTACATGTACGTGCAACCCCTCTTCCCGCCCCGTAGCCAGGCACTGGTATATCCTATACGTAGATTCATGAGACTCTGCGGTCGAGGGGAATGTTGTCTTACCTTTTTCTGTTCTCAGCATTGCGAACCCGCACGATGTGCCAGTATGGAATCAAATGGCATCGATCAAGTCGAATATATTGAAGAGATGGGACACTGCTGCTACGGGAGTCCGAATATGCTGCATCAAGTTTGTACAAAAGGTCGTCCAGGTGCAGACACCAGGTGTAATCGCAGACCCAAGGGTGTGTGACATATCAACGGCTCCCAGCGTAGAGCAAGCTACTGATACAACTCTACAGCGTCCGGATCAGAACGAGGTCTCCATTGCTTTAGTCCCGCGAGATCATCCATTGATACCACCCCCAAGACTGGAGCCTGAAGCATCAGGACTGCTGGATAGACTTCTCAATGCGTTCAACGAGGACAAGAGGTACGTACCGTAACGCACGTAGATTTTCTAAGTCTCAGCCCTGATGCTATGCCTCCAGTGATGCCGTTCTTATCAACGCAACCCTCAATTGCCTTGGCACACTCCTCCGCACTCGCCAGTCCATTGCCAACAAAATCATTTCCGCAATCTTGACCTTCAATCCAATGAAACAAGCCAACTCGCCCATGACTCCCAAAGTCAGGGTCCAGATCAAGTCTATGGAGCGTACGACAAGGGCGTTGCTTATGAATGTTCTCCGAAGGTATGCATGCGTTTTATCCACACGGGTTGAGAAATCAACGATATTGACAGGGTATCAGAAATGAGAACGGTCCATTTGTAGATCGAATTAAGGCTTACGTGGACCGTCTTGCGCGAATTCGCTTGGATGTCTTTGATGAAGGAAGTCGGAAGAGAGGACTGCCTAGCGAACCCACTGACGGTCTCGATAATAACAAACGACGACGTCTCGGAGCGGAATTGCTTGAGCGGCCAGAGCCTGAACCTCTCCCACCTGGTCCCGTTAGTCTCGGTCAGCTGTTCACACTGACAAAGGATCCGGCTCTGGCAACTTTCGACGTAACATCACTGACCCTAGATATAATGGTCAGGATCATCCCACCAGTCCTCGTGCGCATTGATCAACAAGCTCTGGACCAAGCTCTGAACCACGTCCGAGCTCGCTACCTATCGCTTACCAAGCCACCACCACAAGCTCTTGGCGACGATGAAGAGGATTATGAGCCTGACTTTGAGCCCAGCGAGGATAGAGAGCAAATCATCAACAAAGCAGATGCTCTACCACCTGAAGACCCGCTGCAGTCTCCCTCGGAAGTTGCTCTTGGGCCGTTCAAGCTTCCGCAACCTCCGCCCTTAACCGCTGAGGATACCATGCAAATAGGGAAAGGGACCATCAGCCGGGTTTTTAGCATGATGAATGTTCTAGAAGAAGCTCCTTTAGCCAAGAAGCAGAGATCGGGGTTGAACAGGCTGGCGGGAAGTAGTTACGACAAAGAGGCTTGGACCACGGTCATCACAAGACTGGCGACACGCGCTTCTGCTGGGCTAGATGATGACAGCAGTGAAGACGATGACTCTAAAACAATGGTCGAGAAACAGGTGGCAGGTTCCAGCTTGAGCGATGGGATCCGGCAAACACTTTGGAAGTTCATCATCGAGGACTTTCGGACCAGGATACCGGTAGCAATTGCATGGCTGAATGAAGAATGGTATAATGACCGAATACAGAAACAAAGCAGGGAGCAGCAGAACGACGGAGTGACTCTGCCAAAGCCAAAGCAGCACTACGGGAAATGGATGCTCAGGGTTCTAGACGGGATTGTGCCATACTTGGATGCGAAGGATAAGCACTTGATCAAGTTCCTGTCAGAGATCCCAGAAATCAACGCAAATGTGCTGGGCCGTGTCAAAGGGCTCGCGAGGGATCCGGAGAGAGTTCAATTGGCGGTGAACTCCCTACTGTAGGTCCATCCTGCTGTTGACGTTGTGTTTCAACAATTCTCTAACAGCGTTTTAGCTACTTGATACTGATGAAACCACCAGCCCGTGACATAGCTATTGATGCGCTAGAGGATCTGTGGCGGAACTGTACGTCTTCGTACATCGGCCCCTCCACGCCTTTTGCTAATACATTTCAGACGATGACGCCAAAGCTCCTACCGCGAAGCATCTTGCAAAGTGGCGGCCACAAGTCTTAGCTTCAGAGAGAAAGCCGAGCCCAGCCCCAGCTCCAAATGGCGTACAACATCCCAAAGAGTCAAAACCCACACCTTCGTCTGCACCTTCCCCGCCCGTTGAAGTCGAGGGCGAGCAGATGAAGAACAGCCAAGCAGGCCAAGTCGTGGCAGCAGCTGGATAACGGAAAAGGCATAAGAGATTGGAGTACTCGAGATCAAGTGGCCGGCGCAATCGGTACTTACGGCGTTTCTTCTCTCTTTAGGGAATATGATGACTTGGGAGGAGAGGGTCATGCGCAAGCTTGGCGGCTTCTGAGTCTCACGCGACAGTCTGATCGTTCTAAGAAATTCGAACTGAAGCAGTGACCAATGTACCATGATGTTTCTCTTCTTACCAACCAATCACTTTTTGTAATGTATTTACAGGGTTGCAGATAAAGTCCTGTGAATGCTGCAGGGAAAGAGCCTTACCGTTCTCAGTTGTGTTTAGGGGCTAAAGACCAAGGCTATCAGAAACATTCATCGGGGGATCGCACGTAACAAAGAGATAGATACCCTCAGATGCATTTTCCACACTCCAACCACTCCAAAGCATTGACTAGGCTCGCTGGGGTCGCGTTGTCGAAGATATCCAAGTAAGATTCGGACTTTAGGCGCGAAATAATCTTGTTTGCAGAAGAATGTTCATGGTTGCTTTGCATTCTTAGTGGCAATGGTACCTTTCCCTGCCAACCTCTTCGTGCGTTGGACAGATCCCAAGCCAGCGCCGTCCACAGGAGTTACTTACCATATGCACTTCCCCAATCAATACGGGCTGAAGGTCGGAAAAGGTGCCAAGTAGCTCAGACACGACGTTACCAACGTCAATAACATCCCAGAACGGGGTATCAGCCAGAGGAAATTGTACATCAAAGGTCTTCCCGCCAAAACCCAGGAGCGGGAAGCTGGCGAAGAGGCATCAGATTCGCCAGCCAAGGGCCCAATCATCAGATCGAAGTCGGATAAGAAGGGGAAGAAGACCGCATTGGCGGCGGCCTTGTCCCCTGAATATGTGGACGACATGAGAAAGGGTGCATGTACCATGTATTACTAATAACACCCGCACGATAACTAAATGACCTTCGGTTTCCCACGGGGATGATGCCATCATGGTGGATGACAGCGGAGGAAAGAAGCCTTTGTAGAGTGAAGGTACGACCTGACCGAAGATCCTCCATCCTCATGTGACCTGCTGTGACTTGGATATAGGGAAGGGAACACTTGCATGGGGTAGGAGCGGTGAAAATGGACGGGGCTACTCGTAGAAACAGAAGCATGAAAACTCAACACTATTGCAAGAAGGCTTCCAACCTCCTAGCACACTGTTTCAAAAGCCCATACTGTTCTGATAGAATACTTGAGAAACTTGCTGGGTGCTCGCCCTTATTCTTTGAGCATCTTTTTTCCATGTGGTGATGGGAAAGTGATCGTCACGCCCTTCAAATAAATTCCTCCGCGAAGCCTTTGAGCCTCAACATCATCGCACTCACCGTTCCCTCTTCTTTCTTCTTACATCTCACCAAGCATCTCATCGGTCAGCAAATACTCTCGGTGCCAAAAGCATCATATCAAACGTCAGTAGACCACATCTGAGGTCCTCAGCTTTGCATGCTCACAATACACAGTTCACACACATACCAGAGCTCGGACAAACGAGCTGTTCAGCATCATCAAAGGTACCGGCAAATCACTTCGTCTTCCTTTAACACTCTCACCATTACACATCTGCAACCTTCCTAACACTCACGATCGTCAATCTTGCGACTGCTTCGTCAAGCAGAAGCCATTGCATCTCTACACGCAGCGCGCTTTCTGTTCCAAAGTGACAGTTCTCCTTTCTAAATAAGCTCACAGCTTCCTCCCTTTTCTCACTTCAACAAGGTATATCCTCCCTGCATCATTTTGAGCGATCATGAAGCCCTTTCGCGATCTTGATGACACAGCGAGAGGCTTTGTTCCAAGGCTTGAATTTCGAAGCGCGTCCATGGGCTCAACAGCAGGACTTGACAGACATATTATCATTTCCGCCGTTACCATGATTACGTTCGCTGCCATGTGTTTCGCAAGAAACATCTGCTCAACTAAACGCTGCCGTCTTGTGCAGACAATCGGGTTGACTTTGCGACCACAATACCTTTGCAGCGTCCCATTGACGCATCTACTAGCTCGATTTGCATCTCTCTAACACTCCACTCACGCCACGTAGCATTGATATTTCCATCAACTATTATCGGCTGACTCTCATGAGCGTTGCTTTCACAGATTTTTCGTTTCTTATCAGCAACCATGTCTACAGAGGCCAGCCCGAAAGGCAAGGGCGGCAGAGCCCCTGCAAACGCCGGTAACGATGCAGACTCCATCATGCCACTCCTCTTCGCTACCATCGGCAACCCGGCTATCAGCTTCAAGAAGATGGCAGCCATGGACGAGCTTGGTCGCACTGAATCCTCTCTCGAGCATAAGTTCCGCAAATGGAGGCAGAAGGGGCGCGAGATTGCCGCTGAAAATCCCGAAAACGCTGGGACTCTAGGTACTGCCAACGCAGGAGGCGCTACTACCAAGAAGCCGCGTGCTCCAGTCAAGAAGGGTGCCAATGGCAAAGATGAAGGGCCTGTCAAGCAAGCTGGTGTTGAAGATGAGGAAGATGATATCGACGAGGAAGCTGGAGCGATCAAGCAAGAATCCGACGAGATGGTAATCTCCAGAACTGCTCTATACTTGACATGACTAAAATGTAACAGAGCGGCATTGACGGCGAAATGCTACCCCCTCCTACCAAAGGGAAAGCCACTGCGACCAAGGGCACCAAGAAGCGTGCTGCCTCGGAGAAATCTGCAGATGCCGAGCACGAACGCACGGAGGCCCCTGTCAAGAAAGCCAAGGTTCGTATATTTCAGAGTAATACCTTCTTTCTTAGTGCCGAACTCTGAATTGCAAGACATTGTCCCGGGGGAGAAGGCTCCTTCTACTCCCGAGATCTGTCTTGCGAGTCTGGGTTGTGCCTTTGAAAAGCAGAACTAACTCGGAAATGTGCGCAGGTGGTGAAGAAAGGAACGGCCAAGGTGGTGAAGAAATCCAACGCTAAATTGTATTCCAGCAGCGAAGACGAGGAGGCGGTAAGCGAGGACGAGGAGAAAGTGCCGACGACCAAGCCAAAAGGAAAGGGCAAAAGCAACGTCGCTGCAGCGCATGGTAAAGGAAAGGCGGCAGCGAAACCTACTGGGCCTGCGAAGGCGAAGAAAGGGAAGGCTGATATGGCTGCCGAGGCAGGGCAGATCCCCATCCACGAGGACGAAGACGCGGACGTTGATGTGGATTCTGAAGATGGTCACCATGATGGAATGATTGACATGCCGTTTGACGAGGCTGCTTAAGGAGAACCATTCAAGAAACATTCGTGTACGTCTTACGTCGATGCGGAGATTCGAGTTTATGGCTATTAGCCACCCGGCCATTTTCTTTTTCGTCGAAGTCGTGGAGAAAATCAGATTCGCGCTGGACACAGCAGAACTTTCATGGCTGAGGTGCTTGGAACTGTCATTGGAAACTCTTGATCGGAGGGCCACAATCATTGTCTTGCATTCGGGATGATGGAAGCCAATATGTTGCCTTCAAATTCAGGTGCTCGCAGTCACGTTGCTCTTGAGCTCAATAGACGAAATGCATGTTTCATATTTCATGAGATGCAAAGTGCTTTCCAGTCACAGTTCAGATTCATTTTCACAGATCCTACTCTGTACGTTTCCTTCTCTCAGTTTCTGATTTGCTTCCTTTATACTCTCATATGCTGCATCCGCCGCTGGCGATACATTTTCTCCACTCATGGCCACAAATTTGTACTTTCTCAAAGCTTTTGTAAAAGCATTGCACCAGGGCTCCAGGCCCTTTACAATTGCGTGATGGTCTTTCAATCCGCTGATTTCAGAGCCAGACTGGGACACAAAACCATTTGCGCTACCAAGGCTGGAGAGTATACGGTCATGTATCAAGTTTGCAGCTTTGGCGCGGATCCTGTCTTTCCCCTCATCCAAAGTCATTTTCTCCGGTTCGAATAGGTCAAACAATGTAGTCAAACCCTCGGACTGGACAAAAATGCGAAGTTGCTCGGTGTTTTGGCAGAGCTGCGAGAGCAAGGATACGGTCCGCGTTTTGAGCGTTACATCATTTTGCACTGGGTCCCTCAGTGCGGCTAGCACTTTAAGTACAGGGGTCATGCCGACATCGGACGAATATGGGTGGCTCAGAAATGCGTCCAGTGCGTCAGGGTTACTGTGTATGGCAGTGCCCAAGAGCAAAGCAGCTGCCGAACGGACTTCAGCTGACGCAGTGGATCCGGGATCAATCGCAGAGAAGATCTTTTGACAAGCGCCGGTATCCCGTGCCAATGCAACACCCCAATGGATGGAATGGGCGAGATCTTGGAGGGCAGAAAGGGTGGGGAGATCTGTGGTTGATAGCGCTGTAGTGGAGTGGATTGCGGCGATCGAAGAAAAGAAGAGTGAGGACTCTTCGGCATCGAAGGAGGCTGGATAATACGATCCACGTTTAAACTCTGTGTCTGGATGTGACTGGTCTTGCAGCTCTGGTGCTTCCGCTACGGGTTCATCTTCCTCAATAGTTGGGCGCGGCGGCAGATCGTCTATGATCACAAGGTCTGCGTGTGGTGTTCCCGGCGGTTCAGGAATGTTGAGACGAGCTTCTTTGAGACCAGTCGCCAGATTCATGCGGACATGTAGTCCAGCAGGAATAGACTGGTCGTCGTGGATGCGCTGAAAGTGCTCCGTGGGCTGGAAGATTGCTGGGTAACATTCTGAAGCATGCGCAGTGTGACATATCAGTTCGGTAGATGCTGGAGGAGAGGAAGCAGGTGCAGAGGCGTGGCCTTTGGAGAGCAGGAGTAAGGGGAGGAAAGGTGGGATGACGCGAAGAGGGATATGTTTGAACATTTTACAGAACATTTTACAGGCAATAAAAGGAGAGTATGTAGGGAAAAGGGATGATAACTAGCATATCAAGAATGAAAGACTCTTAGATGTTGCGATCTATATCGTACATAGACGCCTAACAATCATGCTGTCTTGTCAGCTCCAAGGTCTACCTGTCAACTTTCCAGAAGTTTCACGACGTTAAATCAAAAATTCTGATTGGTCAACTCTGCTGACTCAGTTCGACCTCCACCCCCCCTCTGAGCTCGCTTCAATAAGGCATTGATAGCCTTGGTGCGCCATCACAATGCTACAAATACGGAGAGGTACTTTGCGCCTTGCACAGCGTCCATATCGCTGTCAATGGCGTGGGTACGCAGACACCAAACCTCCAGACCCCACCACTTCCGTCCGAGAACCCGACAACAAGCCCGTCACCGAGCCTATTGGTGTATGCTTGCAGTTCGACTCTTGCTTGAGAAGCTTTGCTAACGATGCTTCATAGGGTGGAGATAGTAGCGGTACGGACTCCGTCCATGCTGCGTCTGCTGGCGGACATGAGCCAACCCACCACGCACCTCACCCAGAACCTCACAACGAAAGCCTTGGTGTACGACACTTCTCTTACCATCTGAATGTATGTCTACTATGAAAGACTGGCCTGCTGACTGCAATCTCTTTCAATAGCGCGGTTTCTATGCATCCATCGGAGCTCTAGCGCTTTCTTTCGCTCTCTACAAATTCTCCCGCTCGTCTTCCTCCGATCCCAGCACGAAAGGAGATCCTAGCAAACAACCACTTCTGACACGAGCCATGGCGTACTACAATTACCGGCAAGATGAGTACGCAAGGCGGAATACGATGCATACGAAGATGGTGGAACAGGCGGGCGCGGATAGGAATTTGTTCCAAGGCAGTCCGTGGAGTCATCATATCGATCTGAAGTTTCCTGAGTAAGTACATTGAGATTTCTTTGGCTTGGGAAAATGCATAACGGAGGACGGGGGAGAAGAGCAGATGAACGCTGGCTATGAGCTCTCCCCAGATAGTCTCTCGCCGTGTCACTTGCCCCCTTGAAATGAGCACTTGAGACTAATTCGCATTCGCCATCAGGATCTTTAACACTGGTTCTCCATACAACATCCCAGCTGGCCATTCCGCTGATCTTGGGGCATTGAGAGCGCATTACGAGAAAAAGAACGTGGAAGTAGAGGAGAAGAGAATAGCGAAGCTAAAAGAGATGGCAGGCGAGCGTGAGATCTTACAGCGGAGGAAAGAAGTTGAAGAAGCACTACTAGCATATAAGAAAGCACCATCGATACTGCAGTGGATGGGGCTGCAGAGGCCGGAGTAGTGACAGGACAGGGCTTAAAAGCCAGATGTACCGCAGGATCACTTGAGAATGCGATGTACATATATTCGGATGCATTTATAAGTTGGTGTCGATGCCTCGCTGGACCCTTTCTCAGCAATCGCACCGCTGTTCCTATGGGGGTTCCAGCAGTCAATTGCGCATGGCGGCTGTGCCACACTTTCCACATGCGTGCGGAATGAAATGCCATTGATGTCAATAACTTAGGAAAGAAGACGGAGCAGACGACCCAAGTCAATGAGGGATTGAGTGCTGGCCGTTGGTGTTTGTACGCATTATTTTGTTAGATAAATTTGAACTTGGACGGGTGTTGATGTTGCATGCAAGCTAAAGAAATTTTCCCATGTGTAAAGTACTTCGGAGTAGAAGGTGGAAGCGAGGCGTATTTAGGATCGAGGGTGGCATTTATGGTCGTAGTGATTGGCTGCTTCAAAATGAAACCCCGGACGGTTATACTTTCCGTGATCGGCTAAAGTAATTTCCAACCGGCCGCTAGCCTCGTTCACCTCCCGTCCCTTTTCTCTGTTTGCAGCGCCTCAACTTCTCTTCCTCTTCTTCCTCTTTTTCCTCTTCCTCTTCCTCTTCCTCTTCCCCTTTTCCCCCTCTTTTTCTTTTTTTGCATCTACAAAACAAAACACCCACTCATTTAAAAAGCTGCAGCAGCATCATCATCATCATCATCATCATCATCACTCATACCGTCTGTCACTCATTCCAGACATCTTTCATAATACACCAACATCAATTCATCCACCTTAATACAACATCAACACACTCCAATCTCGCCTGACTCTCAAAATGCAACTCACAAAAACCCTCTTCGTGTGCGCCACATTGATCGCTACCACTGTCGCGCAATCTCCTACAACAACCAGCCTTCACTTCACCTCCATCCCAACCAGTTTGGTCGCTGGTGTCAAGCAATCAATCGGATGGGCAGGTGGTAATGGCAATGTAAGGCCACTTCACTCTGACCCCCACGCCACGAGTCCACTGACTTTACCTCAGGGCGTGAACATCATTCTCCAACAAGGCTCAGCAGATAACCTTCTGGACGTGCCAATTGCCCCAATCGCATCTGGGGACCAAGGAACTTCCACCACGTGGACCCCACCCAAGTCGCTTCCTGATGCTGGCAATTACGCATTGAGGATCGAACAGGGCGAGGATACTGTCAATTACTCTGGCATGCTCCAACTCTTCGGCGGGTGCTCAACCTGCCCCACTGACGCTGTCGCTGCTCTCGCCACGGCCTCGTCCTCAACGTCCTCAATGTCCTCAACCTCCTCAATGTCCTCAACTGGCTCTGCCACTGCTTCCTCGCCCTCCTCAACCGCCTCCTCTAGCTCAAAGAGCGGCGTCGTTACTCCTATCCTCGCTCCTGGATCCAAATCAAGCAGCAATTCCACGGGTGCCGCTGGTTCCTTAGGCAATTCAACTACCACCGGTTCAAGCATGAACTCGACAATGGGCACAGGTAGCATGGCGAACATGACCATGCCCGGCACCAATTCGACCACGAACTCGACCACGAACTCGACCATGAGCACCGCTAAGCTACACGCTACCTCGTCGAAATCGTCCTCCTCATCCTCCACCTCGTCATCTTCCACATCCTCGTCCTCAAGCGAGAGCACTTCAAGCAGCACTGGCAGCAGCACAAGCCCATCTGCAACAAAGAAGAGCAGCGGTGTCACGGTGGCAGCGAGCAACTTCGCCTTAGTGCTTTGCGCTATCGTTGGTGTTGTCTACCTGGGATAAATCCCTTGCGATGTGCCTTCATGTGTTCAAGATCTTGTGTGCGAAGGGTGCGACATTATTCCAATCACGCGATGATACCTACTCCTGTCTAAGATATTGTTGCATGCGGTTGCGGTGATTTTGGTTCGATGTTAATTCGATACCAACCTCGAGGTTAGGATGATTTAATAGATTTTCCAATAAGCATGAGGAGGCAGATTAGGGGAAGATTCAACTGTATGTATAGTATAGGAACATGGTACAAAACAAAAAGGAAAATTACTCATGACCGTTCATTTTCCGGCGAGCTTATCCATTGCTCTCGCCATTGCTTGTACGCGCACAACTGCGCCCATTAACCAAAGCTGGGTCAAGTCCAACATGCTCTCCTGGTGTCCGCTCGGTCAGCAGAAACGTCAGAAGTCCATCAAGGATAGCAGGAACACCTGCTGCTACAGAGCAGAGCCAGAAGCGTGGACAATTGTGGGTAGGGATTGTTGATTCAAGCTCTTACGCCCTTCAATATTATGCAGATCAGTATAACCTGCCAGCGATACGCTCTGAAGTGCTTTTCTCTTGAAATCTGCTAATCTGAATGCAAACGAGCAGTGACACGAAAGGAATGGTTTCTGGAGTGCATGCCATACGTCTGGGAGGAGACCAAGAGAAGACGGAAGGGTAGAGCAAGATTATCCAAGGGCTTCCCAGATGGGCTGTTTTGCAGAAGTTCGCTCGCGGCCGAGGAGCGAAGTATTGCAGAGACCGGTGCAATTTCAACGTGAAATAGTCCATTTCGGAAAACGGTCGTTTTTTATGCCATTTGCATTGCACCATTCAAGCTAAAAGCACAGTGCATCTCCCCCTCTCCACTTCATCTCTATCTCCCACGCCCCTTGCTCCGTCTACTTCAAGGGAATGAATCGAGAAGAGTGAGTAGCGCCGATACCTGGCCGACCGTGCTTGACAGGTTTGCTGCATCCCAGATTAGCCACCATAGCATAGATGCTGCTGGTACAACGTACTATGATATACTGAACTCTCCCAAGTAAAACCCTACCATCTCCGGCTTGATTTCTACCTGGTTGAACTCCTTGCCGCTGTAGATACCGATAACCGACCCAATCATCTCCGGCACCACAATCATGTTTCGCAGATGTGTCTTGACCAGATCGGGCTTCTCGTTAGGCTTCGCCTCTTGCTTTGCTTTGCGGAGTTTTTTGATCAGCCCCATGGGCTTGCGCTTGAGACCGCGGTTGAATCGACGGCGAGCACGGGCGTGGACTACATCGCGGAGTTGTTCTGAAGAGAGGTCGAGGAGTCTGGCCGCAGATTCGTTAGTGGGAGAAAGGTATAGCAGATAGCGAGCGCGGCGTACTGGTCAAGGTCGATGCCACGGTAGGAGAATTTGCGGAACGTTCTCTTCTTCTTGAGTTCTATGTTGCCAACGATTAGCCGCAGCCCAGAAATCCATCAATTTCGCCAGTCAATTGTCTCCCTAGCCACGAGAGATGAAATGGGTTTGGGGGCTTGCGGTGGCACCAGGATGGAGAGATCATAATCACGTACCGGCAGCTTCCTCGGGGTTGTAATCTGCGTCAGCCATGATTGCGATCTTCAGCTGTGGTGCTGTTGATCTGGTTCAGGAGGCGGTTGATGGAGAGTGATGCTCCTGGAGTTGAGGTTGTGGTTTTGCGTGTTCCATTCGCTTAAGTCTGATCAGCTCTAACTGTATTAGCACTAGGTCGAGATACTAACGAACGTCCAAATTGAAGTATGTCTCTCTCACGTTTCATTACTGTTCGGCTTCAAAATTATGTTGGGGCCAAGCTATGAGCTGAACAAACCTGGTATGGCTGGTCGTGGGTTCTTGATCAGTGTCAGAAGCAAGAGAATGTGCCTATCACGAGTATGGAAACTAATCTTTGGCAGTACTTACGATGCTTACTCTCAGGAGACTGGGCAACGTTGTCTCAAACTGCACTCCTTTCCTTTCTCTGTCTATTCTTCTGTTCGCACCATTTGGGGAACCTGAGACCTTGAGACTCTTTCTTCAACCTCTTCTAGTGTTGCAAAGACGACGGTAGACACAATGTCTCTCATAGCTTATGTTCTTCCGCCAGCAGGAGATGGTCTACTACCATACGCTCTCTACCTCGTAAGCAGATACTAGCTCAGTCTTCTATGCTTCTCATGCTTTAGAAACTCGGAGTTACTATTTGGAACAGTTTGTAATGACAGAATGCCGCAGGCCGCAATCAGCAAACTCGTCAACTCTTTCCGGACCTACTCTACAGGCCCGCACATCGTCCGGAAGGCCTATGGCTATTCAACTGAACCCGTGACGAGTGTCCATAGCCGCACCTTTGCAACCTTCGCCACGACCTTTGCCATCTTGAGGCTTCATATGGTCTTCAACATGTATGACCCAATGGTCTATCGGCTCAACGTGATCGTTCAAGCAGTCTTCATAGCGCACTCTGCCAGCGAGTGGCTTACCTATGGGACGATTGGCTGGGGCTTTGGGCTGATTGGACCGGTCTTTTCCAATGCGGTGACCTTGGTGTGGATGATGTGGGTGTGGGGACAGTATGTGAGCTGAGTACAGAGTACAGAAAGCATTGAGCAAACCTGTCTTCCACAGCTAGCTCTTTAGTAGGAGCTTCTGCTTCGCTGACCGGAGTTAGTGCATGCTTCAGAGCTCTTATACAATGTGATCACATAACATGCGACCCCGTGGACTCTTTTTGACCAATATGGGCTTTTCTAGCAATGGCAAGTAGACGTCCGCTCGAGTACATGGTTCATAGCCGCATAAGTTGCGTTAGTCTTCCATTACCTTGCCGTCATGGAAACTTGTATGAACATCGTGACACATCACATATTCCATCTTTTGTAAGCTATCATCCACCATATTGCCGAATCTCTCTGGATCTAGTCGAAGAGACCGAAGCCCATGTCCTCGTCCGACTCATCCTTCTCCTCTTCCTTCTTCTCCTCTTTCTTCTCCTCAGCAGCTTCAGGTGCAGCGCCTCCTGCAGCGGGTCCAGCGCCTCCTGCTCCTCCACCACCCCCTCCACCTGATGGAACGGAGGCGAGCTTGGTGGCGCCTTCTGCGATCAACTACAGGGTACAGTCAGAGATGTGCCATCTAAGTTCCGAGAAGTATTATGCTGTATACCTCTTGTAAGTCCTTGCCCTTCAGCTCAGCGATCAGCTTGTCCAAGCGCTCCTCATCCGCGTCGATGCCAACGGACTCCAGAACACCCTTAACGTCAGCGGCGGATGGGGAGGTGTTTCCACCGAGGCCGAGGAGAAGGTATGCAGCAAGATGCTTCATGATGATTGTTCTGCAGATTGTGTTAGTCTGGCTCGATGCAGGGGGCGCTACGAGCGGTGATGTTCGCACTTCCTTGGTGTATGATGTTTCGAACAGGAGAATCAATCGATTTAACCGCGGGATGAGCGGAGACTGATACGTCGAGTTCTTGAGTATTGATGTGATGAGTCAAGCTTGGAGATTGATCTTTGGGAAGAAGTGTGTACCAGGTGGCAGTAGAAGTTTGTGGGAAACGCTAAAATTCTTGGCGTTTTTCCCGATAGTCATAGGGCTGCATTCGGATTTTTGGAGAGAGTTGCGAATCTCAATGCACGTGATGTAGAGAGTAGAGAGTACCAACTACCACTTGTTTCAATTCACTCGCCTTCACATGAGACAGCCACGTAATTAAATTAGCTGTAGAACACTTGTTATTTGAGTCACTGTTGCATCTTCTATCTTTTGGCGTCTTCTATTAAGGAGGCTTTCGCCAGCCCAGAGCAATAGTATGACTCCTCCATACCTACCCACAAATCATCGGCGGTAGTACTGAACCCAGAGAGACGACAGTACTTCCATCATGAGCGTGAGTCACCCAGGCTGGATCCTGATCATTGCCTCATCACCGAATACTGACATTCATACCTAGTTCTTCAATTCAGTACTCAGCTCCATCGGCAACAATGGTCCACAACCTCCCATGCCACTACCGCGGCCTCAGATCGAAAGACCAAGCGATCCGGTTTCTGAGCAGCGTCGCATCCAGGGCCAGAATGGCGTCTCGTCAGCCAACACAGACCTGGCCCAAAATAAAAAGCGCAAGGCGGAAGATGGATTAGCAGGTCGAGACGGCAAGATCGTGAGGAACAGCATGGCAAGTGGGCAAATTGCTCGTGCGACACCGTCGACAAATCCACAGGCAAGAGCCTCAAAGCCTCCCATCTCGCTCTCGTCTTCTAGCGCTGTAATGCCTTACCGCGGTACTAGCAGATTCGACCCGGCTTCTGCTACTCCTACAACACCTACGGGAGACGGTCTGAAGGCACCAAAGAAAGGATCATATGCGGAGATCATGGCTCGAGCCAAAGCAAATCAATCCAAGCCTCCCGTAGGCACCATTAGTCATAAGCCCAAGGAGCAAATTGCGCCAAGTTACAAGAAGGAGCTGAAAATGAAAAAGAAGGCGATGAAGGACAAGAAACTTGGCATCAAGAATAACAGCCGCCCCGGGTCTTCCGGTAGTCTGAGCAGCAGTCCGGCTCCAGGATCTGTAGCGAATAAGAAGATTGCAGCTCCGGCTTACAAGGGGACAGCAAAACCCAAACCCCAGCTACCACAACCAACTTACAAAGGAACCATGAAACCAGCCTCCGCGACTGCCAAGCCCCCAATTGCGAGAGACCGAGATGCCAATCCTCGCAAATCCCGATACGACGAATACGCAGCCACTGACGAGGATGACTTGGACGACATCGAAGAGGACGAATATGGTTCTGATGGATCCGATGACATGGAGGCTGGCTTTACGGATGTGGAACAAGAAGAGACCGTGGCAGAGAAGGCTGCAAGGAAGGAAGATGAAGACGAGTCGAAGATGGAAGCAAAGCTCAAGAAAGAGAAGGAGGAGAGAAGGAAGAGATTGGAGCAGTTGGCTAAGAAAGCGAAGCCGCAGAGGTATTGAAACATGTCTTCCATGCTTTTCTCGTGAAAGCGAGTGCTTGCGGTATTCTGAGAGGCTAGACACCTTCCGGTGTGGCCTGCAATATATGCGTTTCAGCGACTCTGCTTGCGTTGCCATTAGCGGGTGTCTTGTGGCCTTGAAAGGCCTTACGGCCATGTCTTGTTTGAATGCATTAATGGCAGTACGGTAGTTCAGCTTAATCTGTCATTGTCGCCTTTTCAGTCGCCCGTAATGGTTTCTGACGCCGTCGTGTTATTCTGTTGCCCACGGCGTTCTTCGAGGAACTAGGGCCAAGAACGCCGGGAGCACACTTGATAAGAACGGCTATGTACTGAGCTTGTTGTCCTGGCTATATGTCTAAGAAGAAAGCCTGGATCGACGCACGTTGTTTCTATGGGAAAAAGCAAAATCAAGCATGCTGGTCTCGACTCTTCACACTAGCACATTTCAGAGTCAGCATTTCGATCTGTAGATAAGACTTGAATACTTAGACATACGCTTACTCTCCTCTTTCTCCCCAATCAAGGTATCAAAGGCAACAGACACTTCCTCTGTCAGATCGCTCGCCTGCAGACTCCTTCCGTGCTTCTTGTATGCTAGCCTCGAACATTCTCTTGTGATCGTACTACCTCCCCAAGCTGCCAGCATCAATGTTTCGGATCTATCCAAGTCACCCTCGGTATCCCACAGCTTCTCGTGATACGCATCCCTGTATGCCAACAGCGTTCCGATACTTCCTGTCAAGGTATCGCCCTGCCCACCACTCCTCTTCCTTCCGCCTTCTCCATCACCTACAATCGCCTTCTCACCATCACTAATCCAGTCGACCCCTCCCTTCCTCACGACAACCACCCCTCCGAGAGCCGTTGCAAGTTTCTTACACCCAGCTTCACCAGTATCCGGTAGGTCATCCTCTCCCAACCCCACCGCCTTAGCTAACCTTCCAAACTCCACGACATTTGGAGTGAGCACGCACTCCTTGTACCCATGCACCAACTCTGGCTGACTCTGAATCAACCACAGCGCATCCGCGTCCAATACCAATGGCACATTCTTCTCCCTCGCCGCCTTTATGACGACAGCAACGGTCGCTTGCATGAGTTTGTCGCGCCCGAGACCCGGACCTATGACGACGGCATGCAGATTGCCGAGCATACTGATGATGGGAGAGGCGAGTTCAGTCGCGGGTTCGTGGGAGGCGGGCACTTCATTGATTTCACGCATTATGGGGTGGACCATCAGATTGGGAGAGTAGGTTTTTATCACGTTGGCGGCTGGCGGGGTGCAGATGACGTGGGACTGGTTGATTTAGCTTGGGAAGAGGATGGATTGGGAGGAGTCAGGTTACGAGATCAGCGCCTGAAGAAGGTTGTCAATCTCATGTGAGAGGCTTGGTGCCTGGATGTATGACTGTACCTAATCGTGCGGATGCCATGGCTGAAAAATAGGGTGCGCCGGTGTAGCTGCTCTAGAGTCAATTGATTCCGGGGGGTTTTTCTCAATCTGAAAGGCGCAAACAGATTTTACGTACTTCTCGCTGCCTCCAATGACTGCTACTCTACCCAATTGACCTGGTACGCTTATGTCAGAAGTATTTCGACTATGACCAGGACGCGAGAAGTACCTTTGTGAAATTTGTCCAGCATTGGTGGCACAATCATGCGCACCTTTTTAAGAAGTTCCTTCGTCGTCGCTGACATGTTGGGCGAATCTGGCATAACTTTCGTGGAGTACAGTGGATTAAGAGATTGTTAGATACGAATGGACAGGTAGATTGTTGTAGACGAAAGTGGTGACGGCCGGATTTTCGAGTCAATCGCAGAGTTGGCTCGACGTCATTTTCGGATTTACGGATTTTCGCCCTGATAACGTACTTACTGTACTTACTGTACTTTAGGGCATCGCATTTTTAGACCACGGCTCTGTCGAACATGGACAAACAAAACATGATTTCCATTTCCGAACTGGAACATGTTCATGTCTCTAGAGAATGAATCAACAAGAACGAAACGAAATGTTTCGAGATCAAACCCATAACATCTGCCATTAGGCTCGTTGGCTTTCCAAATAGCGTCAGCGCCCCTCACATACTTCGAGCATAAAGTATGCCTCTGAAACCTCCTAACGCCAGCCCATGCTACCTGACCTGTTCACCGTCTGTGAGAAGTAGCTCCAATCCTCTCCATGGGTATCGCATCTTCTGTTCGTAACCATTCGCCGTTGAAAGCATTGACAAGCCAATTATTAAGTCCTAGTGCATAGTCAGTATCTTCCACGTATCAAGTGCAGGCTTGACGTACTATCGTAAACCATCCGATTCGCATTGTGGAAGTAAATGCTGTGATCGGAATCGGGGAAAACATGAACGTCATAATTCTCCACGCCCGCAAGATCGAGTTTGTCCAGGAGAGTAAGGGAGTTCTGCATGTGCACATTGTCGTCTGCTACGCCGTGCATCATCAGGAAACGGACATTGCCTTGAAGAGCGGTCATGTTACTGATCGTGGTATTATCGTAGCCATCAGGGTTATTCTGTGGGGTCTGCATGTATCGTTCGGTGTAGATGGAGTCTGGCAGCCAAATCAGTCAGGCTCCAGCCACAGCAAGTACACGAGAGCTTACCATAAAATCTCCAATCCGTCACCGGCGCAACAGCCATACCGTATTTGAATGTCTCACCTCCATCAAGCTCCAATGTTTTCAACGCCATGAAGCCCCCGTAGCTCCAGCCCCAAATCGCCATCCTTTCCGGATCGACGTACGGTTTCTTCGCCCACAATTTTGCAGCCGTAATCTGGTCCATGCCTTCGTAGTATCCGATGTGGCCGCTCACGATAGTCCTTGCTTTTCTACCGATGAGGCCAGTGCCTCGCCCATCTAGCGTCACAACGACATAGCCGAGGTTCGACGCCACGTAAGACTGGAAGTCAACTGTGAACTTCTTGTCAACCTGTTGCGAGCCAGGACCTCCATAGAGTTGGAAAAGGACCGGATATCTCTTGTTCTCATCGAAATGGGGTGGACGGCGCTCGACGAGGTTAAGATCAACGCCGCTAATATTTACCGTCTGATAAATCTCAATGGGCAGCTCATGAGCAGCGGCGAGCTTGGCTAACCCAGTATTCGTCTCAAAGCGATGCTTGTAGTAGTGTCCTTTGAAGCTTGGCGTCGAACGAACTTCTTGCCAAGGAATGTCGGGCCCTTGATAGGAGAGCAAGGCGAAGCCAACACCTGTGGAGAAAGAGACATCGTAATAACCTTCTTTGCGATGTTCCGAATAGTGTTGGAGAGATGTCCCATCAAGATTCACAGTATAGACATGTCTTTGAATGGAGGATTCCTTAGTTGCGACAAAGTATACAAGGTTTGCTTTTAGGTCAACTGCTGACGGACCATTGACAACTTCCCACTCTCCAGTCGTAATCATAACAGGTTCCGGATTGTCGAGAGGAGTAAAATAGGCGAGATGGTCATAGCCTTCTTTTATCACGGTATCAATGTATCCAGAATGAGGCCGACCATTACCAGGATCGCCTGGGATGTATCGGGTCTCTTCTGACACCTCAAACCATCCCCCGTCCAAGGCTTTTACATCTTCTTCCCTAACAACTGTTCCAGTCCGTTCAACGACATCAATCAAGGCGACCTTCAAGATGTAACTTTCTCGGTTCGTGTTCTTGACCAAAACTTTGCCATCTCTTCCAGCCCATACTAGCTCGGTTATCAAGCGATCATCGTCGGGAAAGTCGTTGTCGGTAGTGACTGAAAAAACGTCGTTATTAGCAACGTCGTAGAACTGTAGGTCCACTACTGGATTTGGAGCGCCAGCTTTTGGGTATTTGAGTTGTCGTACTTCAGGGTAACTCTCTTCGCCTGGTGCCGGGTCCTTCCCACTCGGTCTGGAAACGAAATATTGGATAGGGTACTCCGGCACAGCGGTCTCGTTTGTCCGTAGAAAGGCTATAAATTTCCCGTCCTCAGACCACCAGGTCACACTATTCCCGCCGAAGACTTCCTCCTCGTATACCCAATCAGGTACCCCGTAGAAGAGCTCGCTTCCCCCGTCCTTTGTAATCTGTTCTACACTGTTGGACGAAAGTTTGCGTAGGTACATGTTGTTGTTTCTGGTGAAGACAATGGCATCGCTTTGGGGTGACCATGAAGCCAATTGAATACGGTCACTTGGTTTCGCTGGATCCAGAGGTTCGGCTTGTTGACTTGCAACGTCGAATATCCAATAAAGGCCTGTAAAAGAATGCCGCCAATTCTTCTGCTCACTGGACATGACTAACACCTTTTTGAGATCTTTACTCGGCCATACTCCATTCGGCTGCACGTCGAGACCGTCCACTTTGAAGGGCCCATCCTTCATCAGGGTTTGGCTATCCTGTGCCTCAGCGTTGGGCGTGCGACTTCGCACATCTTCTACCACCAGATAATCTTTGCCGGAACCAGCATTCTGTTCGAGAAGCAGTCCGTCTTCGCCGTTTGCGCCCGCGATCCAGGAGATCTGCTGATGCCTTGGTCGCCATGCTCCTGTGAGGTATTGATCAAGAGTCACGGCCTTGCCAGACCCGTGTGATGCGGTGGCAGCTGGGTCGAATGGGATGGAAGATGCATGTCTGTATGTTTGCTGAGACAGGAAGAGAACCAGAGCAAGTAACCATCCACCAAGGCATAAGCCGCCCAATGCCCACATTATGCGTCTATTCCTTCTTTCCAACGGTTGTCGGCGAGGGGGACGATAGAAGCCATCTTCGTCATCGTAGTCATTGCCCTTGTCGTCAAGGGCTCTGGTCCCCGACAGGCCTTTTGTATGCCCGTTGCCCACTGCAGTCCCGTCTTCATTAAGGTGCTCCAAGGCTATAGATGTGTCGGAAGAGGATGTGACGGAATCCAGAGAGTTTCGAGCTGGGTCCGAGGATGAGGAGTCGTGGGTCAACGGTTTCCTCTCCTCTTCATCGTCATGGTATGGAGTGGAAGCCATCTCGAGACCTCCGGAGGTGGATTCATGGGATCACGAACGGAGTAAACTTAATGTTCCCATCTAGAAGGCTGCCAACGACTCGTTGGGCTGATTGGTGATTAACATCAGTGGATGATAGAGCAGATGCATGATCCTCTTGTTCGTCGTTGAATTCAAGTTCAGCAATAGTCTATTATCTAGTGCCTTATTTGAGATGCTGGCTCGGCGAGTATAATCTAATCCTTCTATTCATCTCCACTATATGAATATTGTAGTCTGTAGAATCTTGAACACTTTGTTGACTTTCTCAATCAACATCTACAGTTCTGATATCAATATGCCTCCTGAGCCACCATGGGTTTTGTTACAGTCACAACCCTTTCGAATTCGGTATCATTTTCTATCTCGCACGATGAATCTTAAATTATGAAGAGCGACATATAATTAGTAATACAATCACCCAAACCCTTTGAAATCCAAGCTCAGCCAGCTCTGGTTAAGAGCTGGAGGTCTCTTTTCGCAGAGTTGGTACGAAGTCCCGCCGTCAAGACGAAGGATCTGTCGTAGAGCCTCTCCCTCTACATCTTTGATGTTCCTCTTGGCAAGGGTTCGCGTTCTGGGAGCGCTCAGCTTTGACACGCTGGACATGGTCTTTTAGAGAGTTCTGCAAAATCGTAAGTGGAAGCTAGTATGATCACAAACATGGCACAAACCCTAGAAAGTCCTCTTTGATACTTCCAATAGCGAACATACTGCCAACATCACTCCTCGTCCCCATTATCTTGATCCGTAGATGTGTACCCTTCTCAATGACTTGGTCTCCGTTGTCCGTGAACTGTGGCGGAGTAGCATTCGGATCCCATTTGATATCGCTCGGGATCATCTATACACATCAGCCGAGGGTCCGAAAGCTTAGCCGTCTGAACACACATGCTTGGAGACAAAGGTTGGGAGAGGTCCAACGTCAGCGAAAATACCCTCTCTGTTCACAGAGCTGACTATGGCGTCGACCTAGCGTGAGATAAAAATTCAGCACATGACAAGCCCGAAATGCCCATGGATTCTCGACGGGTAGACCAACCGTTTCGCCCTTGAAAGGCCTCCATACGACGGCTCGATAGTGTACTGTGTATTCTGCGACAGCACTGCCCGGGACCACTCGCCCTTCAGAAAAGTCTTGGGTGTCTGTATCCATCACACAAATAATGTAGAATTGGCCAGTGCATGTTCCCTCGACATCTTCCATAAGTCGGCCTCTGATGTACTCCTTTACGCGTGGGCCAAAGAATGATGGATGCAGCGTGATGGTTCGCTCCATGTCGTGCAGGAAATACATGTTGGAATTTTGGAGGTTATAGGTTGCTTGGACGAGTATCTGTATCTATTGACAGGCGGTATGCCAGCGCTTCTTCCTAGGATGCGCAGCCCTCAACACAATGTGACCGCTCACGCTCCTTAGCTCGCTCTCATTCCTATGTCCAGCCTTCTCTGGTCCTGTTGAGATAATACTAAGATATCGGGTTTCACGCGATCATGCGCGAACGAGTGACAGCTTCATAGACACGCCTAGAGATCAGCATAGTCCAGACGCAGTGAAGCGCTGCTGGACAACGTACTGAGGCCCGCCAAGTAAAGGAGTGGCTGCGCAAAGACTTTAGCACTCTTGCGCACTCCCCAGAAGAAACAGAGAGGTTGCTCGAGACCTTGTCAGTGCGGATCGGGCCCTGGACGGCGTGAGGACCAGGCGTTGTCAAGGGTAAGTTTGTGCTTGTGCCGGGATTTGTGTCTCGTCTCTTTTTGAGGCTTAGTGCTGAAATGTACGAGGAAAGTTTAGCTAGAGTACAGCCCTACGGTAAGGGTTTCCGTTTCCCTTCCGATCGCTTCCCTCGTTCGCATCTCTCGAGTCTTACTTTGTGGTCTCGTGAAGCCAACGAATGTACAGCTCTCAACCAAAGCGCTCGAAGGTCCCCATCGTATGGCATTGGAAGCTCAATGTTCATCCTGGTAAGCTAGGGTGTTGGACTCTCTGAGTGGAATATGCTTTCATCGCCTGCAGTGCTGAAACATCAATCAGACTACACTAAGTGATTTGGTCCAAATATCTCCAGAGGATGTGGAGAAGCCCAGTGGAGAAAGTATTCAAGACAACATCAACGTCAAATATGCCAACAAAGTAGACGGCTCGTGGTTTCCCTTTAGTTTGCGATGCTAACAGCGTTCCAGGTAATTCAAAAAATCGGGCTCTGCATATGCGTTTACGATATATTGAACGCCTCCGACGGTCTGATTGGCCATGGTACTGGCATTGTGAATGTCAATGGTAGGCCAAAGCATCCCGGCTTCCCAAGTTCAAATGTTCAAGGCTTCTAGTCGAATTCCGTCTTATCGTCTTCCGTCCTTTCAAGGGAGAGATTCTTCTCGCACAGATCAGTGGCGCTTCTGAATATGGCATGAAAAGTAGGCCCCCCGTTCCTCTACAATGGAACTGGCTTAATGACACCCAGAACAGTACGGCTGGACTTCTTTGACGACATATTTGTCCCTCCGAACTTGATGTTCCCCAAAAGCTTTTTGTAAGTCGGCCCTGTAGCCCCAATTCTTCTGCTCGTTTACTCTTTTCCGCACATGCTTCTGGCTTATTGATCCTGCATTTGCTGCCAACGGCCTTCTCTGCGAATCTGACTTTATTTCAAGCAACGTGCAAGAGCAAGTTTGGACTTGGGTAAATGATGGCGACGAATACTTTTACGACAAGAACGAGTGGGTTCGAGTGCGTGTGGAGGACGAGCAATGGAACGACATATCTCCTTCACCTCCTTCCGAGCGAGGTAGTGAGCCGACAACGGAGCGGAAGAGCCCTTATAGCATCACAGTAAGTCCACTGCCGCTTTGGAAGCAGGATGTGCTCAACGATGTAGGCTTCGATGTCGCAGTCCGGACTTGGGCCGGTTGAGTGGTGGTAGACTGGTGGATCTGTGAACCAAGTGGTCTTCCCTGCGAAAGAATCACAACTCTACTATTCCATAGAAGGGAAAAGCCAGCCAAAAGCACAAATAGGTAGCTTGCTGACGGAGGATTTCCAAGGCATCTTTGGCGCTGCCCTACTTTGGTTCGAGATTATGAGTGTGCTCTACTCACAGGCAGCATTAGCAGAATTCGACGTGTGATAAAAAAATTGATGATTGAGCGAAGAACGTAACAGCAATGTCGACAAAGCAAGTTCAATATCCATTTTCCGGACTTTGCAGCGGTCGGCGGCAAATGTGACTCGGTCGCTACTCTATTATGCATCCAAATATCGGGGGAGGAAAGATGGGGGTGACACCTCTCTAGCCTTCATTTGCGTCGAAGTCGCCAACGATTGCATGGAAGAAATGGAGGAAGCGAGGCCATCGAGAATGTTCTGATAGCTATTGTCTGGGAGTAACATGTGGCAACAGCTTGTGAGGAGGAGATTTTGCTTAGCATGAGAAACGACCAGACTTGGAGCTCATACGGGGTTTAGCCTATGCAAATGTGGTAGAGAATCAGATTTTTGGGGCGACCGGAAAATTGAGGATGCCATGAAATGGGGTTGAAGGGCCTGCCCCCAAAGTTGACAAGTGAGGACTGTGGAGCTGTCACTTTTCCAACTTCACCTCACTTTGAGCTGACTCAAACCACATCCCTTAAGCCTGGCTTCATGCCGTTCCCCACTATGGTTGACTGCCCAATATCTACATCATCACGAGGCCTGATTGCCTTGTTTGGCAACGTTCAGAAGAGGTGCGTGCTTTTGTCTACCTTTGATTGAGGAACTTTCGAGGATGACTTCTCACTTTCATGATAGATTGCTCACTTTCGTCAAAAGGAAATCAATTGTCGCTGAGCAGGTCTGCTCGAAACGACCCCAGTCTGAGCCTCAAAGATCAACAGCTATGGTAAAGCAGATCGATGCCCGTATGTTTTTGGTGTCAGCTAATTCTTTTCAAGGACTCGTCTTCAAGAAGCACTGCTCTTCCGTGCCATGAAGATGGTGACGTGGAAATCCATCTCTCTCGAAAGCCAGAAGATCGCTTCGTCGTTCACAGTGTGGTCCTTAGCTTACACTCCTCCTTCTTTAAGGCCAGTCTCAGTAGTCGCTGGGCTAGCGGCAATCATGGCTCAGCAGGTGAAGGTACGATCAAATGGAAATACCAATTACGATTCGACGAACTAGATGGGGGTTCTACTGATCATTTGGATCTTCTAGCCAGAGCGGTAAGTCAAGCGCGCCTGTGACCTTTGCCAGATCTCAGTACTTATCTGTGGGGCCGACAGCAGGAGCAGTCCATGTAGCGGAGACGCCGGGCCTTCACTTCAGTACTGCCGCAATTTTTACCAGGTGTGCTCCATGGGTTCCCCAAGACAATAACAAAACGAGCTTTCGAACATATACCATTGAAGCTCATCGTCAATACTTGAAGCTCATACATCATATACCGCTAGCCATCGATCCCAGCAACTTCGAGTATGTTGTCAAGTCGATCTACACCCTTGTCCGTGTAGCAGATGCGTACGATAGCCACTCGGTTGTGTCAATGCCTGTCGAGAATTTTTTGATTCGCTATCATAGCTCTGATATCGAAAGGTTCTCCAATGCCAATTACAAGGAACTTCTAAACATCGCAATGAAGATCCACTCTCGCTGGCTGCTCAAAGAGATTGTCTCTCGAATCATCGCAGATCCCCTGTGGGAGGATCATGACATCGAGCGCATTTTCAGCAGTTTCGAGGCCGGTGAGTTGCTGCTCAGCAAGCGTGCTGAGCTGCGGGACATGCTGAAGGACATTCATCAGCGTGTTGTCCTCATAGAGCAGCCAAGGAAAACTGGAAGAATGCCTGATGAGCGTACAATTACATTCGCTACCGCGGCCTTCAGAGACGAGATCAGCAGACTCTTCAGGTCCCATCGAAACGGCGGCTGGGTCTCTTATGCACGAAAGTTCCGACTCTTGAAGGAACGTCTCTTGCGGAACATAGGCTCCGATATACAATACCCTTCTCACCCGTACTGGTTCGGCAGACTCTACGACAAGTTTGGCGAACCCGCAAATATCAGTAGAGAAGATTTCGGGACTGTCTTTCAGTCGCTACAACACAGGACAGCTGAGATCATTGAGCCTTTGTTCGGCTGCGTTGTGAAGCAGCCAAGCGCAAAGCTGAGCAAGAGGAACGCTTCGTACCAAGGCTTCCTTTGCATCAACGTGACCGATGATGAATTGCCATGGTAGGAGAAATTTCATCGCACGTCTAACTGAGAACGTGCATGTATGGAGGAGAACATGTGCTCGGACGAAGAAGTATGAGATGATGTCTGATGCAGGATGTGAAGTGTGAAGTCATAGTACCGATGACTTTTACGTCGCTCATCCGTTCGAGGAAGGAATCATCACTGTACGATACATGCTCAATTGTGTCGTGTCGAGTGTGAATACTTTACTTAGGAAACGATTTCGCCCAGACACTCTGGAAGTCTGTGCGATAGTCTAGTGATCACCGATGCTAGATTAGGACTCAGAACGCGTTCTCCAGATGACCTAGAGAAAACCGTTCTCCTTGGATGCTTGATCGTAAAGATGCCTATGTCCATGAACTTTTCTGCCCAATTTCCACGCTCGATGCACATTCAGCACCGCTTTTTTTAGTCCAACACGTTGAGTGAACAAAAAAAGCGGCAGAAGACAGCTTGAAATACTCGATTTGAGATGATCTGCTGCATGGATATCTTTGAAGCATTCACATGATACATCACCCGGAATTTTGAACAGGAACATCAACGTTCAGAAGAACAATGTTGCCACCTCGTGATCCATCGCCTATCATTGCACCCAATCAATCCGCCATCCGTCTTTCCTTCATTGCAACATATCCCCATTCCCTTCCATGCTCAAAAATCCCAAAACCCACTATCCTTCGGGGCCTGTTGGATCTTCGAAGCCTGGAACTTGCCACCATTCCTGCCTCCAACGCCGTCCTCATCACTATCATCCCCAAAGCCCCAGGCACGTCCAGCCCCCTTCTTCCCGCCCATGCCATCTCCACCGTTCTTGATGCCCACATGCTTCTTGCCACCTCCGTTCGAGATGTTCTCTTTGTCCCCAGAAACCGGGTTGATTCGATTCTCGTTCTTACTAGCGGGTTGAGGGCCAGGAGAATCGTCTCCAAAGCCCCACGAGCGTCCGGCTCCCTTTTTCCCTCCCATGCCGTCGCCGCCGCTCTTGATACCAACATGCTTGTTGCCGCCTCCATTCAGAAAGTTTTCCTTGTCTCCAGAGGTTGGGTTGATTACATCTTCGATTTTGCTTGTCGGGTGGCGACTTACTGGCGATTGGCCGCTAGCTTCCCACTGCGCACCCATTTGTTGAATCACCTTCGCTCTGGCCTCCGGGATCGGCTGCTTGTCAACATTCGCTGAATGAGAGGGAGCATCATCTGTCATGCTGAAATGGGGATCGAAGTTCTTGCGTCTATCCTCTAGGTTGGCCAATGGATGGCCCTTCTTCTCTGGGCTGTGTGGCAAATCACTTTCGTCGAAAACATTGTTCTGATACATTCCAAAGCCCTTCGCGTTAGCCTGACCGCGATGATGATCTGGACCCCGCTCACCTCCGGGAGTATCATCATCTTGGAATTCGAAGTTTGTATTGGCATCAGGACGCGCTTTGGCTACAGCAGGATGCTTGACTGGGCTATCCATCACAGGTTCATCGTCACTCCAGCCGAAGTGACGGACGTCTTGGCCTCGGACTTTGATGGGAACCTTGTCAGGGGTCATGACATCTGCGAAGTCCCAGTTGTTTTGGTGCTTAGATTTGGGCCGAGCTGCCATTGGCATTTGTTTCTCGTTTCCATCGCCGAATTCGAAATGGTTGTATTTATTGGGATCGGGTTTGATGAATTTCGCTGAAGATTCGATGGGCGTGCCGGGAGTTCCTGGCTGCGGGTTGTCGGTCTCGAACAAGCGAGAGGGTTGATAATTTTTGCCAACACCACCTTTGGGAGCGATAGGGCCAAGGGTCATGTTCTCCTTTTGGGGCGATATAATCTTTTCCTTGGAGATTGGCGAGGCGTCGGACTCGTTACCGACGAAGAGGTCATGGTAGTCCCGGGGCGGTGGTTTGGCCGAGGCACGAGGAGCGACAGCGGCGGGTGCCGAGGAGTCCTCTTCTTCTTCACGAGGCGCGAAGAGGGCTAAGCTGGCATGTGGGTCTCTGGTGACATTCTTGCTCTGTGATCTAGGCTTGGTTGTGACAGCCGCATGGTCTGCGTCGCAGGAACCGTTCTCCGTGGCTGGACGCGTGGGGCCATTGCTTTGAGTAATAACCGCAGCACTCGAAGCGATCAGACGTGCCTGATCTTTGCCATCACGGATAGGCCAGTTCCTTGCTCGAGATCCAATAACATCTACGAGCTTGAGTAGAGATCCTTGATCCCAGTATAGGCGGACCTGTTGAATCTTCTGGGTCGAATCGAAATGGACGATGTGCACCTAGACCAAAGATTTAGCACGAGCGTCAACGTGAATTTTTTGCCGGCCGAGTTTCTTTCACCATTGGGAATGTAACGACGCGGTCCGCCAGGAAGTTGTCATCCAAGCCGGGCAAATAAGCCCCTCCACCTGTAATGAATTCCAAAGTGGTCTCGACATCCAGGCACAAAGCATCGCGGCCCTCAATGCAGCTCAGAACCTTCTCTTCTTTCTTTGTGAGAACCTTTTGATGTGCTGCATGATGTTTGATTATGGCAGCGGCAGTGTTGATGGTGGTAAGAGTCGTAATGTAGTTGAGAGAGGCATCGTTGTTCAATGCAGACGCATTGGGGCTTGCCAAGAAGCTCTGGTAGACTGACTTGAGAGAACCCATCGTTCACTGTGTGGAAGAAGACAATTATGCAAATTGTCTGTTTGGAGTGGTTTGTGAGGGGAAATGTAAGATGACGAAGATTTGGTGGGGAGGTCTTGTTTACTTTTTTGGCGCGCGTGTTGCGCGGGTAGATACATGTGCACAAAATTTGAACTCGGCAGTTGGCAGGCAGAGTGCAGACTACTTTAAGGTAATCGCAGCTTTGAAAGAAAAGAATAAACCAGTGAATGAAGATATGTATTTTGCATACGCCAGGGCTCGAGGAACCTACGCGTCGAGATAGTCAGAGCACATCAAATAATTCGAGTGGGGTGGTTATGTTTTGTTACAGCGTGTCTCCAGCTTCGCAAAAATATGAGTCGTTTTAAGTGCAAGCATGTTCCAGGCTTGTTCTTGCGGCAAACCTGCGAATTGCCACAAGTGGTATCTTTGCTTCTTGCCAGCTCATAAGGCGATTCCCTCGCGGTCGCCATAACGCCTCCACATTCGGGATTTCATCAAGGCCTGATGACCTCCAACCCATTGCTATTGCATGCCCAACAGCGCCTCGTGCTCGAACAACAGGAGCCGGTGACGCTCAGATAGGCATGTTGCCTGGGGGAGTGCTGACCCCCATGAATATTCCTCCAGAACCATTGAACGAGGTACTAGACGTTTGCGGCATCTGCGCCTGTCCATCTACCGCCGATGTCATCAGTGCCGGGTCCATGCTCGCGGGCCAACCCTGAATCCCAGTGTCAAGACTCCCATTCTGGACGTAGGAATCCCATGCATCCTATGCGCGGACATTAGCATTTTCATTGGTCATACGCGACTGTTTGCACTTACCCAATCCAAGTTCGCGGGCATGTCACCCGCTAGATTTCCATTGCCAAAGAACGAGAGTGGGCTCGGCACAGAGGGTATGCCGTTACCAGCTTGCTCCAGTGAGTAGCCTGGCGTCAATCCTGAAGACTGCATATCCCCCATGTTAGAACTAACACCCCCTGTAGAAGGAAATGCCCCATTGAACATCGACGCAGAATTAGGCGTCATCCCGCCATTGCTAAGCATGCCTAGTGTCATGGCTGCAGAGTGCTCGGGCTTCTCCTCCCCTGGTAGTCCGAAAGTCTGCCCATCTGTGCCGTTGGGTGGGCCGGAAAATGGGAAGGGGTTTTGCGGTGTTCGTCCAGCGGCTTGGTTTCTACTATACTTCATTTTGTTCAAGATGACAGTCAGAAGTTCAGACGCTTTGAAGGCCTCCATTGACTGATCCTTCGTCTCTTTCCAAATGTCATTGGAAACTTCGAGCGCCCGAACCATGTCCGCTCGTCTTTCCAGTCCCCAGGTGTACATGTCGCCAGAGCTTTGGCCGCCGCCTTCTGTTTCCGCCCCGTAGCAGAGATCAAGAGCGACAATCATAGCAGCAAGTAGGAAGTCCGCTGCTGTGATCGAGCTGATGAAGACCTTCATGCCGTGGAGGCGACGACCAGGACGCGATTCATAATGCAGGGTCGCCTGGTGGCTGAGAAGCTCCATTGATGAGTCAACGCAGGTACGTCGAGAGTGAGCGTAGCGGTTATTCTCGCGCGCTCTCGCGAGGAATTTTCGATGAAGAACACATTGACCTTTGTGATACAAGATTGATAAATAGAAGCGTTGCATGACTAGAGCTCCAGGGTCCATCATAGAATCTTCTATGCTTCGAAGACGAAGATGTGGAGGGAATTCTGCACGAGCTTCTCTCAGATCGCGATCTAGAGTCATAATTTCGTCATACGAGGATGTCGATACAGAGTGTAATTTCTCGACCGCCTTCCCAAATGCGAATGCGATGTTAGCTTTCGCGCACATGTATGATACGGGAGTAGGCTCTGACGCGGGTCTCGAGGGGGGGAGAATCTTTGAATCCTCGTCGAATTCATCATCGTAAAGGTTTCGAGGAAGTTCTGTGTCACAATCACCCAATCGAATCATGCTCGGCAACCCGATCTGAAAAGAGAAGAGAAGATCTGATTGTCGCACGAATGTCCACACTCGTCTTCGCAATTCCCCTTGGAACGGTGTGATGTTGGGAAAGTGTTTTGGGTCTCGGTGATAGCCCATACGCATAGCTAGCCGGACTATCATGCCTACTAATACCCACGTTCCAACCTCAGCATCACGATTCCGAGCATATTCGCAATGGAGGTGGAGCACCAAAGTCTCGATCATGTGATTGACAGGCTTGGTGAAGTCGGCAAGCAAAAGACACTGTCCGGTAAGAGCTCGATAATTTGCAGCCAAAGCAAGAGACTTGCCCCGGAACTCGGGGGGCTCATCATCCATTCGAAAGTACGAATGCATTGCCAAACACATGATAGCGAAAATTTGTCCGAGCCATGCCGCCCCACTCTTATGGGGATTCTCCCAATGTTTTTCGTAATTCCTCTGCCATGACGGAGGATGCAGGATATGGACTGCTGGATCATACGAGTTGAAGTACCGGGAGACGAGCTTATCTGTCACGGTTCGTTTTGGTAACTGCGCGAGTAAATCCGAGTAAGGTGGTGGTTTTGATCCTCCAAACAAGAAAGTCGGGCCTTGCGGCGCTGAGTCAACACGGTTCTTGGCTTCTTGCACCTTGACCATTTGGTCTTCCCACTGCTTCTTGTGCTCTGAAAAATAGTTCTTGACCTCCTTGATATCGTGTAAGATAGCAGCCCAATGAGCTTCCCCATAATACATAGACTTGTTGTTGTCGACCTTCATGACTCCAAGCGATTGGACGACTTGATCAGTCTCACTCTCGTCCTCTCCTGATCCTCTGACAACGCCGTTGTCCTCGTATTCTCCATCAACATCTACGTCCACATCCTGCGGATACTCCATGGATCCTGAGGTAGAGTTCAGGGATAACGCTCGTTGGGCTGCCGCTGGACCTGCAGATTGAGAGCCGTTCGTCATCAAAGAGAGTACCAGACCCTCGAGGCGGTCAATACGATTCTGCATGTCATCTGGAGAGTTGCTAGATTGCGAAGATGCAGATTGCTTCTTGCGACTTCCTGGTGCAGCATAAGAGCAAGACATGGCATCTCCACGCTTGACACAGTTTTCGCATGGTTGAGATCTGTTGCACTTGAGCCTAAGAAAGTCAGCATCAGCCCCCTTTCTTCTAAACAATGCCAGCTATCTTAGTAGACGCGTTATCAGTACGTGGAATCTGGGACCTCACTTTCTGTTTCTGCAAGGAGCGCAGGACAATGGTACTCTGTTTCTCTTCCTCACCACTCGGTATTGTCCATCGGGAGAGAACTGACCACTGCTCGTAGTCGTCGTTGATGGAGGGGTTGGAGTCATCTTTGGGGTGGTCGAGTCTTGTGGGGATAGTCGAAGCGTCTGTTGATCGTTTTGCGCTGGAGGCCCAGGGGGTGGCACCCAAGCAAATCCGAAATTCATACGTCCTTCTGCCTAAACACAGTCAACGTCTTCAAAATCTCTGCGGCGCAAGTGTTGTCGTCCGCTTTCCAAGTTTCTGCAAATACACGCTCGCGACGTGTTCTCTTCTTGGATGGCAAAGTGACAGGCGACTGATAGAGCGTTATTCTGTCTTAATCACAGGCGCACACCGTGCGCCGAGACCTTTTGGCTTGGATAGAGATGGTTTTGAGGTATTGATGCTCCGTGGTGGAGTAATGTAGGAGTCGAATCCTAGGCTCCCCTGGCCAATCACTAAAGCCGACAAAAGCTGCTAGTCTATTCAGAGCCTTGGCCTCAATGTTAGGATGTATCTGGAAGGTGTGCGTTACCATTACCAGCGATGGTGAATAACTCATTGGCGCTTCAGCTCTTCATCAAGTTCAGAGATCGAAGCAGAACCTTAACGCCGACCCAGCCGGCTACTTTCTCGTAAGGCTGACTACGAAACTCTCTCACAGAAAGACTACAATGGCTAGATTGAACAGACCGAGTCTTGCTTCTAAATACAGACAGTCACCAATACCAGTGTAGCTTCCCATCTTGCGAATAGTAGGAAAAAAACGCATTGACACAGCGTGTAAAGCATAGATGCAGCTCTTACTATCCTCAGCGTACAGAAGGGTTGATAACATGAGGCAAGAGGGTCTGCTGTGTATGTTACAACTTGGATGCCATCAGCGCCTGTCTGCAATATGATTGAAGGGTTTCATACTTTGAATTTCCTCTCAAGTAAAGCTCTTAGTAAACGACTGCACAACATCCTTCAATTTGCCATCTATTTCCTTGGTGACCTGACCCTCTTTATCGATCGATGCAAGGAGATCGGACTCGTTGTTTCTCAGGTGCGACAGGAAGTCTGCCTCCCATTGAAGAATCTTGGCCACGGGAACATTGTCGAGATGCCCGTTGACTCCTGCGTAGATAAGAGGAACCATCTCATTGACGGCCATTGGTTGATACTGCTTCTGCTTCAGCAGCTCGGTCAGACGCTCACCACGGTTCAGTGTTTGCTTTGTGGCGGCATCAAGATCGGAACCGAATTGGGCGAAGGCGGCAACCTCACGATATTGTGCCAAGAAGAGTTTAAGGGACCCAGCGACTTGTTTCATTGCCTTCAACTGAGCTGCGGAACCGACACGGGAGACTGAAAGACCGACGTTGATGGCAGGACGGACACCCTTGTAGAAAAGCTCGGCTTCCAAGAAGATCTGGCCGTCTGTGATGGAAATGACATTCGTAGGGATGTAAGCAGACACATCACCACCTTGTGTCTCGATGATAGGCAGCGCAGTCAGGGAGCCACCACCGTGCTTGTCGTTGAGCTTGGCGGCACGTTCGAGTAGACGCGAGTGCAGATAGAAGACGCTGAGCAGCAGTCAGCAAAGGACGACGCTGAAGAAATTTTAAGTGCAAGCTACTTACTCTCCAGGGTAGGCCTCACGCCCTGGTGGTCGACGAAGCAATAGGGACATTTGGCGGTAAGCGACGGCTTGCTTGGTCAAATCATCATAGACAATGACCGCATGCCTGCCGTTATCACGGAACCACTCGCCCATTGCACATCCTGAGAAGGGTGCGATGTACTGCAGAGGAGCAGCTTCAGAAGCTGTCGCGGCCACAATAATGGAGTACTTCATCGCGTCATTCTCCTCGAGAGTCTTAACCAGCTGCGCCACGGTAGATCGTTTTTGGCCAACAGCAACGTACACGCAGTAGAGCTTCTTGGCTTCGTCATCGGTATTGTTCCAGCGTCTCTGGTTCAACATGGCGTCGAGGGCAACCGCAGTCTTTCCAGTCTGGCGATCTCCAATGATAAGCTCACGCTGTCCACGACCAATCGGCACCATAGCATCGATAGACTTGAGACCAGTTTGGACTGGTTGGTTGACAGAGTGACGAGGCAGAATACCAGGTGCCTTAAGTTGAGCTCGGTATCTCTCCGTCGTTTTGATTGGGCCCTTGCCATCAATAGGGTTACCCAGCGCATCCACAACGCGACCAAGGAGCGCGGGGCCAACGGGTACATCGACCTAGGGAGCTGTAAGACAAGGATTTGTGGAGGAAGGTAGTGGCACAAACAATCTCTCCGGTACGCTTGACGGTTTCGCCTTCCTTCACGAGACGATCCGAACCGAAGAGCACGACACCAACTTGACCAGCTTCGAGGTTCATGCACATGCCCTTGACCCCTGAAGCGAATCTATCTGGGAATGAGTATCTATATCACTGCCCTAGAGTCTTAGACTTACTCGACCAGTTCTTCGGCCTGGACATTGTTCATTCCATGAACCCGGGCAATACCGTCACTTAAGTGCAAGCCGGTCAGTTTCCGCCACTTCGTTCTAGCATCTTGATCTCAGAAATGTCACGTACCCAACGGACAAGACACGACCAGTTTCGGCAAGGCCGGCTTCCTCCTGAACACCTCTGATTCTCTGCTCTAAGATCGAAGAGACCTCTGTCGGCGAGGCTTTTGCCTCTGAAGCATAGCTTCGGGCTTGTCTTGACGCTGCATTGAGCGCTGCTGCAGCTGTGCATCGATTCTGTGTCCAACGATGTGATCAGTTTTCTGCTGCTAGTGGGGGCCATCGAGCAGCTAAAACAAGTGTATAGCTTGATAAGAGGGCAATGGCACCCTCAGGGATTGTATCACATATTGCCGAGTCGCTAGCACAAGAGTAAGAATTTGTTTGTAGCTTACCAAGGCGAGTCTACTAGGGACAGAGACTGCCCCGACCGTACGGGCGCTCTGCCTCAAAGCATTCCTAATCATCTTGAGTGGAGTTTAAAAACAGCAAAGAAAATAAGGGACAAATTGCCAATGCAATTGACCGAGGCGAAAGAAGGATTGGGATGAGATGTGGATCCTCGGAGTGAGGTTCGTGGTTGGCAACGCTTTTAGAAGAGGAGATCCAGAAATCGCGCCAAGCCTCTAGCTCTTTCTGCAATAACAGCATTTCAGGCTCAAGCATCAACCATCACGCATTCGTTTTGCGAAGTGCTCACTCTCCTGCAAGGTCATGATTCTACGAACCACTTCCTAGCTCACGTATCCTACCATTCCTTTCTGTAGACTTCAACATGTCTCTCAACCTTGAAAAACAGCTTTTGTTCGTAAGTCCACGCTGAGAAAGCGCATGGCTACTCCAATGCTGACACTACACCAGTATGGCTCGTATCACCACACTACTGTAAGAGCAGCCCCCGAACCGAGTTGAACGGGATCGAAATCTCCCTGACCACTTCCTTCTCAAGGCCAACAAAGCCATCCACATAGTCTGTGTGCCGATGATCTTGATGACGTCTTTTTTACTCGTATGAGATCTCAGCCATTCATTCTTTGAGAATATACTCAAAAAAAATCAGGGCACCAATACACCCTCGCTGGTGCCTATGCCAAGATGGCTTGTTATACCGAACCTTCCTCCAAATCTGGGGACTATTGCTACCTTGATATACGCAATACTCTATATTCTGATGGAGCCTGTGGCTGGAGGCCTTTTAGCACCTCTTTTGCTAGCGGGAACTGCCTACTCAGACTACCTGACCACTACCTACGGTGCGACAGCAAACTATTGGGCGGTGGGCATCTTTGTCTCAAGTTGGGTCACTCAATTTCTCGGTCATGGCGTATTCGAAGGAAGGGCACCCGCATTACTAGATAACCTGGTTCAGGCTTTGTTCTTAGCGCCGTTCTTCGTCTGGATGGAGGTCTTGTTTTCTATTGGTTATCGGCCCGAGTTGAAATCACGGGTGGACAGCGCAGTCGAAAAGGAGGTGGAAAGATACCGGAAGTCACAGGGGCAAAGCAATGGCTCTGCAACGAATGGCAAAGCAAAGTAGAAGCTGCGTAGTATATTGATATTTCACTGAGAATCGAGAGAGACGTTGTAATTTATTTGATATACTTAGAGGGAGACTCTCTGAAACCCCCTAACCCTCCGGAGGCTCTTGGAGAACTCTTCGAGGGCTTCTGTCGAAGAGGCTCTTCTCGTAAACTTAATAATTTAAGTAAAAGTCTTAGTTTTTAGTATATCTTTACGAATACTTTATTAAATTTCGTTTACGCTATACTATTTAAAAGCGTATAATTAACTTTATAACTCTACGTACTTAGTTTATTATTATATTTTCATAAAAGAAAAGAATTTAAAAAAGATAGATTTAAGAATTTTGAAGTTCTTTTATTACTACTTTCTTTCCTCTTTTAAACGTACCCGTATATACCCGCGTTTAGATCGAAAATAAAGAGATAAGATATATTTTAGACTAAAAATAATGAAATTCGATAATCTAATTAGTTACTAGCCTCTTAGCGTAGAAGCTATTTAGAATTTTAACTCTTAGATATTAAGAAAGTAAGCTTTTTAATTATTAGAAAATAAAAAAGTTTTCGTAAGTATTTCTCTCTCGAAAATTAAAAAATAAAACTTCTAAAATAACTTTATAATAATAAATTATAATTTTCTAAAAACTTTATAACTATTAAAAGATATAATAAAGATTATAATTTTTAATTTTTAAAATATTCTAATTATCTACTATATAGTAAAATAAAAATTTATTAAATTCTTAAGATTTTTTAATAAATCTTAGCGATTATATAATAGTCGAGGTAACTTTTTAACGTTAAACGTATATTCTTAACTTATATTATATCTTATAATATCTTAATTAAAATCTTCTAAAATTCTTAAAATTAATTATTTAATATTATAAAAAAAGATTATAAAAGCTATAGACTATAAAGATTAATAATTATAAAGAAATTTAAGAAATCTTAATTTTTAATTTAAATTAATTAAATAATATTACGGATTAATTCCTTATACTCGATATACCTTTCTAATTAGACCTTAGCGCGCCTCTCTTCGTATATATATATCTATAAACTATATAGAATAATTAATATCTTTATATTATACTATATATATAAGTTATATTATATTATTTCTTAATAAATAATAGTAATATCTAATCTTACTTTATAGAATATTTAGGCGTTATTAGACGTTTACGTAAAGTTTATATTAATATCTAATAGTATAACGCTTTAAGTCGAACCTCTAATATACTCGCGTTATCGAGTATCTTTTAACAAAAATCTATATTTAAATCGATTCTTTTGATAGGCCTGTCGATCTTATTATATCTAACTCTATAAGAGATTAAAAGTAATTATAAGAGATCGAGAAATAAGTTGTCGGCGATAACGTACTATTTATAACTATATTAGATCTAGAAGTAATAATATAGCGTTTTATTATTAATATAAATACTATCTTAGCTACTATTATAGCTATTAATATAGCTATTATAAAAGAAAGAATAAATATTAAAATAGCTAAAGTTAGATTAAGATCTTCTTTATTTATCTCGTAAATAACTTCGTAGTAATTAAATTAGCCTTCTTCTTAGTCTTCTTAACCTTCTTAATAGTAAATCTTATCTACTATAATCTCCGTTCTATAATTAAAAGATAAGAGATAAAGACTAGAGGAGATTAACGAATTTGACGATATCGATAATATATAAGTATTTATTAATCGTATTTAAAGCGTAGCTAGTTATAAGAGTTATCGATTAATATAAATTTATCTTAATATAGTATTAAAGAAAATAGTATTTAAATAATACTATTATAAATTTATAAACGTCTTTAAATTAGATTTAAACTAAGTTACTACTATTAAGCTATAGTATATCGTAATTCTTAAGTAATTTAGATCTCGCTATATCGATCTTATTATTTAGCTAAAGACGTATTATTATACTCGAAAAGATATAATTAATAAAAAAGATATTACGAGCTACGTTTAGAAGATATTATATATTATTAAAGAGTCTTAATTAAAACGATTACGTTAAATTCGAAATTAATATAATCTTTTATTATTTTAAATTAAGTCTTTAATAAATACTCGATTCGTCGTTAAACTTAAATAGCTTTATTAATTAAGTATAAATACGATAGTAGAGTTAATTCTAGATTTATGCTAACTACGAAAAGCTATATCTACTTAATTTCTACTTAAGATCTTAATTATCGAGATCTTAATAGTTTTATTAATCTCGTTTATAGTAATAATAGTTTCTTACTTATTTAAAATAAATCTTATAAATTTATTTAAAAACTTTATAATTTTTTTAATTAGGTCTATTGGATATATATTAGATAGGGATTATTTATAAAAATGTTAATAAACGAATATATAATTAAAACTTAATTTTAAAATATTTTTTAATAAATAATATATTTTAAAATAGAAATAAAATTAATAATATTAAGAATTTTATAATATATTAATTTTTATAAATTTTATTATATTAATTCTTCTTTTTAATATAATAGATATAGCTTTATCTTTTAAAAAGCTTTTAATTTATTTTATTAATAAATTCAAAGTTTCTTTTTTTTTAATTATAAAGTAATTTTTAATAAGAGATATTATTAAATAATTTTAAAATATTAAGAAATAAAAGATTAATAATATTATCTCTATTATAATTCTTAATTATATATATTATTTTAATTATTATTTTTAATACTATTTCTATAAATCTTTTTTTATTATTTTTCTTTATTTTAAAAAAAAGATTACTATTCTTTATATAACTATTTAGATATTTAATTATTATTATTTTAAATATCTCATATATGAGTCACACCATATTATTTCCCTTAATAAATAAAATCTATTTTATTTATTATATAATTACTTTTAAGCTTTATATTCTTCTCTAGATATTTATAATATATAGTTATTAAAGATTAAAAAAATTCGATATTTAGTAGTTAAAGAATATATATAATATAAATAGATAGATATAAAAGAATAATATCGTTATTAGTATAGAATTTAATAATCTTAATATTAATATATAATATATATCTATTAAATATAAGAAGACGATACTATTCTTTAATAGTTTATCGAGTCTATAGCTTAAAGGATCTATAAGAAGTAAGTTAGAAGCTCTATATATAAAAAGATATGACTTATATATATCTAATAAACCACTCTAGATCTAAGACGTTATTTATCCAACCATTTTCACTTATCATAATTTATATAACTTTATCCTTTAAGATCTTATATTAGGCCTTTATTTAACGCTTTTCTTTAAAGATAATAAATAATATAAGAAGCCTTTCATCAGCGGATATACATTTAATAAGAGATATCTATTCTTTACTTCTATTCTAAGCTTTATATATATATATATTATATTTAAAATATATAACTCTTATTTTATTAATAGAATTAAGAGTAGATCTTTTCTTATTTATATTATATATATTAATCGTCTAAATATCGTACTTCTAAATTATTAGTTTTATAAGTTAAAATTATTATAATAACTTTATTAAATTATAAATTATAAGTTATAATATATTCTTTATTTAATAACTAATTAAATCGACTTTATAGATTTAAATAACGTCTTAAAAAGCTTATTACTTAATTTATATCTAATTTTTTATAATTATTTTTTTCTATTAGTATTTTATTAATTATATATCTAATAGAGATAACTCTTAAAGATTAATTCTATTCTATTATCTATAGAATCTATAATTCTAGAGCTTACTTCTTAGTAGAACTTAATCGCTACTTATATTAATATGCTTCTTAATGAGAATAAGTCTTTCTAGTAATACGTCGAATAAGAGTAATAGAAGTCTTAGAGTTATATAGTAATATGAAATTAGAGAGATAGATATATTTATATATTAATTTAATAATAAAACTAATTTTTAAGAAAGTAAAGAAAGATCGAGGGAAATCGCTTACTTAAGTTTATTCGCTAAGACTTCGTTAAGACTTTATTAAGCGTATATTAAACGTATATAAGCTAAATAATCTAGAGTTCTCTTACTTAGAACTCTTAAGCCTCTTTTCTAATAATTACCTTCTTTCTTTAAAGATTCGTTCTTTAATCTAAGTATAGAAAGAATATTTTCTTATTATTAGAAGATTTATTAAAACTCTTTAAATCTTATAGAAAAAGAAGAGAAAGAGTTTCTTATAATAGTATAGCGTAAATATAATATATTATAAATATATAATAAAAGTATATAACGTCTATAGATAATATTAGATATACTTTTATAGATTAGATATAGTTATAATAATATATAGAGTAATTATTAATATTATAATTTAGATATATAACGCTATATATAATTAATATATAATTATAATAATATTTACTTTTTCTCTAAAAAGTCTTTTATTTTATTAATACTTCTTTATTACTCTTAATAATCTATGTTCTCTATAATAAATATATAATAAATATATATTTAATTAAGATATTATATAGACGTTATAGCTATTAGTAATAAGTTCTTAAAAGATCTTATTATTATATATATATTTCTTACGCGTTAATAATTATAATATATTATAATAGCTCTTTAAAGCGCTAAGCTCTTATCGATACTAAATAAGAATATCTACTATTACTATACGCGATAAGCTTTTTAGTATACTACTCGCTTATATAATATTATATTTAATAATAATAAAAATATAATTATAAAGTATTATTATTATACTCGTCTTCGTAATAATTATATTATAATAAGTTTTTATATAAATAACGCGTAATAGATATATTTATAGCGCCTACTAATTTTCTTAAAAGATTTCGATAAATAAATATATTATTACCGATATTAACGCTATAATCTATATTAGCTTATAATATACTTATATTATTTATTATATTTTTATTTTCGATATTCTTAATTTTATATCTATTACGCGACTTAAGATTATTATAAATACTTTAATATAATCTTAACGATTATTTAATATATTAAAAATTATTTAAAA